ATCTTCAATCTTCAATCTTCAATCTTCAATCTTCAATCTTCAATCTTCAATCTTCAATCTTCAATCTTCAATCTTCAATCTTCGGTTCTCACTAAGGTATCTAATTAGCAAGGCCCCTCTGATATCTCTAGGAGAACAAGATACCATCATACTAGCCCTACGCTCCCTCTTCCTAACTTCAACTCGCTCCCGAACCTCCCGCCAGACGATGACTTAGCTCCCGGATTTCTTACAAATTTTCCTATATTTTCATCATCTTGCTGCTTATTTCGATACAAGTTTCCACGATATCTTATCATTTTTCAGGTCATTCCCGTTATCATTGATCTATAAGTCAAAGGTCCGCCCCAAAGTCCACCCGAGTCAGTCTTCGAGCAGTCGGCAGTTGTCAAGCAGTCCTCGGAGACCTTGGACATCGTCTGTCATCCCCTTCCTCTCTGCCACGAATTCTTCCCTCATCCCCGCCAATTGAGCCAAATGAAGTTTCTGGCGCTGCATGCGAAGCACTCTTTCTTCGATACTGTTCTGCACGATATAGCGATATACCGTGACGGGATTTATCTGGCCGATTCGGTGGGCACGGGCTGCAGCTTGCTCCTCGCGCATGGGATTCCAATGCGGCTCGACGATGTGGACATAAGATGCTCTTGTCAAATTCAGCCCCACTGATCCTGTTCCCAAGGTGAGGAGCATCACCAGTGTTGATGAATCCTCTTGAAATGTCTTGATGGCTTCGCGTCGCTGCTCTATGGAGCTTGTGCCGTCGATGCGGGCGAATATTATTTCCTGCTCTTCCAAACCTTTCTGGATGGCGTCCAATGTTCCTCTCCAGTTTGAGAACACAATGCTGGTGAATGATCAGTGATGTTCCAAAAGACAAGGGATGTACATACCTTTTTGGGGGTACACCTCCGTTCTTGTGTAAGGACGCCAACATATCAACGACTTTGCGAACCTTGGAGGACATGAAACCTGAATCGACTGTTGTGGTTTCACATTCCCCTTCGTCGGAGACCGCGACTCCGGAGTTCCAATCGCCCAGAAAGAAGGTTGCATCGTCGTCTTGAGAACCACATATTGGGCAAGATGAAATTCGAATCCCTACATCACCCATCAATTGGCCCTCGGTGTCCAAACATCTGTTACATATCGAGTGACCACAGTCAATCTCCACCGGTCTATCCACTGATCCTTTGCAGCCGCGAGCGTCACATTTCTCGCACTTTGGTACTTCAGGTGATGTCTTCGTACACAGTACGTCATTCTCTGACACGGACTTGGATAAGCCATGCTCGCAGATGCGGCGTAGCTGGCGAATTCCTTGAACGAAAATCGGTGATGTTGTCTTGGCTCCTTTGCTTGTACCCTGAGTCAAGTCTGCCAGGAGTCTTTCCTTGATCTGCTCGTATTGGATGCGTTCAGTCTCTGACAACTCGACTAGGACCTGCGATACCCGGCTTTCTGGGAGATTTAGGTCGGCCTTCACTCGTCGGATCGAACAAACCTTCATCATAAGCTGGAGGTTTGCTAGACCTTGTTCATCACGGTGACTTAGAGGCCCGGTGACGAATCTCCGAATGTCCTGCGGCGCTGCAAAGGGGCGGAATCTGAGAAAGCGTGTCAGAGCAAAGATATCTCGGAGGCCGTTCTGGACAGGCGTTCCAGTCAAGCACCAGCGCCTCTGCGCCTGGATGCGGCTGACAGCAGCAAATTGCTGAGTGGCGGTGTTTCGGATCCAATGGGCTGTTGAAGCCGTTCATTAGCAAGACTTGTCCTATCTTCCGGCTCGTTAGGTTCCAAACCTTCATCTAAGATGACACGAAACCACAAATACTGGTTGAGCACGCTCGCCGAGTCTTGTGCTGCCTTTGCAAGGGTTTCATATGTTGTCAAGACCACTTGTGCATGTTCCATTTCTGCGCTGAGTTGATTCTTGCCTGAGCCATGGTAGGTCAGGACAGTCAGGGAGTTGGGTAGGAGATGACTGGCGGTCAAGTGTCAGCCAGAGACGTTGTAGAGGTGCAACTCGATATGCAACTCACCGATTAATCTCCCATTTCCAGCTATCGATAGCTATACTAGGTCAGACAATTGACGACAACTGTGCATTTCCAACATACTAGACAATGGTGTCACGATCAGCGTTGCACCTAGTGGCTGTCGAGTACATGGGTCGGGAGTCGGTGGTCTCTGTTCGGAAAACTGTACGGCCTCATGCAGAGTGTGCACAGTCAAGGTCAACATGGAGAGGCTCTTTCCCATGCCCATGTCATCCGCCAATAAGCCACCTCGGCAGTCATTTCGTGGCTCATGGCAGGTGTCACCTGTTAAGGAATGTTCGTATCTAGCAGTTGTTAGTGGAACTCTCATTTCACCAATGTAACGAGACCAACCCTCGTCCCCGATGATGTGGTAGTTGTCGCCAAAGAGTTGGCGTATTGCCGGGCAAAGGCGTTTCGTTTTCTCGACTCAACATAAACTTGACAGCAGTGATTTGGTGGCTATCTCAGAGTGTCAGCCGTGACCACTATGGGAGCCAAAGGTCACATACGGTTTGAGCGTTGATATAATCCTCCTGTCTTGAACAAAGTCATGATCTTGATCGAACGTGATGCGCTCATTGATGATGGCAGCGATTCTGCCCTCGAAATCCCTTTGCTTGTCGTGGTCTTGCTGCATAAATAGAGGGGTTGTGTTGTTTTCGTCAACTGTGTAGACTTGAGGATTCACGTAAAGAATGGCTTTGTCTAGATGTGATGGTTCTTGTAGGAATATGCCGTCCTTGTCGAGTTCAGTAGCCACAATGTCAGCCTGAGATTCATCTCCGTACACGTTGACAACACCTTCAAGGACCTGATGCGAAGAGTTCTTTGGCCTGCGTGGCTTGATATCTTTGTCTTGGATGGTGTAAACATCACATCTGAGCATGGGCACTTTCTGGCGTAGGCGAGTAAGAATGGGGGAGTGATGCATATCGAGGTGAGCAACCTCGTCCAGCACATCATTGATGAGAATGACAGCCCCGGAGCGAAAACGGACTCTCCATGGCTTATCCGGGTTATTGAAGGATATGTTAGAATCCGTGGAGCGGTTCCGTCTTTTCAACGGAGCAACATGAACACCATAAATCTAGCAGGATGAGAACAACTTCAACAAGGAGCTGGCAGTCACCACCTACCGTGCCGTAGCATACTTCCAAATTGGGCTCCTGTTTGGCGGGCTGACTACTTGTACAGGATGTGACAGAGTCCAACTCGATGCCATGGCTGACCAGGCTCTCTGCGGCTGTGGAAGCGGGTGTAACAGAGTCGGATGCGTCACGTTGATCTGGTGTATCGCCTGATGGAGGGTGGTCTGGCGAAGATGGAAATTGCGAAACCTCCTCGGACGGCGGAGGACTGGGGGAGACAGATCTTGTCCGGGGCTTTTTCTGCTTGACATTCGTGCCGAATCCATGGTCCAAGCATACGGCCCGGGCCGACCGCTTGCGGGAAGATGACATTGCACCGTTGGGTCCTGTCATCTGGAAGCAAGGAGCGAGACATCATGCGAGACTTAGAACTGCCCATATCGAAGGACATCGTGAGAGGGAATGGCTCAAATAGCGAGCAGCAGCAGGACAACCTGTGTCTATTGTCCTTGTTCAATCATTCGTCGCAGTGAGAAATGGTCCGGAGTTCTGTAGCGGTGAGTGCGCCTCGTTCAGCCACATTCAACCACTTGGGGTGCAACACAACCATTCCATGCAATTGGGCATTCGAGTCGGTGTCAGCCTAGAGCTCGACCCTGGCAGACACCAACCAGCCAATCTGATGCTGTGCTTGATGTTGTACAACAGCGCAGCACATGCCTAGGCGTACGCAAGGTTGTAACCGGTGTGGCAGTGTTTGACACTCGTCTCATCGACATTGGCTGATAGGGTTGCCTGCAGGTGCAGGCGCAGGCGCAGGCATAGGCGCAGGCCAGCGATCCTCTCACCAGATGGTTGGCAACTTGGCTTTGGGACAGACACAACTCGTGCTCTCTCGGTGGCCTGCTCTAATGAGGCGCTTGTCTGCTGGGTTCGATCAGGACTCAACTTCTCTCCTTCTGCCCAACCCACCAAAGCCTCATACCTTGAACTTCCACGATGGCTGCTTGCCCGCAATCAATGTCGGATACCACTCAGCCCGACAGCAGTCAGGGTCTGTTCTTCGATGCCTGTAATACCTTCCGACACAATGTACCTCGATCTGTCTTGGAGCAATTCCAAAGCGTCACTTCTCTGAAAGACCTTGAACACGCTATCAAGGAGATCGAGAGCCAACAAGCAGCGCGTCGATCGTTAAGGAACCTGCGCAAAGTCCGTCCATTCCTCAATGCGCTGAACGATTATGCCGGAGTGATTGAGGTCTTTGTCAACGCCAAACCAGACATTATGGCCTTTGTATGGGGTCCGATCAAGTTCTGTCTCCAGGTATATCTCTCTCAGTTGCCTGTAGACTGATCTAACCTCGGGCCTGGCAGGTTACTTCAAAGTTCGATCGGGCCTTTGAATCGCTGTTGAACACATACGTGCAACTACGTGCCTCGTTCCCAAACATCAAAGCCATCGAGGAGCTTTTTAAATCTCACGAAGCCGTCCGCACAGTTCTCAGCAACGTCTATGCTGATATACTCGCCTTTCACACCAGGGCCATTCTATTTTTCTCTAAACGTGGTTCGACCATACCCAGATTCTGTCCGTGAGGCCCTTCATCTGATCTGTGACAGGCTGGAGAATCGTTCTTCGAGTGACTTGCCGGCCCTTTAGTGATCTATTTGGTGATATATTTCAAAACCTTGACCAATCCAAAACACTCCTTCTAGACACCGCAAACATAGCCCACTTCCAAGAGTCTCAAGAGGGACGGCAGCTCACCGTCCAAGCCTTCCAAGAGCAACAGGATGAAGCAAGGCAACGCAGACGCCAATACGTTACCACCTGGCTCAATGCATTCCCACACAAGAACCAACAAGCTGACCTACGGGCCCTCCGAAAGGAGTATCCTGGTACAGCTACATGGATCTTGCGAGAACCGGCTTGGGAAGGTTGGTCGACCAACAGTGCCCGTGATGAACGAGTATTCTGGGTTTCTGGTATTCCGGGAGCTGGTAAGCGCCTCCATCGTCCTCACAAAGTTAATACGCGTTACGAGAAGACTAGAGAGAAGACCATGCAGAATCAGGCTAGTGCGTTGTTTACTTACCCATGTTTCTTTAGGCAAGACAGTGCTTTTCAGCGTCATGGTCGACGACCTCGAGACAAAGGCCGACCGTCTAAGAGAGAAGGTCGTGGTGTATCTCTATTGCAAGTACAAAGACAGCTCAAGAGACAACTTCCTGGCCTTGCTGAGGTCTCTCATCAACGGCCTCCTCGCAGGCAACGAGTTTTGCCTGGACTATCTCTATGATGTCGCAGTTCAAAGTGGGGAGCCTCAAGCAACCACTATACAGCCCTTGAAGCAGGCTGTCCATGACCTGTTACGATGTCATGAGCAAGCTTTCATCGGCATTGATGGACTTGACGAATGTGAGCCGTCAGAACGTGCCTTGCTCATCTCCTTCATCCGAGATCTTCGGTCTTCTACGCAGGATGAGCTACCTGTGCACCTTTTCGTGGCGAGCAGAGCAGAACACGACTTGGAGAAAGCCTTTGGCTCGGCCTGCAGGCTTAATCTCACTCAGGAGAATGTCTCCGCGGATATCCAAAGCTACACAATGGCGAGAGCACGCGCATTGAGCCGGAGCCGGAGCCGGTTTCTAATGGGTGAGGGCGAGGAGCGTGAGTTGGCGAGTGACGTTGCAAAGCGAGCAGACGGTGCGTCGGTCCCTCAGGAGCCTGGCTAAATTCCGCGGGACTGATTTCGCACAGGAATGTTTCTCCTTGCCAAACTGACGTTTGCTATGTTCGACCAATGCTTGAACAGGGAGCAATTCGACGAAGAACGAGCTGGTGACAGACTGCCCAAGGGCATTGACGAAGCGTAAGTCTTGACATCTATCCCCTTTCTAGGAATCAAACTGATGGCCGGGATAGTTACAGCAGACTGCTATCTCGGATCCGGGACAGGGATGATGCTGCCAGGAGGCCCGGTGCCAGGCCACTTCTCGAGATTCTGACATTCGCACGTCGAACATTATACAGGCATGAAATCCAAGCAGCATTGTCCATCAGCACGCAAAAGAGAGACATCGACATTGAGCGACGGAGATATACACAGGAGTTCAAAGAGATCTGTGGATCCCTGGTCGAAGTGAACTCTGACGAGTCGGTGGTTCTTGTGCATGCCACTGCCAAACAGTGGGTTCTGATGGCCAGTCGTACTCCAGGTCCCCTTGCAAGCTGACGTCCTCAACAGGTTTTTGGCCAGGGAACCGCATGATTTATTCAACCCTGCTGGAGCGGAAGCAAGGCTCGCACACACTTTTGCCGTCTACCTATGCATGGACTTCTTCAACACCAGTTCCAACGAACAGAGTTTGAAAGATGCAGCAATGAAAGGGTGCTTTGCATTGCATCGATATGCCCTCTGCCATTGGCTGTCACACGTGGAATACTGCTTCAGCCTTAGGAGCCCCAGCCGGTATCCCGAGGGGGGGTTGCAAGCTCTGCATAACGACATTGAAACAGCGCTAGCCGTCGCCTTCAACCATTCAGGCAATCAGGACGGATTCGATCAGACAATGAACTCAACCGAGGCCCGCTGGAGCTATTTGGAAGCAATAACTTCACCTTTCAGAGATCTGCGGAGCAACGTTGACCCCTTGGAGGATACCAGTGAGTTGATAGGTACAGTAGGTGTATCCAATTTCTGGCTAATCATTATGTGAAGGTCCATTCTCCCAAGCCTTTCAGCACTTGAGGCGCGTGGAGACCATCGTCGAGGATTTGATAGCAAACTCGGATGTGACAAACACCAAGGAGTTGTTGCGAACTCAATATGGCAGTCGCCCGTACTACTGTTCTTCCCCGGGCTGCAGGAAATTCTACGAAGGCTTCTCGTCTCGAACCAAAAGAAACACCCACGTCAAAATCCATGAAAGACCTTACAAGTGCGAGTATATTGATTGTGACTTCGCTAAGACGGGATTTGCTTCCCAAGCCGGCTTGAAACACCACATCGATTTTTTCCATAAACCCAGCGACATCGACAACTTGGTGGAGATATTTGCACAACTGGAGCCTCGATCTTTCTTGGATCTTCTTACTGAAGCAGCGGACAAGGACGACGCAGACAAGGTGGAAGCCCTTTGTGCCGAGGCTGAGCACCCTCTACTCCCTCTGGCTTATTCTGCGGGTCTTCTACGCCGAGCATTCCGGCGTAACTCTCTGGAGTCGGCAGGTGTATTGATCAAATATTTGGGTAGTCAGGAAGTACTTCTGAAGGCAGACGCTCTCATGTCAGCAGTGAAAAAGGGCGATGTAAAGCTCCTACGACAAATATTGGACATTACGGGAAGGGATTGTTACCAGTCGAGGAGTGGACTGTTGACAGCTGCTCTGATTGTTGCTGTAAAATCCGGTAACGTCGATTCCCTACCGGCGCTGCTAGATTGTTTCGAGTCAGTTACAGATATTTACTACTGTTATCGCCCACTGCAAGCAGCAGTAACGACAGGAAGATTGGACGCCTGCTCACTTCTTGTAGAGCATGCAGAAAAAAGAGGCAATCTCAAAGTCGTCAAAAATACCTGTATGATGGCCGCGGGCAAGGGTCGAAGGGATATTGTGCGGCTACTTCTACCACAGCTACTGGCAAAGGGTCACTTCACCCAGAAGAGGTATCTGCCTGTGCAATCAGCTGCGAACGAGGACGACGCAACATCTGCCTTCCTAGCCATCGTCAACACGAGGAACGGCGGCAAAGGATTCCGAGGCAACCTACAGGAAGCTGCATCTCGAGGAAATCTTCAAGACGTCAAGACTATACTTCAATTGGGAGTTGATATCAACTATACAAGCGGTTCCCACGGCACTGCCTTGGCTGCTGCTGCTAGGAAAAACCACATCACTCTGGTCAAATTTTTGCTTGAGAATGGCGCAGATGTTGGCGTTCTTGGAGGCAATCATTATGGAAGTTCCATAGGAGCGGCAGCAGCTGGTGGGTTTCTCGAGATCATGGAGATTCTGACAGAAGCCGGCGCATCCTTGAATAACTGCTACTATTCCTACACAAACGTAAGGAAGGTTTCATGCACAGCTCTTCACGCAGCAGCCTTAGAGCCTCAGGAGGCTAGTATAAACTGGCTGCTTTCTCACGGTGCAGATATCAACGTATTGGACGGAGAAGGCCAAACTGCTTTGGTTTCATTGGTCTCAAGTTTGGATACTCGGAAGTATCGCGGTCGTCTCAAGTCCGTTCCGAAGCTGCAAAAGATGATAAAGATCACGACTATGCTCTGTGAGGCGGGACTGGACATCAACAAGCGCAGCACAAACAACGAATATGTCTTGGGAGCTCTGCTTCATAGCATTCCCAATGTGGTGCCTAACGAAAGGTCTGGAGACACGTTGCTACGGTTTGTGCAGACCATGATCGACCATGGTGCCCGTTGCGATATGAAGGGCCCACAAGGTCGATCAATACTCTTCGAGTTTGGGAGACCTTCCTTGATAAACTACAGCTTCACACGATCTCTCGCAACTGTTCTAATTGATAATGGTGCAGATATCGACATGGAAGACGATGAGGGGATCAGCGCAAGGCAACACCTGACTAGGACGAACCCTGGACTTTTAGATTCGCTCGGGATCTCTCACTGGATATCGCAAGTCACAGACAGTGTGGAGGAGGCAAGCAGCCGAGAAGTGAGGCAGTCAGCGACCGACGGCAGCTTGGGTCTGGACATACAGCCTCTACCAAACGGCCATGACACGAATTCAGACCTTCAAATCCATCCTGGTGCTGCGATAGACGAGGAAGAGTTCAGAAGCTGGGACCAAGCAGATACTGATATCCCGATCAAATGCCATCCCCCATGGGATATAGACGAGGCAGAAGATGTCGACATGTCCATGGAAGGCCAGGAGAGCCTAGGTGGCTCCTATCATGACACTCACTCCCAGGGTATTCATGGCCCAAGCCACGGATCACAACACGATCCAAGTTGGAACACGTTTTCGAATCTCGATTCGACTGCAATGCAAGATTCAGTATGGTTCAACGATGCCATGGCTTGGTCCAGCTCTACACCGGGTCCCTCTGCCCCTGACATCTACCACGACAGTCTGGATGGAAACCCTTGGGTCGATGACGACAGCTTATCCTCTCCAAATCGGCGGACTGGACCTTGGACTGGAAACAACGACCCACTAGGAGCCGATGAGCAGATGGGAGGTCATTTCGGCTAGTGGCATGAAGAAGGGCTCGAAGATCATGGCAACAATGCTAACAAGGCAACGGGACAACAGATCTGGGTATATGAGTTGTGTCGGTTTCAATACCATGGGGACTGTCTCTAAACAGTCGGCGCGAGCAGGTCAGATAGACAACGAAATCACGGGCATCTGGGCAATGGCAAATGGGCAATGGGCAAAATGCAAGAGGCAATGGGCAATGGCAAATGGGCAATGGGCAATGGGTAATGTATAGATAGGGTCTGTGAACAAGAAACCCCAAACCATCTAGACCCAACCCAACCCATCTCATGACCGAAGTCTGGGCCCCCAATGGTTGAATATCGACTGGATATCCGTACATGAATACAAGTGTGACGGGTGAAAGGGGCAAGGGGCAAGGGGCAAGGCTGGGAACGGCGGGATCCTGGCGGGGGTACTGTAACAGGTATATAAGTAGTATCAGTAAGTAGTAGGTGAGCAGTACTACATCAAACAAAACATGACTCCGCACGAGCACGTGCAAGTAGAAATCCAAAGATACGAAACGAGTTTCAAGTTCAACATGACCAATGAATAAAAGCTTGCAGCCCACAGCGACGTTCGACGAGGTTATCGAGGTCGTTCAAGAGAACGAGAAGAAACGGTTTGTTTGCCTTGAAATACGTCGGGGGAAGACAGAGCGAGACTGAGAGCGAGAACGGTGCCATGCCGGCGCCGGCGCCTGTTCAATTAGCTGCTGACGTGTGTAGTGACGGGAGTCTAGTATTGATATAATATATAAGTAGATATGTCACCGTAGCTCCCTATCCAACTTGTATATTACCTCTAAGACCCATCGCTAGATTCTGCCTACCAACAAGACTACTGTATCCCTGACACCGACACTGACACGACATGGACCGTTCACCCTTGTTCCTGTACAGTACTCCATATCACCCCAAACATGCCAGGATCGCTGCCATTAACCGGTCTTTCTTGATAACTCTTACTCTTTGACGAAAGCGGTTTCCTTGACAGCCGTGGCGGTCGGGTCGGTGGCCATGTCCTGACCGTCGAGAGCGAGATCGGCAGCCTTGATGATGTTGGTTTCCTTCATGTACCACTTAATGATGGGGAGCAGGCACAGAGGGCCGAAGGCGAGGAAGCCCCAACTGCTTCCGAACATGAATTGGTGCGAAACGCCTCGGAAATCCAGGGCGTAGGCACACACAGTGCAGGCGGATTGCCAGAACGTGAACATGGAGAAGTAGACGGATAGCTGCAAGGGTCTGATGTCAGTTACTGTATACTGGACATGGATTCCCAGGGGGCAATGCGGAAAGAGGGGAAGGGGAGGGGGAGGAGAATCAAAGACTGGCCATGGCCAGAAGATATGTCGGGGATAGAAGAACTAGAACGTACCTCTCGGCGGTCATTCGACAGGGCTCCGATGAACCACAAGCCGAAAGTGTTGTAGCAGCCGTCCATGAAACCGTACATGACGTACAAGAATGCCTTGGGCCCGTAGCCGGGAGTGTAGACGTCGAGTTTCTGGGATTCCTTCAGCCCAAACTTGGTCTCGACCATGGCGAAGTAGCCGCCGATGTTGACGCCATTGACAAGCAGCCAGACGAAAGCCAGGCCGACGTATGCTCGGTGCCGGCGGTTCAGGGGCAGCTTGTCGGTCATGATCAGCATGACCCATGCGGAGAAGATCTGGGCAATGCCAGACATCAGCGTGTTGAGCGCTCTTCCACGCACGGTGAAGACGGGCGAGTTGTAGCGGTTGTTCTGGTAGATGGAGTAGTAGTTGATGGCCCATGCGTACGGCCACATCCACATGATATATTTGTGATCCTTCAGCACTTGCCACGAGGCCCGGAGCTGCTCCAGCCAGGTCAACTGGGCCGGGAGCGTGACTCGCGTGCCGTCCTCGCGCACCATCTTGGTCATGGGGTAGAGCAACAGGGCGACGCAGGCGCCGGTGATCATGAGGATGAAGAGGCCGATGTAGGTCCCGTCACTGACCGTGGACTTGTTGCCTACCCCAGCGTTCCAGTTCTGGCCGACGGGGATGGCAGACCCGACCACCGTGCCCACCTGAAAGACGGTCCAGAAGATGGAGACGTAGAGGCCCTTCTTGTCCTCGGTGGCATATGCCGAGATACCGGTCCGGTCAGCCGTCCATAGGAAAGCGGCCGACAGACCGTTCCAGGCACCGCCGAAATAGACAAAGCCCTCATTCCCCGTGCGGTTGTAGCACCAAAGACTGGACGCGTAGGCGGCGTACCCGACGGCGCCGAAGCACAGAGTGGCGCGCATTCCGAAGTAGTTCAGGCAAGCCGGTGAGACGAAGCAGAAGACGGTGAAGACGGTGTAGAGGGTGATGTTGGCGCCGTCGGCTAGAGTGGCAGTCTGCTGTCCCGCGCCGCCCATGGCGGTAATCACATGGTACATTCCCACGGTCAGGAAGATGACGAAGCCCAGCATGGCGGTCTGAACCCGAGGATGGCGGTAGGGATACAGGTTCAGGCCGAAGACATGGTAGGGTTTGGGCACCTGGGAGAGTGGTTGTTAGTCTTCAGTCTTGGTCGGCCTGGTCGCCAGCGGACACATGAGGCCATCATACCTCGACAGAGCCCTGGACCTGCAACGCAGCTTCGTCGGAGGTGGTATGCAGGCCTTGTCCGGCCTCGAGGGCGTTATGGGTATACACCACCTCGGCATTTTTGCCGACGTTGACAGCCTTGAAAGGGTTCTTCATCGTGGCCGTGTGGACTTCAGGTTCCAGGCAGGACGGGCGACGAAAAAGATGGTTGAAGTCTAGCTCGACTCGATGCACCGGATTCGGGGTCGGGGGCCGGCGTCGTCGCCAGAAGCTTTATAGCTTGCAGAGGGAGGACAGGCTCATCTTGCAGGGAAGTCTTATCTCGAGGAGAGATGAGATAGATGAGAAGTCAGATGGTCTCGGTGGACCGCGATGCCTAGACCTGGCATGGCGAAGGGTCTGTATCTAGTAAGTCCTATCAGGTATCTTGGAAGATACGGTAGTGTAACGTGGCGTGGCATGGAAGCTGGAGTCCATCAGTGCTGCTCTCGTGTCTGCGGCATTGGGCCAAGGCCATGAAAATCCTCCCCAAGGCTGTAGCCCATCAAGATTGGAACCCTAAACGCTAGTGCCTCCCAGCGGTTCGGGCGGGCATTTAGGTGCTGGTACTGGTATCGTACCGCCTAAGTATGGTACCAGTACTGCGTATAGCAGACATCGTCCTTGGTTTTTTATCGCCAGCTCCATAGCCTGGCTCCCTGCTATAGGCTCCTTAGGCTTTGAAATTAGGCGAAGGAGGCCCCTACGCCTTATCGCTGGCCGGGATTATATTATTCCGCCGTACTGTACTAGTAAATGCCCAATTACAGTACGGAGTACGGAGTCCCTTGTGCCACCACCCACTCTGCCACTCTGTACTCCGTACTCTGTAGGTAGTGTAGAGCATGATGGTCCTATCCTATCCTGAACTCCGTATTATTGTGGATGGATCCTAGCTACTCTTCTCTCTATACTTGATGCTACCAACTTGGCTAGTTCAGGGCCTGTCCCCGATCCCGAATCCACTGCGCCATGGCCACTACTACTGTCAACTTCACTCTTTTCTGTGACGATCTTTTAAAACCACGGCCGTCGGTTACTTCCCTTGTGCCATCGTCACATCTGTTGCCAGTACTATCGTAACAATCCGACGCCATGAGACCGTGGCAAGACATCGCCGCCGAGGAGCAGGCTCGAGTCCTTTCGGAATTGCCCAAGGAATGGCTCCTTACAAGTCCGCCGGCTGACAATGTCGCGAATGTCATGCAGGTCCCGTATACGTGCGGACTGCTGAGCGATCAAGAGTTGGAATGGACCGACAAGGACGCGACGGAACTGCTGGGCTTGCTGGCCAGCGGGGAAGTCAAGAGTTACGATCTCACCTTGGCCTTTTGCAAGAGGGCAGCGATTGCACAGCAGCTGGTAGGTTTGGAAACATTGTTCCCTGGATTCCGTCTCCCAGGGATATTTGATGTTTGTTCTGACAATGTTACTACAGTTGAACTGCATGACGGAAATGTGGTTCGAAGAGGCGCTCCAGCGGGCTCGGGAACTCGACAACATTCTCGCAAAGACGGGCAAGACGGTCGGCCCATTCCACGGCCTCCCCTTCTCCATCAAATGCACGTTTGCCATCAAAGGCAAGAGATCGTCGAGTTGTTACGTCGGCTGGGCGAAGAACGTGGCCGATCAGGACGCGCCGATAGTCAAGGTCATTCGCGATGCCGGTGCTGTTCTGTTCTGCAAGACGACCAACCCTCAGACAGTGATGCATCTCGAGACGGTTTCAAATTGTCAGTCTCAAGAGCGACGCACCTACCCCTACCCTCTTCCAACTTCGATGGTCTCTTCGGAATCATGCTAACTTGACGGACGTGCAGTATTCGGCCGAACATTGAACCCGTACAATCGCCAGCTCACTCCCGGTGGATCGTCCGGCGGCGAGGCTGCGCTCGTCGCAATTGGCGGGTCGCCAATTGGTCTGGCCGCCGACGGAGGAGGTAGCATTCGTTCACCAGCCGCCAACAACGGCCTGTTTGGGATGAAGTGCACACCGGAGCGGATCCCCATCTTCAGGGGCACCCTCAGCCAGCGCGGGTGTAAGTCATACCCGATCGTGGCTGGACCAGTGACTCGAACTGTGCGCGACTCGGAGCTTTTCATGAAAGCTGTGCTGGACGCTGAGACATGGCGCATCGAACCTTCACTCGTGCCCTTGCCCTGGCGGTCGATCCCGATGCCGGAAAAGATCAAGATCGGCGTGTATACGGATGATCTCGTGTGCAAGCCGCACCCGCCGATCACGTATGCTTTGAATCTGTTGAAGGAGAAAATCAGGGCGCATCCGGCGTTTGAACTGATCGAGTGGACGCCGTACAAGCACGGGCAAGGCTACGACATCATCCGACAGCTGTTCTGGGAGGACGGCGGAGTCGAGACCAAGGCCATCATGGAAGATGCTGGGGAGCCCATTCTTCCGCTGACCCAATGGGTGATGAAGGCACCGCACATCAAGGCGCGCACGCTCAAGGAGAGCTGGGAGCTCAACTACCAACGCGACGTGTTCCAGAAGGAGTACCTCCAGCACTGGCAGTCAGCCGCGGTGGTGCCGGATTTCCTGGTCGGCCCAGTCGGTCCGTCGGCCGCGCCCCGGCACGAGACTGCGCGGTATTGGGGCTATACGGCCGTGTTCAACCTCCTCGACTACCCAGCCTGTTCGTTCCCCACGGGACTCTTTTGTTTCGCGGCGTCGCATCCCGCCGATCTCGAGTACCAGCCAAGGGACAACGAGTTCGACGCCTACAACTGGAACAACTACGACGCGAAGATCTTCGAGGGCGCCCCCATTAGTCTGCAGGTGGCGGGGCGGAAGTGGGATTGTGAGAGGACGTTGAGAGCGGCGGGGTTGATGACCGAGTTGTTTGGAGTGGACAGGACCCCGTCAGCGCGGAAATAAATAAATAAATAATTGAATGAATGAACCGACGGTCAACAAACATGAACAGAATATCATTGTCGAGTGACTAAGTAGACGCCTCTCCTATGTTCTGAAATAACCAACGTAACGTGAGTATATTCATACCTAGATGGACCTACATAGTACAAACTACCTACCTACTCCTGCACAACAACGACATGGCAGGGAATGGCAGACATAGTTGGTACATACTACTCAGGGCCTAGCCGTGGACATACAGAGAAGTTAAGTGTCTACCTGCATTTGCGGCCAACACCCTTAACCCTAACCCTAAATCTATATGCCTCGAGTCACCGTACCCATCAATCACATCACATCAGCAGACATCAGATTCACCACCCAACCTGAATACCCAGGATATACTGTACGGGTTCTACACTGGACCCCTCAGCCTTGGCCTTAACCCCTGCGCCCCGCCCACTGCATGGCAGGTGATGGAGGCTCGCGAGACCAGCGTTGTTCAGGCGGATATAAGTTTAAGTAAAGTATACAAAATGCAGTACTGTATCCATACAGAGAGACCTAGGTACTTAAGGTAGGTACCTACCTACCTAGTTTACAATATTCCTCAGCCTTTTAGTAGGTTAGGGTAGATATCTATCGGCGCCACGTGCGCGTAATTACTAATTGCCGCTTTTGTCTTATCTTATCGGTCGTCGCCGGAAGTGGTAATTCGGCTGCTGCCATCATGATGGAGCCGGCAAGATTACGGGGACTTGGTACTCGTACTGTACCGTACCGTAGACACGGCACCATACTCAGGTACCTTAGGTAATACTGCACCTAGGGTGTGGTTAGGTACCTCTGAGGTCCATACGGATATATGTTCTATGTTATCTGTACGGATACTCCGTACTGTAAGCTTGGCTCGTGTCCTGTCCATTGGGCTTGGGTCTTATCAGTGAGTGACTAAGGTGTGGTCCCGCCACCGCCAGCCTTGTCGGTCAGTGCCACAGTGCCATGTGAATTGCAGTGGCCACACTACAAGTAGGTAGGTACCTAAGGTAGGTGGCCGAGCAAGGGCAAGCTGGAATGATCCGATCCAATCCAATCCAATCCATGGATGCAATTGGAATTCCCGTACTAAGTACCGAGTATGTAATTGTAATTGTAATTGTAATTGTCATTGATCGTACGACGGTATATGCCATGTGTTAGAGGTGATCTGGTACCCGGTACCTAGCACCACCCACCTAGCACCACCCACCTTAAGTATAATAGTCTCTAGTCCCATCGCTCCACATCACATCCACATCCACATCCACATCCCAGCGGCTCGGGCGGCCGTTGATACTGGACTGCGACGCACTACCCCTACTCACTGTATGCCATGTGGTAGGAGTGGTAACAGTCACAGTAACTCTACCTAGTACTCGTAGTAGCTGAACCCTCCAGGCAGACATTACTGTACAATCAGACACGACACAGGGCGCAAGCTGAATGAGGTGATGGATGATCAGGGACCCGAACTGTGCAGACTCCAGAACCGCTAATTCCCTTCCCTTCCCCTCAGACCCCAAAATCCAGATATAGATCCCGTGCAGGCTGCTGTCCCTTTCCATGCATTGTATGTAGTACCTTGACTACCCTACCTCGTTGGCGGCTTCCCAGGTTAGGTCGTTCTCATCATTGGAGCAGTGCATTCCATTCCATCCCATCGATTCATTCGTTTCCTTTCCTTTCCTTCCCTCCATTCGCAGCCATGTCTCTGGATCCTTTCTTCCAAGATTCTCACATCTTTCACCGCTCCTTCAGTCACAAGCCACTCCATGTGGTCGCGGCCGATGGGCTCACCCTGACTCTCGACGATGGCCGCAAGATTCTTGATGTCACGGGCGGTCCGGCCGTCGCATGTCTAGGACACAATCAACCCGAGGTCGCCAAGGCCGTGCTCGACCAGCTGTCCAAAGTCGGCTATCTGTTCTCCGGCGGCGGCTACAGCGAGAGCGCGACCGAAGAGCTGGCATCCTTGCTCCTGAAAGACACCCCTGGCGGCCTCAGCAAGGCCATCTTTCTCAACAGCGGTAGCGAGGCCACAGACGCCACCATCAAATTGGTCGTGCAGTACTGGAACACCCGCGGCCAGCCACAGCGCCGAAACTTCATCGCGAGAAAACAGTCGTATCACGGCAACACGCTGGGAGGCCTATCCATGTCCGGCCATCAGAGTAGGCGGGCAATGTACGCCGATTTCATGACCGACAGGGTGTCGTTCGTCGATCCGTGCTACGCCTACCGCTGCAAGCTGGACAACGAGACCGATGAGATGTACGTGCAACGACTGAAACAGCAACTCGACGATGAATTCCAGGCTCTGAGTCCCGATACTGTTGCGGCATTCTTCGCCGAGACAATTGCAGGAAGCACCTTGGCGTGTGTCCCCGCAGAGAAGGGCTATTTCCAGGCCGTTCGGGAGGTGTGTGACAAATACGGAGCACTCCTGGTGCTGGACGAGGTATGTTGATGTTCCCATTCCCACACCTTCCTCAACCTGCATGCTGGGCCTGGATCTGACTTCAATTCCCTCGTAGGTCATGTGCGGGATGGGCAGAAGCGGTACCATGCATGCGTGGCAACAGGAAGGTATCCGAGGTCCCGACATCCAGACCATCGGCAAATCGCTCGGTGGTGGGTTTATCCCGCTATCGGCGGTGCTGGTTCATCAACAGATTTTCGACTCCATTGCCAATGGCTCTGGCGCATTGGCTGGAGGGCATACATTTCAGGTGAGGCTCAGCCGCTTGATTCGCTTCCTGCACAATCGTCCCATTAACTTCCTTGCTGCATGCGAATATACTGACTGTGCTTGTCATTCCTACCCCAGGCTCACCCCGTATCGTGTGCTGCAGCGCTGCAAGTCCAGAAAATCATTCGCCGCGATAACCTTCTTGAAAACGTGCGGCGCATGGGCGTTGTCCTAGAGAACCTCCTAAAAACCGAGATCGCGCCGCTCCCTCTTGTTGGCAACGTACGAGGACGGGGGCTCTTCTGGGCCGTGGAGTTCATGCTCGACAAGTCAACCAGGACACCCTTTCCGCTCGGCGACGATGTTTCAACTCGCATCAAGGATGCGGCGTTGGAAGAGGGCGTGAACGTGCTTTCGAATATGGGATTTGCAGGCATGCATAAGATCGACACCGCCGCAATAACGCCACCATTCACCGTGACCGAGGGAGAGCTTGTCGAAGCCGTGCAAAGATTGAAGAGAGCGATCGTGCGGGTGAGCAAGCCATATCTGGCGGCGCGGGAGACTGTTTGCAATGGAGAAAAGGCCCTGGGGGTGGTGGAGACCGTGGTGCCGGTCAACGAGGTATCGGTGTGAGGCAGCCTGAATGAATCTGGCCAGAGAATGTGAATGTCGAAATGTCTAGCCGTGTCGTAAACAAGTTGGAGTTCGATCACCTGCGCGAGATGAAGAGTATTGACTTGCACCGAATCAGAATCAGGTGCGGCTGCACCTCCCTGCTCTGGCTTTGGGACCCGGCAGCGGCGGTGTTCAACCTAGGTGATCGAAAGCATCCATCTGCGCCTCGCAAGCACGTCTTTCCAGTCGATTTTACGCCCCCCGGGGCTCGAAACGCCTGTTGCTCGCAAATGCCATACCTCCTCCAAAACTTTCAGCACAACTTCCATGTTGTGGAAATGTCGCTCGTTAATGATGTCTAGCATCCGGTGTCGAATCACCTGTACGTGACCAGGGTCTTCCGCTTCGCCTCCGGCCATGAACATGGGGAATAACAGTGAACTCTCGGCCAGGCATCGTGCTGGCATTGATTGGACCCGCTGCACAATGTCAACAACCTGGCGTTCGATTTTCTTGACCACCACATGGGTGTATTCCGGTCGGTGTTGGCGGAGTGTGCGGTAGATATAAATGAGAGCGGCACTGCGATACATTTCTGCAAGATTGACCAGCTGTTCATTGTCCGACAGGCCGCAAGTCCAAGATATCAGAGCCTGCTCGATCCGGAATGCGGAGGCGGAGAAGGAGCCATCAAGACCTTCCTCAGCAGCGGCAGGGTTCGCCATATCGACGTCCAGAATACTGATCTCGGATATCAAGAACATGATCCGCGACGCCAGACCAAAATAAGTGTCGGCACCGACATTCCCCATGTCGGCCCAGTATTCGCCGGAAACAAGTAAAGGCTTCCGACCCTCGGCCACCGCCATCATAATGTCATGATAGGCAAAGCTCCGCAGCAGCCAGCGGCCCTCGAAAGTGGTGGAGAAGCGCCTCAAGTCAAGGTCGGCAGTGGCCCCAGTGGCTGCCATAGATCGAATCATTTCATACGCACCTACGTGATGCCGAAACCATTGTTCAGTGTCGCCTGAGATGCTTTCTAGGGAGCAGTGAATCAGACATGAAGCCAGCTCCATCTCAGGATCTCGGTTAGATGAGCCTAGTGAGGTCATGAGCGAGTTCAAGGCCGTAGAGCGGTGCGCTATGGCTGCCGTCTCATAGGACTTGTCCTGCAAGGACAGGTGGGTTGACGACCAAGCTGTAATGGCGTCCAGTAACAACGGGGATTCCATAGCCATGGGTAGATACACTGGTCCATGACGCCTCAGTAATATGCGCTGCGAGGATTCATTGAGGGTGTGGCACACTTACCAGACAAAAAGCAGTTGTTCTCCGAGGTCGTTGTCAGCAGGGTGGTGAATGACTGTGTATAATACCGTAGCATCACTCTCCGACTGGGCGTGTCTCGCCCAGATCCATTCTCCAGCCAGAGAGACGACAGGTTCGGAGCCGGTGGGATCAGAAGGCACGTACAAGATGCCGGCCCTGTTGGAGGTTGCGCGGATACTTCAGATTTCTTCTTCGGCCTACCAACACGAGGCGGAGGATGGCGTGGGTCTTCGCGCTGACAAGTGAAATTCAAGCGGTTGCATTGGTGACAGACAGGATAGGCGCCATCACATTTCTTCTTCCTGGATTGGGGCAAGACTCAGCGAGTGGTTACAGGATCCTGGTAAGGGGCCAAGGGACCAACCTCTGGCGACATGTTAGACAGCCATTCCGCTGCCTCGCTCTTTTAGCCTGTGTCTCTGTCGTATTCTCGGGTGTGTTGGGGCCCATGGCGTCGCTGTACGAATCCCATCTCTATCTGGACAGACTGGGAGGATGAAGAAGATGGCAAGTCGTTGTCTTTATCTTTGACCGGATGGATACTATCTACGGGTGTGGCACGTGACTTTTCTTATCGATAGTTGTAATCATGTGACTAGCATTGACGCCGAGTGGGAATCTTGGCTAGGGCGGCGTCACTCGTTTCGTTTTCTGTGGGTGCGTCAGATACGATGAGATGAGCTGAAGTCGATGAACTACCACAACCATTCAACCCGCCCAACTTGGCTGCGGCAATGTCCTTCCGCAAGCGTAACGTAGGCCTTACTGGCTCTGCGGGAGCGGATGGGACAGCCCAGACTCCCCCGGCCCCCCAGACACCCCCAAAGGAACGGGTCCCGCTGCCGGGAGTACGGCCATCGCCTCTAGACGGGCGACCAACAACGTCCACTGGTACAGCCAGCCTCGATGCCCTACTTGCCGGACACTCCGGCCTCGCCCTCGGCAGCTCCATCTTAATCGAAGAGAGCGGCACTACAGACTATGCCGGCGCGCTGCTGAGATTCTTTGCCGCAGAAGGGCTACTGCAAGGGCATCATGTCCACGTCGTTGGCCTGCCGGAACATTGGGGCCGAGAGCTTCCCGGCGCCGTTGGAGAGTCCGAACAAAAAGAGAAGCCGGCCGAGCACACGGAAAAGATGAAGATTGCGTGGAGATATGAGAGTCTAGGCCAATTCGGCGCAGGCACGAACACAAGAGGTGGGCAATGCCATCCTTATAGCATAGCTAGACCCTTAATGCTACTTGATTCGAACGTTTCTCAATTCTTCCATCATCGTGTCACTGACAGGTCTGTGTTTCGCAGAACGGCAACAGACAATACCAAAGCAAACAGCCCAGAACACAGAACCGGGACAAGCCATATCAGTGCCATTCCGTCATACGTTTGATCTAACAAAGCGACTTGTCCATCCAGCTTCCTCCAAGTTGGATTTTGTCCAGCTGGGGATGAATCCCTCACAATCACCATACATCCCGGTGCTTGAGCATCTCCAAACCTCTCTAACAAGGTCGACGACCGATACAATCCACCGTATCATCATTCCGTCCATCCTGTCGCCAGCTCTCTATCCGCCACAGTCCAGTCAACCACAGTATATTCTGCATTTCTTGCATGGCATACGCTCTCTTTTGGCCGCATACCCTGACCGGATGATAGCAATCATATCACTTCCATTGTCTCTATACCCTCGGTCGTCTGGGCTTGTCAGGTGGGTAGAGCTGCTTAACGATGGCGTTCTTGAGCTGTCTCCCTTCCCGCACTCAGCAGATGGAGATACCCAGGTCTCTCGTGGCCCTGCCGGGACAACGGAAGAGCCTCCTCAAGGTCTCCTCCAAGTTCACCGATTGCCAATATTGCATGACCGTGGGAGCGGCACCGGCATATCGGAAACCGACTGGACCTTCACCCTGAGCAGAAGGAAGTTCACCATCCGGCCGTTCAACCTCCCGCCGATTGAGGGTGATACAGAAGCTCAGCAAGCATCAGCGGACCTCAAAGGGAAGAAATCCGACATGGAATTCTGAGTCTGAGCCGTTCCATCATATCCATTCAGATTTCACCGTCTTCGGGATATCGGGTTTGTTGGTTAAGCATCGTCTCCATCTCAATGTGTTCCGAAGACGAGGGACCAGGAGTAGTCATTGTGCGGAAGTAAGTATGATCGTAAGATCCATGGCGAGGATCAGCACTGAACCCCGACACCCTGGCTCGAAAGCTTGTGCCTAGGCACGATGAAAGGGCTAGAAAGACTGGTAGACTCATCAGAAACAGTGAGGCCGTTGTAGGGCGGGCTCGTACCTAGAAAGCAGAGGAAGGGCACGAACACCAGCAATGACAACAGCCACAACACGCCCATCTGTGGATAAGGATGGTGGAAAGCTGAAGGCTGGAAGGCAAATATCCGAGCTGAGCCGGGCGAATCTGATTGTTCAGTATATGTAAGGATCAGAAACCACACTGCGAATGGTGATGGTTAGACGTCGGCTGGTTGTTGGTTGTGACTGATGGACGACATGTATGGCCTTGTGCTCCCCCGTACGGAGTACTGCATGTGCTGCCCGTGTGCGTTGCCGTATTGCCAAGCATCAAACATGAACTTTTCTAGACCTCCATGCACTAACGAGCACTTCGACTTCAACTTCAACCTTCTGCCATCATCCTCTCTGCTGGCATGCCTCAGACCATGTAGCCTCATCTTTTTGCTTGAGGGCGTGCCTTTCAAGCCTCTTGGTCTCTCCTTTCCCAGTCGGGAAATCCTGGTTGGATTTACTCCCGTCTGCTCCCAGGCTTCAGTTCTACCTGACAAGGAAACAGTAGCCTGGCCAGTGGCCTCAGCCCGGAGCTTTATCAGCAAGAGCAAGCATCTACAAGGTGAGTCCTGCCCCGGTCGTTTGTTTCCGAAATTGCATGATTAAACCACTTTTATAATCTGTCAATCCACTGAACACTCTTCGGAGCACATGATTGAAACAATCAAATCGTTGTTGAAATATGATCGCATTTCTCTCCCTTGCCAACTTTTCCCGCCGCAATAGAAGGCAATGCTGACGCAGCTTCCCTTCTTGACTAGGTTGAGATTGAGCGATCTTTATCTTTCATGATGGATGCATCTGCAGACCTCGGGTTTGACTACAAGCCCGACCTTCCAGTCCCCATTTCCTTGGTGGGCGGAAGATATCTGCTTTTCGACGTCAAGATCGCCACTTTTCTTCGACGTGAACACCGAATCTGCGGCACCACCATCGGCACTCTTCCGTTGAGCCCGTCCCAGAATCTATTCCTCGGCGTGCCGGTGGAGATCATGCCGGAAGAAGCTCAGCTTCTGGTTGAACAGGGCGTGGCATTAATTGTCGATGACCCACGAGCCCATGACGAAGCAATTCGCTCCGCCGACAAGGCCCGACGGGCAGACTACCTAGCGAGGATACAGAAGCAGTCGACGCAGGTGGAACAGCTGAGAGTAGAGGAGAAAGAAGCGTCACGGAAACGTGCCTTGGACAAGCGATCCACGAACAGCCTAGCGCAGCCCTCTGCGACGAGTTCAGACCGGCCTGCTAACGCCAACGCCAACGCCAACGCCGGGCTGTTCGACTTTGGCGAAAGTGAGGCTCCCACAGCCAGGCCAGCTGATAGCAGCGCTGGTCACGATGCGGCCCATCCTAGTGTAGAATCACCGGTGAAGGTGCTGCCTAACGCCACATCATCAAGCAACTATCACGTTACGCCTGCCACGTCTCGGCTTCTTCTGCCGACTCCTCCATCCACGCCTAAATTGGAGATAGATGACTTGCCGTCCTCCTATCCCCTATACCGGCATCTCCACAACAGAGGGTTCTTCATGACGCCCGGGCTACGGTTCGGCTGTCAGTACACTGTCTATCCAGGCGATCCTCTTCGGTTCCATTCCCACTTCCTTGCCGTGGGAACTCAATGGGACGAAGAAATCGATCTGATGGAGCTGGTCGGTGGTGGCCGACTCGGCACCGGTGTCAAGAAAGGTTTCTTGCTGGGTGGCGCCGATCCCAGCGGCGAGGTCCGGACTTTCAGCGTTGAATGGGCAGTAATGTGATTGTTAGCAGCGAATAGAGCTTTCTCACACACACCACAAGGCTACGTTCTGCTTTAGTGCTGCAATTGGCCTATGGCCTATGGCCTAGTTGTCCAGTCCGTCCTAGAATCCTATGTAGCATGTACGCCTGGTCCCACACTGGCCCGTACGGTCCATGACATCTTCCTGGCGAGGTGAGGTAGTTACGTAGATGTCCAGCCTGTCCTAAAATCCTAGGTAGTATGTACGCCGGCTCCCACACTTGCCCGTATGGTCCATGGCATCTTCCTGGCGAGGTGAGGTAGTTCCGTAGATGTCCAACCGTTGTACATGGAGGTGGCGACCAGGTGAATGTACTTCTCCTTGTCTCCCGTGGATTGGGGAGAACATAGCCTGTATCTTCTCTCGTGTCTCTCGTGGATGGGGAGAGCATAGTCTGTATCTCCTCTCTTGTCCCCCATGGATGGGTAGACAGTAGCCTGTGTCTTCTCTCTTGTCTCCCGTAGATGGAGAGATCGTAGCCTGTGTCATATCAGGCTTAAGTGTGCCGTGCCGCGCCGCATAGATCTCCTGGCCCTGAAGGGCTGGATGAGGCCGCTCGAGAGGCGAGGTCGCCAATGCCATTCGGTCAGAATCAGGAAAGCGAGCGCATGGTGGTCGGTCGTACCAAAGTCGAATTGGAATTGCTTGGCAGGAAACTGCGCGGACTTTGGTCAGGGTGCCGGAACGGGGGTCCCCATTCCACAGTTGTGTTGGGAGGATGGCAGACGGGGTCAAATTCATCGATTTCCAACGTTCGTCTTCGTCCTAACCCTAACCCTAACCCTAACCTCGCTTCGTCCTTGTCCATTCTCCTTGTCGAATGCTAGTGCTCGAAAGCGTGCGACCCTCCATCCAGGTCGAACAGTAAAGTAGTTTTCTTGGTCCTTCCATGATGCCCTGGAAGCCAGCGAGCATGACCAGTCGCTGACAGAGCCATGGAACATGGAAAATGGAACATGCAAAGTGCAGTCACTTGCGAGTCAGGATGATTTGATCATTGTCGAAATCACACATCCATAGCCTTCCACTTGAACTTCCTGCTCGCCCGGTCTGCTGGTCGAAACTCGAACTGATTGCCTTGTAGTTCAAAGACCAATCGTCGTGGCTGCGGCTGCGGCTGCGGCTGCGGCTGCGGCTCCTCACCATCATTTTGCCCCTGGGCATCTCCGCCGAGCATAGCTGGACTCTGCTCTTCGACGCTTGTAGGTGAAGGCAGAGTGACCTCGTACCGGAACACCGTGTCCTTCTTCGGTAGCGTTCTGACCTCGTTTTTCCGGGTGACCACCACAAATGTGAACATTGTATCTCGGACCACAATCCCGCGGGTGCCGACTCTGCCGGGGTCGGCACATCGCACGACTTCGACTTCGGCGCCATGGAAGTCGGCGCTCGCCAGAAAACTGCCGTGGGACTGAGGCGTGATGACCTTCGATGACGAGGCGGCGCCACGCTGCTGTTGACCCTGGCTCGGGGTCTGGGGCGGCCCGTCCTTCCGCGGACTCGTGTATCCCAGCACCTCAAGCATGTACTCGTTCCACAAGCGATGCAGACCCAGGTAGACTTCGAACTTGACTTCCTCCTTCTTCAAGACAAACACGCCGAGTTCTCGCTTCTCCCGCGCGCTGAGCGGCTTCGGCCGCCGTTTGCGAAGGTAATACTCCTTCTTGCGCAGCCGGATATGCCGGCGCAGCGCTCGCTTGTCCGAGGTAGTCGTGGAGGCTAGGAAGAGTGGTTTGTTCTTGACTTTGTCGGTGAAGATGCGCGCCGCCGTGTCGGGAGAATGGCCACGGCCGAGGAGCGAGTGGGCGGGATGCGAGATCGCGGGTGCCGCACTTGCAGTACGTGGAGTTGTAGCGCCGCCACGGGGTGAGGATGTCGAAGCCATGGCTGTGATTGCCAACGACAAGACCCACGAAGAGGAGGGGGAGAAGGACGACGAGGAGGAAGATCGGCCGAGATAAAGGCGGCGTTGATTGCCTCTACTCCAATAGCCTATGCACTTGTGGCTGTACAGCAACAAGCGCTATGAAGCCAGAGAGTCTGGAGTAATAAACAGAGAGGTCGACTCAAATTGCATAATTCCACATGAGTTTGTTGGCTGCAGTGTGTGCTGGAAGGGAGTTGAGGATAATGGCAGGAATCGGAGTGGAAAATACGGCGTACGGATAATTACGTGATGTGCGGGCCGCCCCGGCGAGGCTCGCCTGCTAGGCTTCCTACTGGCTGAACTAGCGAGCTGACTAAGCGGCCGAGGCTGAAGACAATGGCTCGAGATTGAGTTTCTATTTGCTGTACTCCGTACTCACCGCACCTCTACACTGCAAATAGTAGCCCTTGAAAGGTTGTAGTATGTATTAATTAGAGCAATGGCATATGCTCTGGATGCTAGTAACCATCCTGGCCTTGAGACAAAATATACAGATACATGTCGGCTAAAGAAACCGCTTGCCATAATTTGTCCATAGGGTATATGCTTTCCCAACTTAATAGACAAACGTCGAAACGCCCGCTAGCACCATGACAAGGGAGGCGTAGCCATACCCCTGAACGCCGTCATCATCCTTTTTGTTGTGCAAACTATGTTCTCACATATTATCAATTATAATTTCCGCTGGTCTTTTGGGTCATAAGGTGGGTATTCCCGAGTACCCATACATCTGTGTTGAGGCGTGTAAGCCATGTCCTGGAGCAGCTGCTGCTGGGGGGACATAATTCCCCTGGTATGGTGGGTTCTGCGCGGAGAAATCGGCATTCTTATACAAAGGGTTGATAATGCCGCCTGGGTATTTTGGTCGAGGAGGAGTCGAAGTGGGCGGTGCTGAAGGCGCAGAAGAGCCAGAGGGTGAATAGTATGTCGTGGCCGAGCTCAAAGCATTGTAATCAGGAGCAGCGTTATTCCAGCCCCATTTGTCCTTGAGATCATCATGAATGAATGTGACCCGCCAGCCAGTTTCCTTTTTGATTCGGTCGAAGATTTCCAAAACCTCTTCTTGTTCTCGTCTGACATTGAGGTTTTCTCCTGCGACGGCGAGACATCGGATGGAGGCTGAGGCGACGCCCCTGTCTTTGACGTGGGCCACTATTCCACAGATCTGTCTGGAATGAAACACTCTCATCTCCTGCATTTCTTCCCCCGTCTGAGGTTGGACGCTGGCTAGCGGATGGACCATACCGAGCAGTGCCATGGCTGTGTGGTAGAAAAGCCGTGCAACTATCGTCGTCCTTTTGATATACCAGACCTCTGGGAAACAGCTTTTTGACGAGGTTGAATAGGCTGGGACGTAAGCCATCGCGTGCATGGTTAGAGGGACACAGTTGTGCCAACGATCACAAAATTGTTTTAGGCCCAACCACTGTTGATGTCTCTGGTGTAAGCGTACCTGCTCTGCATGGACACTGGCATCTTGAAAACGCGATTGCGCCGTGGAGCGGAAGTTGGTGATTTTTGACAAAATCCACAACATTTTGTGAGTCCACTGGTCCTCGTTTCCGCCTACGTGCTGAGGGTTCATTGTCATGTCGAGACCCCAGGTGTCAGGGTCCCAAGCGACACCCCAGTTGAAATGGAGACAGCTGAACAACTCAAGTCCCACATTCAACCAGAAGCAGGCGGCTCCAATGCCTGTTGAAGTAGCATCCCACCGGCACTCCTTGATGAGAGCACGAGCGCCGGCAATATGGTTCATTCTTTGCAGCGCCTTTTCGGACATAACTTCGTACACGTTGAGAATGGTCGCCGTGGTGGCACAGAGCACGCTGTCCCTGTCTGGATTCTGGAGCGACTTCAACAGGAGTTGCGTTGCGCTATTGTAGTAATCTAGTGCATGCTCTTCTGGATAGGCAGAGCTGACCAGAGTAAGATGACGAACAGCGCAGGCCAGCAGCGCGTACTTCAACATGGGTTCTCGTAATGCTTGGAAGGGAATGAGACGGGAGAAATGTTTGTCAGCGTCCATCGAGTCCATCCACAGGCCCACTTCTTCAACGAAGACCTGCATGTACAATACCTCGGTGCGGTCTGCCAGAGGAGGCGCAGGATAGTGACCCTGCTCGGTCGGCACCAGCACGGAGTTCTCGTAGGAAGGCCTTGCGCCTTGTGCTGTCTCGGAGAAGGATGCCATTGCAGTTGCTGCTGTTTCGGTGTAGGGTTGACCAGTAGAGTTTTGGTACAAGGCCTCGGACGGGTCGGCGTACGAGGTGGAATAAGATTGGGGGTTAGGGAGCTGTTGATGTGACATGATCGGCGCAGCAATTTGACCATAGCTGTATTCCACCGGCGGCGCATTCAGCTTCTGTCGTTTAGGTTTCGGCTCAAGTGGAAGGTACCGTTCGAGTCCACCAAGGTACTCCGATGCAATGTCGCGCGAGTCGTCCTGGAAGGTGACTTTCCAATCATGAGTCGGGGGGAGCAGGTAGGGCGGTCTCTCGCATGAGATGTCGATGAAGTTCAAGCGTACCCCACGTTTGCATTTTCGGTTGGATCTTTTGCAATTCTGGCATGTCGGTAGTCCTTCGTCGCATTTGAGGTGTCTCTCTCGGCAAGTGAGACATCCGGTTCTCACACGCCTCGGTTTCGGGGGTGGAGCGGTACCCTCTTTAGTCGGCGCAGAGATCTCAGGTTCCGTCATCGATATAGGACTGTGTTGTGCAGTCTGCGATGTCGGAGTCGATTTTGTCGACGAGTCCTGGGTCATCCAAGGATGGTCGAGGACCGCCGCATCTGCGGCTGCGTAAGGTGGGGTGAGTAGCTTGGAGATAGGATGCGACTGGTATGTATCAAGGTCTTGCGGCGTCTGCAGGTGTTGCAACAATCGGGGACGAGGACGGTTTCGAGGGTATATGGGTGTGACAGGCGGTACCGGATTCCTGATGGACTGAGGGAGGGCCACAATGGGCAGGTGAGAGGATGGGAAATAATGCGCCAGTTTGAAGCCTTCACGAGGGCTTTACAGTCATAGGCCACTTGACCAGGGTGCCCACACCTCGAGGAAGGCGTATGAGTGGGAACACCTAGCGTAGACTGTGAAGAGGGATGTTAGGCAGGCCGCAGCAGGCTGGATTTGGGAGTATGAAGCCCGGTGTTGTCAGCACACTGTGAGCTATCAGAGCTTGTCTATCGAGCAAAAGTCAGTTTTTGCACCACAACACATCTTGAGCTCTGACGAAGTCGGTATAAAAACAAGTCTGGAACTCCCCAGTCCCAACGCAGAAGATGTGGTCAGGGCATTGCCCGTTGGTGAGGCGCCATGCAAAAGGTCAGTTGTGATAGTCCTGGTCAAAGCTCCAACAAGCTGCTAAAATGCGGCATTGTCCACATGTTGGATACACAGCTTTGTTGCACATGTACCTAGCTGGTGTAGCCAACTGCGAGAATGACGACATTTCACCACTGGCAAAGGCTTTCTCTTCTTCTTGAAACAGGACCGATCAAGGCAGGCGAGGTCTGGTATGGAAACAGTCACAACGTACCTTTGTGTGGTTCGTAATGTCAACGGTAGTGGGAAGTAACAAGGCTCGCAGAGAAAAATACTCGAGGGGACGTTCAAGTACTTAGGTTCGTCTGGTTCTGGGGGCGGCGGCGTGGGAAAGTCGAGTCGGACGGACATGGGGTATTATGAAAGAAAAGACGAGGTGGACGACAGGGGCCCAGGCGTCCAGGGGACCTTGAATTGGATGTCTGCCGAACAATGGATCGAAGAAGATGGCTTCGCTCGTCGATCCTGCATCGTTCCAGGCGTCTGGCTCGGTGAGGAATAGAGTTGTGGCTGTCAGTTGGATCAGCCTCTGGGGGTTAGAGGGTCTGGCACGAAGCAGGCACCTAGCAGGGTATGGTTAGTGTGTGACAGAATGTGAGAGTTGACCTTACAGTATGCGTACATGGGTCAAGCCAGCGCAGGAGCAGGCTAGTAATTGCCGGACACTTGGACTTGTCAACAGTTTCGGAGTCGACGAGGCGGAAGAGCAAAGTGATTGGCAGATGGCGCACATCAAGCGGCCACGGCGGTCGCCAAATCGCTGGCAGGACCCGGGAATGAAGATGCTGGCGGCGCCCCCGGACCTGACCGAAATTGTTAGTGCGCCTTAGGGTACCAGGGTAGGTAGCTAGGTAGGTACATCGTAGGTCTTGTAGCCAGGCGGATCGAGTACGGAGTAGGAGTACGGAGTGCTGTGCGCAATTGATCGAACCTAAAGAGCCTGGACGTCGTAGTCTCCGGGCATGCCGTTAGGGGGGCCAGTGGGCTAAGCTGGCTCCTTAGGCCCCGAGGAGAGTTACTTTCCTTGGTACCTAATACCTATACCTGGGTCAGGTACCTAAGCCTAAGGTAGGTACCTACCTACTCTGTACTCCGAACAGCACCATAAGTCACAGACCTCGAATACTGAGGTACTGGCTCTTACTGTCACCACAGACACAGACATCAGACATCTCTTGCCGCGGAGCTACACATCTGGTCTGTTCTGCAAAATTGCAGCTGGTGAGTACTGCGTACGGACACTGCGTGCGTATACTCAGTAGGAAATTAGGTGCCGCGGTCCCTGTCATCAGCTCCGCTGCCGGCGCATCACTCGCTTAGCCGGAGGCCTAGACTTGCACGATTTGTATTCCTCCCCTGCGCACGTCAAGTCAGTCGCCAAATCATTCCTGCATCAGGCCCTCCACTTGTTTGACGTCGTCGCCGGCTCCCGCTGAAGATCCAGCCAGTTCTATCGCTCTCCCCGGTTATCGTTGCCCTCAGCTTGCATCATGGCTCCTCTTTTCGTCGTCCCTTGCCGTGGCTGTCGCTCTTTTGGGATGCTTGCAGCTCCCTCTAGTCGTTGCTTGCTCTATCAGGACATGGACATCCCTGTCTCGCGACGAACAACGAACAAGCCGAAGGTTCTTCTTCCCTCGCATCGCTTCTCGTCTCCGGGCTTTTGGGTGGGCAGGCAGGCGAACACGCTTCCTTTTTTCCGAGTTGCCTGTGTCGGGAGTCTGGCAATCACCCTCTTCCCCTTCACTCTACCCTGTCTCTCGATAACTGCCAGTGCAGAACGCTATACAGAGTAGAGCACTCACGCATGCAACATCTCCAAATGGCTAGGGCTGTCATCTGTATGGGTATGGCTGCATGGCCTGACCCCACTGGGCAACATTTCCGACACCCTTGCCCTCGGCGTGGCCGAACTCGCAGCCTCCTTAGCCTTTTCAGCCACAAAAGGGTCTCGCCCGCTCCTTTCGCCGGCCACGTTCTTCCAGTTCGAGATCGATCTCTATCAGTGGCTTGCTACCACGTGGCATGATGCCAAATAGCGTCGCATGGTCCATCATGCGAGTGATGTGGTTCCCGCTTCCCAGACTACCGGTGCCATGCCCCGGCCGATTCTGGAAAGGAGGGCGGAGGAGGCCTCGGCCCTCGATCCACCAGCGCACATTTCACCACGTGGAAAGAGGCCCGACTAGGCTCCCATGCCTTTGCTGAGGAGCCTACGAAGTACTCCGTACTTACTGCAAGAATCCAAATCTCCTGACGCACGTGTAAAAGCCGTCAAATCTCGCTCAATTGGTGGGCACGGTCACGCGGTCAGGTGGACTCCCCCAACAACGCCAAAGACGCCGGGACGGTTCTCGGTTGATGGTTTCGAACCCATGTTCTGAAACGGTTTGACGTAGAATAGGTTTACGACATGGGATCACATCACGCCAGAGTCTAGAAAAGCGCACCGGAGTTGCAGTGCAACTTTACGAACTACTGTACAAGACGGAGGATGGATACTTTGTAGGCTGCTCAAGGGTTACCAGATACCGGAGGTACGTGCCAATGCAAGGTTTGCTGCCCCCTATACCACTATGTATCAGTAATCTAGTTATACTTTACTAGTCCTCTCCATCAAATCATTACCATAAGTACGCTATGGTGGTTAGGTACCCTAAGCATTGTACAATACTGCATTTCTGGCCAGGTAAATAAAGTTAGTTGACTTAGTGGTGGAATATCTAGGAATATAAATTGGAGGGCCGGAAATTTAGCTTGATTTCCCAACTGGGAATTTTCGATTATTCTGCCATATTCTGCCCGTTTGGCTTAGGGGTAAAGCGTCTCACTCGTATTGACGATATGAGAAGATCGGAGGTTCGAATCCTCCAACGGGCAATTTTTTGGTTCTCCTGCAGGAGTTTTCTTTTTCTTTTGGAGCCTGACCTAGTTTGCATAATAGCCTGTATAATAGCAGATTATCTTGGATTGAAGTTTGGGACCGAGTAATAATGTTTGGTGTGCGGCAGTGAAAGGTATCTGTTTCTGTGCACAGGAAGGGCTCTTGGCGTAGTGACCAGCCTGCCAGTGGCTACCTACAGACCTATATTCAAGTTCGTCTGCTGGCACTGCACTCCATCCATCTACAATCCATAGGGTTGGCTACATTTTTATTAATTAGCAGCCATAACATACTGCTATCTGGTGATGCTCGCTCCGGCCGCCTAGAGGGATCATGTATCGCAAATCCTGTCATGCTGTTCACGTCTAAGTCTACTTGAGGATGCCCGGTGCACGAGATTTTTGATGCCTCGCAAGAGTTGAAGGATATCTCGAGGCTGAGAGCGAGATCAAGAGCGAAGGCGAGCCAGAACCATGGAGCAGGGCCCAGCAGTACCTACCTACATCTTGCGTGGCCACCAGTCCGCCATCCACGCCCTTCACTTTTACCACGGCAACACCTTCCTGGCCTCCGGCGATGGCGACGGCTGGATAGTGATCTGGAGTCTGGCCACGAAACGGCCAGTGGCGGTGTGGAAGGGCCACGATGCTGGAATCATGGCGTTCCATCATTGGACGAGCGAGAGATTGGTCAGGTACGTCTACGTACGGTGGCGGCGGTCCCTCCCTACTATCTCTGAGCATGCAATTGACTTGATTTGGTCTCAACGGTTAGCCATGGAAGAGACCACAAGCTTCGAGTATGGCAAGTCCAGCCCGAACACCTCGCTGGGCTAAGTCAGACGTTGCCCGCCGACGGAGCACTTCCCGAGCAAGTACAGCCCTGGTTGTTGCACTCGCTCTCCATCAACGCCCTCAACTTCTGCGCCTTTTCACTATGCAACGAGCAGCAAACTGCCGAGTCGGAGCTTACAAGTCCAGCGTCGCCCACCCCACAGTTAATCGCGTCGCCGAATGGCCTTGACTCCAGCGGGATTGATATCTTCCAGCTGCCCTCCGAACAGAGGATTTCTCAGATTCGTGGAGAAAACGACATGTCGTCCTGTATGGTGATGGCAGTATCTTTGTTTCACAGCCATGAAGATCCCTCCAGGCTCGTGCTGGTGTCCGGGTACGAAGATGGACGGGTAATGGTTCACTCACATTGCGGCAGGCTGACGCTCGGCGAGAGTCAGTGGCAGAAAATCATGACCAGCAAGCCGCACTCGCAGCCAGTCCTTTCTATCGGCGTCCTACCATCGAGGCAACACTTTGTTAGCTCCGGGGCAGACGCTGTGTTGGCCAAGTTCGCCCTGACGTTCGTCAACATTCAGGGCGAGACACCTCCCGAGAAATCGGTGAACACGAAACATGCCGGCCAGCAGGGCTTGAGTGTACGCTCCGATGGCAAGATCTGTGCCACCGCTGGATGGGATGCTCGCATTCGGATATACTCGTGCAAGACGATGAAAGAGCTGGCCGTCCTCAAATGGCACAAAGTGGGATGTTTTGCTACAGCATTTGCCGATGTGGTTCCCGGCATGATCATGGGCAGCGTGGCTTTGGAGCCTCGGGCGACGGCATCGCCTGGCACATCCCCTGAAGTCACGTCGTCCCTGAATGCTCTCGAAGTGATAAAGCAACAGCGAGAGGAGAAGGCACGCACGACCCACTGGTTGGCAGCTGGCAGCAAAGACGGTAAAATATCTCTATGGGATATTTACTGATTGACCCCGCCTATATGGAGTACTTAGCTCTCGATCCCATCTTTCCGTGTTTATTGCCCTCATCAACCCGTACAGGTGGTATCTCCAGCCCTGCTCTTGGCGAAATGTCATCTCAACAAGCCAATTCATGGGGAGACCCCTTCCAAGGGCTGAAGGATGACATTGTCAATCAGTCTAACACTGCGCTGGTCCAACTCATCGTCGCTTTTCGGCGAATCTACCGGCCAAACGATGATGGCAGCACTCAGAATCGCCCCTCGGCTTGGGTCGATTTTCTGGGTGTCTCTAATCATCTTCATATCGTCCGGGTCGCTCAGTGCAACGTAGTCGATTTCAATTCGCGCACTTCCACCCAGCTTGCCATCTTTCCTCCGTAGCAATGCTTCCTGACCAAAGACGTCGTATGCCGCTTGCCTGATATGTTTGCCCAGTAACTCGCCCGAGTTGTACAAATCCCGAGCGGCGAATAGAGCTTTGGAAAGGACTACGGCATCCTTTCTGCGCCTTTCACCAAGGTAGACATTCCGGCTGCTCATGGCGAGTCCATCTGGCTCTCTCGTTGTGGGGACGACCCGCACTTCAGTAGGGATGTGGAAGTCCTTGACCATTCTCTTGATCACAACGCACTGCTGGATATCCTTCTGACCAAAGTAGACCCGGTCGGCTTGGATGATGTTGAACAGCTTTGTGCACACTGTGGCCACACCTCGGAAGAAGATAGGCCGAGAGGCTCCTTCCAGGTGTGAACCTAACGGCGTGATGGTGACGAAGGAACCTTCGCCCGCGATGTCCGAGGTGGGCGGCAGAGTCGGGTACATGACCTTGACGGTGGGGGCAAACACGCCGCGAATGACCGAGTCCTGGTTGGGTCCCGAGGCAGCGGTGTGTTCATCTTGGACCTGCTTCAGCTTCCTCATATCTTCCTCCCAGGTGCGGGGATAGGCACCCAGATCTTCATGCGCAGCGAACTGTGTCGGGTTGACGAAGATGGAAACAAACACGTCGCTGTTCTCCTGCAAGGCATGTCTGATCAACGACAGGTGGCCGTCGTGCAGTGCTCCCATGGTTGCAACAAACCCCACCTCCTTCCCTTCTCGCCACAGTTTCCTGCGTACCTCGCGCAGTGGAGGGACATCGCGAAAGACTGGGAACGGGGCCTGTGGACCAGTCCTGCTTGTGCTTGTGCTTGTGCTTGTGCTTGTGTTTGTGTTCCAGCGTCGGGTCGGCAGTGGTAGGATGTTCGTATTTCGCGTCGGATGTGACTGTGACGGGAAGACTGGCTGGCGCAACACTGCTCGCCCCCCTCGGCTGGGGATGGCGATGGGGATGCCGTGAGCTTTCAGCGCGGCTCTTTCCATGGCAGCGGCTCTCGCTCTCGCGGCTCGAAGAGTTGTGGAGAGGTTCGAAGTGTGGGTGCTGTTGGCAGCAGCCTCATTGTGAGCTCTGGAGCACACCGATTTTTCACGGCGCCTCAACCGAAATTGGGTTCGGGTTTGGGTTCGGGGTCGGGTTCATGATGGAAACTGCAGCGTTGTGTTGAGAAGGCTGGAGCTGCAAGACATTGAATTAATATTGCAGTAATTAATTAATGGGTGGCCCAAGCCTGGCACCGCCTAAACTTGGGGGGCTTAGGTAAGGCTCAGGCTTAGCAGACCGGGAAAGGCCACCAATCAGCGCGGTGCGGCACGGCGGTCCAGTTTCTCCGCATTCTTGGAAAAAGTTTCGTGAACATGAGTGAATCTTTCTCCCACCGCCAGCCTCAGCCTCAGCCTCAGCCTCACCCTCCCGCGTCTCACCGTGGCTTCTCGTTGACGCCCTCCTGCCCACCATGGCAGACGATGGCATGTTTCTCAACTTCGCGGTCGACACAGACGTCAATGCCAGCGCGCAGAAGTTCAAAGGTGGGTCGTGGAGAGACCGGCTCAAGGCGAAGAGGACTGCGCACCGAGTCCGCTCAGGGAGACCAGGTGATGCGAACAGTGTCCCCATACACCAACGGCGCCCGGAAACCTCCTCTACTCAGTCAAAGGCTCGGGCCGATGAGTTCCTAGACACTCGTCCAGTCAAGCGGAGGCGTGAAAACGGATATGTGCCCGGTGGCACAGAGGTCGCAGGCAATGCACAGAGACGCAGTGAGCAGAGGCCCACCGGCCCGCGGGAAGTCATCTCCTCGCTGTTCACATCCAATCCGAAGCCTTCGACCACCGTGGAGGAGCCCAGAGATGGGCAGGGAGAGGAACAACAGCCTGTGCCGTCCAATGCGCCTCTCGTCGACGGCATCGACACCTTCACCTCCCTCGGCCTCTCCCCAACCATTGCCGCCCACCTCTTGACGAAAATGAACCTTAAGAACCCTACTGCGATCCAGAAAGCAGCGGTGTCGCAGATGCTGAAGGAAGACAACGATGCTTTCATACAGTCCGAAACTGGCTCCGGAAAGACCCTAGCATATCTCCTACCCATCGTCCAAAGAATTGTTACACTGTCCGAGCAGCGCAAGATGCAACAGAATACAGTCCAAGATACATCGTTACACCGAGACTCTGGTCTGTTTGCCATCGTACTAGCGCCTACGCGCGAACTGTGCAAGCAGATATCTGTGGTTCTCGAGCGCTTGCTGGGCTGTGTACATTATGTCGTGGCCGGCACGGTTATCGGCGGCGAAAAGAAAAAGTCGGAAAAGGCCCGACTGCGCAAGGGGTTGAATATCTTGGTTGCCACTCCCGGACGGCTGGTGGATCACCTTGACAATACCAAGGTCCTCGACGTGAGCAATGTCCGCTACCTCGTACTCGACGAGGGCGACCGGTTGATGGACCTCGGATTCGAAGAAGATATCACGAAGATTGTCAAAACATTGGATGAAAGGAAGAGGAGAAGCAGCAGACCAGGGCTTCCCGAGAATCGGATGACCGTGCTCTGTTCCGCGACTTTGAAGATGAACGTTCAGAAACTGGGCGAGATAAGCCTCAAAAATGCTGTTCTGATCAGAGGCGACCCAGGAAGCGCCGATGACCAGGACACGGGCACTCACAACGATGGGACCGACTCAGCTTTCCTTGCTCCTGCTCAGTTGAAGCAAACTTACCTGGTCGTCGCATCCAAGTTGCGCTTGGTGACTCTCACGGCATTGCTGAAGCGGACATTCGCACGGAAAGGGTCCGTCATGAAAGCTATCGTCTTTGTTTCCTGCGCGGACTCGGTCGAGTTTCACTATAAAGTACTCACAAGAGCCTCGGAGGAAGAGAAAGACCAAAACAAGGAAGCGATTACTCATAATGGTGCGTTGTCAGAGTCTGATTCTTCGGAACCTGTCAAAGAGGGCAAACCGTCGTCGACTGCTGCTGCCACCGCCAACGAGTCAGACTCGATATCTCCGTCTCCGATCCTCTCCTCGGCCAAAAACCATGTCACAGTGTACAAGTTGCACGGCTCACTGCCCCAAGCCACCCGAACCAACATCGTCAAACACTTCGCTCAGACCACGACACCCTCTCTCCTGATTGCCACGGACGTGGCTTCACGTGGCCTCGACCTGCCCAATCTTGAGCTGGTGATAGAATACGATCCGGCATTTAGCTCCGACGACCACCTGCACCGCATTGGCCGGACAGCCCGTCTCGGCCGCGACGGGCGGGCCATCATATTCCTCCTCCCGGGCAAGGAAGAGGGCTATGTCGAGGTTCTGAAGAGCTCCTACAAGCGATCCTCCTCGTCCGAGAACGCCGATACAGCACGCAACGTCACCGCCTCGTCTGCAGAAGAGGTGATGAAGAAAGGCTTCTCCCCGTTGACCGGCGTCATCTCGACCAAAAACAAAACCCAGAACGAGAACCAGCACCAGAATGGTGCAGCAGACAGTCAGAGTCAGAACTGGGAGGCCCGCGCCACCGAGTTCCAGCTGGACGTCGAACGCTGGGTGTTGGCGAGCCCCGCCACCAAGGAGCTAGCGAAGCGTGCATTCCAGAGCCATGTGCGTGCGTACGCAACCCACGTCGCTGCGGAGAGGAAGTGGTTCGACATCAAGGACCTGCATCTAGGCCACTTGGCCAAAAGCTTCGGTCTGCGAGATCCACCGGGTCGCGTTAATGTCGTGGGCCAGGGCCGTGGCCGTAAAGGCCCAGCAGGGCAGGCCGACAAGCGCCGAAGGTCCAGCGATGCGGGTGGCAAGAGCCGTGAGGTCGAGCTGGACGGCAACGGCAACGGTAATGGCGATGTCGACGAGGCGGCGCGGAAGATGCGGGAGAAGATCCGCAAGAATAACAAGATGATGATGGGCGGTGGAGCGGATGAGTTCAATATCGCTTGATTAGTTTGATCTCTCCTCTCCCCTCTCCCTTTTCAGTGTTCCATGGACTGGACAACTGGAGGAGTAGAGTGTTGTATAGACTGGACACCCAGAGCGATAGTGTTCCATGGATTGGACAACCGGAGCGGTTGAGTATTCCGTGAACTGGACGACCAGAGCGATAGAGTGATCCATGGAATGGACAACCGAAGCGGTAGAGTGTTCTATAGACTGGACACCCGGAGCGGCAGTGTTTCATGAACTAGATAACCAGAGCGGTACACTGTTCCATGGATTGGACACCCGGAGCGGCAGTGTCTCATGGACTGGACAACCGGAGCGAGAGTGTTCTATAGACTAGACAACCAGAGCGGTAGAGTATTCCATCCGTGAGATCAAGGATTGCTTGACAACTGCCAACTGCTCGAGGATCGACTCGGGTGGACTTTAGGACGGACCTTTGACTTATGGACTGGACAACCAGAGCGGAAGAGTGTTCCATGAACTGGACAAGCGAACAGCCACAGCCTCTAAATCCCCATATCACATACAATATCGGCGGCAATGGACACGGCGCATCGAACAGATCCGGTAATTAGGGTATAGTATGTAGCTATTGATACTACATAGCTACCTAGGTAGCTGGATGGCAAACACGCCTTAGGACGCGGAGAAAACCCTGCCGACGATGTATGTGGCCTGATGGATGGATGTATATAGCTTCTGATAATTATTCCAAGGCCTATATTGTCTCTCTTGTCTCTCTTGTCCTGATTTGCGATATTCTACATCTCGCACCACTCAAGCCTCGATGATATGCACTTGGTTGATAGCAAGTGACAACAAGGTCACGGAGGGTTTGCTCATCACCCACCATGCTATGCTCCCCTGACTGCTTTTAATGGTTTAATGGTTTAATTACTGCTACTCTTCATATGCCATGCCGTCTCTCAAACGATGCTTTTTGATGACGACGGAAGCATTCAGATATTGAGTCGGAGGAGGCTGCGGGCAGGATCTAAATCTTGTATACGCCACTCTTACTCCTGATCCCGTCAAACACACACGTCCCATCGACAGGAACATACTGCCTCGTCAGCAGCTTGATCGCCTCCTGCGCCACCATCCCGCCAATCACGCTAGAGATATTGTGCAACTCGCCCCCCGACACTCGCTCGACTTCCGCAGTAGCTTTGGTCAGGGTTTCTAGCAACTCGGGATCAGACGTCAGGGCCGTCACATCAAGAGGGCTGGATGGGTTGGCCCTTGCATTGAGCCCAACAAAGACCGGGAGGAGAGCTTCCCAGTCATTTTCGAGGAGAGAGGCTATCCGAGAAATGGTTTTGTGATCGCCACTACCGAGCCTCAAGGATGGAAAGGGCTCGTGGGCTGGATTGGTGAGCACCCGGACGTGCGATGCATTTCTGCAGAAGGCTTCGATCTCCGACTCAGGTATCGTGGTCTCTCGTGAGAGTAATGACTCGGTGTGACGGACGGTTGTGGTTACTTCGGCCACATCGGATCGTGCTTTGGCCTTGTACAGGCTCTGCAGCTTGATGTACTCCGCACTCGTGGCTTTCATGTCTGGCAGCGATCCAGGCAGTGGGAGAACGCCATGAGTCTCGTAGAATTGCTTGATGGCATTTGCGATGACCCAGAAATTAGCCGAGTCGGAGCTCAAACTGGTACACAAATGCATGGCCATCATTTCCTTGCAGCCACTGTCTATCGGAGGTGGAGTAATTGATTTCAGGACGGCCGCGCACGCTTCGTCAAAGTTTTCCTCGCCTCCTTCAGGGTTGTCGACTCTTGCTCGCGAGCGAACAAGGTCGCGAAACTCGGTTTTCTCCTTGAAAGTCGAGGGCGAGTTCCCATTGTGATTGGCTTTCCACTCTCTCAAAAAGTAAAGCAAAATGAGAATGTAAGGGATATGGCCATGGTCATGGTCTGGCAGTGAGGAAATATCGCCCAACGAGTCCACCGCAGCATCCAACTCTGGCCATGGCGCCAAGAGGCGAAGATCTTGAGTACTTTCTGGATCGGGATGAGTATCAACTATGGGGAATGCAGAAGGAAGTTGAATTGAAAAAGATGCGTAGAAGCCGGCGGATTGGACGTAGATTGCTGGTATTGAACTCTGTAGCGCATAGAAGCATATTCGCTGAAGGATCTCGGATGGTATAGGAGCGCAAGCGATGATGAGATTGTACGGTTTTAAGGACCCCTCAACCGGAAGCCATTCAGCCAGAGGCGTTGTGATAGCGTGGCCTGTCACGTCCGGGTTCAGTTCGGATAGAAGCCGCCTGGTCTCCTCTGCTCTTGACTTGTGCAAGCTGTCCGAATCCAAGAAGAAATTAACGCCTAGGTCAGAGACTGTAACTTGTGCGGAATCGGCAATCGTAAAACTTCCAACACTAGGCAGGACCAAATTCTTCAAAGCCTCGACCCCAGCGACACTGCTGTTGGAACCTTGATACTCGTCCCCGACGATCAGGAGAACATGCGAGTCTTCGAGTGCTCGTTGACCGGACGCTGCCCACAGTCGCAACTGTCTGTCATACTTCTTCTCTTTAGCGGTCGGGGCTTGTAGAGGAGGCGGAGTGACATCTCGAGGAGCAATCTCGGTGGTCATGATTTGAGGTCCAGCAGGATGGATCTCTTAAAGAGAGGAAGGGAGGAAGGGAGGAAGAGGAGGTATCGTAGCGCCCGGTTTTGAAAGCGCTGAGGGATCTAGACATCCCCAGGAGCCCCCTGGAACCTCCTACCGATAGCTAGTTTTCAACGTTGTCAACGTTGTCGCCGTCTGGGCCTGGCCTATTTGTACACCGCAGGCCGCAGGAGGACAGCGGGCAAGCATCTTTAAACATTTGTCAGGCCGGGGAAGGTCGAGCGAGCGACGTCACCCGCGGCGCAGGCTGGTGGACTTTTGGGCTGCGGTCTCACAGTCTTTTGAGCGCAGTCTGTCCCGCTATTTTGGCCCCCAAACCGGCTCCCTGCTCCCTGCTCCCTGCTCCCTGCTCCCTGTCCTGCTCCCGGCTCGCTTGAGATTTGCTGCTGCAAAACCCTTCGCTACCCCACGGCAACGACCAGATCTAGAGCCAGGCCTTCACGCAACGAGAGTCCTCATCTACCAGACCTGCAACTACCCAAGGGGACGTTGCTCCAGCCACGGCATTGCCGGTTACTTGAGTCAGCTGTCTTCGGGTGTGTAATCCACGTCAGACGCCTCCAATATTATATGTATCTGTGGTCCACTCTTTACCTTTGCTCCCGCACATGTGAGTCGTCCCCTGGGTGCCCCAGTCATGCCACTTTTTTTTGTAGCTAACTGCGCATCGAAGTTAGACTGAGGAGAGCCATAACCAATATATCTCCGCCTGAGATTCGCAGTGCTGCATCGCCGCACACTCTGTTACCGTCTCCCAGCCTCAACAGAGCCTTCCGGACCAGTGCCGCGCTTGCCAGCAAGATGGCGGACATAGAAGCTGCAAAGCAAGCTGCGGCCATTGAGGCCGTGCGAAACCATTTCCCTGAGAACCCACGCTTCGTTGGTATCGGCTCTGGTACGACCATAGTCTACGTTGTTGAAGCGATCAAGAATTGCGGAGTGGACGTTTCAAGAGTCGGATTTGTACCAACCGGATATCAATCGAAACAGCTCATTATAAACGCTGGTCTGGTGCCGATTGAATTCGACGCACTTCCGGACGATGTCATGATCGACATCGCCTTCGACGGGGCAGACGAAGTGGATGAGGAACTGAATTGTATCAAAGGAGGAGGTGCCTGTCTATACCAGGAGAAGCTAGTGGCTATGCGTGCAAAGCAATTTATTTGTGTCGCCGGTATGTCTTGTCCAGAAGTCTAAGGAGACTTTCTAACGGTGTCACAGATCATCGAAAACTCCAACGGCGTCTGGTTACAAAGTGGCCAACCGTCCCCATAGAAGTCGAACCCAAGGCTGCCCGGCAGGTGATGCAACGACTGCGGATGCTGGGGAGTCGGAGTCCAACAGGCATAGGTCCAAGGATCAGGGAAGGCCATATGGCTAAAGCTGGTCCAATAAAGACCGACCAGGATTTCTTTATTGTCGACGCCCCGTTCCCACATCCGCTTCTGATCGCCGACGACCTTACCGAAGATATCCTGGGCGACGGCGAGGGCGGCCATTGGGAAGTGGAGCAGCTTGCCAAAGCGATCAAGGACATCAATGGCGTGCTTGCTGTTGGTCTCTTCTGCGGACCGACAGGGCCCGAGGCCCTTACCGCTGGAGTGGTTGGCGGTCAACGACCAGTTGCATGTTACTTTGGCATGGCTGATGGCACTGTGTCTTTGCGGAAAGCCCGGGAAAAGCGACACTCAATTGTTGCCAAATACCCTCCGTTAATACCGGTGCACTCGGCTGAAGTGGAGGCCGTGGTGGTTGACAACTGATAGCATCTTTTTCTTTGTCGCCTTCAAGTCGGTCATGACCAGTTCTCGCGAATAGAACCCTGTGTTTGCAGCATCATTTTGTCTTCCTCTTGACTTCGTTCTCGGCCAATTCACGGATGAAAATCCCTATCGTGCCCTCTGCAAGCTGATCACTACCATCTTCGAAACCTGGGCTGATTGCTGTTGCGAGGTATTTTCCGTTTGAGCTGAATGAAATCGCCGCAACACTGGACGCCAGCTTGGGGTAGATTCGTATCCTCCGCTTTGCGATCGCGTCCCAAATAGCCACCACTCCATCCCCACCGCCTGTCGCAAACGTTCCGTGAACTGGATGGAAGGTAACCGCATTCACCGGGTAGACGACATCGACATCATCCACGGGTTGGCGATGACATTTGAAGGCATACTTGCGTGCCTGGGACTCGTTCGAAGGGTCAAACCATTCCACAGCGACGCGGCCCTCGATGCTGGACGAAGCGTAGCCCTCGTCATTCGGCATACAATCCACTGCTCTTGTCATGAACTTCAGACTGCTTTCCCGCCGCTGCCAGGGCTCGATGTCCAGCCTGTTTTGCAACGAGTTTGCAGAGCTCTTGCACTCGCTGGCCAGCGCCTTTAGTTCGTAGATATGCAGCGCACGATTGGCCATGGCGACCACCAGTTTGGACGGCGAAACGGCGAGAGAAAAGGGTTTGAAAGGTAGGTTTATCGTCGCGGTCGACCATTCTGCCTCTCCGCCCGGGTGGATGTGCACGGTCGAGTCCCAGGCCGCCGAGACAACCAGCGAATGCTCCTTACTGTAGACGACCGATCGAACGCCGTTGTCGTGGGTGCTCAGCACCGTCTGAGTTCCCGTGGCCACGTCGATCCTACAAAGCTCAGTTTCAGTGTCAGTTTCAGCATCAACTCGACCCGGCCAGCAGCACCGAGTTCAGGACCCGGAACGGAGTTGGAGTTGGAGTTGGAAGCGCACCTGCGGACATCCCAGTCTAAGCACGCCGTGTAGATCTCATTGTCGTCTTTGCCAAAGCATATATCTAGAACAGGAGCCCGATGTTCAAACTTGGCCAGCTGCGTGCACACCTTGCCATCGGCCAGCTCGTATAGATACACGTTCTTGTCCCACGAAGCGACGACGAAGCGAAGAGAGTCCGGGTGAGGTGAAAACCTCAGCGCAGATATTGCGTCGGATGGGACATCGGACACTGAGAATTGGCCTGTCATCGTTGTTAGTCGAAACTCAAGACCGTCCCTTGCTAAGTAAACATACTAGACATATTGAGAGAACCTTGCAATGTCAGCCGGTGCCGGACTCGATCGGTTGCGCATGAATAACAACCGAGCGTGGAGTGGAGGAGGGCGCATCGGCACATAAACAGGAGGTAAAAATACTGCCGGTTTTCACCGCCTGTGGCCTTAAGGCTTGCAGCCACAGCCTTATTATAATACTCGGTCCCTCGCTCAGCCTCGTCTCCCCACCATTTCGCAAGTTTCAGGACCGTGACTGACATTGGAACATTGGCCTCACTACCTAGGACTTTACTGATACCCGCTTGAATTCCCTAACTCACCTGATGCGTGTTCATTCTAGTAGACATGGAAGGCAATATAGATCTATGCTCATCAATCATCGGGAAGGAGAGAACTCTATATTATCGCGTTATCGCGTTTAGAGACTACATGCGAGAATACAGCTGGAAGTCGGAAAATACTAACGCCCGCTTGCTAGACCACTCAAGACAAAACAGCTGGGGAAAACAATCTGCCATCGACAACGTTTTGACCCTTAGGGACATGGACAAGAATCAAATGATGTCTTGCCATTCCTCAGGTACCTCTTGTTCAGGGACCATCCGCCTCAAATCTTTTAAAACCGCCTCTGTTCCCTTCTCAATGACTGATAACCTCGGAACCCGGAATTTGTTACCACTAACTTCCAACACTCTTAATCTGCCAGGTGCTTTTGCGGTGCCCGACAGACTTCCAAGGAATCCGATCTTTGGTGGGAGACTCTCAATTTCGTTATTGCGAATGTCCAAGACCTCCAAGCCCCGTACTCCTTCCACTTCGACGCTAGTGAACCAGTTGTCTGTGGCAAGCAATGTGTGGCAACTAGGCCACCATGCACGTACCCATGGCACTCTGCCTGTCAGCCGGTGGCATGAGATATTCAACTCCCTTAGGCATGGTGCTTTCAGATAGGTTGTCAATGCATCGAGTGAGGTAAGGCCGGTGCTCACAATGTACAAAGACTTGAGATTTGGAAGGAAAAGCTCACAGCCGAGGTAGTCGGTCGGATGAAGAAGAGGGTTATGGCTGAGGTCTAAAGACTGCAATGAGTACTTCAGAGCCGGATGAGAGAGCAGTGTAGTGGGGAATTCAGAGAGTTCGTTGTTCGACAGTTTCAAGGTATGTATTGGCGCTTCTGAATCGCAAAGGTTGATTGCTTCAGGGGAGATCGCTGTGAGGGACTGTGAAGATAGGTCCAAGATACCGCCCGAAGGTTTGTAACGGTAGCTATGATTTGAAGATCCGGCGATCCTGGCAGCATCCGAGGGCTCTGTCTCAGTCGGAGTGGTGGCCAATTTCTTGTTGAGATCCATCTTTAGGTCCGTTGTGGTCATTGTGATATATTTCTTCTCGCGAAGAGGGTTCCCCGCTAAATTGAGACTTGAAAGACTCTTCATGCTTGCTACTCCGGGATTGATGAGCCGGATGTTGTTGTGTCCAAAATCAGCGCTCTTTAGAGACTCTAAACGCACAAGGGTTGGCGGTATGTCGTTCAACTGGTTCTCTGCCACTCCCAGTATTTGCAGCTCCTTGCATCTTGTCAAGTCGGGTAGCTCAGATATTCTGTTACCGTCCAAGACAAGCGACCGTAGATCGGGCAGCTCGAGTTCGGCTTCGGAAACTCCTTCGAGTTTGTTGTGAGAAGCATCGAGTCTGCGTAATCTCTGTAAGGGTGACGTGCCTTTGAAGAGTATGCCAGACAATTGATTGTTTGAGATGTTTAGTTCTGTGAGCGGCAAGGTTGAGAGCAGCTCCCAAGGGAGCATTGTGAGCTTGTTGCCGGCAACATTCAGAACCTTAAGGCTTCTCAGCTGAGACAATCCGTCCCCATTCAATCGCTCGATTTGATTGCCATGCAGATCCAGGACTTGAAGTTGCTTCAAGTGGTTACCGTTGAAACTCAGTGCTCCATCGATAAGGTTTTCGCCAATCATGAGTTCCCTCAATTGAGGAATCTGACAGGCAATATCAACGGCGTCCTTCGTGAGTCTATTGTTGCTCAGATTAAGGGTTTGCAATTTTTCCAGCCGTCTCATGCCTATAGGCAATTGATGGAGATGATTTCTGTACAAGTCAATGAGCTGAAGCCCTCCGAACATATTACTTTTCTCATCATCATCCGCCAACTCCGACGCCGTGTAATCCGGAAAAAAATGGTCCTCCAACTCGTCAATTTCATTATCCGCAGCATTCAGTTTGACCATGTCCACCATCTCAAACCAATTGATCGTGCTGTTGTCCGCATCGTAAATTTTCATAACTTCTGCCGGTATTCGCTTCAAATTCATTCCCGCGATGCTCAGTTGGCCGGTGGTTGACGCTTGCTGGATACGCTTTTGTAGCAACCCGTTGTTGTCGCTAGCGGTCGTTAGCTCAGTGTTGCTGGATGCAGGTACAAAGGCCGGACTCCCTGAAGGGTAGACAGGCGTGGTGTGGGGGGATCCAGAGTCAACGAGGGCGATTCTCCTGGCAGCCTTGGCTTTTGCGACTGCCTCTCGCAGAGCTGCCGACGACTTGGGTGAGCTGGTTGTGTGTGAGCCTTGGGCCGTTGCAACACGCTGGTCTCGCTCTGTGGCCGTAGTAGGCTTGGTTTTCTTCGAAAGTGCTGAAGGCGATGTCGAAGATGCTATTGTAGGCTCCCCTCTCGGCCGTGGCTTGAGCAGAATTGGGCGAGTATCAGTAATAGAGGGAACAAGGCTGCCACCGGATTCCTTCTTGGATGAACGATCCTGGAATATGGAGGATAGTGATGGTCTTAGTGATGGTTTCTCGGCCATACTGGTTTTACCCCCTTGAGATCGCTTTATCTTCACGGTCTGGGCCGAAAATTTCATTGGAAGTTCAGCGCCAGCATCCTGTGACCGAGCCTCAAGAGTAGAACTGATGGATCTTCTTGGTCCTTGAAGAGGTTTTCCGATCCTGGAGCGCTGCCCTCTGACAAAGGCTCTGGGGGGCGTGTAAATATCATCTGGAGAGATCACAGGGGGTAGAGCGACCATGTCTTTCGTAGGCGAGATCCTCCCGGGGGGACGAAATGGTCGTCTCGTCGGCGAATCTGACCGGGAGGCTTTTGGGGTTGTCGGTCGAGATTCTCGCATACTTGACGCTGGTCGCAATGGTGGAGGCATCTTGCTGTCGTTACCAAATAGACTCGTCCTTCTTTGAGGCGTTGGACAGGGCGAAACTTGTGCGAGTGTTTCCATAGTTCTCTCGGACAAGGACGGTCGAGGTCTCTTCTTCTCCTTATGTTCTTGTGCGCCATCATCCTTCTTGCCAACAGTGGGATTCTCGTTGCCATCCTCGAAAAAGGGGGGATCGGGAATTGAAGCAGGTGGTGTGGTCTCGAGACTGGTGCCTTGAGCGTCGCGAAGGGCGTCTCGTACTGGAGACGTGCTTCTCTCTTTCACAGGATTGTCACTCCACCCGTAACGCGAGCGAATTGATTGATTGATGGCCTCTCCTAGAGGCTCCTTGAGAATCGTTGGGCGTGGGAGATATGAGGTTTTGCGCAGGTCATCTTGGTGAATCCCCAGCATCGCTGGGTTCCGGACGGTCAGTTTCAGATTGTCGCTGGAGGCGACTGCACGTGGCATAGGAAGCCGTGACACGCGTGGAATGCTACCCCGAGGGGCAATGGGAATGTGAGATCCCTGCTCGGGCTCCATGCTTGCTTCTGTATCTGCCAGAAGGGACTATATCCCCGGAAGGATATGGAAGTTAGTTGTAGTTGCTTCTTGTTTGCTACATGGAAACCGTTTCATTGGGGCAAACAATCAATTCTTTGGAAACCCGAACATTGAGAGACTGCGTACCGTCCTCTGCTGGGGAAGGTTTGACCGGGGTGCAAGTTCAGGTCAAGGCCCGTGCTTTAAGATTTCAAGCTGAGTTGCAACCAAGACAGACGTGTAACTTGACGGAGTAGGGGATGGTATGAGAGTTGAAAGGTGGATGGACATGGCCCGGGGAAGGCCTGCGGGACAAAGTACAGTAGACTGTACACACGCGAAGCTGTCGTGATCGGCTGGTTGTCCAAGCGACCGGCAGCTGGAGCGGGATGGGGTGAGTGGCAGTCAATAAACACAACTATTAGTCGAGCCTTAATTAGGCCTTACGGTAATTTAAGCCTAGAGCTTAGGCCTGCAGAGTAGAACTTGGAGCATAGGCCACCTAAGTCGGCCCTTGTAGCCTGGAGCCTCCCGGATAGCGGCCATGCCACTGGGTCAGGTAGTAAGTACTAAGCACCTATAGCCTACACCTAGGCCCCTAGGTCCTAGGCAGCTAGGCAGTCGGTAGTGGATAGTGCCACGGTGCCACAGGCCTGATCCTCAGCCTTCAGCTGCCAGTCTGCCAATGCTGAGTCCACCGTCCGGCGCCAATTCAAGTTCCGTACTCCGAACTCCGTAGGCGACGCGTTGAACGCGAGCCTCTGGAGCTAAGAGGCTCCTAAGGCTTTAGGGGCCCTTGAAAGAGTTTGCACCCAACCACACCATGTAAATGTGACTCTGAAGCTCTGTAAACCTACTAGTTTGTGTCGTTCAAATGTTAGGGGAGTTTAGGCGCAGTTTCACCACCGACTCCTCTCTTCGCTCTTCGTCACAGCCCAAAAGCCCAACATGGTCTTTCCCGCTTCCCAGCCTCTCAACTTCTCACATCAATAAACACATATCGAAGTCTCCACCTCAACCAGCCTGGCAATTATCTTCTCATCCTCGTGGCTGTCTTTTCCACTTAACCCTCCGACCAGGAGTTTGATCCATAGACTTCTTCAACGCAATGTGTCAATTCCTGGCCCGACCGTAGAGATTATTGCCTTGCTGCTACTCCTCCTACCACTGCCTACTCCACCTTCTATCGATACCGTACCGAGTGACAGCAAGAACCCGGCGTCGATCTGGACTTGCGCATCTCATTCTCTGTTCAGCCTGTCACTGTTCTATATAGTTGACTCTCTGGCTCTCCGCCTCTCTGCTCTCTGCCCAAGGTTCTCCTACTCTCGACGATCCGACCCAGCTCAACATGGCAGACTCGCAACCAGAGATGACGACCGAAGCCGCTGTCATTCCTTCGACTCCTCCACCACCAAGTCGCACACGTTCTGCAGACAGCTTGAGCAAGTCCGCCTACAGTTCCCCCCCAGCCATGTCTGCGAGCATGACTCCTCCGCCCTCGACACAACCACCTCGATTCCAGTCACCGGTGAGCCGCGTCAGTGTCGGTCCCAGCAATGTCTTACTTGCGTCGCCCCCAACCACTGTCAGAGCAAACGTTCTACATGCCCTGCCGACTCCCGATGCCATCGCTAAAGCCGATATTGAGGAATTGAGAAACATGGCACAAGAGCTTGTCGCAGCAGTTCAGGAAGCTAGGACGTCCGCGGCGCATTTTAAGTTGCAGCACAGTCTGTTGGCCATGGAATCCGATGAAGCCGCGCAGCGCGCCGAGGTTGAACATCAGATGACCCGCAGAGAGGTTGAAGTCCTTCAAGCAGCCGAATACCGCAAGCGTACTTCAGTCTCGCTGCATCATCCGAGATCAGAACCGTCCTTACAGCCACAGATCGAAGCATTGACCAGAACCTGTCAGGCATTGGAGGACGAGCGCAATGAGACAGAGGAGCAGCTATTGCGAACAAGAAAGTTGCTAGAGGTAGAGAAAGACAAATGTGAGCTGTTGCAAGAGGAGAACGACCGACTCAAGAAACGCATCCGCGACAACAGAGAGCATTTCAGTCGCCTAAAAAGTCTGTCGCCTTCGTATACTACACCTCGCGACATTTTCACAACGCCTCAACGGAAAGCCGTGCCACGATTCCACGAGTCCGCACCCAACCATGCCAACATCGCTGCTCTCCTCGCTGCAGACCAGGTTCTAAGTCAAGAGAGCGCCAGCGTTCCGTCTACCCCGACTAAAACCCATGCGTCCAAGTTTAAGCATGGACACACTCGTGGCGCACACTCACTCTCGTCCTTACTCACCACATCTGCTCATAGGCGGCCTGTCGCGCATGAGGACTATCCAGAGACAATGGTACCACTTTCTGCCCCAGCCACCCGCTTCACTAGAGAGTCAGCAGAAAGAGAACGCCATGATCGGGACAGCACCATATCCATCTCCGATGCTGAAGATGGCAGCGATGACAATATCCCCCAATCGCAGGCCAGTTCTTTGGCCAGTGAGATGCTACGCAGAAACCCGGGAAATCAAGAGAGCTTGAGACTGTCACAGAACGCAGAGCGTTCAAGCAACCTACTTCAGACCAAATTGTTCGGCCCTATCAAAAAGTCTAGCCACTTGAGAAAGCGAGGGGCAAGCTTTGGAGAGTCCGATATCACAGCCAAAAAGGCAAAGATTTCCCAAGGCGTCGGTTTAGGCATTGAATCTTGGAGCCAATGATGCCAGTTGTTTGGCGAGTCACCTGGACATCACTGAGATATGACTGTAAGATACCCATTCGGTTCTGGCGTTTGGTGAGGAAGCTGGGATTCAGCTTGGCGGACATTGGGATGTATTTATAGGGGTGCTCGCTCAAGCTCAGTCATATGAATGAAGAAAGTATTCCCGACTTCTCAAAATCCGGCGACAATGTCTGTAATCCATATCCGTACTCCGTACTCCGTACTGTAGGTATCGTAGCCAGTAAGGTGTCGACTAGTAGGAGACTGTTCACGGACCAATCAGTGATGACAGATATTAGAAGGCTGGCCAGGCGAGGCTGGGTCAGCCCAAAAAGTAAATCACATGACTAGGGCACAAATCTTGGCAAAAGATTACTGCCAAGCCTCGAATTGCACAACGGGGCCAGCGAAAGTCTCAAGCAGACTGCGCCGGTCCTCTGTCCACCATCATCAGCCCGCAAAACCTCCATTCTTCCCAAACCAGTCTCTAGGTTGTGAGAAACATCGTCAGGAGACCAAGATGGCGATCAAGCACAACCAGCAGCTGCCCAACAACCACTTCCGCAAGGACTGGCAGCGCCGAGTTCGCGTGCACTTCGACCAGCCGGGCCGCAAGTCTCGAAGACGGGCTGCTCGTCTGTCCAAGGCCGCTGCTGTCGCCCCTCGACCCGTCGACAAGCTCCGACCCGTCGTCCGATGTCCTACCATCAAGTACAACCGCCGTGCCAGGGCTGGTAGAGGTTTCACCTTGGTCGAGTTGAAGGTATGACTTTCTCTTTTCCCCGGCCTCCTCACATTTGTGATTTCAAGAAAGACTCTGGAGGAACGCGGGTAGAAATTCGAGGCATTGGACCAGGGGGAACGGATATTTCAGCACAGATGCCCATTTGGGCTTCTTTTTTCCCCTTCAATTGGGCTTGTGACCTTGTGTCGCGCGCGGAGGGCGGATTGTCAGAAGATTACAACTCGCAACGTAGAGAGTGCTATGCTAACATGCCAATCCTGCTTCTAGGAGGCTGGCATCCCCCGCAAGCTGGCTCCCACGATCGGCATTGCCGTCGACTACCGCCGCCAAACGACTTCGCAAGAATCGCTCGCCACAAACGTTGCCCGCCTCCAGGCCTACAAGGCACGCCTGATCCTGTTCCCGCGGAAATCCGGCCAGCACAAGAAACTCGACAGTTCGGCTGAAGATGTCAAGTCGGTCGAAGACGAGAGCAAGACGATCAAGAAGATCGCCGCCTCCATCCCCATCGACAGTGGCGTCGGTGTGAAGCACGGTGTCAGCGAGATCAGCAAGGGCGACCTGCCTAAGGGCGAGGAGAACGCATTCCGCAAGTTGAGATTGGCCAGATCCGATGCTAGATTGGTCGGTGTTCGGGAGAAGAGAGCCAAGGCCAAGGCCGACGCCGAGGACGCAAAGAAGAAATAGACGTGTGCTCCAGATTCTGCAGTTTGATGCAACCGGAAAATAGCGCTCAGAATTGATTGGTGACGCGGCGAGGGGGAGAGGTCAAGCCATGGGATATGGGATGTTTGTGTGTTGCCGGTTTTTCTAAGCTTACGCCTCGGGCTCATGGATGGAGGTGCATGGCATGGAGAAAAGCAACGCACCCTGAAAGCCGTGAAGGCCGCGCTGAGATTGCCCTGGTCACACGGTCAATTGATTCCACGGCCAAGCATCGTCATACCCGTCTCTTTAAATTCAATGGACGGATAAACCGCAAAGGCGATACCAATGAAAACGAAAATTTACCTTGATCAAGTGGTTTCTAGTAGGCTTTGAATTGGCTTGATCGAGATCGACATCGAGATCTTGCGGAACTCAGTTGAGAATCTCTGGATATGCCATTCGGGAGGCCCTGCAACCATGGTCGTGCGCTCGAGTAGGTAGCATATTTACCATCCGAATCACGTATCTAAGCACCATCGCTATATGTACTTATGACCACTCACTCGCTCAACATTCAAAGTCATACATCTTCATGCTTTCGTATACGACCGCCTAGTCAGGCTGCCGATCAGCTGCGCTTCCTCTTGCCTGTTTGCTTTGCTACGACGCTTTGATCCTCACCGTTGCCTTGGGCCAGTCCCCAAACGCTTTGGAAGGCGCCCGTGACGCCTCTGAATGGTAGTAGGCCATCAAAGACCTCCTTCAACTTTGCTTCCGCTTTGATAGAAACCCCACTGACAGCAATGGTAATGTTGGATGTTATGTGCCCGGTCCAATCTAGACCAATGTCCCATATTAGCATGATCTTTGCTCTGAGCTCACTGCTTTCTGTTGAGGCCGCGTCAGGCAATCGCAACTGGTTTTTATCCAACCACCGACTCAGCTCGATAGTCTGATCTCGTCCAAGTTCTTCGTCCTTTCCCTCCCAAACTGGATCGGACATCATAGACGATGCTGTTGTGTTTAATTTATGCAATTGTCGGAAGACCTTTGCGCGCTCAATTGTAGCAGCAAAGTATCTCCCAACACCCCATATCATTCCGCCCACGTCGAGACAATGTAGGGGATCGTCCATCCTATCATGGATCCATTTGGTAATGCCGGTCATAGTCGATTTTGCTCGTGGCTTGTCGGTCATCATGTCTCGCAATCGAACGTGCTCGACTCTGACAGCTTCAGTGTCAGTGACCACTTCAAAGCTGTGCTCAAAGACACCAGGAAGCCATGGAGGAGGTGCCATGATGGTCAAATAGTGAATGGCCTTGGTCCGGCCTTGTATTTGCCTGGCATCTGTACGATAGCTCAGCCGCATGTTGCTTGGGGCAAATAACGTAAGATATGACAAGGTCTTGGCCTCATGATTGGTGAAGTCGGGCTCCAAAGAACCGGGTACGAGGTAAGCTTCTCGAAGCAACGACAGGTCCTCAGCCATCACCTCCTCATCCTTCTCAATCAGAGTCTCTAGCCGCTCATTCTGACGTCTGAGCTGCTGCAGCTGGTCTCGCAACGCCTGAATGGTGGCTTGCTTCTCTTGTAACCCCTGCGGCAGGTCCTCCTCGTGCTGTACGTGGACCTCGCTCTCCTGTGACCCAGCGACTTCGTCATGCCCAGCCGTGAACACTTCGTCCCCGGCAACTCTTGGGGATCGCGCCCTCGGTTTCAGGGGACTGCTTGTGACAGATCCACCTGCTCCAGTCCTTCGTCTGAGTCTCCCACCCCCGCCTAGAGATCTTCTGGGACTGCTGCTTGAGGCCAACCCTCGGGGCCTAGACGGCGCCGTACTCAGACCTAGCGCGACTGGCGTTGGAGGCAACTCAGGCTCCTCGATGTCGGGCAAAGCAGGTCTTTCCATGACCTTTATTTCTCCTCTCCGTACGAGAGTGGGAGATATCAAGGGAGGTAGAGTGTCTTCGCTGGATCTTCTTCTCCTCGACGATTGAGAATGCATCGGAGGCTGGGCTTTGACAGGCGACGGAAGCTTAGGTGGACTTTCGCCGACATCCCGAGTTCCATGTTCTGGATATAAGACGCCAAGATGTTGATCCTGCTGATTCTCGTCTGCTCTAGCTGGGTCTAGCTCGTTCACTGGGCGACTGTCCAGCTGCTGGTCCCGAGATATAGTTCCGGGGGCTTCAACCCCAGAGGAGACTTTGTTCAGGATTTCCTCCCTCAAGCTTTTCCCTCTCGACTCTAACAAAGCTCTCTCTAGGCCTATGTTTCGAGCAACGAGGTGTGGATGTGAGCGTGATAGGGAACTTTTGGTCGGCGATAGGTATGATGCTCGGGTGGGGGTTGTGGGTTGTCGACCAGCATGATTCGTGACAGTGCCGGTGCCTGTGCCGGCATCGAGTTCGGGCTCAGGGATGCTTAACCTACGTCTCTTAGCGGGAGACTCCCACATGACACCTTCTTGTGCTGGGAGAATGATCAATTGGAGTTTGTTGGATTTGTGTAGAGGCAGTCGCGTCTCTCAAACACGTCGACGCGCCGCTGCACGCCAAGATGGTAGTAATTAGTAGTACGTCCCGGTACGTGCACCTACATGCAGTGTTTACTGTACCTAGGTACCTAATCTAGGTACCACACGCACCCAAGTATGTACTCCGTACTACAAGTGGCGGAAGGCGTTGCCTGTGCCGCCGTAGGGCCTCCCTAGGTACTCGAGCATAAAAGGGGTTAGGGTTAGGGTTAGGGTAACGCATCAATCACATATTTCTTCCATCAAGTCGGCGTATATCAGCCGAGCCATGTGTGAACGGTCAATGGTGGCCGCAGAGATCCTGACCAAGCGCTCAGCTCGCCTGACCGGACTGAAAGTCGTACTGGTATCATCCGTCGCCGCCGCTACACCACTTTTCGAACTGGTCAAGCCTGAGGTCGGCATCAAAATACATTTTCCCTATCATCACGGCTCTCAATTGCAAGAGCAGCCTCGTTCAAAATTGAAAAGTGGCTGTGCTCCCCGAAAGTATAAGAAGTCATTTTTTTTCTCCCTCATTTTCCGCCACTCTACCGTCCACCCAAGTTAAGTTCACAATCCCAGTGTTGGAGCCCTCCTTGATGTCCAGGTCGACTTGGTTCCCTAAGGAGAGAAGCCAGTCTTTCCATCCTTTCACTTCACCTCGGTCACTCCGTGACCTTGACCGTGGCTGGAATCCTCCACGATCTGCTCGACGTGCTCAGTGTCGGAGTTGGAATAATCGGGGCCAGAGACCTCTGTCTTTGCGCTGTGCAGGCCCGGCTTATCTTCGCGCAAGAAGGCCATGTCGTGTTGAGCCAAGATCTCAGCATCCAGCTCTCGCTGCTGGTCTCCGGACAGATGACTGACGTCCAGAGCCACCTCGTCTCCGAACAGCGCCCCGACTTCTTCAAGACTGAGACCTTTAGTCTCAGGGAATTTCAATACCACGTACGGCAGCATCAGACAGGTGACAATGATAAAGACAAGGTAATATTTCCATCCGATATGGTTGAATGCAGGCCCGGCGGCAGTCGTATAGACTGGAAGGCATTGTCAGCAAGTCCACCTGGCGCAACGTTGCGGACGTGAGATTCGACTTACCCGTGGTCATCAAGAAGAGCCCACTCACAGACCAACCCACACCTTTGGCACGAATATGCGTGGGGAAGATCTCGGAACAGTAGACGTAACTCGACACGTCGATGCCGAAGCCATAGAACGAGACGAAGAGAAACATGAAGGTGATGGCCAGGGCTTGTCCTGCTTTGTTTGGATTCCCCGCATTGCCGTAATGTGCATTGAGTGCCGTCACCAGGATCAGGCAGACCATGCAGCCCGTCTGGTCATTTATCAGTCCAATTCACAGCCAAACTCGAGGTCGACAGGGTATCAGGGATGGTGTACAACAAGGTTGACTTACAATGCCAATTGTCACAATCCGAATACGTCCGATTCGATCTATCAGAAGGGCGTTGACGTAGTTGAGACAGGCCGCCCAGGTATTGTAGACGGCCAAGAGCAACAACGGGGTGGAACCGGAAAGACCGAGATTGTTGAGTTCGAGGACCATATAGTTGGCAATCACCAGGACGCCTGTACTTTGACACATGGCCTGCAAGTAGAAGCCGAAGAACATTCTCTTTCGATACTTGCGACTGAATACCAGCTGGATGATGTTGGGCGACTTTTGCGACTTCTCTAGCTCGATCTGTCTCCGGATCTGTAGACACTCCTCTCGAGCGCCAATGTGCTCTGGGTCATCGGCATTGGCATGCAACTTTTCCAACACGGTGAGGCCTATAGGATGTTCTTTGGTCAGAACGACGGAGGTACACATATACATAGTACATATATGAGCAACAAGGGGTATTGTATATATCACCCACGGCGAACACACCTTTCTCAGTCCGACCATTTTGGATCAACCATCGAGGTGACTCTGGAATAAAAGGACTTCCGAGCAGGAGAAGGAGAGGGGCGACAATCTGTAATGCCAACAGAAGTCGCCATTGTATGGTTGGGTCGTTTTCGTAGTAAATGGCAAATCCACACCATCCCGAGAAGCCCTGGGTCCGAAGCCATGAGCAAACGGTCACACTGGGAAGACAAAGTATCTTGGATATTCGCGGCGGGAGCTGCACTTACGTATGAGACACAGATGACAAAGCCGTGCGATCCCACCAGTCGTCCTCTCTGGGCCGGAGGAGATATCTCGGAGATATAGGTCGGGATGGCCGTGTTGATGAAGCCGACTCCCAGGCCATTGAAGAAGCGGCCGACCAGGAACATGGCAATGTGGGCCGATCCGGCCTGGATGGCGGCCGAGACGATGCATACCAAGCAGATGATTTGGATGGACCGCTTGCGGCCTAGCAAGTCGAGCAGCCAGAAGACGGTCCAGCATCCGATGGCGCCAGCCCCGGCGTAGAGGCCATTACTCGCCCCGATGATGTTGCCCCCGTAGCTGCTGGTGGCCTCGAAGTCGAAGTAGGCATAGAAGGATGGGAGGCCAATCACGGATCCAATAATGGCCGAGTTGAAGCCGTAGGTGAACGATCCCAAGGCGACGAAAAACGCCACCAGGAAGTTGTACCTGTTGGCTCTGGCTCTCAGATTGCCCATGCTGATGTTGGCAACGGGAAGGTAGAAAAAAAGACGAGACGGTCAAGCTGCTTCAAGGTGGAAAGAAGGATCTGGGGCCCCTGACCCTGAAGAGCACGAGGCTTTTGAGTGGTTTAGTAGTCTTTCCATCATGGCGTATAGAGTATGGGGCCCCAGGTTGAGGGGGGTGTAACGCGGGGATTATACTCCGTCAACTTTCAAGGGGATGGGATTGTCCAGCAATTACAGTACTAGGTATCTACTGGGTAGTGGGTAGTTGATATACTCCATACTGTCAACTGTAAGCGGGTCAACCGAGAAGCTTGATGCTCTAGAGCCACGTGGGTTTCACCACATGTACTGGAGCTACAAGAGAGATTTACTTCAGTCATACACCTCCCTCATACCGCCTGTTCTGAGTCTAGGTACAGAGTATAGTGTATAGTGTATAGTATAGAGTACTGAGGGTTTCTGATGGCTTCTGTAGCCCGCTCAACAAGGCATCGGGAAGGGCGAGGCTACGCTCCTGAGATAGAAGTCCAAAAGGAGGAGTGGGATGTATTTCATGCGACGCTGCTCTTATACTACTACTATCACTATTCCCCGGAGATCTCACAGCTGGGCGTGGGAGGGATCCGTGCTTAGAGGAGAAGATAAGTCAGTCAGGTTGCATCTATCGTTCTGTACGCACCACATACCCCATGGGCAAATGTGGGTCGAGGAACCCCAACTTTAGGAACCCCAGGTCCCGCTTACTGGAGGTACAGGAGACAACCCAACCAACCCGGGTCACTTACAGGTATGTCCAGAGTACGGCTACTCCGTATCCATACAGCAGTGTAGGCTCACCCCTGCTCTCTCCCTAGTACGCTCGCAAAATGTTTGCCGAGGGAAACCCCCTGACCCCGGTTTTCGGAGATCATCCGCCCTTTAACATGCGCGGCAGACCCAGCTCCTCCAATTCCCGAGGGAAAGGGAGAGGGAAAGGAAACCCCAGGGACATGGGACATGATTCCCTTCAAAGGTACAGTACGCAGTACACACATTCCGGACCCGCAGGTCTAGAGTCTAGAGATGTTCTCCATCTCCATCTCCATCTCCATCTCCGGCTGGTTTCACCCCGCCCGCCAGATGATCTAATTCTTCTGAAATGTCCCAATCTAATCCCAGTATCTACAATATACAGCACCAAGTAGCGACCCTCTCTGGCTTTACACTTCACAGGCTGGACTTCCAAGGCGAAGAGACCGTAGGAACCACTGGATCAACCATTGGGAAGACTCTCTGTGTTGACAATGGTGCAACTCGAACCCAGTGGTCCCGGGTTGAAGGCCCCGAAGCCAAAGTATGGGCATCTGTCCGAGATCGATCCCGACTTTGCACCATTAAAAGAGGAAGCCGACAAGAACTTTGCCGCACTATGGTCGCTGCCACTGGATGAATTCAAGGCCGCTTGGCTCACCGCACCGGTGGCGTTGCCGAACAACGCTCCTCAACCCGGACAAGAGTATTCCGTCGTGGATCAAGAAGCACCCGTCAGAGACGGCAGCAGAATCGGTCTTCGTGTATACAAGCCGCTGGATCCGCCCACGAACGCGGTCCTGGTTCTCAAGGCCCATGGTGGAGGTAAGTCGACAGTTTTGTTGTGGCGAGATTGCTACAGTAGATCTAGCCTCTGCTGAAGCAATGGTAATGATATATTGACCTTGGTCGCAATATATAGGTTGGGTTGTTGGCAGCCACGAAGTTGAAGAGGTCGAGAACCGCTTCCTGGCCGCCCAGGGCAGTGCGGTGGTTGTGAGTGTCGACTATCGAATGGCCCCGGCCTACAAGTATCCCTACGCCATTAATGATTGTTTCGACGTCCTCAAATGGGTAAGCTGGCTTTGATGGGAAGGGGAGAGCTCCTGGGGTGTTTTCCTGCTCAGCTGAGCTGTCTCCAGTGCAAATCCCACGCCTTCAAACTCGGAATCGACCCAGAGAAGATCATAGTGGCTGGAGGGAGTGCCGGCGGCAATATCGTCAGTCTCTGTGTTTCCCCCATCTCACCCGTTAGCTAACTTCGTCTCTACCTCTCCTCCAGGCCGCTGTTCTGGCCCAGAAAGCCCGGGATGAGGGTGTGTCGGGCCTTGTTGGCCAGATCCTGAACATTCCCGTGACCTGCCATCCGAAACTGTTCCCGTCGGACAAGTATGAGTATGGCAGTTATCAACAGAACAAAGATTCCACTGTGGTCGATGCCCCTAGAATGGATTGGTTCTGGCATCAATACCTGCCCAACGCAGATGCCGAAGTCTACGCAAGCCCATTGCTGGCTAAGGATCTGTCTAACTTGCCACCCGCGCGTGAGTGCCCTGTTCCTGTTCCTGTCCCTAGGTACTTGTACTTACGGTGTTTCTTCAGTGATTCAGGTTGCGGGCATGGATCCGCTCCGAGACGAAGGGCTGGCATATGCTGAAGCTCTCAAGGCTGCCGGAGTCCCCGTCACGCTGAAAATCTACAAAGGCTTGCCTCACGGGTTCTACATGTTTCCACAACTCAAGCAGTCGCAAGAGTACTGGGATAGCTGCGTCCAATTTGTCCAACAGGTGGCTCAGTAGCTCATTGCAAGGTCCTGATTGTGTCTGCCGCGTATGTAAAAGGGATATAGTACCTACGACATGGGACGTAGTACATAGGTATCTTGGACCTTTTCCACCACACAACTGCCCCTATCCGTACTACCTAAGAACCCTAACCCTAAGTAGCCCTAACCCTAACCCTAACCCTAAGATGTATCAATACTACTTGAGCTCACGGGGATGATTTCCCGACAGGGTTCAATGTCAATTCAAGCGGGCAGACATTCTCCGCCCTGGTGTCCTGAAGTAGGAAGTAGCGATTTCTGTAGCGTAGTGTAGTGTAGAGAAAGGCGAAAGGGAGCTCAACGGTTGGTGGTCTCAATCTACAGTATACCTCTACGTCGCAACAGACACTGACGCATCATGGCGAACCACATACTACCACTTCCGTCCGAGACAACCGGGCCCAAGCTCGACATCCCTATTCCCATCCTTCATGACCTTATCACCTCGTCTGTGAGGCAACATGGCGACAAAGTCGCCATCGTGTGCAAGCACCAGCCAGCAGACCTTCTTCCCGCAGTCCACGACTTCAGACTCTCCTCCCAGTCCCAGCAGGCGCAGGCGCAGGCTCAGGTTCGCCCGCCTTACCTCCAATGGACGCACGCTCAACTTCAACATGGAGCCGATCTCGTCGCCCGGGGGTTGCTAGGAGAGGGCCTCCTGCCCGGCTCACCCATTGCCGTGCTGCTGAGCGGACGAGCCGAATTCCACCTGGTGCTCCGGGCCGCTGTCAAGCTGAAGTGTCCATTCACCCCCATCAGTCCCAGGTCGGCGCAGAATGCCAAAGAAATCAGACATATGCTCACCCTTTCAGGAGCGAAGGCCGTCATCGTGGAGGATGCCTCGATTGCGGCACATTTGGAACGCAACATCCCGGATTTGATGCGTCATATGCAGGTCAAGCTCATGGCAGGAGAGAAATCGGGGGGGATATCTACATCGCCCGTCGAGACGGCCTCCCCCTCCCTATATCTGTCCCTGCAAGAGATGGTTGCCACGGCGGCTGGTGACGACGACGAGACAATGCTCTACGCGGAGGGTGGAACTGAGCGAACTGACCGTCTCCTTCTCCCTCGTCACGCTGACGACGTCGTCTTCATCTGGTTTACTTCCGGCACCACCTCACTCCCCAAGGCCGCGCCACACACCAACAGATCGCTGACCTGCAACATCAGGTCGTGGCAAGAGGTGTTTGAGCTGGATGACCGACGTGCCTGGCTTCAGATCCTGCCCATGAACTCGATCGTCGGCAGCTCGTGGACACTGGCATATCTCATCCCCGGCGGCAGCGTCACCCACGTCCACTACAATTTCGACGTCCAGTCAGTCGCCGAGGCAATTCATGCCGGAGAATGCACCGACGTGCTCGCCGTCCCGTCTATGATCGATCTCCTCGCCTTCGCCCCTGTACTGAGTCAGCCGTCCAACCGGGGCGTCGATCATGTCATTGTCGGGGGAAGCAAAATCCTGCGGTCCCATGTTGAAAAGGCCTTCAAGCTGTTCCAATGTAAGCGCTTGAGTCCGTTCTTCGGCATGACAGAAGGCACCTCGGTATGCACCGAGACTCTGTATGAGGTCCCGCCGAGTCTACAAGACCCTATATACGCCGGGTACGTGAATCCCGGGAGCAAAATCCGAATCTGCGCCCCCGATCGCACCGAGCCTTTACCCAGAGGCATCCCCGGGGAGATTGTGCAAGGAGGTCTGCAGAAAATTGAACGATACCTCGGCGACCAAGGAAAAGACAATTTCTTCACTGCCGACGGGAAGACATGGTACAGATGTGGCGACCAAGCCGTCATGCGAGACGATGGAAGGATTGCTATCGTAGGAAGATATAAAGGTCAGTTATGTAAGGATTGAGATGAGGCGAATTCGAAGCAGAAGAAACAAACCCACTTCTTAAGGGAGATCGAGCTAACCTCTTTGTCGTCGTCGCAGACATGATCATACGAGGCGGTATGAACATTGCCTCAGCTGCAGTCGAGGCTGTGATATCAGAGGGGACAGGGATCGAAGTGAGTTTCTCATTCTAGTCTAGTCTACACCTTCTAGGCCAGCAAAAACCATGTCTGACTTTTACTCTCTAGGCACAAATCATCGGTATTCCAGATCCAGTGGCCGGAGAAGTCCCTGTGGCCATCCTCAAGCATTCCCCGGACGACAAAGAAGCCCCTACCAAAGTTCGGCAATGCGTGCTCGATCGCATGGGTCCCGCATATGCTCTGGAGCGAGTGCTGAACCTGGGTGAGCTGGGTCTGAGCCTCCATGGCCACGGCCACGGCCTCGACGACTGGCCGAAGACAACTTCTGGGAAAGTGCTGAAACGGGATTTACAAGAGCTGGTCCAGAACCTGCTTCAATCAGAGTCCCAACCACAGACTAAAGCCTCCTCGGACAGGCAGGACAGCGACACGAGGCGTCCAGAGTCCTACACCCCCAACAATCTGGCCTGCAACGAGACCCAACTACAACAGTATCTGCTCGAGCGCGTCCGGGAGCAAGGCATATTGGTGTCTAGCATTGACGCGGATTTCCACCTGGCTGGAATGGACAGTTTGATGGCTCTCCGACTCCAAAACGCCGTGACCAAGGACGCGGAGCGAGGGAACGAGGCTGACATCTACTCCTTCCCGCCAAGCGCGATCTTCGAATGTGGAAATATCCGCCGTCTGGCCGCATATCTCCTGGAGGTCAACCGTGGAGGCTTGGGCAGAGACCCGACCGCGCCGGTCACGGAGACCCGGCAGCGGCAGCAGCAGGTCGATGATGCCCTGGTAGACGAGATGGCCACCATGGTGGATGAATACAGCCAGTTCCAGGTCCAGTCCCGTCGCCACACTGGCAGACCACAAGTCTGCCAAGATCCAGACAAACACACAGTGGTAAGTATAAGATATAAGATATAAGATGGTGCAAAACGTCCTGTCCCGTCCCGTCCTGTATTGATTGGTTAAGGGGTTAAGTCTTTAGGCTAAAACTGGGTCCTGGGCGCTGATCACTTTATCTCTATAGCTACTCACCGGCGCGACCGGCTCTCTGGGTGCTCACATCCTTGCGGTTCTGGTGGAACGACCAGATGTGGAGTTGGTCTACTGCCCCGTGCGTGGTCCTGAGCCTGGCCGACGGTTGAAAGACTCGTTCGATAAACGCATGCTCGGGTCTCTCCAACACAAGTACTATGAAGAAAAGGTGCGGGTGATCAGCATGAACATCGACACCAGCACCAACATCGGCACCAACGTCAGCACGAGCAGCGAGGTAGGAAAGCCTGAGGAGACGGAGCCGGAGCCGGAGCCTCAGTTCGGCTTGTCGTTGGATCCTAATACCAGAGAAGGCCTTCTAGACAAGCTGACCCTCATCATCCACGCGGCATGGCCGGTCAACTTTCAATTAGGCCTGGCATCGTTCAAGCCGCACCTCCGCCATCTCCAGAGCCTGATCCAACTATCGTTGGACGTGCGGTCACCTCGACCCGCCCGGATCTACTTCTGCTCGTCCATGGGGGTCGCGCTCACCACGCGCGGACAGAAAAGCATTCCAGAACAGCCGATCATGGACTTTCGTCAAGGCCTCGGCAATGGATACACGCAGTCGAAACTGGTGGCCGAATACGTGATGCAAAATGCCGCCGAACATTTTGGTGCTTGGGCATGCAACCTACGTATCGGGCAGGTGGTCGGAGACACCAAGCTTGGTCTCTGGAATGAGAACGAGGCGCCACCACTGATGATCCGCTCTGCACTCAGTTTGGGATGTCTACCGTCTCTGAGGATGGTATGTTTCCATTACCTCTTGCCTACTATTACCTTGCCCCTTACTTCTATTACCTTGGGCTTATTCCCTTGGCTCCTATTACCTTGGCTCCTATTCCCTTGGCTCCTATTCCTACTACCTCTGGAAGCCCTTCTTACTTCCCCTGAAAGCAATCCATGAGTTTTAGTTCTTCCTTCTTCTCTCACAGGACAGGACGGGGAGGCCTGGTCCTCATCCCAATACCAATTGATCTTAATACTGATACTGAACCACACAATAACGTACGTAATGCAGAAATGCTCATGGATCCCAGTCGACACCGTAGCCAGTGCGATTATCGAACTGGCCTTGGGCCAATTGTCGAGTCCGAGTCCGAGTTCGAGTCGGAACCCACCACGACCGGTCTACAACCTCTGCAACCCGCGCACCCTTTCCTGGACGGCCGAACTCTTGCCTGCGCTCGCCGAGGCGGGGTTGAAATTCGACGTGGTCCCTTTCCAAACCTGGCTTGCGGCGTTGAACGAGTACGGTTTTAAATACGCGGACAGAGACACACACAGAGACACACTCAGAGATACAGACACGGACACAAACAGAGACACAGACACACACACAGAAGCACAAGCAGAAGCCGCGAGTCGACATGTAGATTCCGCTTCAGAATCAGCTCCAGCTCCAGCTCCAAGTTCAAGTTCAAAATCAAGTCTAGATTGTCCAGCCATTAAACTAACAACCGATTTCTGGGAGAAGTTCTATGGTGGGTATGGCGATGGCGATGGCGACGGCGATGGCCAGACGAAGAACAACCACCACCAGCGATTTGGTGATTTGGACTTTGACACCCGCCACGCCCAGGCTGATAGCCCCAGCATCGCTTCGGCTCCTGACGTGATTGGGAACGGGCTCGTCAAGACCATGTTGCATACGTGGATGAGAAGTTGGACTGGGTAGGTAGTTATACTATGTAGGTAGCTATACTAAGATGTCATACTAAGAAGTCATGCTAGAAAGTCATACTAGGTAGTCACACTACATAGGTACAGTATGTCAAACTAAGGCACTAACTTACTTATGTAGGCATTCCCAGCCCTGCCCTTTAAGAACAGAAGGAAGAAGGCTGGTATAGGCATAATAGGCGCGTCTATATATATAGGCTGGGCTCCATACCCAAAGGCTTTGATAGAGAACATGGAAGATGAAATATTTCAACCTTTGAGTCTCCTTGTCCTTGTCCTTACGTAGAACCCAGAACCTAGGTGGGAAATGGGAAACTTGAAACTAGAATGGTTATACAGGTAGCCACCTATAGATAGGACCATGTGTGTCCTTGTCCTCAATGACTTGATAAACTTCAGGCGACTAGAGTACCATATCATATCCATTATAGGTATATTCCCATTCTATCCCATCCCATCCCATCCAATTCACAATCACTGTCCTGTCACTGCCCTGTCCTATTGTTATTGTTACTGTTATTGTCATTGTCATTGTTGCATAAACTCGTTCGCTGACATTGGATCCAAGAGCACCTCCTCAAATGGAAACTGGAACACACTGTCGAAGCCTAATGGGCCAAAGTTCAACGACATGGCATCATTGATAGTGGTGGTTGTGGCGTTAGTTGTAGTTGTAGTGGCAGTATTGTTGTTATTGTTGTTGGTGTTGGTGTTGGTGTTGGTGTTGGTATTGTTTCTGTCGTTCTCCTTATTGGCGTCCGCAGTCGTTGCTTCATCTACTCCTGCATGAGACGGACCATCTTCGTTGGACGGATTGTAATCCTTTGCCCAGAATCCAGTTACTGGACCTGCACCTGCACCTGCACCTGCATTCCCATCGTCGTAGCTGTAGTTGTTTTGCACATTGCAAACCCGCATGATGGTCTGGACGATTTTCCGAACATTCCGGGCCACGATCTCGGCGCTCTCCATTTCCTTCATGGCATTGAGGCAGATGGCCAGAGCGGCAGATTCCTTAGGCACGTCCCTCCGATTCTTCTCGGCCATCTCAGCCACCACGATGGTCGCGGCACTGGTGATGTTGTACAGGACCGAGCCCATCATGGTGTTGGCACTGCCGTGGTGGGCGGCGTAGTCCTGCAAGAGCTGCGACGTGATCAACGCATGCTCAACGCACGCTTTGCGCGATTTCTGCGAGTGCGCGCAATTCCTCTTCTGGAGATTGCCGTACCCGGCATTATGTCTGTTCAGGAGGATCACCAAGGCCGAGTATTGTATGCTGTGATAGGCAGAAAGAGACAGAGAGTCAGTGAAAATGAACAAGGGCCGTACAGTAAGTACGAGCAAGTACTAGTAAGTGTTGAAGGGGGAGGGGTGGACTTTAGACTTGGATTTAGATTGGACTTGGACTTGAAATGGACTTACCGGAGCAAATACACCCCTGGAGGTGCGTTCGGGAAGAAGGTGATGGAATGGTCACAACTAGAATCCCAACTTTGCAAAGCATCCATGTAGAAGTCAATCTGCTCTTGAAAGCAGGTGTTGGTGTTCCTGGGCGGAGATCATAGACCATGTTAGCAACGTTGATCTGGAGGAGGAGGAGGAGGAAGAGGAAGAGGAGGAGGAAGAGGAAGAGGAAGAGGAAGAGGAAGAGGAAGAGGAAGAGGAAGAGGAAGAGGAAGAGGAAGAGGAAGAGGAAGAGTGCCGTTATATCACTTGACGGAGATTGAGACTGAGAGGGAAACAACACACGCACAATTTCTCACTGATTTGACCCGCAAGGTCCAGCAGTTCAACCCATGCGGCAAACATCTTCATCTCCCACGAACTCGCATTTCTATCCGGCCGCGGAATCGAGACATCACTCAGCTTGATGACTGGAGGACGGCCGAGATAAAGGGCCCAAAGCCTGTGAGACACATCCCGTTAGTGCTTGTGAGAGATAGTCATGGTGTCCGGCTCTGCCTCTGCTTCGTCCATACCTGTCAAAGCCAACACAGCCCCAAAATATGACCCTTCTCACCTCCATCTCAAAAGACGGGAGCTTCGACTGGGGCAAATGTGACCAGTTTTGGTGAAGACCGAGGTCGAAAGCCAGCCGGCAAGCTTGTCCTGCTCGTGTTTCAGTCAACGAGGCACATGTGGGTAGGGCGAAGACATTGCAATAGAGTACGTACCAGACCGCATCCAACCTCTCGAGTCATTGGACTGGCAACAATCTAGGATGCTTAACAGCATCAACGACTGGACGGTGGTCAAGCCAGGATTCAGGAGCTCTTCTTGCAACGCCTCCTCTGCTTGCTTCATCAGGATCGGACTTTCCCCCGTGTCTTCTTCGGCGGGTAGGGTCAGGGCTCGGATTTCGGGACTGGCGGAGCTGCGAGCGGCCGAGGCCAGGATACAAAGGAGTAAACATCGGCTGAAGTATGGACTGGGACTGTGTGTGGCCTCCATGCCGGCCAGAAAGGCCTGCTTGTGGACAATGTGCAGTATGTCGTGTTGATACCTCCAGTAAAGGTCCAGCAGGTATTGCTGCATGGCCCAGGGCACATCTTTCTCGAACCCAGCTCCGAACCGTTGGATGTCGCTGCAATACCGGAAGATGGAATTGACACTCTCTGTCAAGTGAAGGCTCGATGTCGGACCGAAATATCGTAGCTGACCATCATGTTTGCTATTAAGCCGTCCTTGGGCTCCGCACAAGCGGGTGATTAGGCTTTCACTCGATTCTAACTCGGTCGTGGTGGTGGCTTGGGTGGACTTTGCCGCAATGGCGCTTGAATCATCCGTTCGCATGGACATGGACGGGGAGCCGATGAAGTCGGAGCCTGGAGGCCGAGGGGCCGGTGAGGCTTGGGTTTGGGGCTGGGATACTGGTAGGAGGTGTATGGGTGACCGGGGCGGGGAGGAAGGCTGTCCTAAGGACGGAGGCCTCAGCTGTGATGGAGACTGGGACGGCGAATGGTGCTGTTGCTGGTGCTGGTGTTGTTTTTGCATGGTAGCCACCGCAGCTTTCAGTTCGGCGATTTGGTTCTCCAGATTGATGATATAGTCCTTGGAATACCGACTGGAGTCTTGGGTCAGAAAGAAAAACCAGAAACCAGATCTCGACAGAGTGCCACAAGAGCACCCACATCGACTCACACTCGTCTCTCATCGCGGTCAGGTAAGCTACAGGGAATGTGCAGCGATCTGCATCTCTCACAGGTGCCTCCCACGCGCTCGCACTAGATTTTCTCCTTGTCAGCAGACAATCCCCAAGCGGTAGTATCGTGAAAATGTAGAGCCAGGAGTCGAGACATGCAAGCATGCCAAACCATAGCATCACCCATCACCTATCACCGCAAGGGCTGCCGGGGCAGTGACTGACCTTGATTTTTCGAGGCCGACAACTGAGACAGGCCAGGGATTTGGAACTTCGTTTCTGAGACTTGGACGCCGAGGATGTCAATGTTCGACGCTTGTTCGCTCGGGGGGGCCCTGCCGGAGACGGAGGGTTCTCTGCAGAGGTGTTTGTGTTTTCCGCCTCATCCTCATCCAACAGATATTGTGACATGAGCGCGGTGGTGGCCCGGTCTCGGTCCCCAGGAGAATGAGAATTAGAATCGACCTCCATGAGCGCAGCAGGTACGAAAGACACGGACGGGGTGGACGGCATGATAGAGGCACGACAGTTGTCAATTGTACTGACAGACCTGGAGGCGTTTAGTATAGTACTGGACGTTAGTCGGGGAGGGAAAACAGAAGCTGGGAAGTTGAAAAGCTGAATAGCTGCACCTCCTCCTTCTCCGGCTCTTCCTCCGCCTCCTCCTTCGCCTCCTCCTCCCACAGGACCCTGAAGCGTGGACGAAACGCGGAGAAGATGGAGAAGAAGTGGAGGGGGGCCGGGGGCTGGGGGCCGGAGATGCTTCAATGAAACCGGGGTATGTATCCGTACAGTCAGTACAGTGAGTATCAGTACAGTACTAGGCAGCCTTAGGGCCTCTAAGCCCATGTGGGGGACACTTAGGGGCAAAGAATATCAAGCGTCAAGTGTCAAGTGTCGACACTCTTCCAGCCGAGGAAAAGGAAGAGGAAGTTCATGAGGAGTATCCGTACTGTAACCCTAACCCTAACCTGTGGGAGTGGGAGCGTGGACCGTGGTCGCCGCGGTCTTTGCCTCGAATTGCCGGCTTAGGGGCCTGGAGGCCTTAGGGCTAAGGGGCCTTAGAGCCTACCTTAAGCCTTAGAGCTCTTGGGCGCCTTAGGCCTTTGGTACAATACAGTACAGTACAGTACCAGTACCAGCACCATCAGCGGAGAATGGTCTCCGTCGGGCTCTACGTACTGTACTCTGCTCGCTCTGCTCTGATCTGAATAACCGCGGGCTACCGTACAGTACTGTACTACAGAGGACATTTGTTCCATCCCTCTCTCACTAATCATAAACAACTAGTAAACACACCCCCTCAGAAGTTCCACTGCCCTAGCCAGATTCTCATCCAGTCTGGACTGACCGGAGCAAGCTTCGCCATGGTCGGGCTGCAGCTGATACCCCTCCGAGTGACATAGGACGGGCTCAGGCTCTCCGGCCCAGCATCTGCAATGGCCTCGAAAAAGCCGACAATCTTGACCGCCGGCACGGCCTTGACCTGTTCGGCGTCGTTGACATCGATGGCCTGGAGGCTTTTGATCCAGAGCCGCAGCGGCACGCATTGCAGTGGACGCTTCTGTGCCTCGAACCAGGCTTGAATGCACGGCACGAGATCCGCCCACGGCACGGGCTGCGGGTTGACCAGGTTAAAGACCTGGAGGTCGTCGGTCGGCTGGGCCAGGGGCATGGGTATTGGCATGGGCATACCAATCTCCACCACAATGTCGGCCAGGCTGTCGACCGGGATCCAGTTCACGTCGGGCAAGCCGGTCGGGATCAGCCCGAGGGCCTTGGACGACTGAATCAACGACGGGAGCCATTCGATCTTGTTCCAGCACCCCCCGCCTTGGAGAGGTCCGCCGACCTGGCCGACCCTCAGGATGATGGCCTGGATCTTGCATTCCTGCACCGCCATCTGGAGGATCTGCTCGGCCACGTGCTTGGATTCCCCGTAGCCCTGATGTTGTGCCACCCTGGGGTCGGTCATGGCCGTTTCCGGCACCGGCACCGGCACCGGGCACAAGGACTTGCCCTTGCTGTCGTCGACAATCGCAGACCAGTTACCCACCGACGAGACGGAGGAGATGAATTGAAGGCGCGGCCTTGGCCTCCGAGGAGATGACTTTGCGAAATCCACCAACCCGCAAACACCAGCAATGGGCCCCTCAAAAGAACGCACCGTCTGGTTGAAATCGACCTTCCACGCGTTGTGGACGATCCAGTCCGTTTCTCGCTGAAGCCGGTCGAACGAGTCTGCAGGGAGGCCGAACTTTGGGAGACCCAGGTCGACTCGGAAGAAGGTCAACCTGGGATCGTCGACATGGGCATCGGCCTTCATCCGCTCGAATGCTCGTTGCTGCCGGTCTTTGGCGTCTTCCGTCCGATTCAGGCAGTAGATGTGCTTGGTTCGGCCGTTCTTCAGCAGCGAGAGGAGTAGATAAGTCCCCAGAGATCCTGTCGTCCCCGTCACCATGACAGTGATCCCCCGATCCGCATCACCATCACTCGAACCAGATACAGATGAGCGCCAAGCACGGGTGTACTTGTCGATGAGACCGGTCATGATCGCCTCTCTTCCAAGCTCTTCATTTTCATTCTGGACATGGGCAGCCTTGGTCGAGTCGGAGTCTGATTCGGCGCGACCGTTCAAAAGCCCATAGATGAGGTCTGCCAGACCTGCAACAGTAGGATGAGCATATATATGCCTGGGACTGATTTTTGTCTCTATCCCTATCCCTTTTCCGGCTCCCGCTCCCGCTCCCAGGTGAGCCCGGAGGCCAGCGTTGAGCCGTTTCGACAGCTCCATGGTTTGGAGGGAGTCCAGCCCTAGAGAAAAAAGATCTTGCCCGTCGGAGACCGATGCCGGTGCCGGGGCTTGCACTTGGCTGAGAGGCCCATCCAAGCACTTGCGTACGAAGTCTCTGACGGCAATGATATCTTGTGGGTCGGCAAGCAAAGTGTGGCTCTGGCTGTGGCTCTCCATTCTAGCCCCGTCACCGTCACTGTCAGCGTACAGGGCTTCCAATTCTTCAGCGTAATCCTTCAGGGTCAACTTCCGGACCACGGTGCCCTTGGCCGCTCTGGAGAACGGCTTCAACGGCGATGCGACTGCCATCTTGTCCCGAACGATTCGAGCATGCTGTGGAGCTTCCCGGTTGGCCCTTTCGATGCTGGGCCAAATCTGGTGGATGAACGCATCCTGATCGTTTTTATCTCCGGCCACTTCAGACTTGGGCTCTACCAGCAACGCGGGCTGGAACCTTCCTTGACCGTAATACAAGGCTCCCTTGAGCAGAGGATGGCCCTGGATGATGGCCTCCATAGGCACCGGATTGAACTTTTCGCCGTTCGACAACACCACCACATCGTCGGCCCGGCCGTGGAAGCGCCACAGATCTGGCTTGTCGGGATCGGGATGTCGTCGGTAGAGATCGGACGAGTTCCACACTGCAACATGGGGCATGGTGTGGGCGACGGTGCGGATCCAGCGAAGCGCCGGATCCTGCTTGAGGACCAGTTCGAAATCCTGCTCCGATCGAGGCTCCATGTCGACTTTGTAGAAGGGTTGCCACTCAAAGTATGCCCAGTCCTTTCTGGAAGGCACCAGGCCAGGAATAGGTCCTGTCTCGGTCGACCCGATCAGCTGGCAAATGTCGGTCACCTCACTCAGTCGGTCGCCCACGGAGGGGGCCAAAGGTCCGCCAGTGAACATGACAAAGTCGAGCTTCGACGCATAGCTTAAGCCTTGGTCCTCTTCGACCACCAGCTCTTCGATCACGGTAGGAGGCACGAGAAGGCCCCTGAGTCTCTTGCGGGGGTGGTGACGGTGAAGATATCTCATCATCTGAAGACAACTTTCCCCCGTGGCTGGCCGGTCGGGCGGTGGGAAAACGACAATGGAGTTGTACATGAGTGGTAGCATTCCAGCGATCATGCCAGTGGCCTAGATTTCGGGGTCAGAGGTAAGAAAGCAGATCGGTCAGAGAGGGAGACCTGACTCAATAGTCTTGTCTCGACTCGACTCAACTTACATGGAACGGGGGAAAGCTTGAGATGAAAAAGTCTCGATTCTGGAAGCCCAAGAGCGACCAGTCCTGGTTTTTCCGTCCAGCGGTCTTGGGGATTTTCCGGAGGTTATCAACCACCGCCCAATTGCCATTGGTGAGCGTGATAGGCTTCGGTGCTCCTACACTCCTCCAGTCACTCAGTTAGATCACGCCGAGCTCCTGGCCCAAGTCCATGTCACTTGAGACTGAGATGGAGGTCGAGATATAGAATGGTCGGACGGACATACCGGTTGAGCCGGATGTGTGGCAGATCAGGATTGGGTCATTCTCGGCTTCTGCAAAAGTCTTGTCGTACGGGTAGTCTTTGACGCTCGTGCTCATGGCACATATCGCTTGGTAGGACGTCAACTGGACCAGCTCGAGTCTCCGGTCTCCGACCAGGGATCTGATATGCTCTCCACGGGCCATGAGCTCCGAGGTACAGACAAACTTGGTGCAACTGGTGGCCTCCAAGAGGGACAAGTAACCGGCATCAGAGTTACGGATCGAGATGCAGAGGAGCTGGGAAGATGATGGTTCAGTCTTAGCAGCCTCTCGTCATGGCACAACGCCCATGGTACATAGTACATAGTACATAGTACACGGTACAGTACTGACCTTGTAGCCACAGAGGATGGAGGCAATGTGCATGACATGGTAGCGTAAGTCGGAAACCCCTATGTATGCCAGCGTCTCGAAATCGTCACTGTGGCCCAGCTTGCTTCGGATCCACCAAGCGGTGGCGTGGACGGCATTGTACAACTCAGCCGTGGTGACCTCTCGTGGAGATGAAGATGAAGTTGAAGATGGAGTTGAGGACGAAGATGGAGATGGAGATGGAGATGGAGACTTTGACAAGTCCAGGTCCAAAGTCTCAAACAGCAGGGCAACAGGCTTCCGTGGGTCGATCTTTGCTTCATCACGCAGGATGTGTGGAAGCAGTCTCTGGCCGTAGAGAGGGAGAGGCCGTGCCAGTGCTGCGTCTGTGATGCCAATATTGACATGTGTACTGTGGTCAACCACCATTTTTGCTGTGTGGCATCAACCCTCGGACGTACAAAGATCAAAGATCAAAGATGACTGTAAAGTAATGCTGGCGACCCAGGGTCCTTAGGCTCGATGAAGATAGATAGGTCTATCGACCGTACAATATCATGGGTTCGTTCATATTGCTTCCTGAAGTACAGTACAGTGCAGTGGCACTCTGGAACGGAGTCCAGTGACCGTCGAGGGCAGGCGCATGTTTGCCGGTAGCCGTATAGCCGTCCGGCTGGGGTTGAAGTCGACGAGGGCTAGATTGACCATTGCTGACGGTGAAAGAACTCCGCTCCGTGGGGCACAAGGCTAGCCCTAGGCCTGCCCCTTAGCCGCGGTGGAAAAGAGAAAAGAACCGCGGAAGACGGTGTATGTTGTATGCTGTACACACGGCGGCTTTCATATGCCGCATCTGGTATGACCAAACCCATAAAACCTGAGTCGAAGATGTAGGTCCTTCATTATACAGTAAGCCGGATATTGGTATTTGATATTTGAAAGCATAGCATCATCGGCATCGGTATCATCCAAGACATGTCGAACTCGAACCTCGAGGACGTAGGCCATGCCAACGGCTTGACGGTCAATGGGGTTGATAGCAAGCCGACCTTGAACGGTGGACACCAACACCAACAGCCCAAACAATCACAATCACATTGGCGCATGGGTCAGCCTATTCACACCGCACGGGATATGCGTGTTATCTGCATTGGGGCCGGAGCCTCAGGCCTGTGTCTGGCATACAAATTGCAAAGATCATTTGAGAAGTTCTCGTTGACCGTGTACGAGAAGAATTCCGAGTGTTCAGGGACGTGGCACGAGAACACTTATCCAGGGTAAGATACAACTGGTCTACATCTATATCTACACTACATCTACACTACATCCACATCTATATCTACTACTCCACATTACTGTCCTATGCTGTCCTTTCGCTGAACAAGCTGACCGAACCTCTCAAACAGCTGTGCTTGTGATGTCCCGGCTCACAACTACACCTACTCGTGGGAGCCCAAGTACGACTGGTCGGCAGTGTATGCGAAAGCGCCCGAGATCAACCAGTACTTCAATGACTTTGCAAAGAAAAACCGGCTCGAGGAATACATCAAGCTCCAGCATCAGGTGGTCGGGGCCCACTGGAACGACAGCAGAGGGGAATGGGACGTCCAGGTCACGGACTTGAGGTCGGGGAACGTCTTCGACGCCAGATGCGACATTCTGGTCAACGCGGCGGGCATCTTAAATGCCTGGCGGTGGCCGGCCATTCCAGGCTTGCACAACTTCCAGGGGAAACTGGTGCATAGCGCCAACTGGGACCATTCTGTCGAACTGGAAGGGAAGCGTGTGGGCTTGATCGGCAATGGGTGAGTTTGTTGTCTTCTCTCCTCTCCTCTCCAGCCTTTCTTCTTCTCTTCTTCTCTCCTCTCCAGCCTTCCCTTCACCCTTCATCTCGATCTTGATCTTGATCTCGGACGATGGTACGGTGTGGACATAGACTGAACGAGTACTCTACTAATACTCACTCTTAAGATCATCTGGCATTCAAATCCTACCCGCAATCCAGCCGATGGTGCAGAAGCTGGTTCATTTCGTGAGGCAACCAACCTGGGTTTCCCCTGTCCAAGGACTCGAGCAACACATCTACACGGAGGAGGAGTTGCAATCATTCCGGAACGATCCCAATCTTCTCCTGGAGTTGCGCAAGACCAACGAAACGAACCTCGACACCATGACCCACATTTTCAACCGATACGGGGAGGCACAGCGGGAAGTCCGCGACCTGATGACCAGACAGATGAAGGAGAAAATCAACCATCCAGACCTCGACAAGCTTCTGATCCCGGCTTGGAGCGTGGGCTGCCGCCGACTGACGCCGGGCGTGAACTACTTGGAGACTCTGACCAAGGAGAACGTCGAGGTGCATTTTGGCGAAATCTCTCGCATGACCGAGAAAGGAGCCGTTCTCGACAACGGAGTGGAGCATGATCTCGATGTGCTGGTCTGCGCCACGGGCTTTGATACTTCTTTCAGGCCCCGATTCCCAACTGTGGGGCTGGACGGCATCGATCTGCGAGATCTCTGGAAAGATGAAGCCAAAGGCTACTTGTCCTTGGCCGCGCCGAAGATGCCCAACTACTTTATGTTTCTTGGGCCAGCCTCACCTATCGGCAACGGGCCGGTGATCTCTGCCATTGGTAAGTGAAACTAGGTCCTTTTTGCTTTGTTGTGCTTTTTTTTCTGTGGAAGTAGGCCTTTTTTGGTTTCCTTTGGTTTCCTTGCTTTCCGTCCCTCTGCTGAAGATCAAGATGAAGATGAGATGAATATATATATATAACCTATAACTAACCAACGAGCAGAAGCACAAGTGGACCACGCTCTGATGATGTGTGACCGTTGGCAGACGGAAAACATCCACTCGTTTGTGCCCAAAGACGAAGCGGTCGCAGACTTCAACGACATGATTGACGAGTACATGGCCGACAAGGTGTGGGATGAAGATTGTCGGTCATGGTACAAGAACGGGAGCAAGAGTAACCGGGTGTCGGCGCTCTGGCCGGGGAGTTCTCTGCACTGTCTGGAGTTTCTGTCTCATCTCCGATCCGACGATTGGCACATCCGCTACGAGGGCAACCGGTTTGCTTGGTCGGGCAACGGGGCGAGCCAGACGGAAATGGATCCGACGGCAGACTGGGCATGGTACATCCGGAACGAGGACGACTCGCCCTTCATCAGCAAGGGAAAGCAGAGGAAGGTTCTGACCAAAAGCGGCAGTAAGAGTACGAAGAAAGCGGGTGATGCCATGGCCATGAACAACTTGGTGGGAGAGTAGCGCCTAAGTCTTCCGCCATGCATGGGAAGGGGAACCGTCTGTACAGTACCAGTATCAGTACTTCCTACACGTATAGAACTGAAAAGGAACCTGCTTTCTTGTCTGATCCGCTCCAAGGCCAGTCTTCCAATACTGTCGTATACACCTGTGTGCTGGAAACTGAAGTCCGAGAACTTCATGGTCCTGGTCCTGGTCCTGGTCCTGGTCTTGGTCCTGGCTCCACGAAGTAATGTCGGCTCGCCTCCCTTGCCTTGTATTTGCTCTGCCACCGTCCCCGTTCCTTTCTTCGGCAATCATTCACCATAGGTCATGGGGTACGGGGCGGAGAAAGGCCTAAGTTAGGAATGAATATGTTCTATAAGTAATAGCAACACGATACAACACGAAACGACACTTCCTATTGAACCAAAGGAAAAGCCTAAGCCAAAGCTACACTTTTCATCTCATCTTATCTCATCCCAGATGGCACCGCCCAACACCAACAGACATGCTCTCGTGTTTGGAGGCTCCGGGGTGACCGGGTGGGCAGTTGTCGACCAGCTGCTAAACGACGACCCGGCGTCAGGGGGAACTGGAACGTGGAGCAGGGTGACCGCTCTGACGAACCGGCCTCTGACTCTCGAGGCCTCTCAATGGCGGCCGAAGACTGGCCAGCTGCAAATCGTGTCAGGCCTCAACTTGTTGAAAGGGGATCAGGACTCGTTGGAGGAGGCAATGAAGAGCAAAATCCCGGATATCCATACAGTCACACATGTTTTCTACTTTGGTAAGTAACTGTGCTAGACTAAGGTCGAATTCTGCCCTTGAAGTCTGAAGCCTATACTCTGTACCGCAAAACGAAACGTGTTGAAGCTGCTCTGCTCTTCTCATCCCTACTCCTACTCCTGACGACGGATCGGATACTGACTTGACTGACTGTATACACTTACACAGCATACAAGGCAAATACCGATTTCGAGCAGGAAAAAAAGGATGCGGTCGATATGCTGGCTCGGTCGATCACCGCGGTTGACAAGCTCTCGCCGGTGCTGAAAGTCGTCGCTTTCCAAACAGGGGCCAAGGTGAGTACAGGGGCTGTACCTCTACTACTTTCTCTTTCTCTTTCGCTTTCATTTTCGCTTTCATTTTCACTGTCACTTTCTGCATCGATACCTCAAGAACAGTGTATAACGTTGGATTGGGGCATTAGATGTACGGCTTCCTTCTTCAACAAGACCATTACCTCCCTGTCCCTCTTCGAGAGAGTCTCCCGCGTCTCAAATCACCTTACAGCGACCAGCTGTTTTACCACGCGCAGCTCGACTGGTTGAGCGCCTACAGCGCCAGGAGGGAAGGGAAGGAGAAGGCATGGACGTGGTTCGAGACGAGGCCGGATATCATCATCGGCTTCGCACCGAACCATTCAGCTTACTCGCTGGCAACGTCTCTGGGGATTTACTTCTCGCTGTGGAGAGAGATCAACGGCGCGGGCAGCACGGTTCCTTTCCCCGGCACCATGAAAAGCTGGAAGGCCAAGCACAACGAGGCCGGCAGTGAGGCAATCGCAAAGCAAACCATCTTCCTGGCTTTACATCCCGAGGCCTACGTCAACGGAGACGCGTTCAACGTGGCATCCTCGCCCCAGTATGAAACCTGGGAAGAGAAATGGCCGCAACTGTGCCAGTACTTTGGTCTTCAGTCAGCGCCTCCGAGGGCGATGCCGAGGCCCAGTGACGATGAGGATCAGGATCAGGATCAGGCCAACAATGACGATCAGGGTCAGCATCAGCATCAGGCAAAAGAAGTCCGGGCTTACATCAACGACAATCAGGCCCGATGGCAAGAGATGGAGAAGAAGCATGGGCTCCGAACCGACATTGCCCAGTCCGAGGTGACGATGCCTGGGTTCGAGATCCTGCATCTGAGCCTCGCCGATTTTGACCGCCAGTACGATCTAAGCAAGATCCAGAAGGTCGGGTGCAACGTGCAGTATTCCATCATGGATACCTGGGGATGCACCTTTGACCGAATGAGGAAGGCCAGGTTCATTCCTTGACTACTGTGCCCTACCATATATGTCATAGGGTCCCGTCTCTTGGTGTAGAAGAGGCCACAACCATCGGGGTGTAGCTGTGTTTGTATTTGTGTTTCTGAAGGCCCAAAGCGGTGATGGGATGGTTTTATCAAACTTGGGCACTAACTTGGGCATTCCCAGCCTTGCCCTTGCCCTTTAACCAGAAGGCTGGTATAGGTACAGGCACACCCATATATAACCAGAAGGCTGGTATGGTATACATAGGCACACCTATATACTCTGGCCCGGGGCTCCCCCCATACGCTTTTGATAGAGAACATGGAACATAGAACATTTCAACCTTTGACATGATTGTGTTTCCGAAGGCCAAAGCCACAACCACCGGTGTGTAGCTGTATCAGTAGCTGTATTTGTGCTTGTGTTTCCGAAGGCTAAAGGCAGTGGTGGGATGGAATGGTTTGGGGTTCAGAGTTGAGTAGGGTCGGAGCTCTTTCACTCCTTCTACACTACCAGCACAGATGGAACATCATACCTATACCTCTACCTATCCCCATGACCATGCCTGTCTTCATACTCTCATCTTCATACTCTCATCTTCATACTCTCATCTTCATACTCTCATCTTCATACTCTCATCTTCATACTCTCATCTTCATACTCTCATCTTCATAGGCTATATAACTGTGACACACACACACACTCTCTCTCCCTCTCTCTCGCTCTTGCTCTTGCTCTCGCACACACACACACACACACACACACACCCTCCATAGTCAGAAGGATGACTGTCCCTCCGAGGAAGAAACACACACCTATGTATAACAAAACACAGCACCCAAACAATCCTCCTTACTGGCCATGGCCACTGCCAACTAAGCCGCCAGGTTAAAACCCTCGTAGTCATTGGTGGCCGAGTCCCAAATCTTCTTCCGGTAGGTTGGAAGGCCGGCCATGTAGTTCAAGGCCTCGCGCGGTTTCCCGGGGATATTGTCGCCGTAGTACCAGCTCTTGGCCTTTGTGAACAGACCCTTCTCGCCCATGTCGAGGGTATGGTCACGCCAGTCCTGTTCGGCGGCTTTGGTGGGCTCGATGCGGGTCAGGTGGTGGTCGCGCAGGTACGACAGACAGGCGGCGATCCAATCGCCCTGGCACTCGGCCGACGAGGGCCCCGTGGCGAAGGCGGTCGGGGCCTGCGGGCCGTACATCAGGAACAGGTTGGGGAAGTCGTTGACCATGATGCCGAAGAGGGTCGAGGTACCATTGCTCCATTTGTCCTTGATCGACTCCTTGGGGTCTGTGCCGCGGATGTCGATGGACGTGATGCCGCCCGTGACGCTGTCGAAGCCGGTCGCGGCGCAGATGATGTCGAGCTCGTGGAAGCCGCCGTCGGCGGTGCGGATGCCGGTCTCGGTCACCTCGACGATCGGGTTGTCGACCAGGCTGACCAGGTCGACGTTGTCCTGGTTGAAGACTTCAAAGTACTGCTTCTCCAGGCTGATGCGCTTGGTGCCGAACGGGTGGGTGGCGACCTTGGGCGCCAGGATCTCCTGGTTGCGCGGGTCGTGGATGCGCGGCAGCACCGTCTGGCGCCAGAACTCGTACGCCTCGGCGTTGGCCTCTTCGCTGAACAGCACGTCCGAGTACGTGCCCAGCCAGAAATGGAGGCCGCCGCTCTTCAGCAGGTTGCGGTAGAAGTCGGCCTTGACCTCCGGTGCCACCTGCAGCGCCGAGCCCGGGTCGAACTCGTAGTCGAAGCCGGCGTACGTGCGCAGGATGGTCTGCTTGGTGTCGTCGAACGTCTTCTTCCACGCCTCGTTCATCGCCTCATCGTACTGGTCGTTCCGCATCGGCAACGCCGTGTTGGGCGTGCGTTGGAACACCGTCAGGTGCGCAGCCTGCTTGGCCGCCTCCTGGATCAGCTGCACGCCGCTGGCCCCGGTTCCGATCACGGCCACCCGTTTGCCCGTCATGTCCAACCCGGTCTGCGGCCACAGCCCCGTGTGGTGCAGCTCGCCCTGGAACTTCGACAGGCCGGGGAACGGCGGGATGTACGGCTTCGACCCGAACCCGGTGCACACCACCACGTCGCGCGCCACCACCTCTTCGTCCTGCTGCTCGCTTGAGCTGGGCGTCGTGTTGGTGTGGCGGAGCTGGAGCGTCCATTGGTGGCTCTGCTCGTCCCAGCGCATCGCCTCAACCCGGGTGTTGAAGGTGATCAGTGAGCCCAGATCCCATACTTTGACCAGGTGCTGGAAGTAGGTGCGTAGTTCCGAGTAGTCGGGGAACCGCTGCGACCAGTTCCATCCCGTCCACGTCTCGTCCGACGTCAACTGGTATGTGGGCACCGGGGTGTCGACCCGCGCTCCAGGGTAACAGTTCCAATGCCAGATTCCTCCCACCCCGGACCCGGCTTCGTACAGATGAACGTCGAACCCGGCTTCTTTGAGTTTATGCAATGCATAGATTCCCGAGAAGCCTGCCCCGATCACCACGGCTTCCTTGCGGTTGGGTTCTACCGAGATAGACCCCATGGTGGAGGTGGAGGTGGAGGTAGTGGTAGTGGTAATAGTAATGGTGTGGTAGTCGTAGCGAAAGAATAGAAGAGGAAGAGGGAAAGGAAAGGAACCCCTGAATGGATAGGTCGTGAACTGTGGCTTTTCTTTTCTGATGAGTGAACCAAGTGCTCTTTGAAGGGAAACGTCTGTTCCTGTTCTGGTTCCGTTCGGTGAACTTCAGGCCAAGCGATCCCTTCAAGTCCTCAACCCTTCTTTTATAGACCGAGACCTGGGTGGACCGCTAAGTGGTGTGCTGTGCCCCATGTGCTCCATGTTGCACGCTGTGCACATACCCATCCATAGGCCATGGGGGAGGTTGTTGTTCTCCGTGTCTGCTTCGGGGTCCATTCGCCGCACCTTGCTCTGCAGGCCCTCGGCCGTAGGCGACCATCCTAGTCTGCTGTCAGGTTGGAAGGAATCCCGGGCCCAATTCTGGCCTTCTGCTGGTCTTTCTCTCGGTCATTCAATCCCAGCGAGGTTCGGCACGGTGACGCTGACGCTGACGGCGTCTATCAGCCTAGTCTATCAGCCTAGGTTCCATCTGAGGTGACGAATAGAAAAGGGGTAGGGGTGTTTTTCAGCCCTGTTGTCATACTGATAGACTCGGAAGTTAAGTTGAGCATGTGTGAGTTACGAAGAGCCTTTCATGATGTGTACCGCCTCCAGCCATATGTCTAGATTGTCACTGGCGCTATGTAGACATCTACGGGGAAGAGCAGGCTCCTCAGCGAGAACGAGGACAGATCAGATGCTTCCATAGACCATAGACATAGACCGTAGACAGACCAGATACTTCCTTAGACCATAGACATAGACCTCGGTAGGGAACAGAGGTCTGCGGTTAGAACACCACCGCCATGCGGGACTTGGACTTGCCACTTCGCATCAGGTCCATCATCTCGTGGATCTGCTCAAGCTTATACGGCTCGACCCTGGGCTTGATATTGTGCTTGGAGATGAAGTCAAGCGCTCGTGGCATCTGTTGTGGAGGGCCCGTACTTTCGCTTCGGATCTGATACAGCTTTTTCATCAAGTCCAACGCGGAGAACTGAATCGGTTTCGAGGGCAGGCCGATTACCATCAAAATGCCACCAATTCGCAGTACCTTGGCCGCGCTATCGTAGGCTGCCTGCGCGGCGCTGAAGACCACCGCGGCGTCGGCCCCTCCCCCTGTGGCATCTCTCACTTGCTTTTCAAAGTCGGCGTTTCTGCTGTTGACTGTGACGTCTGCTCCGCTCTCCTTGGCCGCTGTGAGCACTTCATCGTTGATGTCGAGGCCCACGACTTTCAATCCCATGGCTTTGGCGAAGCGGATGGCCATTTGGCCCAGACCTCCGCAACCCACAATCACCATCCACTGGCCAGAGCTCAGCCCACATGAATCGACTCCGTGAAAGGCTGCGGGGGATTCCTCTGAATCAGCTGATGGCGTAAATTTTAAACGACGCAGAAGAAGCAGGAAGAACAAGAACCAGAATCAGAACCAGAACCATATTTACCTGTAATTCCAGCACAGAAGTAGGGGGCAGAGCTGTCCATGCTGAGGTTGTCTGGGAGGATGATGGCGTTACGATAATCTACGGCCGCATACTCGGCGAAGAAGCCGTCGCATTGAAATCCTTGGATTTTGGCCGTGCCTAATTTGCAGTTGAGATTGTGCACCAGACATCCATCACACTCGACTTTTGGAAGCGGTCAGCGTCATGTTGCCGCAGGAGAGGGAGTGTGTGCGCTGGCACCAAGGAAGGGGTCACTTGGCTCACAGCAGACATCTTTGATATACAAAAACCCGATGCGGTCGCCGGGCTTGAATCCCTTGACGTTGGCGCCGAGCTTCTCCACGTGGCCCACGCCTTCGTGGCCCATCACCACAGGCTCGGTGGCAGGGATTGATCCGTCAAACAGCATCAGGTCCGAATGACACAAGCCTGCCGAGGCGACCTTGACCAAGATCTCGTTTTCATTGATGTTTGGAATCGGGATCTCATCTATTGAGCATGTATTCGTCTCCTGGCCTGGGTTAGCGCTTGCCTTGGCCGAGGAAGATGGAAACGAACAGGGTGATAGCGAGCCGCCTTCATCGTCGTGGAGGCCATCTGTATTTGTTTTTGTTTTCGCGAAATGTTCTGTAGATCTGAAGTCGAGATAATAGAAGGTCCTATGTAACTCCAAGCTCCAAGGTTCCAGGAAATGATGATTGTGGTCTCAGTCGACGAATCAAGATGGCATAGCAGCGCTCAGCGGTATTTCAACAAACATAACCGAGGAGGACTTTGGGGTGCGGCTTTTGAACTCCACTAGTTCTTATATCGGTCGATATCTGTGGACTCGCTATCTGAACTCCAGCATTGGAGATGGCGGCAGGCGGCTCAACAATTTGAGACGGTGTTTGTTCTTGGGACTGCATACATCACCTTCAACTTCAGTGTGACTGTCTGTCTTTGCTCCAGGTTATCCCATCCATACAGAAAGGGTATCAATGCCGACACAGTAATCTGCATAATCCGACGGTGACCATCATGTGCGGCAACTATCCTCCGCGTTCTTCCATAGAGCGATCTTCCCCACGCGACTCGGAGATCATTCCACGCTTTCACGCTTCCTCCATTTCCCCGCGGGGAAGGGGAAACGAGGGGACAGGAGGGGCAAAGACCGTTGCACCTATCCATGGAGAATGATACTGTAGGTAGCAGTAGCGCATAGACTCACAGCGCCTCTTCATTCCAGGCGTTGAGGGGAGTCGGCTCATATCTCATATGATCGTACTCCGTCCATGTATCCATAGGTACGTACATGTACACCATGTATGTTGTGCGTGCTTAGGTAAGTGTCTTGGCACGCACGTGATCGTAGCCTCGTGAAGAGGAATGCTGTTCCCCTGAGTCGATCTCAGCAAGCCCAAACCCCCGTACTGCGGGCCAAGTAGTGATTACCTAGCAATATTTGTATCTGTAGTTTGTACAGAGTACCTAGTATGTTTACACATTGCACACTGACCCATACCGGGCTATACGTTGCGACTCAAGCAACAACAGAAAGGCTCAGGGGCTGATACTACTAGGGGAGTGATGATAATAATAATAGGGGATTCCGTTTTTCCCCCCTAACCAGATATCTATCTCGGTTTAACCTGCTGTCACTGTGCTCTGCGTGGCTGTGACCTCAGTCGTCCCTTCAACCTCCAACCTCGCGCCTACTGTACCATAATGTATCCTAGTACTCTGTACCTATAGCTGGTAGTCCGGAGAAGTACAGTACAGTACAGAGCACAGAATACAGAATACTCTAGTTGATGAACCGAGGAGGATCCCTAATCCTGGTGACATCACAGCGCGAGTGCCCTATTATGTACAAGATTGATCACGTGATCCTTCACTACGTCCTTCCAGCCAATGACTGATCGCGCTCCCCGGATCACGATTTGTTTTCGCGGCCGAATTCAAGCACGGAAATGATAGCCGTTCAACTTGGTTGGGGTGCGCGACCTCGATGACGCAAGGTCACGACCCACGCTGACCTACATGGTAAACCTATTAGGTGCCTATCACCTACCACTACTGCTAGGTACTGCTACCGACGTCATGAATTTCGGGGGCATCTGGCATCACCCATCACTGACGCGCCATCATGGGCGAACCGTGTACGGGTAGGGTAGGAAGCTCTTCCCCAGAGCCACGGACTACACTTCATAAAAACCTCCCACTGTCCTTAGGTTTCATTCTCGCACATCGACATCGTTCTGAAACCAAATCATCGGATTGAGACGCTGTGTCCATATTCTATATTCCAGTTCTCGAGAGGCCGCACCGTACGCATCTCACATCTCACCATGCCTCATCTCGCACGTACCTTTACCCCGCTGCGGACGGTTACTGTTGGGAGAGTCTTCCCTTTGCGTTCCGCTGCAGCTCTGCATACTTCATCGGCCCGCGCAGCTCTGAGCGAAGATCACCTCCGTACGTTCCTTCCCTCCCCCGTATGGCTACATGCACCGTCGTCACCCTTCTGCAGGCCAGCACTGGCACTGTCATTGTCCTTTGCAATCTCCTTCCCTTCCATCAGACTGGCAAGTTTCGTCAGTCCTGCGTTACACTACCCTTGCTCTCTCGGTCGAACTCGAACAGCCGCTGACTCTTAGTGGAGCATGAAGATAACGAAGACCGCCATCACGAGATCGATCGCCACAAGTCTGACAGTGTCGAAAAGGCAAAGACCGGGAAAGGAGAATGGAAACCTGAGCTGGCATCTTCAAGCGAGCAAAGCGTTCACGGCGACAAGCACAACTTGACCATTGAGCAGATGCAAAAACTGGGCAGCGAGAAATCCAAAAGCTCTGGAGGAAGTGATAGCTCGACCGGTACCCACAAGTCATGAGAAATCGAAACCGAGGTGGATTGCTGTATTCGTCAAGACCAATACCAATATCTTTCCCGAGTTTAGTATTTGACGTCTAAGGTTGGTGTGGACGCCCGAGTTCTTCGCAGGAAACCCCAAGTCGTGCGAGGCGTCAACCATGTGTATATATTAGAGCTGAAATTGACGGCACCGAAGACATTCAAAGGAAGTTTCAAATAGTGACTACATGTATTTTTTGAACTTTTCTGTAAGGTCAACAGACATTCCTTCCGTTACATTTCTTCGTCCTTCATTCAACCTCGTCCTGTCCACACACCCAAGTAGAGAGTAGATGCCTTCAGTTCCAAATAGTAAAGTACCTAATAGTTGCGGGTCAGAGCATGTATCGGAACCCCGCGCTTTCTCCCTGGGCCTTTGTCATTCCTCCAATCAAAGTTTCTTGATCGCTTTCTGACTCTGCCCGGCCATCCACATCCTCCTCTTCCGACTTCCCAGCCACGAGGGATGAGTTCACGAGTTCATACTCATCGCTCCTTTGCAACTGCGAGAATCCATTTCTGCTGTTCTCACGCTGCAGGACGAGCCTCAACACAGCCGCCAACCCGGCCACGCCCAGAGCCATGAAGGCGGCGCAGACAGCCATGCCCGGGATGTAGAAGGGGCCCTGACTTTTCGGAAAGATATGAACGCCAATGAGGGGACCGCATTGGCCGACAACGTTCAGGATGGTGAGGCCTGTGCCTTTCCCCGTCGCGGTGGCCTGATTGTTCAATGTCCACGTGATGATCAGCGTCACCGATGCAAACAAGCCCATCGCAGCGCCATACACGGCCACATAGCGGATTGTGATGCTGCCTGCTTCCCCGATGGTTTCATGGAGGGACCCTGCAACGGCAATGCCGGCGTACGATAGAGCGCTGAGCAGCGCCGCGCCGATCAGGAACGTGGAGCGTGAGTCCGGTATCTTGTCGCTGTATCGGCCTACGAGAAGGACGAAGATGAAGGCGAAAAGATAGGGCGGGGCGGCCAGGGCCTGCGACGTTAGAGGAGAGAAGGACATGCTATTTATAATAGTAGGGAGGAAGACGGGGAGGGAACTGAAGGACACGTTCACGCTGAGGAACATGAGGGCGGTGAGGTATGATCTGGGATCGAGGATGGTGGAGAGGATGTCCTTGATGTTGAGGCGACGACCGCCAGACACTGAGGCAGCGCCGTGCGAAAGTGACTGACGTTGCTCTGCCTGAAGTCTCCACACCGCAACTTTGCGCTCTCGCGCCGTTAGGTACGGGGCCTTCGCCGGAGAATCGGGAATGTAGTACCACGCCGCAACAGCCGTGATGATGGACGGGAACCCTTCAACCAAGAAGAGTACCCGCCACGGTGCAATGGGCCCATTTTGGCTCACTTTCACAATGACCCAGGCCACAGAACTCGCGAAACTTGTCGCCAATGGCGCAGCCGAGATCTGCAGTCCAACCCGGTACGCCAATTCGGAGCGCTTGTAGAAGAAGGTCATGTAAAAGGGGACGCCTGGGCCAAAGGCAGCCTCGGTGATACCCAGGAGCCCACGCAGGATGAGCAGTTCCTTGAAGGATGTAGTCAGACTTTGTAGGCTCGCGACCAAGCCCCAGGACAGCACACACATGGAAATGTAGACGTGTGGGGGCACAACTCGGTACAGGAGAATCATCCATTCAAAGGCGATGTAAGTGATGTAGAAGGCGGTCAGGAGCCAATCGTACTGTGAAGACGAGAGCGAGAGGTCCTTGTCCAGGCCTGCGATTCGGGCATTGCCAATATTGGACCGGTCGAGAAACGACAGCATATAGAGAAACCCCAGGAACAAGACGAGCTTGCGGTCCAGCTTACGCACGACGGCGTCCTCCTCTTCTTGTGTGCACCGTCCATGTTCATATTCTGGCCGGGCTCGCTTCAGCGGATTGACGAATATCTTTTCTTCGTCGCCGTCGCTGTCGGACGGCTCAGATCCCTCGTCGCCATCTCTGCGGTGATGGCGGTGGTGATGTAGTGTAGGCAGCTCGACCGCGTCTTCACCATCCTGGCACCGGGTTCCGGTTTGGGAGACAGAGAAGGGTACGGGAGCGGGGGTAGGAGTGGCGTTTGAGCTCGACGGCGACTCATCAGGTTCGCCCGAGTTCATGGTGAGCTACGACTGACTACCTTCGGGCGGCGCTGCTGACTGATGGCGGTGGTGGCGGTGGTGGCGGTGTTGGTGGGGGCGTTGCTGTGTGTCTCCATGAGACGTCGAAGAGCTCGACGCAGTAACATCAGCTCCCACCAAGGGTCAAAAGATGTGCAGGATCATGGCGACCGGGGGACTCTGCGGGAGACTGCAGTCGGTGTTGGTCCGACGAGCGAAGGCCTCGTTCGAGAGTGTGAATTGAGGTGAGTGAGATTAGGTGCGGTGCGGTGCAGTACCTAATACGATGCAGTGGGCGTAAACCAATCATTGTTCAAGCTTCTGCACGAGGACGAGGACGCAACATACCTGCACCTGCGCCTGCGCCTCTACCCTTCCCTCTGCCTCTACCTCTCTCTACCTTGTCCCTCATCAACTTCAACCTCTCCTGTCATTCCGTCCAGGCTGTTCTGCTATACGGAGTACTCCGTACACCATAGCCAAATCCCATTGAGGAACAGAGGATCGTCATGTCTTACTGTCTCCCTGAGCCTGGTTGCTAGCTCTGTTCCATTGCCACTACTACTTGCCAGGGCTCTCCTCCACGAACCACAGATCACAGGCCACAGATCACAGACGCCGTCCGTGAACAGCAAAAGCGTTCAATGTCAATGCGTCTTGTGGGAAGAAAATCAATTGCGAGCAGACCAATACCAGCCCGTCGGTCGGTAGCTGATTGGATCTGTCTTCTAGATTCAATATTTAATGGGGCCAGACCGCCTTCAAGATCTGTCGTTGGTCCCTCGACACGATGCGATGCCTTTCCCTTTTCAGGGGCTCGTCGCGCACCAATTTCCCAAGTGGATGAAACACGGGGGAAGCGGAGGCTGAGCAGCCACACCGTCGCCAACCATGTCTAGCAGCGTCAAATGGGTCTTTTGACTCTTTGCTACTTGATAGTCTGTATCAGGCCCCGAAGGTTTGCTTTTCATCTCTCTTCTTGACTCGATTTTCATCACCTTCAGCTGGCCTGTTGACCTTTCATTGCTGTTCACCGTCGCTCATCTCACCTCGTCGCTCACTACAGTCAGTCATTATCCATCGCTGCCACTATCCCACAGTACCCAGTACCTCGCAAAATTTCAATCACTCCTTCAAACTCTGAACCCCAGATTCAGAGCTTGAACAACGTATCTTCATCAAGATGCGTTCAGTCCTCGTCTCGTTCTGTGCCGCCGGCCTGGCCACATTTGCGCATGCCTACACCCAGCCAAAGGCATTAACGTGGGGTCCTCTGCTCACCCCGTCCCTGAGTGATGTACGTTGATCATGCTCCTGCTCATGTCGATGCCGTACACTGACCGGTCAGCCGGTTAATCAAGGAAAGCAATTTAACGTCACTTGGGACCCCGAAGAACATCCCACCGATGGGGTCACCGTGAGCCTTGTTCTCTGCCGTGGTCCTCCTTCCAACTGCGTGCTGGCAGATACGGCGATTGCTTCGGGCATACCAGCCGGCCAGAAGTCCTACGACTGGACGGTTCCGTGCGACTTGGCTCCCGGCGGGGATCACGGCATGCTAATCATTGTTGACGGCACTGGTGAATACCAATGTAAGGAAACATCGGCATCGGCATCAGATAGCCCTTGCCCTTCGGGATCAAGTCTAACATGTGAATGCCAGACTCCACTCAATTCTCCTGCCTCGAGAACCCGAAATGCTCCAGCGCGACCCCCTCCAACACGACCAGCTCCGCCACCGCCAGTGGCTCAGTCATCATTCTGCCACCGTCTCAACAGACTGGTTCATCATCAGCGCCCGGAAACAGCACGGCACCACCTACCACCACGGGCACCGACGGGTGGGCCAGCGCAACCACGATCATCACCTCAGGTTCAACGACATACACTGTTGGCTCTGGCTCGACCTGGGCCTCCAATATTCCAGGCACCACAGTCATCAATTCCGCCAGCCCTGCGACCACTGCTGCTGCAGGCACTTCGCTGGCCAGCGGCTCCACAGGTTCGGCATCAGCGGGAGCAGCGAGCCCTTCAGCTTTCGCGGGAGGTGCGGGACAATTGGCATGGAACACTGCTGGTGTTCTCGTCGCCGGCGCGGCTGCTTTGTTCATATTGTAGCAGTCGGAGCGCTCATGTTGAAGGCTGCCGCACTGGGTCAAGGACACTGGCAGTGACTTTGGTCGACGGATGCAGCAGTTGTTTTGTCACACGGGGCGGCACTTGGGTTGCGTTTTATCTCTTCCATAAAGCGAAGGCGTATGTAGAGGTAGAGGCCAATTGCTGGTATTCATTAGATCTTTTCACTATCGGAAAGGCTGAGCCTTCCGCCTCCTCCCACTGACTGCAGTGCTAAGGTACGACAAAAGGTTAAGGTGTAAGGTAAGGTTGCAGTAGTAAGCAAGATTTAAGCGACACCAGCGACAATGCAAAAAACAGTTTTCGCAGGCAGGCATCGGCCATGATTCGCTTTGGAGGCTGGCGGGTGGCACCCCTAAACGCGTGGCTGTCTGGCTGCTCGCCTCAGCCGCAGCTGAATGAGTCTGGCACCAGCAAACTCGAGTTGCCGGCAGCCTCCTACTACGTACTTACTCTGTTACTAATAATAATCATAGATGGCAAGGCGCGTCATGTGGCTTCACCACCACCACCCACAGTGGCAGGCTGTCCCTCCTCTGTCCTCTGTATATTTCGACTGCCCTTTCTTTGCAATATTCACTGGTCACTGTTCACTTCGCACGTCTCCCTCACGCCCTTGACCATACTCCTCTACCAGAGCAGAGGATTCCCCCCACTACCACCCCTCGGCCTTCGGCCTTCGATTCCCATCCCCCCATACTCGCAGTATACCGAAATGGTGCTCCTAGGCGGCCTGGAGCTCGTTGCGGCAGGATATATCCTCAAGGAGATCGGGAAAGACAGTAAAGCCGAAGAGGAGGAGAGGGAGCGACAACGCGAGCGTGAGAAGCGCCGCAGGAGGCGCCGCCATTCTCGCGACGATCATGACCACCACCACCACGGCCGGTACGAGGGCTCGCCGCCCAGTCGACCCAGCCGGCCTCAGTATCAGCAACAGCAACAGCAGGCCTCGCAGCAGCTCAGGCCGCCTCCGCACCCTGCTGGGCCTCCACGACCGTACAGTGCGCCGCCGCCACAGAATCGTCCACCGCTGGTGACGCCGTCCCCTTCGGGATGGCAGCCTCCTCAACAACCACATCCTTTTTCATCTCAACCCCAGTTCCATCCCCCGCTACAGAGCCAGGGAACTTGGCCGCAGCAGCAACCGCAACTGCAACAGTGGCAGCAACCGCAACGGCCACAGCAAATACCTGTCCAACGCCCCAACGGTAACAGCAACAACGTCTTTGTTCCACAGCCCCCCCAACCCTCGGCGACCTGGTACCCTCCGCCAGGAATGCACATCGACCTCAAGACCGGCAAGGTCCAGACGAACATGTACCCGCCCGAGATGCTCGAGACTCAGACCTCAAACCAACCGCAGAAGCGGCGAGACACCGCAGATAGCCGCGACCAGAACCGCAACGACGGGCGACAGCAGCAGTGGGGACATTCCATTTCATCAACCTACACCCAGCCGCAACACAGCTACTCGCAGCCTCAGATCAACGTTACGCCCGCGGCAATGGCTGCAGACCAAGGGCGGCCCTCGTTCTCCAGTCCGCCACCACCACAAGGTTTTGCTGAACTTGATGCCGAGACGCCCGGGCGGTATAGATTATACGGGCACGAGAAGTCGAGGACCAAGTCAAATTCATTCTCGGGTCGTCACGCCCGGGACCAATATGACTATGAGCATGATTTGCACGATCCCCCGCCGGCGTATCGGGAGTAGAAGGAACAGAAGATTGTTGGGGAGAGATATCCCTCGAATGGAAGGTGACACATGAGATCTGATTCATGAAAATGACTTGAATGATTTGATTTGAGATCTGACGACAACGAAAGCGAAATCAACCGGAAATGCAGACTGCTAGCTGGCCTAGCGAATTGTTAATGGACGGTAGCTCGAAGTTTGTACGCCGATAGATTGGGTCCAACGAGCACGAGATTGTTCCCAGTTCTAATCTAGTGTTGGTTGTCTTGTTTGACAACTCAAGAAAAATGCAATGCAAAACAGACAGAGGATGATCGATCTTTTTTTGCGACCTGTGAATGACATGCTCCTTATCGTAGCTAGCGGCATACTGCCTGCACCCTGGCGTGGTCGAGGCCAAAAATACATGATACTTTGTGACATGCGTTGCCTCCGAAACACTTCCAGCTCAGTTGTATCTGTAACCCATGAATCCTGGATTTTTGTCTCAGTATTCCACCACGTCCCCCGTGGACAAGTTTTAGCAGTATGGACGCCATTCTCTCCCATTCACTATGCTTCATTTCTTTCACTGCTCTTTCGCCGACGTGGCAGATCTAAGCATGAGCCATAAGGCCTGCAGTCTGCAAGGCAGTTCCATAGAGAGTCTGCTCTGTGCTCTGATCTGCGAGTCGATTCAGTTGATGGCTGCTCATCGTTGGTGTATGCGGCAAAGGAGTGTTGGTGGCCAGCATCAGCAGGACTGAATCTTGCAGTGCACTGGTATCAACAATCCGACCACGGGTTTCGACACACGACAGGGTAGGACGCGGTCTTCTGCGTCTGAATATGAGAGAGCGAGACGGTCGCGACGTGTTAGTATTTGAACCAAGGCTAGAGTCAGTATCGCTAACAGTGGACGGAGTCGAAGAATCTTCAAGTCGAGCTCTTGCTAAAGCCTTCCTGACCGTCTGTCGGAAGCCACTCCGCTTGCGCACAGAATGTGCATCGCCGACCTGCTGGCCCGATATTGACCCATCTTCTAGGTCAACGCTCATTTCAGGGACGCTGTGGTGGGATTGAAATGAGTTAGGAGTGGTTTGAGCATAGAATCGCGGAAGTGCTGGCAGCTCAATCGCAGCGACGGTTCTGGCATCAGACAATTTGCGATTCTCCAATTCCCATATCGGGGGAAGCTGCACTGGATTGTTCAATATGTGGTTAAGAGACTGGCAGGCACGCTCGCGATAGGTTGGGCGGCAGTTAGGACAGACTTTGAAGTCACAAATTTGGTCGGCGGGTAAGGTTGTGCCTCGAGAGAGTCCAGAAGGACTCGATGGTGGTTGCGTAGATTGGTACTCGGGAGGAGGTACTGATGGCTCTGACATCCACGCTTTCTGCAATTCTTTCCAATCATATGCTGCCTTGATCTCTTCGTCAAGCGAAGCGGTAGAATTTGTTGAGAAGGTGGTGCTTTGAGGCAAAATCGAAAACGTACCCTCGGATGAAGATGAGGTGGTGGTCGAAGTTGAGGAAGTAGGAGGTCGACCACCTGCGCCGAAAATGGCCTCCCTAACTCTCTCTTTTTGCTTTATCAAAGTTTTGACCTGGTCGCTTGTGTATTGCCCGTCCTCAATTGCCTTTACAATTGAGGGACTGAGACAGTGTGCATTAAAGTCAAGAGTAACAGCAGGCCTGTTTGCGGGGGCGGTCTGGCTCGTGAAATCGAACTCGGGCAGGAAGCCACTGTGATCTTGTGTGCAGCGATACAGCCAGCCGACATTGGGGTGCTTGCTGCATACGGAGCATGTGAAGGAGCCCAGAGGGTCGTATAGACGCGTCATGGTGATGTGAGTACATGGATGGCGTTTTTCGTGAGGAACTCTGCGTGGAGGCATGATCAGGCTGCCGGCTTTCGCACTTGCGAGTCACCGAAAGCTGAGAGCACAAAACTTGGGCAATGGTCGAGATCGAATCAACGAAGCAAAGGGAAAACAACAACAACGCATTGCAGAACGCAGAACGCAGACTGTGATGCGACAAAGGCTGGAAACCCACATGAGAGGAAAGCGCAGTTGAGACGAGAGGGAAACAAGCTGCCAGTCAACAGAGGGTGCGGCAGTGAATGAAAATTGATGGATGCATCCTCTGTCGCTCCTCGCTCCTTGGTCATGGAGCCTTAGGAACAAAGTCTCCTTCACCTTGCATCTCGTCCGGCCAGACTGACCTTGCCGTGTATGTCACTTTCCACTTGAGTCCTTCCACTGTTCTTCTATGTTGGGCTTTGACTCCATCCATGGACCACTGGCAGCCAGCCCCATTCCAGACCACGCCGCCGTCAGCCATCAGCCATCAGCCATCGGCCAGTACAGGGTCGAGGACAATGGGCCATCATTCAAAATACATTTTGCAGCCCCATTGACTCACATGGTAGGCACCGTTCTCCCAACGTAATGGCTAGTAGCTACTGAGACGCTTGTCCGTACTCTGTACAACTCGAGCAAGTCCTCCTGGCGGTGGCAGTACGAAAGAAACTTGAGGAAGTCGTAGTAATAGTAGTACTAGTAGTACTAATGCTGGAGATCACGTGCTTCGGCTGCGCGGTGGGCTCCGAGAGAGTTGACGACTTTTTATGTCAGTCTTCCGTAATACGGAGTACGGAGGAATGTTAAGCGTTACCATTGGTGGCGCTAGCCACTAGCTACCGGCTTAGCAGTTAGTTCTGAGTTAGGCCCAAGGACTAAGTTGTAAGTAGCCCAAGCAGCCGCCTGGCGCCTGGCACTCGCCATGCCACCAAATACAGCCTACAGAATCCTCCGTACGGATACAGATTACGGAGTACAGACTAGACTGAAAGATCCCCAGCCGTGCTCATCTGCGTTGCCGACGCCCGGCCAACCTCATCCTGCTGGCTTCGTGTCTCAAGTGCCCGTTGCCCGTATCGCATCTTACCCTTTCGCGCTCCTCCCGTCGCAGGAACGCGTTTCCTTCCACTCTCCCACTCTCCCACTCCTCCGCCATATTCCTCCATCGTCAACATCACTCCTCTACACTCGACACTGTTGAAACAGATCCTCGTCAACCTCGCTCCACACCCACTCGCCACCTCTTGCCGGTGTTGTATGTTATGCTGTCCCTGTTCACCCCCACACGGCCGCCACACCCAGCCTCGGTCATCTTGCTTTTGTCAACAACACTCCCGTCAACCCCGACCAGGACCCCTCCGTCATTACTGACCCCCGTTAAACAAGTGGCAGACTCCTCTGCTGATACACTGTGACAGATCCTATCCTGCCTTCCTTTTCACCTCGGTCTTCGCGATCAAGCCTCAACCCTCGCAGGCGCATCAACCACCATGTCGGTCAAGTTTGAGAAAGAGCAAATCCGAACAACGGCGCCTCTGGTCCCGGGTGGCCGTAATGAGAGCACAGCGCACAAGCTCGGTGAAGCTCTAACAGGTGGAAAGCAACAGACTGGCTATCTTGCTGTACGCATCGCCATTGTTCGAGAAGCATTGCGTGGAATACTCATTGTTACATGATAGGCCTACCTCAAACAGCTCCAATCAAATCCGCTGCGCACAAAGATGTTGACCTCGGGGACATTATCTGCTCTGCAAGAACTTCTAGCCTCGTGGCTTGCCCATGACCGCAGCAAGCATGGCCACTACTTCAGCTCGAGGATTCCCAAGATGGCCATCTATGGCTCCTTCGTCAGTGCGCCCATGGGCCATTTTCTCATCGGCTTTCTTCAATGGGTCTTCGCAGGCCGCACAAGCTTAAAGGCAAAGATCCTCCAGATCTTGACCAGCAATTTGGTGGTACGCATCCCATATCAATCCGCATGACCGCGCTTGCCTCCTAACAGTCCCTTGTAGATTTCTCCAATCCAGAATACCATATATCTAGCCTCTATGGCCGTCATTGCTGGCGCACGTACCTGGCACCAGATCCGTGCCACCGTCCGTGCTGGTTTCTGGCCTGTCATGAAGGTCAGCTGGATCACATCTCCAATTGCTCTGGCTTTTGCCCAAAAATTCCTCCCGGAACAAACGTGGGTTCCGTTCTTCAACATTGTCGGTTTCTGCATCGGCACCTATATCAACACCCACACCAAGAAGAAGCGACTCGCAGCATTGAGGAAGAAGGTTTGTCTTGTCGTCCTCTGACTGTCATCGTAAATGGAGCTGACCATCAAATAGCATTATGGAGATGGCAGGAGCTCGTCTGGCCGTCCTGATGAGAGACACTAGGCAACGTTTACCTAGGTGGAAGGCGATCGGTCCCAGCACCGCCCGTATCTTTGAAGTTTAGCCTTTCTCATGGCTCTCCTTCACGGTGTGCTACATTCTACTTGTTGGTGGATTCGGACTCGGAAATACGTAGAAAGAAGTGCCGGCGCATTGTGAGGCTTGTGGTACCACGTCGACGTGTTGGAGTTTTGATAACATGTTCATGTTATGGACTAAGGTAGTCTGTGCTCGCCCCAATCTGGTTCCGGCCGCCCATAATGATGCACAAATCCCTGTGGTGTATCCTCTCACCATAACCTAGTCTTTAATAATGCTACGTGCTACACTACATATCTCGAAATAGCTGGCTAGTTCGAACTTCACTGCTCTACCTAGTACGAGTACGAGGAATCTCATCATGAGTTCGATTCGCACTGACGCGCCGCTACAAGGACCCGAGGAGTCCAGAGTCCACAGCCATGAACAGTGGTCGCATCAACATCAATTTGCTAATATACGTTACGTGCAAACGGTACGGAGTGATAGTACCAGTACTGCTCATGTCTTCGTTTGTGTATTGGTGGCTATGTGCAATAAATAACCTCGTCTCCAATGCGCCGGGCCGGAAACAGACGGAAAACTTCAGAGGCAGGACTTCGGTGACCGACAGAGCCGTCACTGTGGATCAAACGCCACATCAGGCTACATAGGAATAGGTGTTGCCCTCCTCGCGCTCCATGTAATCCTTCTCGATCAGCCTAGATGGTAGATGGCAATGTCAGCAGCGGTCCCAGTCGCATGTCAAAGACCAAAACTGGAAACGGGACGACTGGGTGGGTAATCAGAGTATACCGAGGATCGAGTAACTTACTTTTCGATGTTTCGCTTGATGTCAGCCTGGTCCAGGACGCCGCGAGACATGGTTGCTTTGATGACTTCGACGATCAGTTCGTTGTGGCTGATCTTCTTGCGACTCTTCATGATGCGTACAATGGCCGCCTGGGTCTCGTAGTGCCGATCGGCCGCGACGCGTTCGTGTGTTTCCTTGTTCTCCTCCTTCGTCTCTTTCAGCTGGATCTGGTTGATCTTGATGCGCATTTTGGCGTCAACGAATGCCGCGTTGAAGGTGAAGGTGTCGGTGTCGTTGACATCCCGCCCTTTCGGATGCTTCTTGAGAACATGGTACTTTGCACACGCAAGCGACTGCACGGTCCGGCGTAGCTCCGCATCGACAAGGCCAGTCGAGGCCTTGATCTCTGCGTACGACAAGTGTTTATCGACCGGGATGTCGTTGAAAAGCAGTAAAACAACAGCTTGGAAGCCTGAGACGACCAGCTCTTTGTATCCGCGTGGGAAATTTGCGCGCAGCTGGCAATGTGCGAGGGAATGCTTCCAGGTGAGCTTCCGTCCGCTATGTTTGGACTTGTAGTGTGTCTCAAAGTCCTCCATGACCTTTGCTATCTCGGATGGAATGTTGACGGCGACGTCTGGGTACGTGGGCCACGCAGAAGCAGACAGGACATTGACTTGTAGGTCTGGACTCGGCTTGATGCCTCGATCGTCTAGGAGTTGCTTGTACGACATCATCTCCTCGCGAGCCAGATCCATGTCTTTAAACATTGATTCGAGGTTATGCGTGAAGGCAGCGCCGCATTCGTTCTTCAGGCGCGTGAGCATATTTCTTTCGGCGTCGAATGATGCGCTCCGACCCATGAGCAGACGACGAGCCAGATCTTTTTTGTAGAATGCCTCAAATACAGCCTTGCCGTGGACAAAACGAAAGAGGTCCAGCGCATTGGACAGATGCTGGTTGATTTCGGCATCCTCGCCCCCTGGCGCATCATCGAAATCATGCTCCTCTTCGGGCTTTGATGGATCCATTCGACGTGTTTGGAGACGTGGAATAGCTTTCACTCCACCCTTGAGCAACAGATCGACGTGCTTCGCTATCATTTCTCCTGGTTTGGCGTTGTCCGTATCCCAGTTTGACTGCGACTTCTTGGTCTTGTTGATAAAAGTCTCGAATGCTTTATGCAGCGCATTCCCGATGACCTCGTTGTTTTGGAAGGAGTATTTGAGAAAATGGTCGAGCCTGCTCTTGAACTCGAGCAGCCGAACCACCATCTCCGACTCTCGCTTTTCGTCGAACACGATCAGGGATCCTTCTGTCTCGACGAATTTGCTGAAGGGGGGAGCAAGTATCTCTCCATGTCTCTTGCGCTGTAGCAGCGTGTAGAGTCGCTCCAGCTCTTCGTATTTGTCGTCCTCGAAAAGATCTAATATACTGTCACCGTTGGTAAGGACATCGAGTTCCTCTTCGATCAGAATATTGTCAAAGAGATCTGCGACGAGCGCTCTTGTACTTCGATCAAATGTCAAGAAATCGCATCGAGACATCTCGCGGGTAAGAAGATCAGTACAGTTGTTGACGTAGTCAGAAAGATCGTCCTTGTTGGCTTTCGTTTGGCGCCATGTCCTGAAGTACTGTTCGGTAGTCGAGACGAACACAGGCTCGAAGTCGCCCGTGTAAATGCTCAACTCATGCAACGCGTCGATGGATTGGCGTAAGAGACTGGTTTCGTTCTCGCTCAGATTTCCTCCCCTATCAGAGTCGATGAGTGTGACGACCCCGGACAGGACCTTCTGCCTGATGAACTGGTCTTGAAAGACGCAAGATCTGAACTTGATCAATCCCATCTGTGTGATACTTGGGTTGTCTGCGGACCGTAGCAGGTATGTTTGATCCAAATAGTAGAAGATCTGCCGGACTGTCAACAACTGCTTCTGCCATGTTGTCCAAGCATTGACAAAAGCCCGGAGAACTTCGGCGTCCGGAGAGCTTTCCTCATCTCGCCGAATGCCATCCCTCACATGCTCGATAAGGTGTAATTCGCACTTCTTGCCCAGCCGGTTGTACAGTTCCGGGGCATTGCCCTGCCGACAGACATTCTCGGCACCCTTGTAGAGTTCTTCTAACGAATATGCTTCTTTCTCCTTGTTGAAGATGGCATCAAGAGCCTTGTCCTCTTGCACCCATATCTGCTCAAAGTACTGCGCAGGGTCTATCCGAGGAACAGTCCGAAGGTTCTTCACGACCAATTTCCTAGGCCCTTGGTGAGGATTGAAAGGTGTTCTCGGGTTGGCGAATGATGCTTTCCTCTTCTGTGACTCGGGAGACGAGGGTGAGGCCGTTAAGTCGACGACGTTACTCGTGACGGATTTGGAAGGCGTAAACGAATACATGTTGGCGTATGAGGTCTTCGCCGGTTGTGGAGTAGTGGTTCCCATCTTTCTCAGGTTTCCGTCACTGTTCCCGTCGGCCTGGCTGGTTCGACTGTTATCATTCCAACTGTTGCTTTGCTGGGATGACAGGAGGTCGGCAATGGAGACTCGGGGTTTCTTGGAGGCGGTGGAAGCAACCCTGTCCTCGTCGTCAATCTTTCTCTTTGCAGAAGACGTAGACGCGGTTCCTCGTTCCGGTGCTTTGCCCTTCCTTGATGTAGTCATCTAAGATTGTGTCAGTCGATTTGATGGGCTGAGCGGAGAGGGTTAGAACAGGAACTGACTATTACGGAGTACGGATACGTTCAGCTTAATTACTGTACTCCGTACTGCGGATCGATAAATGAGAGCCACCAGCCCACCGCGGCAATTGGTGGACTGCCTACCAACATTAATAACTACTAGGTACCTCACCACAGCTTATGGCATACAGTACGGAGGTACTTGCGTGATGTTCTGAGGGGCTCAGGCCCTATTTGCCCTCAGGCTTAGGCCCGGGTGCAAGTGTAGCACCTCGGCCTTAGGCCTCACGCCCAATGTTCTGCCGTAGTGGCAACAAGCTCCAAAACGGTGGAGTAAGCCCAACAACACGTAATTTTAAGTACGACACGCTCGACGCGTTCTGCCTGCGGTCCTTGCGATGGAAGGCGTTTTGATACATACCCGCAGGCGTCAGCATAGAGAGACCGACCCTCGCGCAGATTGAACGCAAGCCGACAAGAGACCGACCCCGCGCAGATTGAACGCAAGCCGACAACATCAAACAGCAAACAGCAAACTCTCTCAAGATGAGCGGTTCCATGTCAACTCCTCGGATTCTGCCGGCGCATCTCCATGCCTTCGCCCCCGGTAGCAGTGCTCATAACACCGTCCGCATTATGGGGATCATCAGCACCGTAAGTGGGGACCAGGCCACGCTGACCTGCTTAAACGACGCAGTCACAATCCTGCTGAACAGGTAAAGGTTACATGGAATTTGCCCAAAGGTTCCAAGGGGCTGACTGCGAGCAGAGACTCTCACCTTTCAGTGGGTTCGATGTACGAGGTTGTCGGGAAAGTCGTCAACATCGAGGGAGGACATGGTCTTGGGTTGCGAGTGCTGAGCAGCACAGAGTGGCCGCGAAATGAACAAGGGCAATTACCGGATCTCAAACTCTACGAAGCTGTGGTGGACTCTACACATCGCTACAAGAGCATCTTTTATGATGATGGCGAAGCCGGTACGGACACCGGACATTGAGGTACAGCATCACAATGGGTCATTTTCTAGCTTGGGTCACGCACGAGATGAGGCGTTAGGGGAAAAGATTGACATAGTAGTTAGAGCTCAGAGCTCGAAGTGCTGTACTACAAAGATCCATCATATTACTTATGAAAAGTCTGCTGGCGAGAATGACCAGCGGTGTGGTAACACTGGACAAGGATCCTTATTTCTGGTATCATCCATGTCATAAGCCCCTGACGTTAAAGCCTCTTCCAACTCCGCAATACACAATCAATCATAGACGCATACAGTCGAAGCAATTCGATTTCCACCAAGTCAGACTGCCATGGCCACGCTGGCCACAGCTCGTTCATTGCGCGTGTGGTTTCCTAGGACTTCTCCTTAATAAATGAGAAAGCTTTGTTGTTCCGGTCAGGCCTTCAGTGTCTGGGTCCGGATATGTCGGTTGCCCATCGTGGGGAGTTCCATTCACTGAAAGCATACCATCCCACAAAGCGTGCTCGTGGGTGTCCAAAAAGCTGAACAATCCTGGAGGTGGCGAACTGGGCATCGTGACATTGGCGTGAAAAGGATCATTGCAATCGCTGTGTAATTGGTCCGTCGTCAACTCAGAGAAGCTGAAATTGACCAACTGCTCGTTCGACATTGGGGAAGAGTTCTTGAGAGATGGCAAGTCAGGAAAGTCAAAGCAGAGCGCCTTGTTCGGAGTACTTTTCTTCGATGAGCCACGTAGGAGAGATTTGTTTTCCTCAGGCAACTCCAACGGTAGCGGAAGATCACTAGTCAACGCGTCGTGGATTGATCGCGAAAAAGGAGTCATTTCCAGCACATCCTTATGAGCGGTGCCTAACAGCGCTGTCAGTGCCGGATGTGTTGCTGACTTTGCCTTGGGAGTGCGGAAGTTAGGGTGCAATCCAGCATTGGGTGACAAGCCAGCGCCGAATTGACGTTGAGGTGTCTTCGAGGGAGTCTTCAGCAGCAATCGTTCAGAGCGCCTCTTTGGAGTCGGAGTCATAGGAGGCAATTCCACATCAGCAGGCCCCTCCTCGAACAGATCAGCGAGGCCGTCGTCCACGACAGTAGGTGCTGGGGCTGGAGCGATATTTTCTTTCCCATCCGCAGATATCTCAACAACCCCTGCTGACAGCGCAAAGACATCTCTGGTCTTGTTGAGCCTTGGACTCCGTCGGACGAATGCGGGAAGGCTAATTGTGGCTTTGGAAGACGACGTGGCTGGGCCTGGATCAGACCGGACCTGTACTTTGTCTGGCGACGGAAAGAGCTGCCTCCGTACGGGCTTTGGTGTCAGATCTATCTCGATGGGTACTCCTTCGGATCCATGTGCCTGTCCAGGGCTTGACTGAACCTGCCTTCCGTGGGCTCGATGGCGAAAGCTTGCCTGCAATCCCCTTGGTCCAGGTTCAGCACTACTAGCTCTGAACGTGTGCGGCATTTGAGGCAATTGTGGTTCAACATTGTCAGCCATGTAGTCATCGTTATTTGTTGCTTCATTTTCGTTTTCTTCAGCATCCGGAGCTTCGGTTGCGAAATCGGCCGGTGAAGAGTCATCACTCGCTGGGGTTTGGGCGTCACTCTTCAGATTTGAGTTTCCATTGGCTTTCTTCACAGCCTTTGAAGAAGAGTTGGTATTTCGCTTTCGCTTGCCCCTTTCCTTTGGATCTTTTTTCTGCCACTTTTCGGGCGGGCGTGGACACTTTTGCTTGTGGAACCATAGGCCGCACGCTAGATAGGTTAGTTACTTGTCATGTCTATGGAGTCAGGCACTCACGATTGCACAAAGTAATCGACGTCCACTCGTCTACCTCGTCTCCCGGTCTTCTTTCCACCTTGTACCCTCTGAAGGTCTTCACGCTCCCATCAGGGTTATGCGCAAGAATCTCCTTGTAACAACATTCGCCTTGGTCCAGGGATGTTTCAACATCGTCCCATGCACAGTCAAAGGTCTTAGCGTAAGCACGTCGCCACGCTGGGGTTTCGATGGATCCGCAATTGTCGCAGAAAGGTGGCATCTCCCCATTAGCAATTGCGTTCTCCAACCTTGCTTTGGTCTGTTCTTTGCCCACTTTCTTCCTGGATGCAGCTTTGGCTCTGGATTCTTCCCCCGTAGGCGCATCTGACATGAGCGCATCACTGTCTGGTGCCCATGTCTGTGAACGTTGAAACATCCTCGCCGGCGGATCGCTCTTTGGCAGTGGTGCCGGAGCTATTGTTTTCATACGTTGTTGATCTCGCTGTTCCTCCATGATCTGGCGAGCTCTTGGGATAGGTGCTGGTGCCAATCTGGGGGACGATGTGCTAGTCCGTAGAGCAGGTGTATATGACTGTGCTCTAGCTACCGGCCGCGATGACATGGGAAGAGGAGGCGGGATCATGTGAGGCTTTGGTTGGATTGCGGATCGATCTTCAAACACATTACCATCGCCAAAGACCAAAGGGTACAAATTAGCAGTGTTCTTGCTCCGCTCTCGTGTCTCATCACATCCTTCGCCATCTGGCTTGTCAATTATGAAATCCTCGAACTGGAGTGTCTGGTCATCTCCGAAAAGTTCGTCAAGCGTTTCACTTAGAAAGCCCGAATCATGGCCGTGATCAGCCAGAGGCGGAAGCGCAGGACTGGTGATCATTGAATGTTGCTGTTCGGGCATGACTGGAGGGGATGAGGGGATGTTTGCGGGAGTGCTGGAAAGGCTTCGTGCTCGAGTGTCTTCTGGAGAGGCGACAGGTATATTGAGAAGGTCGGGTCGAGGCGCTGATTCTGGACTGGGAGAAGACCCTCGGATCTGGGCTCCATGAACGAGGTTGCTTAGAGGATTCTTTCTTGGCCGTACTGATCGGCCACGTGGCTTTGACCTAGACGCTGGTACTGGTGTAGGCGGGCGGACTGGTTCCTCCGTCGAAAGGATTCCTTGGGTTGTGATCGCCGGATTGATCGCTATCGGACGTTGAAGACGCACACTCGACGCAATGCTTGCCGCGACACGTAATGATTCCGGCTGTCTTTCGATGTTGAGGTCGGACTTGGTAGGCCAATCGACTTTGGTTATTTTTGCTCGCTTTCTTGCCGGGCCGTCCTCGACGTTCTCGTCCCCACTATAGTACCCAGAGTTGAAAGAGTCACGACGCGCGTGAGATGTTGTTTGACGCGTTCCAGCCCGTGAGCTGGGACGAGACGAGGTCCCAGCCTGTCTCGTCGGAGCATTCAAGATTTGTGACGCGTTGGGCGTACCAGGTCTGCTGATTGGCCCAGAGCTCGGCACGTTCTCTCGACTAAGCATCCTCTGCATCGCTTCAAGACCCGAGGTATCAACCGGCGATGTCGATGAAGGCATAGTTTGTGTCGAGGAGCTGTTGCTCCACTGCGGTCGACTGCCGTCTTGGGAACTGACACTTCCCGAGCGATACCTTGCTGGTGCAAAGGTGCTCACCGGTGTTAGCCGAAGTCTGACCTCGAGCATCTCTTGCGCGTTCTTTGAGAATAGACCCATAACATTCTTGGTGAGCTTGCCCGTCACCATGGCTTCATTGTCGCCGCCTGCGCCCTGGTCTTGGTTGGCAAGTGCTCTGGACAGCATTCCCTGTCCCACCAACGGTGTATCGGGTTCTGAGTAGTCATATGCATAGACAGTATAGTCATTCTCGGGATGTGTGGTGAGCTCCGGGCTCGCGGTGGTGATAGCTTCCAAACACGTTCGGAGGTCGATGACGCCGATCTGATTTAGGTCGTCAACGAAGGCTGTCTGTACGTCCACGGGATGAGGCCACCTCGCCAGGTGATTATCCTTTTGCTCAACATCGAAAGTGTACAACACTTTGAGCCTGATCGTCCGTATTGAGACGCCCTCCGCCGGTGAGGACGCCATTTCGGGGTGGTGTCGAGACGCGAGGGGCAAGGCGGGTAGAAGCCTCGCGAACACGAGTCGTCACACCAGCGTCAGGATCGTCCCATCGCGTGTGGGGAAGGAAGGAGAGGAAGAGGAGGAAGAGTGAGAGAGGCGTGAGGATGTCAGTGTGAGAGGTGGGTCGTGTGTTCCTAGTTTCGTGTAGCAGGTAGGGAAATATCTTAGGACTGGATAGGACTTTGAATGCTTTGATGTTGCGGACGCCGATGCAATGCTGGTCTAGCTGTAAACGCGGTGACAAACAGGACGAGAAAGGCTTTTGTTGTCGGATGCTACAGAGGAAGAAGTCAAAGAGGAGTGAATGGCAGGAGAAGGTCAATGAAGAGTCGGGTGCAGAGCCAGGCTTTTGAGGAACGCGTGAACCAATGCGGCCCGTGTCCAGCTAACAAGAGGCGCGACCTCGGGGTGGGGACGCTTGAGTTGAGAAGCAGTGTCAGCGTGCAGGGCAGTGGTGGTGGCACCGTGGTGGTGGCCGGGGTGGAATGATGTAAGCTCAAGCCACACGCACCAGCCACAGCCACAGCCAAGCGCACGGCACAGACTGGGGCTGGACTGAAAAGGCAACTGTTCCGAGCATACGGCTCCTTGGCACGCCTCGAAAACGAGAAAGTAACAGGACTCTACAATCTCTCCATTTCTGCTTGCTGGGAATTCGACACTCTTTAAATACCTTTTGTGCTTCCGCAACATGGCAGACGCCTCCAAGATCCAGTATGCCCTCTCCCTCCCCGGCGCTATGACTCACCACCCTGGTCATTCTTATCTCCGCACGAGTCTGGGGGGTCTCGCTAGCCAGCCATGAAGTAGCCTGCTGACTTTGGTGCCTTTGATAGGGAGTTACTCAACAAACCCAGGAACGAGTTAACGTATGTCAATCCCCCGCCCTCGATTTTGATGTTCCTTCCCTTCCCCCCTGTGTGTCCGCCAACACAACAGCCGGTCCGCCCACCCCCCCTGTGCCGATGGATTCCGCTCCGCCCTCCATTTCCACCCCACCTCCTGTTGCTCATCGCATCAGAATATCCTGTCGCAGTCCTCAAATCATCTCTACTAAATCATGCATATGGACCTGGACCACTGCACTTCCCACCCATTGTATCAAACTTATCATCGCACTGCGTCAAGTGTCGACACGAGCCTTGTCGCACTCTACTAACTTTTCGCGCCAGTGAATATGAAGTCTCTCTCCTCGAAACACACGAATTGTCCACCGGGCCCCTCTCCATTCTCATGACCGCCACCCGAACACACACCCAAGTCCTCATCTCGTGTCGGAATAACCGAAAGCTCCTCGCGCGCGTCAAAGCATTCGATCGCCACTGCAACATGGTCTTGGAAAACGTGAAGGAAATGTGGACGGAGAAAGGAAAGGGCAACTCCAAAGGCGTCAACAAGGACAGATTCATCAGCAAAATGTTTCTACGGGGTGATAGCGTCATCTTGGTCTTGTTGAGTTGATTACGCCCGTGACGAACAAGGAGGAAGAGACTTAGCTTGCGCATGATGTGCACCAAGCAAGCTTGCCACGAGACATGGCACTGTTGAAATCACCACCTCCAACGTTTGGCGAAGGGCTAGCACCTTCAGGTGAGGTCGGAATGATGGCGTTTCCCGCCCATGGTGATATTGAAGTACATTTGGCCTCTGGCGCAAGCTGAAAGACGAGGTGCATGCAACCAGTAGCCAAAAAAAGATACCCAGCATCAACCCCAAAAGTCAGATTTTATTCAGCTACATGCAATCCATTATCTGATCCTTTTTCCGCCACCTATACCTCCAGCGCTTGTCTCATGTACTTTCTTACAGCGTCTAAAGAGCACCAGCAAGTCCACCCAGTAGTTCTTGCAGGCCCCAGGCACCGGGATCGGGTATCTTACCAATCCATTCGCTCTCCGAACCCACATAGACTGTCCGGCCCAGGCTAGCCTTCATGCTTTTCGTCTTCTCTGCCCCCTCTCTAGCAGCAGCGGCGGCCTTCTTGACGTCGTGGGTGCCGCTTAGGGTGTCAATAAACGGGACCAGTGCGTCCATCAGGGTTCTGTCACCCGGAACTGCCGGCGTATATCTGCCCAATGCTTGGAGACTGGATTTCAGTGCGGCGGCCCAGATCGGTGCATCTACCGCCCGTGAGGAACCGGTGTCTTGTTCTCGGAGGCCATGGACCAGGGCGTTTAGGAAAATGGCGTAGAGGGCGCCCGACGTCCCGTCCATGTGGTTCTCGACGACTGGGACAATCTTGTTAACGAATGCAACTGCATCGGTGGGCAAATCCCCTGACGAAAGCTCTTCGAGAACAGCCTCAGCGCCCCGTTTCAGGCCGATGCCACAGTCGCCGTCGCCAACAATCGTATCGAACTTGGTGACGTCTGGCTCAACAGCGATGAGGGTGTCCAGCCCTGCCTTGAGAACGGCGTGTGCCTGTTTAGGATCGATGGTCAACTTGCTGGGTTTAGCCTCGCCTGACTCAATCGATTTATCCATCGTTCCGGTGTTGTCGGCCTCCCACGTCGATGTCTGAATTGCTGCCGCCCAACCGACAGCCTCGGCAGGGGCATCAAGGAGTTCGAGCATGGACTTGCCCTCTCCAAGGCCAGTGTCTTCCAGCTTGAGTAGGGAGACAGAAAAGCCCAGCCCGTTCAGCGAGGTAATGAAGGTGCCTGAAATAACTCGCACTGGCACGATCTCCCAATTCTGTTTAAGCTGTTGGTGGACCTCGGCAACGATGCCACCCATCTCAAGATTGCTGACGCCACCTAAGTTATTGATCAGCAGCACCACCTTGTCCTTCTTCGTGATGTCCACATAGTGTCTGTCCGTGTCGTTCGGATCGAGCAGCTGGGCCAACATGGTCTTGACCAGCTCCGGCAGCGTTGCAGACACGCGATGACTGCCCGGCTCATTGTGAATACCCATTCCAATCTCGATCTCTTCAGTTGGGACGATCTCATCGGAGTTCGGATCAGGCGCGGCGCGGCCAGGGACGTGGACGTGCTCCATTGAGGCTCCAACAGACACCAGATTCCCGGCAACCTGCTTCGTCAAGTTGTAGACCTCCGCCAGACTTCCACCCGCCTCTGCAAGTGCACATGCGATCTTCAGGACCAAGATGGAGCCTCCAATCCCTCGTCTTCCCACCTTTCCACTCTTCGCCCGGCCCACACCAACATCGTCGCCGATCGCATAGAACTCGGTGTCGATCCCTGCGGCTTTTGCTTTCTCCGCCGCCAGTCCGAAGTTCAGGATGTCTCCCGTATACGAAAAAGTAAAGATTCCGATGCCTTTCTCCGTTGGGACCCTCGAAAGCGCAGCACGTCGGACAGCTTCGGCACTGGGGCTGGCGAAGATTGTGCCGGCGACAGCAGCAGTGAGGAAGCCCTTTCCGACGAAACCGGCAAATGCAGGCTCATGACCAGAGCCTCCTCCAGATATAATGGAGACTTTCGGTTCCTTCAACGAGTCTTTTGTAGGTTTGCGATACACGATTTTATTTTCTAGGTCCAAAGAAAGGGAAGGGTTTGTGAGGGTTAAACTGTGTAAGGCCGAGTGGACCAGGTGAGTAGGATCGTCGATGAAATGCTTGGTCTGCATCTTGAACGTATGACTCTCTGGAGATCCCTGCGATAGTGAAGAAGCAAAGAATCAAGCTGAGAGAGGAGGGAGAAGGGAGAAGGGCGGAGGGAGAATATAGCAGACTGATGAACTACGGGGGGCGCAACTTCGAGCAACTGCGGTGCGGGGAAATGGGAACAACGTCGGCGGCCCAGTGGCGTGGAGGGCACCTTAGGGCCCCTAAGCCTCTTCTCGCTTCCCTTCCACCCATTCAGCATCTCCCCCGTGACCTTGGGCCCTAAGGCTCTCTCACGTGAAGCCAGTGTGGCGCTCTCCCGTACGCACCTCGGTGCCAGGCACCGAAACCGAACCACGCAGTCGTTGAGGACCATACCACATTCTCCAGTCCCAGAGCGCACTCTTTCGCTTGTCCAACCTTCAACTCAACTTCACGGCACTACCGGAGAGGAATTCTTCGATTGGAATCGACTCCCTATCTGCCCTGCCACGCACTGATCCCCGTCGTCTTGCTCGAGTTGACCGCCGTCTGCGCCGTGTCGGTCGGAAATCCGATTTGGGTATTCCGCTATCCTTCTCATGCTTACAACCAGTGGAAGAGGTGGGTTTTCGAGGCGTAAAAAGAGCGTGAAGACCCGCGCATGAAGCCGTTCGTACAAATGTGGCCTGTGGCCTCCTCATGATGAGAACGGTGTTGGGCCGAGTGCGCGCCCCCACCTCGGTCTTTTACCGAGCATCCCACTTTCCTGGAGGCTGGTTTGGTGCCAGATCTCATCAGTCCTTCAGAAAGAGAATGTTGCGGAGCAGTGGCGCCTATAGCTGATAACAGTCGTGGTTCATTCAGGACTCCGTCTCTCCCACGGAATATCCGCCTGCGATTCTCCTGGAGGACTCCTCGTTGTGGTACTACTACCGGACAGAATCCGGATGCAAGTAACGATCGCCTTGTATCTAAGAGCTATAGATGGACATGGTGTATCTATACTCACCAGATGCAACCTACCCAGTATCATTTATCCTGGCCGTTCAACTCGACAAGATGCCTCACAATGTCGAAAAGCCCGCCGTCATCGCCCACGGCGCTCGGCGTGTCGATGCGCTTCCTCAGCTGCTCGTCTAGAAGAGCCCGCAACCTGGAGACCAAGACACCGATCCTAGCCCATCCGCGCAACTTCAGCCAGCCATCCACCAAGATGCCTGCGCCAGAGGTCTGTACCTCAATAGGTCCGCCAAAGAGCAGAAGCGCGTAAGAATTCAAGGGTGTAAGGTCTCTGATGAAGGTCTTGCTCGTCTCCATTTTGGCAAAGTAGCTCACAAACGCCGCCGCACCGGAGTAGCCCTGGGCATCGAATAGAACGCTGCTCGGATGCACAAAAACACGCCCGTTCTCTTCATTGAAGTATTTGATGGTACGGGCGTCCGGGTCAAGTTCTTTGGCGCCCGTCATCGATGCGATGTACTTCTTGTCTGGCATCTGGATGCGCGCGATCTGCGGGTTCAGTGCGCCGGCGATGAGGGCCCGGAGGAGCATGGTGTTGCGTCTATTGTGGTTGTGCGACGAGGAAGAGTCGGCGCGGTATCCGGCTGGCAGGAGACCCGTTTCAATCAGGGAGTCGAGCAGCTGGCGCCGTGTCGAGTCGATATCGCGCAGTGTTTGTTGCGAGAGAAACTTGGCTGAACACCACTCCTGCAGGTCTCTGTATCCAAGACTGGAAGAGAGGTCTTTCCACTGCTCGAACGCAGCACCGTCAAGCAACAAGTCTCCGTCGGATACGGGGAACGATGTTCGCGCCTGCTTTGCTTCATCGCGCTTGTCCCTCGGAGAGGCGAAAGGGCTCTTCGTAGTCAGGATTGCGGCGACGGTCAGGCATGGCTCCAGGCAGTCGAACAGAACGCCGTAGACCAGCAACTTGGCGCATCGGAGGTCGGCGGGGATCATGGCCAAATACGTTCCCAGACCTGTCAGGCTGTCGTCTTCCAACGCTCCCATCCGCCGCAGCGTCTTCATGGCCGTAGCGATGGCGCGACTATCGGGTGGCGAGATGGTGCTAGCTAGGAATTCTTCGACATTGCGGTCCGATCCGGTCGCTTTGACTGAGAGACAAAGCTGCTCCAGCGGTGTCCGGTGCATTTCTGGTGCGGCGGCGGGAGCCATGCTGGCCTCAACATTCTTGGTGAACAACTTGTAGCATTTTCCCGCTTGCACTCTGCCGGCTCGACCGCGCCGTTGCTTGCACGCCGCCTGGGATGCCCACACCTCTTCAAGGCGGACGACGTTTGAAACGGGGTCGTAGTGTGTCTCCTTGACTTTCCCCGAGTCGATCACAGCGACAATGTCTTCGATCGTGATCGACGTCTCTGCGACATTAGTGGCCACCACTACCTTCCGTTTACCGCGAGGCGCCGCTCTGAAGACCAGCCGCTGGTTAGCAGGTGTCAGAGACGCATGGAGCGGTAGGCCGTGGATCTTTGTCGAGTCACTCAGCATCCTAAGGCAACGATCGATCTCCATTGTGCCAGGCATGAATATCAAGATACCTCCAGTAGAAGCGCCCAGTTGTTCATCAATGCTATGCACTAGAGATGCAATCAGCTGGTAATTGATGCCCATTCCCAAGCTCTGGATAGCCTTGCCGACATCTAGCTGAGAGGGGCTTTCTGTGTCATCAGTGCCCCGCCGAGTTCCCTTGTTTAAAAGGCGTACCACATCATCAAGGTAGTAATCCTGCACCGGGTACGTACGGCCCTCGATGTGGACTCTGCTCACGACACTATCACCACCAAAATATGCGGCAAAGGTGTCCGCGTTGAGCGTCGCACTCATCAGCACAATTTTGAGTTGAGGAAGTGCTGCCATCGCCCCACGCAGTAAAGCCAGTAGGAAGTCTGTGTCCAGAGACCGTTCGTGCACTTCGTCCACAAAGACATGGCTGACATTTTCCAGTGCAGAGTTGATGCCTTTCGAGTTCTGCAATTGGCGAAGAAGAACACCAGTCGTCATGAAGGTGATTTTGGTCCTCGAGCACACCTTGGAGTCGCCTCTTATGGTATATCCAACCTCACCTCCTTCGTTGGTGCATCTTTCTGTACTGACACGGTCGGAGAGCGACAGCGCAGCGACCCGCCTTGGTTGAGTGCAGATGAGATTAGTTGAAGCTCCCTTCATGGTCTGGATGGCATCGTCCAGAATGAATTGGATGGCTTGTGTACTCTTTCCTGAACCCGTCTCGCCCGTGATGAGTGTAACTTGAGCTCGACTGACTGCCTCGATGATAGCGGCTTTTTTAGACCATGCGGGAAGTGTCCTTCGGGCGGCGTTCATTTTCTCCTGTCTCTCCGAGCGTTGCCGGATCGTCCATTCGTCAAGTATCGCTTTGTTGGATCGCACCTCTTTGAGATGAGCTCGATCTCTCGTCCTGCCACTATGTGCCGCAGGCTGTGCCTCGGTGTCAGGGATATGAGGCTGACCTTTCAGCGAAGGAGATACGATTTCCAAATCACTCAGCCGGCCAGGGTTTGCGATGATGCTCGGTATTGAAGTTTCAAGCCACTCCAATAGGCTAAATATCATCTGGTCCCCAAGAAGGTTCTCCTGTGCATGGATGATTGCCTTCTTTGTAATGCTCAGGCGGACATAACTTGGTAGCGTGGGAGCTTCGACCAAGATCACAGGTGGGGACGATGCTGGATACCCGGTGATAGGGCGACGAAAGTGAAATACCGCCGGCAGGTTGGATGTTTGGTCTGCTTGAATCGAGCATTTATTGGGCCCCTCCAACGTGAATCGCTCGTCGAGAATGGCTTCTAGGGTCGTCATTTCTTCGGCCCAGATATCCCCATCTAATGCGGTAAACTCCAGGCTTTCCGGTCTCGGAGGCACCAGGCGTGCCTGAAGCGCTTCCAGAGCCAGCCCTTCATCGCCATCATTGTCGCGCAAAGCCTGGATGCAAAGCTGAGTCGAGTAGCCACCCTCAGCCAGCCGGTTTAATTTTGCATCCATCGCCAAATCACTGTTCACCAAACTGACTCCAGCACTATAGCCGGGTGGGAAGCTCCACGCAGGCAGAGAGTCTTCAGGCACATGCGTCAGCAGCCACTCCAGAACTTCCTCTCGGCTACCACAGTAGTTCAGGGCTTCCTCGATGTGACTGGTTTGAAATCCAAACTTGGAGAGATCGGACACGATCAATGCTCTTGATGCATGTGATATCCTCAAATGATGTGGGTTCCAAATGCTTCGTGTTCTGATCATTGCTTCGATACGTGAGCGGACATTCTCGCCTAACTCGATCCTTGGTGCATAACCCCACCCCTTCAAGTTGGCATTGGAAGACGCGGGATGCACAAGGCTGAGTGAGTCAAGCTTGAGCGCCTGCGTCGCCTGATCCTGTTTCCGTTTCTCCATGGCTCCCTTGATGTCGTGTCTCTTAGCGTCCGCCGCGAAGGGGTCGGCATCATATTTCCATGCCCGGCCTTCCTTGACGTCATCATCTTTGAGTCGTTGGAATTCACCTTTCCAAAGGTCTCGGTAAGTTGGAGGCAATGTCATAGCCAGGTTTTTCATGCTACACACCCGGAACAATGCGTATGTCGCAGCGAAGTGGCGTGCCTCAAGAGCAGACGGCTGGTCTGCAAGATGGGCGTGAGTCGCTGGCAGTTGAAAAGGAGGCAGTTTCGTGAGTTCTCGGGTCTTGGGATCTGTCTTGGACAACACAACCCAGGATCTATGCAAGCTCTCACCGTTGGCACTGGTCGGTAGCTGGCGGCCTTGATATTCTGGTTTGTTCCATTTCTGGCGCTGGCAGTGCTCTGACAAGAAGTTCATAGGTAGCTTGCCCGTCCAAGATGCGCCTCCTATGATCTTCCGTGCGTCCGGCCGCGGCGGGCCTTCGGGTTCCTTTTCATCTCTTTTCTTTTTTTCAGTCTGCTTGTTAGTGAACACAATGTGCTCACTATCTGGGACCGTGGGGGTCGACTTTTTTGAGGAGGGTTTCTTCCCGGTCCCAGAACCCTTTTTGGGTGCCATTGAGTCCAGACAATTAAATTATGTGGTGCCAGCCAGAAGTAGAAGCCGTACCGCCGTACCGCTTACCGCCTTACCTTGCCAAATAATATGAGGTCGCAGAAGTCAAAACTCAGACATTGATTCTGAACAGCATTCCTGGCAGAAAGCAGCTTTTATCCTCACCACAAGCATTGGAACGAATGGGTAACGACCCAACCAAGATTTCATCGACGACTGAAGCAACTTTCACTGGTACTGTAAGACGAAGGAAGAGAGGCTTGATTACTTCGCCTGAAGACATTGCAAGTAGTTCGGCAAACCTGCCAAACGTGACATCACGTGACAGCATCCGGCTCAGCCTCGTCACCCCTTTTCGCTAGCCTTACTGACAAGGCTTGACGACACTTTGCCCGTGTATTCTTAGCAGATTCTGACCAGGAGACCTGTTGGCACGCAGTTTGGGGTCTTCAAGGAACAATTGCAAGACATTATTAGCATTTGGGAGGGACTTGGAATTTGACATCTTCCCAGGCCTATTATTTGCAATTATTTCTCACAGCACAATTTTGTTGCTTGGTGGCCGATGAAGCCATTTTATCGTACGGTGCAATCCCTTGGTTCCCGAAGCCCGAGATAATTCAGGCCCAAGCTCCGGCCATAGTCTCCAAGGTAACCATGAAGCGTGTGCCCACGGTACGCCGTTAAGAACACCAACACACCGGTGCATGACCGAAACAGGATAATTCTCAGCTCCCTACCCCCCGATTTCCATGCAAATGATGCCAATCAATGAGTCATGACTTCGTGCGTTCTCGTGAATGTTCCTCGATGAAGAATGGAGAAACCATAAAATTAAACTTGAATGGTGAACCATGAGCAATGATATCCGAGCTCATGAGGCTCCAGCCGAAGAAGAAACCATTCCGAAAGTGTGACGGATATCCGCCTTGTGAGTCTCAAACTGTTAAGCACCCATTTTTGTATGCTGACCAATGGTTGCGTCGCCATTTGGACGTGTTTGAAGAGATTCTTCATGCGCGGAAATAAGAAACCCCATCATAGTACGTCGGCATTGCTGGTTGAGGTAAAGTCAACATAGCAGCTTGATCCGGCAGTTGGAAGCCCCTCTGAATTTCCGTCTCAACGAAAGCGGATGCTCTCTTGTAACGTTTGTCGCAGTACTTGTTGAAGACGGCACTATGGTGTTTCCGCGGATCTTCACAGCAGTCCAGTAAGAGATTGACCAGGGGTCTGAGTTGAGAATACGTGTATCCTGAATAACAAACGTGGTGTGGAGTCTAACTCTGAGTCAGCAGTCGAGTCTGGTTCATATCGCTCGTGGACTTACCCAGGTTCCTTTTCGCAGCATGGTACGTGCCAGGCAATGTGAAGCTGCAGCTGTGAAGCTGGGCGGACTACCGATGAAGCGTTCATCCATCAAGGTGACCTCGAGGAAATACTTGGCCAAAGTCCTAGTCTCCAGGTCGTAGTCGTCTGCCTTGCTGATTCTGCGCAGAAAGCTCATCGGGCCAGGCCAGCCGAGCTCGAATTGGAGCATGGTGAGCATGAATCGTTCAGCTTTAAGTATCTCATCCATGCTGTAGCCACCGTCCACCATGTACACAATCTCCTGCACAGAGGGGCAGTTGATCTCCTCATATTTGGCCGCGATGAAGATGGCTGTTGCACCAACCAACTGCAACTTGCCCAGAGACACAACTTTGCAGGAGAGAAACCGGTCGATATAATTGACGCAGAGGAACAATGTCTCCGGTAGCAAATTGAACCGGAGATGCACTTGGACAAGCCAATCCATCAACACCGAGCGCATAGACCACTGGATTTCGTGTTGGTTCTCCATGTAATGCGGGTTGGGTAGCATTTTCAACTCGAGTTGTTTCATGTATTCGAAAATCTCATCGCCATATTCTGCGACCATGCTGGTGTCATAGCTTTCATCTTCTATTTCCTCCGGGGACCGAGTGGCCTCGACCAACTGTTTCGCAGCGGCAATCTCCTTCCGGGCGCGCTGGTTCATTTGCGGGAAGAGAACAGCGGTGGCTGCGCCGGTAGTGTTTTCGCCTCTAGATCGAAATGACCTGGCCGTCACGTAATCTTCCTCTCCGTAGTTGTCGTCATCTTCCTCGTCCCAATACTCTTCCTGTTCTATTTGTCGTTGGACGTAGGTATGATGAGGGTTCAGAGGAGGTACCGCTTCAACCGGGTTCACAAGCTTCGAAACTGCGATTTGTTGTGTCTCGGGCCTACCGACACCTGTAGCACTCGACTCCGAGGGCGCTGATTCGAAGTTGGAAGACACATCGCCCAGCTGTTGGCGCAGGGTGACAAGATAACCGGAGGATTCTGAGACGGTAGTCACAGTCTCCTTCAGGGCAGACTCGTTGTTCGACTCGCTGGACAAACGAGCACCTAGGCTGACCTCGTCGATGCTTGGCAAGCTGGTCTCAGTCTGAGTGTGATCGACCTCTTTAACCGGTTCGACGAAGATTTGCGATTGGGGCGGGAGCAGACAAGGTTGATGGTTGCCATCGAGCTTTCCAGATACCGCTTCGCTCTCCTTCACGTCATAATGTCTTGTGGATTGTACATTGACACCCGTTGAATGTAAGAGTGAATTGCCAATCTCTTGGACCGCACCCAATCGAGAATCTTTGAAGACCGTTGTATGTCGCTTGCTCAATGTCTTCTTAGCGGCGACAACCTGCGATGGGAATTGCCCTGTTTCTGACGTGGGGTTGAGGGAGTTCTCTGGTGCAACGTTGTTGTTTGCCCCAGTGATGATGCTTCTCAAGGCGGAAACAGAACGAGGTCTTTGTGGTCTAATAAGGCCCACGGATTTTCTTTCGTAGAGAAGTTGGGCGGGTTTGACTGTTGGTTGCAAGCTAGCCTTCGTGTGCAAACTGGAGTCATCTTTACTGGGTCTTGTCCCCGCTGCAATATTGCTAACGTCGCCAAAGGCAGTTCGTTTGGGTGCGGCTTTCAGTCCATGTTCTCCAGGTAAGGTCGTTAGCGCAGGAGATGATTTGTTTCGGTGATGGATCGCCTTGGTAACATGGCTATCGGGAGGAAGGTTCTCGTCGTTCTTTACGCGTATGCTGCGGAATGGGCGCTGGGGCTAGTAAACGATGCATTGTTAGCACGACAGCAATGGAAGGGGAGGAGTTTGGGAAGCACCCATGGAGCAGGGCAGCCGAAGTCGCGCATTGAATGGCGGACGGCATTCATATCCAACTGTCTGACTTACTTTGACATCCATCTTCCGCTGTTCTATCGGTAGCTCAGATGCGAAAGCACTCGAAGTTGAGGTCTGGAAGGGTGGTTGTCCTGAGAGGCTGCTGCTCGAGACGATACGCCCCTACTTTTTGCAAAACGCGACGGAGCCGAAAGCATCAGTCGAGAAGGGAGGAGTAGACAGGACGAACGTAGGTGAGAGAGAGAGGGCCAGAGCCGAGCTGTGTATCAATGCTGAAGCTATGCCTGAGGAAGCTGAAGAGTGCACGGCATATTGTGGGCCATAGCAACAAAACACAGGCAATGTAAACAATGGTTGGAAGTCAATTGCAGCATGAACCAACTGCGCAGCAAACTGGCAGCGGCTCTTGCCGCTCTTGCACTGGCACGCTCGCCAAGCAAGTCTAGCCTGTTGTGGCTATATCAACAGATGCCTTAAAACACGGTTATCCAGACCACCTGTTTATTGCATTTCCTCTTCCATCTCCATTCGGAGGTGAGTCTACTGAACAGGAACTTTTACAGGACTTTGGAAATTCTGTCCGGCCGAGATGCGCATTTTTCAGCGTGACTGTATCATGAATGACCATCGAAATAGCAATATCGTCTTTATGACGTCAACGCGTCGCGCGGGAACGCGTAGTCACATGATCAGGCTATCCTATTTCACTTTCCACTTTGGCCCGTCCCCCAAGTTTTTCCACATTACCACGGGAGCAGACTCGATGATCAACGCTCCTTCTTGTGAATTGACACAGGATGATGCGGTGCCTGACTCCGATGCGACGCTGTTTTGCAATCAACTCTAACCATAGGTTCTTCTTGGGTGCCGCGAAAACGGATCTGTTTGAATTTCCGAACCTTAGGATAGTTGGAAGCACCGGGCGCTTACTCAACACCAACAATGTCCCGGACATCCAATGATCCCACCTTATCACGCATGTATGGTGTAGAGTCTCATGTTGTTTCAAGATGCAGATGCTTTCTCCCTTCATTCGGCTATGACTGTAGAAAGCTCTGCAGCACGGACAACTTCCTTCTATGCTGCAGTAAATCGGCGGCAATATGACATGTTCGGGTAGGCTTGTTCGGTTCGAGACCAGCGCATCGATCAACAATGTAAGCTATGTGTCGATGGTGATAGGAGATAGTTACCATAGGAGGAAGCAGGGGCTCCAAGAGGCCACATTTCGCAAACCGGCTTTACCCAGCACGAACCCTAATTTTTATAATTTCGCAATCTTGGTGTGGAAGGCCTGTCATCTCCCTAACTATGCCGCGTTGTGCTTATCTCACACACATCTGGGGGATCTATCTGCCGCAGCACGCTTGGGGACTCCGACAAGTCTGGCGCTGACCCGGTGATACGAACCTTTTTATCCAAATTCAATCCCGGTAGATTGAGCAATCCGTTGATCGTTCGTAGATATGGAATGTGGGGATACCCGCAGGTTGGACGGTCAATAGTAGAAACTTGACGTTGTTCATCAATCTCAGCTGCATTTGGCGACACTGACATTATTGACTGGTCTCGGAATAGCAACGGGAGCCGGCCGGACGCTTCCAACTCGAGTCATATCGAGGCCGTCTATTGCACGTGCACCAAAGGTTATCAAGCAGCGAAATTGCGCCGGTGCGAGCTTGCGGCTATGCGCCAAGTGCCTCGTCGATCGACGTACGACGACGTACTCCGTAGAAGGGTGCCGGATGGGGCGAGGGGTGAACCGTCGATTCCCGGGCGGCCGGGCAGAGGGCAGAGGGCAGAGAACCAACAAGACTGGGCAATGAGCTTTGCCGCCGTGACAGCTCGAACAATGATAAATAATGCATCCGCAAGAGCTCTTGTACGGAGTGTGTATCTGCTGACAAGCCGGAGGGCTAAACTGCATGGACTGCCAGTGCGTGAAGGGCGACTCCAATCCCGGGTGAAGTGTTGCAGTTTGTGGCCGCCAGTGCGCCAGCCTACGTCCGACCAGCCGGGGATTGGGAGAATGGTTGGCTGGCATGGCTCCTATGGCTTGCGTGTCTTGACCATGGCTAAGGCTTAAGGGCTCCATGGGCTCTGAACGGGACCCAAGGAACCTAAGCCAGCAGCCAACACTCCACCCTTTACGGCTCATACGCTGACGCCCTGCTAACCCGGGTCATCTTCACCATACAGACCTGACTGACTCGCTGCCCTCCAGCCTCAGTGGGAGTCAGTGAGGGGTTTTGCGGTTGGATTGTTTTAGCAGACCGCATCGCCTGGTCTGGCTCGCTTGCTGTCCTCACTTTTCCGACCCTGTGTCCCAGAGCGTCTCCTACCGCAGCGCCCAGCGCCGGTCGACTGCCTCATGATCCTACTTTTGCCTTTCGGTTTCGCTGTCTGAGGGCTCAGGCCCGCCAGTGAAGTGCCAACAGAGCCTGCGGCGACCCCCCAAGAGACCAGCAGGAGGACGTCGCTTTGGTGCCATTGGCCGTAGCTCGGCGACCGTCCCGTCACAAGATAGCGCCGCCAATGCGATCCCTATGTCATGTATCCGTAAGGTATGTAGTAGCGGTGGTGGTAGTGGTAGTAGCACGTAGCATGTTGGCAACTCGCTTGAGGGCGGAAGATAGCACCAGCGCCAGGTCAGGCACTTCAACCTCGTACATACTCTCCCAGCTGCAAGGCTCTTTCCCCCACGATAGTTGTTCGGGGCTGTCCTTTTCACTACAGTACTTCCTGTTACTTAGGCCGTCTGGACGAATTGCCCGCGGTTCTTCTACTCCCTTCGAAGTCACGTTCTTGTGGTACAGTACGAGACTCGTACTTATTACTGTACTGGGTTGAAACCTGAATGACCCACTGCGCCCAAGCCAACCTGATCGGTAACCTTCGCACCTCGCTTCTTCACCACCTCTTCTCTTCATCTTCAATTCGTTCTCCAGCTCTACCGACCCTTCGACTGGTAGTTGGGAGGCTTGCTTAACTATATACACTTCTAACCGGTCTCTCGGTACTCTAGAGCCCTCCATCCTTCCAACCAGCACCGTCGCAGCCACAGGCTCTTATCCTCGACCATGCCTGGACGGTAGAGCCGGATCATATTATTCACACTATCACTCGCTTTGCGCGGTCTCTGCTGCCGTATAGTCCCCTTGTGAACTCATTGCCAGGCTAGCGCTTCACCTCCAGGGCAGTCGTTCATTGTAAGTTGTGCATAAAAGGACGGTAGACGCAGTCTGCCGCCCTGTCAACCGCCTCCCATCCTTTGAAGGCAGGACCACAACTGCCTTTGTCCAACCCCATCCTCTACACTCTCTTGGATGTCTAGCCGCTGATTGTTCCATCTGAAGCTCCCTGACGTCTGTGGTCAAGCCGAGTTTCTTCCATCTCCTCTCAATTTGTCGAAGCGAACCTTACAAGAGACCGAAGACTGCGCCAAGGGACAAGAGGCTCGTCACCTATTACTTCGACTATCAAGAGTCATGGAGGTCTCTAGCCTGCTTGTAAAGGAGGAAACCAAGGCTTCAAAAATGCCTCCTGCAAAATCCATCTCGTTCGAGCTTCTCCTGGACGAGGGTTCGAAAACAAGAGCACGAATCCCTCTCAGGGTTGTGCTGAACACCCATGACAGCACGGAGTCCATCATCACGACGGTGAAGAACTTCTACGGGATATACGATGGAAATGGAGTGAGCTTTGAAGATTCGTGGGGAAACACACTCATTGCTTCGTATGACAATCTTGCCTCTGACTCGACTGTCTATGTGCGGATTGTGCCCTCTCCGCAGCCACCCTCCATTGGCTATACACATGCAGCACATGCAATTGACAATGGCTATGAATCAAGGCGTCGACCCAGCTTGGGAGAACCATTTCAGATGTTGCCGCCTTATCTGAGGGAACCGTCCCACTCTCCCTCCCGACCTTCGTCGAGGCTGGCAAGGAAGCGCAGTACTTCTCCCACCCAAGGACGAGGGCGCAGAAGTGCATCGCAACAGAAAGGACCACCGAATGTGCCTATCAGCCGCGGTTCCAGCGCCAATGGAAGTTATCATGAAGACAATGGTTACAGCGACAGCGAAGCCGGGCGCAGTTCGATTTCGGGATCCAAGAGAGCCAGAAGCGAGCAATTTGCAAGTTCGGATATTAGTACTGCCAATGTTTTGCAGGATGGACGGCGTGGTCAGCCCATCTTCGACAGCTCGGTGAGTATCCGCTAGCAAGCCATTCTCCAAATGCATGCTGATGCTGACTGTCTACAAGACCCTTCCGCTCTTCGTCCCGCCGCAAGTCCCAGTGACTGCCTCACAGTCCTCCATCTCGCCTCAGCGACGGTCACTACCACAAGAAGGGCCTTCTCCATTTCGTCCACCGGCACAGAAGTTGTATGGGCTACAACAACCTCCAGTGCTCTCGCCGCAGAGCCATGGTCGGATTTACAACATGGACGCACCCGGCGATCAAAGTGCAGGAGCTGGTGTCGCGACTCCGGTTTCTCAACATCATCATCGCCTGCGACACAGGTCTTCCATGCAGCCTGGTCCCACCGGGAGGCAAGGATATTCTGGAAGTGGTGTGCTTCCTACTCCAGACCCCACAGTCGCAAGTTGCATTTCGGATGAAGACGTCGCCCGCACCCTGATCGCACTTGGTGACGCATCCAACTACTCTCATGGTCGGACCTCGAATTCTACCATAGATGAAACTTTCAGCGGCGCGGGAGATGCGGCTTCGTCGACAGGAGCAACCAGCGACAGCGATGAGTACAGTGATGCGGAAGGAGGCCTCCCGAAGCACAGGAGGTACCTTGATAATGAGGATGAGGAGAATGGGGACGAGGACTATGACCAGGACAACACTCCTCGTGGCCATGATGAATATGATGGTCCGCCCAAGACAAAGAAAATCAAGACCAAGATGCATGATGGGCCAACCAACGGCTATCGACCACAGCCAACTTCAATGAGGACTAACAAGTCGTCCAAAGTCCGCTCAAACACTCTGCCCAAGGCTGCCAAGCAGACAGTCCAGCCCGGGTTGATGAAAGCCCCTTCTGCGCCTGCCTCAAGTGGACAGGCCAGAAAGTCATCGGGTTCAAGCCTCAACTTTCAACACCAGCTCGCTGCTGATGAGGAAGATCTCTCATCTAAACCTCGTTGTCAGCGTTGCCGAAAGAGCAAGAAGGGCTGTGATCGTCAACGACCTTGTGGGAGGTGCAGGGATGCCGGAATCGGGCCAGAAGGCTGCATCAGCGAAGATGAAGGTAGTTCTCGCAAGGGACGATACGGCAGGCACATGGGAGTTCCGGTCAAGAAGAGTGACGAGCAATCGGTGTCAGACGACGAAACAAACACGGCCTCGAACACTCTACTGGCCGATGGTATTGCTGTCCATGGCAACCCGGATAAGAACAAGAAGAGGAAGAGATGAGGTACAGCTGATGGAGCGTGTAGGCGCTAGTACAAAATTCTTTTGCGGCAACCAGGAGAGGACGACGGCCGGCAGATATAGAATGGGCATTCCGAAAGACCGATTGAATCTTGGGTCGCAAGACCTGTCGATGATGTTATCTGACAACAATTGCGAGTTCTCTAGTTGCGTCCAAATTCGCCATTGTCTTACAAGAACACCACGTTGACAAGAAGGGTTAGGGACGATAGGGTCGCGGTGGCTATGTGGTTTCTTGTCTGTCTTGTTTTGGGATGAAAGGGCGCGACTTTTGTGTTTGACATGCAAAGCAAGAGACCTTTTCCTGGATTCGATAGCAGTGATGAGGATACGAAATGAACTGGTTTCAATCATTCACTACTGAACGGATACTGCGTAGATATTCATATCCATTCATATCCGTAGGGGGCAGGGAGCCTCCGATCACGTGATCATCATGAAGAGGGGAAGCAAGGCTGGTTCCCCAAAAAAATTATTATTGTCTCGTACTTCATGAAGATATGAGGGTGGGCAATGGTGAACAGCGACGCATTCAAGGCACCCACTGCAGCTGTCGAGCACTCTTGAGGATTCATTAGCTTGCAAAAACTCGGATCAAACTCGCTGACGAGCCGTACGCTTGGTTTTCAAATCGCAGCCACGCATTGTCCGACGTTCCACCAGTCCTCCGCCTTCCAGTCGACCTCAAGTTCAGCCTGAGCCTTGCATATGACCTTGACAATGCATCTGAGACTGTCATAGCATCTAGTTCACCGATATTTCACGCCCTCTATTCACCTAGCTGCTTCACAACACTATGCCGGACCTTCCAACGCCGACGCCGAAGCCCGCGGCCGCCAAACCGTCTGTCACCGGGCCCAAACCCAAACCTCGCGCAGGGGTGGTGCGCAAAACCAAAGCGGAAAGAGAACAGTTCGCGAAAGAAGAGGCAGAGCGACAGAAGGCTCGGCTGGCAGAAGAAGCCAAAAATGAGCGTGCGAGAGGAGGTGCAAGAGGAGGACGGGGCGGTGCTCGTGGAGGGAGGGGCGGGTCTTCTACTGGGCAGAGAGACGAAAGAGCTAGAGATGGCCCCATAAGCGTCGGTAGTGGTGTTTTCGGCGCAGGCAGCGGGTTGAAGCCTGGTGGCAGGCCCAGAGGCTTGCTTGCTGAAGGGTACAGTGAGATGCTCGACGGACAGCCAGGAATTAAGTTCGACGAGTCCCAAGCCGGAACCGTCGAGCTTGCAGGATCTTCTGGCGGGGGAAGAGGAGCTGGGTCTCGAAGAACAGAGGCATTCGATATTCCGTCGGATGAAGAAGCTGATGAGCCCAAGCGAGACATCGAGAAGATTTGTATTTCCAGTGGAGAAGAGGACGAAGGCGCGGTCTCGAAAAAGGGAAAGGCAAAAGCTATACGCCGTGCGCCGAGAACCGGTACAGGACTCCGACCTGTTCGTGCGCCTCGAATTCGGAGAGAGGATGAAGAAGACGCGAGTGCTTCAGGCAGGAGGCAGGGGTTGGTGAAGAAGAACGAGCCGGATTTCCACGAGCCCGACGAAGACGAGATGGATGTGGACGAGCCGGTGGTTGTAAAAGAGCAGCTGTCAAGCCCTGAGCTGCGGAAACGGAGTCTGAGGAAGTCCAGCAACAAAGCCAGAGAGGCCAAGTTGGCAACCGAAACCATCGAGGAGCGGGCTGAACGACTACGAGTTTCAGACGACACTCACAAGCTTCGGAATCTGTTTGTCGCACAGCAGATTAAACCCCAGGCAACGGCCGACGACTCTGATGTGGAGGAATCCGGCATCGAAGATGGCAAATTCTTTCTCTTCCAACTGCCGCCCCTGACACCATTTCTGCTTGACGCCGACGCTATTGTCCAAGAGCCGGCCATCAAAGCAGAGCCAACTAGCGACACAATCGCAACGGTCCCACAGTCCTCGACAGTCACAGAGGCGAATGCGTCCGGCGGTGTGGAAGTGAAAAAGGACCCTGACCTTGATGGCGCTGGTACTATTCCGAAACCGATCCTTGAGATGGACGGTCTCTTGACGGCGACCGAGCCCACTCGACTCCCGTCCGGGCTTGTAGGCAAACTGCGCCTCCATCAATCAGGCAAAGTCTCGCTCGACTGGGGAGGCACGGACATGGAAGTGCGGTACGGGTCGGAGGTAGACTTTTTGCAGGACGTGGTTCTGGTGAAACCCGGCGTGAAGACGGAAGGACAGGGCGAAAACGAGAACGTGACCGCCACGGATGGAGACAGGTCAGATGCACACAAGGACAGAGCAGGCGCGGCGTATGCGCTGGGCCACGTTAGGAAGAAATTGGTCTTGATCCCAGACTGGGCCAAACTTTACGATTGATTTACGGCATGAGTGAATGATGGGGAAAGGAAGGAGAGCAGTCCGCCTCACTGGAGTCTTAAGCATGCAGACCTACACCTATGAATATGCATACAGGCGGGAGTTTTTACGGTTCGCGTGCCTCTTACGAGAGGTGCGAGGTGCGCATTTTGCATGTAAACAGCGATGCAACGGCAACGGCAACGGCAACGGTTCCTCCGGTCAAGTTCAACTGGGTGAAGACAAGCATGGCATGTTAAGCAGGCTTAGGCTTAGGCTAGATGGATGGAAAGATAGAATTGATACCCTCGTGTTTTCGGTGCGGTGCGGTGCAGTTCGTTTCAATCGAGTCCCGTTCGATCAGATGAAGAGGTGAGGGATCCTAGCAGTGCCTGATCTTTAGATGAAGGTACGGATACTCGTATCCTGACAGTGCCTGAATTTATCATTATCAATGACCAGTAAGTAGTCTAGTCTTGTCCTGCAACGAGATAACGACTTCAGTGAAGGTATATACCTAAAAGCATGTATGTATCCCTTGAATGATAGACATGGATATACGGATAACGTGCATGATAAGCGAGTGAAACAGACAAGCGAGTGAAACACCTCACCAAATTTCCATACCATCCAACTTTCAATATGATTTTCTCCACCACCAGCGATGGCAACTATTAATGAGGAACGAAAAATAAATCTTGCTCTTCAAGCTATCAGAAAAGACCAAAATCTCAGTATCCGGGCCGCAGCTACGATCTACAAGTGTAATCACGTTACCCTGTCTCGACGACTCAAGGGCACTCCGTCTCGCAGCGACAGTATGCCCAACTCGCGAAATCTGACCTCCCTCGAAGAGGTGACGATAGTCCAGTATATCCTTGACCTCGATGCCCGATCCTACCCTCCCCGACTCGCTGGTGTGGAAGAAATGGCCAATCGATTACTCGCAGAGCGCGACGCGCCACCCGTCGGACAGCGCTGGGCTTCTAACTTCGTTAAACGACAACCAGAGCTCCGGACGCGTTTCCTTCGTCGGTACGACCATCAGAGGGCCCAATGCGAAGATCCCGACGCGATTCGCGCGTGGTTTACGCTTGTAAAGAATATGATCGCGAAATATGGCGTGGCGGATACGGATATCTACAATTTTGACGAGACCGGGTTTATGATGGGCATTATCGCTACAGGGATGGTAGTGACAAGCACCGAAAGGCGTTCAGGTGCGAAGATGGTCCAGCCAGGCAATCGAGAATGGGTGACAGTGATTCAAGGCGTAAACGCGTTGGGCTGGACGGTCCCGCCGTACATCATTGTTTCGGGTAAATATCATCTCTCTACCTGGTACCAAAACAGTACTCTTCCGGACGACTGGGTTATCGCAACGTCTTCTAATGGCTGGACCACCAATGAAAGAGGTCTAGAATGGATTCAACACTTTGATCGGTACACCAAACCACGAACTACGGGTAAATATCGCCTCTTAGTGCTCGATGGGCACGAAAGTCATCACTCTACCGAATTCGAGCTCTACTGTAAGGACAACGATATTATTACACTCTGTATGCCTCCCCATTCGTCGCATATCCTCCAGCCTCTCGACGTTGGGTGTTTCGGCCCGTTGAAACAGGCGTACGGTGGTCAAATTGAGAAGAGAGTCCGAGCCGGCACCACCCGTATTTCGAAGGAGGACTTCTTTCCCGCTTTTTTAGCCGCTTTTCAGCAGACAATGACAGTTCAAAACATCCAGGGAGGATTCAGAGGGGCCGGGCTTGTTCCTCATAACCCGGAAAGTGTGATTGCTCGTCTAGATGTGAAGCTACGGACGCCTACGCCCGATACACCTAGTCTTGTAGCGACCCAGGCATGGGTATCAAAGACACCCAACAACCCGACTGAGGCTACCTCGCAGTCCACCTTTATCAAGAATCGAGTCTCTAGTCATCAGGGAAGCTCGCCAACACCGATACTCGAGGCTATTGACCAGTTCACGAAGGGTGCGACGGGAATTATGCACCAGATCGCGCTTTTGAAGTCCGAGGTCAAGACACTTCGAGATGAGAATACACTACTCAGCCGGCGTCGCCGCACTAAAAAGAAGCAACTCCGCGCAGGAGGGAGCATGACTCTAGAGGAGGGACAACTTATAGAGTCCCGTAGTCGTATCCCGGTCGTGACAAAGCAAGAAAGGTCGTCGGGTGGTGGTCCGAGCCAGCGGTCCGAAACGCGCGCGCGACGGTGTGGTGTCTGCGGCAACGTCGGACACAACTCTAGAACCTGTCAAGTAGTGATTACTTCGTCTGAAGAAGAGGAATTTAAGTAGTTACAAACATTTCTATGCGTTGTGGTTGCGTGTAGGTCAAAAATGTCGAGGTGGTCGGGTTGAGGTGTTTCACTCGCTTGTCTGTTTCACTCGCTTGTCTGTTTCACTCGCTTATCATGCACGTTATATGGAGATACGGATATGATAATAATATAATTACAATTTACGATATTTCGGTGGTTCCGCCCAACACTCGACTCGGAGTAGAATGCCTCTCATGAATCGTAAATGTGTTTGTTTGTGTACACTGTACAGTGTACAGAGCATGTCAATATATCTTAGATATGATACGTATCTACTATCACTCCTTGAACGTTCGACAGAATCTATCCCCTTGAGGCGAGGCGTGAATAGCTGGTGTTCCTTCGCCTTTCACGTTCTTCTCACCGTGCGAGAGCTAGACCTCAGAATTACGGATCCAGTGGATGCAACGGACTGCTGATATTCAGTTTCGATGATCATTGGCTCCGTCCACCGTGGGATAGGAAACCAGTCAAGGGAAAAGGGCGGAGGAGCGCGGGAAAAGAGAAAGCCAAAGCCATATTATACACGTAGCTCTTGTTCAGGCGTTCTATGTGATAGTGATATCTACAGCCATGATATCGTAGTTACAGTATCTCTGATTAGCCCTGATTGATGAATTAAATGCATCGACGTAGAACTCCAGGACCAGAAAGCAGAACTCAACGGCCACTTAACGTGGACCGTGATACCGAGACAGTGACCTTCCGTGAGATAGAATCAGGACCAAGGACCAGGGGCCAGTCCAGTCTAGTCCAGCCCAGTCCACAACTGCAACGCCACAATTTCCCAGGACCGGCGAAATTGTACTGACCCGGCGAAGGGGTGAAGGGGACATAGTCCTCCTCGGCCATCCATCGGCTGATTGATGCTTGTTCTGGTCGAGTGGGAAAGTCACTCTGTTTCAAGTAACACCGATGCAGCTGATGATATTGTCTGTCATGCACATGTATGGTATATTTGTTCGAGAACAATGATGATAGGGCCGGCGGAAAAAGTCCTAGAGCCGTACAATTCGTGTTGTACGGGATCGTATTTGTCTCAGCCGCGCAGTTGAAACCGGAGGTGATTCGGGATCTCGCTGTCGAGCTGGACGTTGCGAAGATCGAACGCTCATTAGAGGCGATTCGGGGTGGCAGGCAGGCAGGCAGGCACCGGAATATATCGTGGCTAGCTCTTGACTTTTACCCTTCCCTTACATGGAGTGGGATGTCCGAATGGCTCTTTTCAGACGTTCACGCAACGGACACCAACGTCTTCTTTTGCCCGTCCATGAGTCGGGCCAGGACTCCTGCTCTTCAAAACGAGGTATCATGCACCTGGACGGATACCTGTCGGTTTCTGGTGTATGCAGTCCGAGCAAATCCGTCTAGGCGTGCCGCACAGGCGCGGCAATCCAGAACCGTCTTGTAACCAGCACATCGTCTTCTAGCTGCGCACAACCGTAGCGCTACGTCGTCCCCAGGGAAGAGGCCGGTTCGAAACCACAGGCAATGAATGTCCCTCCACAGGCGCAAACGCTCACCTCCTTCGCTCTCTGCGGTGCAGCCAGATACTCGAACTGGGGCGCGATCATAAATAGGTCACGCACACGGTCGCAACACCCATGGCAAGGACGGCGAGAATGCCCGCTTTGAGGGGTCGGCCATCACTAGCCTTGGCCGTTGTGTCGGCGGTTGTGTCTGCTTGTGTGCCGGGCTTCTTCTGTTCCTTCTCCAATGGAGCAACGCCTTCTTCTTCCTTGAAGGCCGCCGGCGATAGAGGTACTTCATCGTCCTTCTTCGGCTGTGCATCGGCGAGCAGGGCAGGCTTCTTCTGCTTGTTCAACAAGGCCACAATCTCCTCTTGGATCTCCTTGCCGGCTTTTTTCAGCTTGTTCAGCAATGGATGGCTGGGGTCCTCCGGTTGTTCTTCGTCCTTTTCTTCCTCGTGAGGATTTGCGGCATGTTCTTCCAGAGGCGCCTTTGCGAAGGGCTCGCCTAGCGGCGCCTGCGTGGGAAGACTTCTCTTCGATTTAACCACGCCGATGGTGCCCTGAATCGTCCCGAGACCAATCTCCCCTCGGGTCGCGCTAGGCCACTGATCCCAGGCGGTTGGAAATGTTTGCGTATACACGATGGGCACTTGGACAGCCGACCCGGATATGACCGACTGAATGAAGTAAGTGGTGATAGGAGAGACCTGTTTGACCGCGGTGGCTACATTCGCGGGGTCCGCGCCGGCGACTTGACGTTTGAGTTCCGGGACGAGGTTGGCGTCGAGGACAGGCAGGATTCGCACGTCGGCCGAGGGTGTAGCGGTGGGCGTGGACACCGAGGTGATGGGCTCGAGGGTGGTATACGGCGCCCACTGGTTCGTGTCGAGGTCTGACGGCACAGGTGGGTACTCGACGGGGATGAAGGCATGGGTGGTGGTGACAGCGAGCAGGGCGGAAAAGAGGACAGTGCTGAGTGTCGGCGATGACATCTCGACTGTTCGTTACATGTACGGGCTATGTGTGTGGTTGTCGAGAAGTGAGTGGACTGGCCGGTCGCAACGCAGCGCAATGCAACCGGTGGTTCGGCCTTTAGAGTGGCCCGTCAGGTCAAGATGCGAGGTCTGACAGCAAGGGCGGAGGGCAGATGCGAGGGCAACGAGAAGAGAAAAAGAAAAAATTGTCGAGGCACCAGGGAGATATAAGTGCTCCGTAGAGAAAGAAAGATACGAGAGGCAGAATTGAAGCTGTAGAAGGGTGCTGACGCGTTGAAGAAAGGTACCCAAGATGCAACAGAACGATAAGGAGGCGTAGCCAACGCGGACTACGGAGACCGGCCTCCCCAAACCCATGTAATTAATATTTTCAGCAGGGTGTTTCTTGTTTCTTGGTACCGCAGTGACAGGGACATGGATCGATGGATAGATTGGCCGGTGGATTAGTGGCTGACGGATCGATGGATGATTGATTGAGGACGACGCCAGTCGGGGCCGGAGTGGAGCTAGAGGCGAGGCTTGGAGGAATCGGGAATCAGGTACGAATGCTATAAGTAGCACAGGCACCAAACAGGTACACAGGTACATAGGTACATGCAGTGCTGAGGATACTATGCCATACTCTGTACTCCGTACTCTGTATAGTAGTGAACTCGACGGAGAGGGATGGGCATGGGCATGGCGATGATTATCAAAAAGACATGTCGGCGAGGCTGGAGGTACTCCTCTTGCTAGGTATGTAGGTAGGTAGGTATGTAGGTAGGTAGGTAGGTAGGTAGGATCCTCTTTCTGTATCCTGTATATACGTACAGAGTATAGTATCCCGTACTTCCAGTCTCAACTGCACGCCGGCGGACTGAATCCAACCGTCCATCCCATGCTACCCATAATCACCACCATCATCCCCAATCCCACGCCGACGCTCGTCAGCCCATAGATCCAACCATGTCGACGTCTCAGCCCATGCATCTCGGCCACCCACGTACTAACTGTCGTCAGGCACCCACAGAATCCCTCCATGATGCCCTGTAAGGCTGCGCACGCATTTGGACTGGAGGCGCCCACGTTGCTGGCATGCTGTAGGTCAAATGCCATCCCAAGTACTGCCGTGCCGAACATGTTGACTGCGAATGTGCCTAGCGGAAATGCCGGGGTGGCGGCGTTCAAGCGCTTCGACACATAGAATCGGAGGAGACAGCCTAGCGGGGCGAAGACGAGCGGCAGCACTGCTCGAAAGCGCCACTGAACGTCATTGCCAGGCGGCCAGACCGCCAGGAATACTGCTCCAAGCCAGCATCCAAATCCAAGCACCACGCCTGATGGATCTAGGATGCTCCGCGCGAATTTCACCGGAATCGTCGGCGTCACGGGTCGGAGGAATAGAGCCAGCTGTGCCCCGACTTGCAGAGCTGCCAAAGAAACAGCCGGATGGATAATCATGATGGCCAGGAGTGCAAGAAAGGAGAAGCCGCCGTTGCGCGACGCGATAGTCGGGTCGGTATGGTACGGCGATGTGGGCGACGGAGATTCCAGAGCGTTCGTCAAGGCCAGAAAACAGTCCCGGATAAAAGACGAGAAAGATGTGAAACTGCCGCAAAACCCCGTGGCCAGGCCGATATACAAAGGAATGGTTTTCTTGACCGTCCCGTGCACCGACACAGGGGCTTTAGCATCTGGCGACCCCCATTCATGTCGGAACAGACAACGATCTTCCGCCAAATAGCCCATGAACAACGATCCGCCCAGATTGGCCCACAGCACCCGTGATGGGAACGGGGAGCCGGGATAGAGTGTGATGGCCTCGACGCCCAGTCGAGCCAGTGTGCCCAGTAATGAGAAGAACACTAGCCACCCAATCGTAAGGATTTCTGCGGTGAAAGGCGCCGGCTTGAACGGAGAGCGCTCTAGAGCCACTGGCGATTTTTGCCGTTGTTGCTGTTCAAGGCTCCGTTGATTCGGGGATCCCACTGCGGTTTCTTCATCTGATGGCTTCTCTCGGGCGCCAGTAGGTTCGGGTATGGCCACATCGTCCTCACCACGGCTTCTGCGTCTGCTGTTTACCCTGCGTATTGCGTCTTCTAAGGATGGTTCCCGCGGATCTTCTGGTCGAGCGGGTAGCGGCACCGTCATCTCCGTCAGGTTCATGTCTCCTTGATCCTCGCCTTGCTTGTGCGAATAGCTGCTCCTAAGCCCCACCGCCTCTTCCCATGACTGCCGTCTGCGATCCTCGCGCTGAACGGGTGCGGGAACTGTTCTCTCGCTCAGCTCCATATCGTCAACTGCTTCCTCTTCCTCATAGTCTTCGTCTATCCCCGGGGGACCTCTTCCAGAAGTACGGTCGTTGAAGGGCCCCCGAGTGGTCTCGAGGTTTTCTGGGTAGTGTTCTCTGGTCCAGCGATCGCGGAGATGGCTTTGCGGAGTTTGGCTGGGGTCCGCCATGGCGCACGTAAAGCGTTGTAGTACGGCAATTCATTGACTTGGCAAGGGAGAATAGAGATCGCGACGCGATTGTGCGGGCGGCTGCTCGAAGCATGTCCGAGGAATTGTTTTCGGAGGGCACGAGCTCGAGGAGACGTGGATTTGTTATTTCCAGCTAGACAATGTCCGACATTGCATTGCCTCTTGAGACTTGGGCTAAGATGCTACAAGCATCTCCCATGTTCGTTAGAAGAGGCGGGCACTTTTATGAAGCACTCCTCGAAGACAAGAAGGACCAAGACATATCCGCTCGCTTTGCTCTATCCATTGTACTCTCCGTCCAAACCTCTAGGACTAAGATGCGGGGTCCCCGATTGGTGGAAACCCCCAACTGTCGGACACGTTTATCACGCCGCCTAAGGCTTCCTCCAAAAGCCACACGTCTGCCTTGGTCACCCCTCGGCTTATATCAACTCCCAGATCGAGTTGGGCAAACGCTCAGGAGCCAAGGATGGACATGCTGTCGGAGTTGGAGGGAAGGGACCGAAGCTGTTTGAGCGAGAAGAGGCGCAATTGTCCGAGTTCGGTCTCATGTCATCTAGTTGTGTACCTAGGTATTGCTTATGCCTGGAAGATACAGATCTAGATCTGTAGACATACCGGTAAAGAGGGCGTATCGTGCAGAGGATCAGTGACTAGATTCGACCCGGAACCAGATGCAAAGTCGAGCACAGGGCGGTATCGCCTGTTCTCCAGATCCAGACGAACAAGAGTTGCAGCGGAATTCGCCGTTGCCCCTCTATGTTATCGCTGTATGTAAGAGATACCGCAGTAACATCTACAGAGCTTGGGTAGTATGCGGCCACCCCGCCAACACCGAACGCAGCTTGGAATAGATATGCAGTAATTTACCAGCAGCTTGAGTACATCCTGGTCTTTCTCTCATCAATACCCCCTCTAGACTTTTCCTTACCACTGTCCCCTGGCTGCGACCGTAACATGGCGTCTGGTGTACCCTCTAATGTACATGTCTCCAAGCATCCCTGTTTAAGGGCCAAGCTGTCGCAACTGCGCTCCAAATCCACGAACGCTCGCGAAACCAAAAGTCTCGTTCATGATATCGCGCTATTGCTGGGGACAGAGGCGTTGTCCGACCTGCCTCTTGAGACTGCGGGAACTGTGAGTTCGTCTTGTAGTCTCTGTACATCCGTGCTGATCAAGACCTAGGCTGACCTTGAGACTGCTGTAGGATGAATCGCCCATAGGATATGAGTACTCCTATGAGTCTATTGATTGCACCAAGATAACTCTGGTGCCCATCTTGCGCTCGGGTCTGGGAATGGTCGAAGGTGAGCCTACTGCATGCTCATGAATGGCTCGCAACTGACAGGGACCTAGCCATTCAGTCGATCCTTCCCGACCCAGTCTCCATTCATCACCTTGGCCTGTTCCGCGAAAAACTCTCCCTGCAGCCAGTTGAGTATTACAACAACCTGCCTCAGTCAGAGACATCCGCGGCGAAATTGGCCATCATCGTCGATCCTATCATCGCCACCGGCCAGACAGCTGTTGCAGCAATTCAGTCGTTGAAAGATTGGGGCGTTGAGAAGATCATCGTGTTGGGTGTTTTGGGCGCAGTTCCTGGTGTAACAAGAGCCGCGGAAGAATGGCCAGAGGGAACACAGGTATGGGTTGGAGGTATTGATGAGGAGTTGACGGATAGAGGCATGATCAAGCCTGGCTTGGGAGACATCGGAGACCGTCTCTTCCTCACCATTGGCAAGTGAGGCGTCGAGTATTCTGGATCTGGAACCTGCAACAATCTCACCGAAGACATAGAAATGCTTGATGGCCAAATGTTTTTTCGATAGTCCCCTCTTTCTTTAGCAGTTCTCTAAGCCATCGCTTTGCTCCATCAAGCTCTGTCGCACCAAATTTCACCAGCACGAATCCCCGGACGTTGGCGGCAGTCCATAAAAGACCATCTTGCTGCTCACGCTGCCTGGCCAGTTCAGCGTGCGTCGTGCCCTCATTCTGTGCGCTGGTCTCGTTCACCGCCCAATTCTTCGCTCCAATGCGCGGCTGGCTCGAGAACTCCTGGACCAGAAATTCTGCCAGCTCTTTGAAAACTGGGCCGTAGACAATCAATGTGCCAAATACACCCATATTGTCAGTCTTGCCAGGGAGCTCTGTAGCACCTGGGTCGTCCTGATGCAACGAGACAGCATCCCGAAGTAAGAGTCTTCCTTTGGACCGCTCATCTATCTCCCTGACCTCGTTCCTCCCATTCCAATTCCATAACGTCCAACTTTCTCCTCGTGCGCGACGGCCTTCACTCACCCAGTCCAGCACCAATAAGCTGCTGCTGCCATTTGGCTCAACGTAGAAGGTCTGCCTCTGCTCATAGACACTCTCGGCGAAGGGTTGAGTTGGATCAGGTAGATAGCAGAGTGCTGCTAGGGATCCGACCCTGACGTCTAAGACCTGCCGACTGACCACGGATCTGTTAGGCGACTTGAAGATCTTGGTACTGCCTTGTGTGAGTAAAACAAGGCGAGTGGCGTCCTGTAGCTCGATCTTGAGACTGATTTGATCACCTCCAACAAGCCCTCCTCCGTATGTCAAGAGGAACGCGATAGTTACATGCTTGTCATCACCGGAGTGGTGAGGATCGGGCGCAATGAGTTTGAGAGGATATTGATAGGTGAATGTCTGTAGCACCTGTTTCCCAGGAGGTAGAAGACAAAGGACTAGTTCTCCAGTTCCTGGTAGAGATGAAGAAGGTGCAAACGGCGATTTCGGGAGCGACATGCCTTTGAGATATGAGCATCGGATGTCAGGCTAGCATTCCGAGTTCGTATGCCCTTGGGGCGTTTCCGCAGGATTCGGAGCTGGCACTGCAGGCAAAGCCCAGGATTTGGGCAAGATGGAAATCTACCAAGCCCACCATGGAGGCTCTGATATGCGCCGGGGCACCTTTGGCTGGTGACTGGGGACCGGTGGGGTTAGGCCCTCAGGCTTAACATTGGAAACTTCCCCAGTAGGTCTTAGGCACCTCAAGTGCCTCCACTAACGGAGCCTGCGTAAAACCTATGCCACTCTACCTTCGCGTCACGCGTTTCCAACGTGTTCACAACCCCGATCAACAATAAATGCCACGGTCCGCTTGAAACAGCGCCTCGCATAATAGACACTGACTACGCCGTTTCTTCAGTTTGCTTGCGCCTGCGTTGTCGCGCCCTTCTCTTCGTCTTCCACCTAGAATTCCGATCCATGCCTCCATCGGACCAGCTGCCCCATCGACAATAGCATTCTATCTACCACGCCAACATGGACGTGGATTCCAACGCTCCTAGTGACACTACAGAGCAGCCTCGCAGATCAGGCAGAACAGTCCGCAAAACAGATCTCTTCTCTCAAGAGCATCATCAAGGCAGCCTCACCACCAATGGCGCCACGAAGCGGAAAAGACACGCCGGCACCATGCAGGCGGACGATGGCAATGAAGAGGATGAAGAAGATGAAGACTCTGAATCCGAAGATGACGAAAACGACGGAGAACCCGATGAAGAAGAATCCAACGCTAGGCGCAGGGCACAGCGAGCAAGAGGAGCGGCCGCAAAACCCGCTGCCAAAAGAGCAAAGACAACCAATGGTCCTAGTACTACATTGGCAATCCGCTCGGTCAATGCAGACAATGAATCGCGCTCCAAAAGTGCAAAGGCACGTGCTCGACCAAGCCAGGCGCATCAACAAGGACTATATGCCGAAGTATTTGGAAAAGGCCACTACCCCGAAGACGCAGCAGCTGTGTGGTTCCAGTCTCTACAAAAGGACAGTGTCGCAGCTATAGCGGATATGATCAGTTTTGTCCTTCAATGCATTGGTTGCAATTCCAAGGTTGAGCCCCAGGACATCGAAGACCAGGATTCGGTTCCCAGCAAACTCGGGGACATTGTGCTAGAGTACGAGCAACAAGGACTACCCGATTATCCCCTTATATCCAAGCAAAAGCAGTATGTGGGATTTAAGGCCGTCCTGGAAAAGTTCTTCGAAGCCACCATCAAAGTGTTGCATAGTACATCCATCCTCTACGATCAACCCGAAATCTACGATAATGTTCATGTTTGGATTGCCACAATATCGGGCGCGAACTACAAGTCTTTCAGGCATACTGCGACAGTAATTTCCCTGTCGATGACTACTGCTTTGTGCGAAATCGCGAACGAGTTGCAGGAGACTACGGCGACGCTCAAATCCCAGCTTGATGCCGAAAAGAAGAAAAGAAAAGTCAATAACGGACGGATCAAAACTATCGCAGAAACTCTGAAGACCACCGAGACGAGACTAGGAGTCATTGACGCTCAGCTGAGGGATGCGTTCAACACGGTGTATGTTCACCGATACCGTGATGTTGAGGAGAAAATTCGTGCGCAATGTGTTGCTGCCTTGGGCAGCTGGATTGTGCTCTACCGCAAGATGTTTTTAGAAAGCAGTTACCTGCGCTATCTGGGATGGGTGTTAAATGATACAAGTGCTGCTACACGGCTTGAGGACATCAAGCAGTTGAAGAACTTGTACAAGAACAAGAAGAACATCGGCGCCTTGAGAGCGTTCACCGACCGATTTCGACCGAGGCTGGTAGAGATGGGTACGAGAGATGCTGATATCAGCATAAGAGCCGAGACAATCGAACTCCTGGACAGACTGCGAGATGCCGAGTTACTGGAGCCGGACGACATCGATACCATTGGACGTTTGATTTTCGACAGTGAGCCACGAGTCAGAAAAGCCGTGGCCAAATTCTTCGTCGCCAATATTGAAGACCTTTACCGGGCAAGTATCGAGGATTTCGAAGAAGCCTCATATCATGCACACTTACCGACTCCTGAAGATGTGGACGATTTCACGTTGCCTACTCAATCCTGGGTTAAATACAAGTGTCTGAGCTCCATCTTTGCTGGCTACGACAACGATGAAGAATCTCTAGATGGCATGCCTGCACAGACTCTGCCGTTGACCTTCACCACAGACTCCCGTTATACTCTTGCTACCCAGGCCATCTATCCCCACATGCCCGAATTGCACGGATGGGAATCCCTCTCAGGCTATCTTCTCTATGATCATTCTTCAATCCCATCGGGAGAGAACAACGAAGACATCGCCATCCAGGTTCAACAGGCCTACCAGTTAAGTGGGGGTGAGGACATCATTCTACTTGACGTCCTCTATTCTGCGGTCAAGCAATACTTGCAGTCGATAATGAATGCGCCGTCAGGTCGCAGGACTAACGCCACAAAGGATCAACTCCCTCAGATGCAGGATACTGCAGCACAACATCTCACAATCATCATCCCCCAACTTCTCAGTAAATACAGCAGTACGCCACAAGCCGCCTCGTCTATTCTTCGGATAGAGCAACTCCTTGACATCGGTCTGATTACTGATCTGCAGAGCGGCGAAGCCGCCTATTCGGCTATCCTGGATGATATCAGCAAACAGTTCACGTCACACTCGGATCAGAAAGTTCTGGCTGCCGCAAGCGTTGCGTTTCGAAATGCCAGGAGCTACGAGCAGAGTAAAGAAGCAGCCGACTTGAAGGTTCAAGAAATCTGGACCGAGTCTGTCACGACACTAGCAAACATACTCCGAGGCAAAGATGTGGAGAAAAGAGGTACACTTGACAAACCCATCCTTAGCGAAGTCGTCAACACAAGCCTGCGTCTGGCAGAGCTGGCGGGCGTCTACGACTGTACTCTTATCATCGAGGGCACTTGGGACTCTGGGACGTCCAAAAAGCACAAAGGCAAGACAAGCCACCAAACAACCCTCCTGGACCTCTTGCTGCAGTTGTTGAAACGAGGCGAGCCGGACGAGGACAGTACAGACGCCTTCTCTGAACTGGAGGACCAGTTGTGCATTGCCCTTATCGAACTGTTCTCACGATATTTCCGATGGAAGGTGTTCAGCTTGAAGAAAGCAACTGCGGCCAACGACTTCGCCCAGCTCTCAACGAGATCTCTGACCAGCATTGCACTGACACGGTCGACCTTCGTGGAGACCCTTGCACCAATCATTCTCCTACGATCGCCATTGGACCCAGTGCGCTACAGCGCGATAGTAAACGTCTTGGAGCTGTTCGCACTCTTCTCGACCATAAGAAACATGCACCCTGACAGGGGAGAACTGGATGAAGACATCAAGCGAAATCTCCACAGCTTGATCACGACCGTGCCAGAAGACATTGTTAGGGAAGTCCTGATCACTTACACGAGACTGGAAAAGTCTTTTGCAAAGAAGACGCGCAGAAAGATCGAAACGAGTGACAAACACAAAACCCAAACCTCAGTCCAGGAAGAGACAGAGGAAGACATTGAAAAGCCACCTGAAGATTCCGAAGACGAAGCGGAGAATTCGGCTTCTGAGGGCGACGATAATGACGACGACGAAGAGGTTCTAGGCGGAGGCCGCAGCGCAAAGAAACAGGCTGCTCTTCTCGCCGAACAGAACCTATGTGAGCTCACTAGCAAGATCATCTTTGCCATCATTGGAGGAGCGATCAAAGATGAACAGGTCAAGAGACGGTTGACGCTCAACCGTAAGAAGCTAGGCAAGAATTATGCAACGCTGCTGTCATATTTGGACGAGAAGAAGGAGAAAAAGTCTGGGTCGAAGACGAAGAAAACTGGGCCTGAGACAGGAAAGAGTTCCAGAACTGATCTCGCGTCGAGAAAACCCGTCTCGGACGAGATGGTACTCGAGGACGATGATATCGAAGATGATGAACATGACGAGGAAGAGGCACAGAGGCAGCGCGAGCTGCAGGAGGATGATGTCGAGGACGTCGAGGAGATTGAGCACGGCAACGACGAAGGGCAGGAAGATGGGCCGGAAGCTGAAGATGAAATCATGGGCGATTAGAGCCGCAACGTGGATGTGTGCCGCTCGCTACTGAGGGATGAACGTACTGACTTGCTCTACGGGAAACGGACAACGATCAGAGCGAGAAGTGTAAGACTATGTGGTTTCCAGCCGGTTCTGCTGATGAGGCGTGTTCTGGTCCTAGTGCGAATGATACTATGTTTTCGGGCTTTCCTTTCTACATTGAAATTTCAGCAGTCTTGCGATCCTGAGAGACATGCGGACTGGTCTGTAGCTTTATGTTTTTGACTTGTCTTCATTGTTTATTCTGTCTGTTTGATGATGCTGCACAGTCCATGTGCGCTCAAGGCTCCTTAATCGGTCCCCTTTTAGCTTTGATGCCATCCTGTCAGTTCATCACACCAATTCTTATATCCTTCCAACCATCTCCGCCGCCGCGAACAGAATGACTTTTCTCCTCAGAGTGCAAAATTCCCACACCATTTATATGCAAAGTCATGCGTATGCGTGCCCCTGTGCGTAGTCCTTTCGCCGGTTCCATAACTGCGGTTGCTCTTGATCACATCTAGGCCTTAAATGTTGGCTATCCATTCAAATGCATCCATCTGCTTTGTCATGTGCCCCAGGAAAGTGGTACGGCATGTGGGTGGTGGGCGAGTACACCTACTCAGCCCTGCCACGACTCTTGGGTCTTCCGCCACTCTTCAATCTACGAGCTTCGGGACGCTGAATGTGGTGGGTAGGAATCCATTCCTCATTGTATGTCTTGGAACCGGTCGAAACAGCGGGGCCTTCGGTATCAGAAGTGACAGGAGCAGCATCGATTTTCTTGACAGGAGCTTTCTTGGTGGTACGGCGTTTCTGGGGGAAATATGGTACCACCCAGATGGCGTAGAACCAGTAGCCGACTCCAATGGCCGCGGCCAGCAGGAAGAAGTACAAAAAGAGACTATACGTCCGTCAGCTTAAGCTTCCTCGAGAGAGCGGACGACTTACATCTGAGGATCGAAGATGCTCGCATCTGGATCGACGACTGTAACAGTACCATTGAAAGCCTGGAGTGTGTAGAACGTAGATTGCGACATGACCACGGCGGCCAGATTAAGTCTCAGATCTTGCGGGTGCAAGTTTGTCTGGAAGCGGTAGGGCAGACTCTGCTTCTCGCCCGGGGGGATCTCGACGGCATACTGCGCCGTGGTCAAGTTTCGGACGATGCGAGAGTTTTGAGGATCACTGGTCCATAAGCTGCCGCCGATGAATTGGATGGTGACCGGGTCGGGTTCTTCGTTCAGAAAGGAGAGAATTGACTCGGTCGCCTCGCCGTTGACAAGCTTGATGCCAAAGATCTCTGCATCAGGGAAAGATGCTTCGACTGTCACAGCAAGCGCAGGGCTCGTAGAAGGGTTCTCGATCTCTTCCTCGGCCTTCTAAACAGCCATCTGTTAGCCATAATTTTGCGAAAAAGCCGGGGGTAGATGCAGGTCTGCTCACAGGTTCGGCTTGGGCGAAGATGCCTGCGGCCTGGAAGCCAAACAGGAGCAGTGCAACATCTAAGAAGCGACCCATTGTGCGGATATGATGTTGCTGGGGAGAGCGAAGGGAAAGTCGGAGAGGTTAGTGAGGTGGTCGAGAAGGAAAGGACAAAAGGACAGCGTATCACGCTGCAATGGGGGTTTTGCCCTGGACAGATGGATAAAAGTGGCCTTAGGCTTGTTTGTCCCTAGCTTCTGGAAGGTAGTTAGGTAAGGTACTCGGTACTGTAGATACTAGATGGCGGCAGCGCTCTGTAGCAATCAACACGCTCAATTGGCCTCCTGAGTCTTAGGGACTGTGCCCAGGGCCAAGGACGGCTAAAGATGCTAGTAACTCGGCTTACCTCCCCTACCCAGCTACGGAGACATGTATCTACTATCTACTACTATGTCGTACTCCGAACTCTGGACACTGGACAGCGTGGGCTGGCAGCTAGATGACTGTAGTATAGCAGTTAGGTCGACTTGGTTTGGCCGCAACTCAGCTTGCAGCCCTGAAGCAAACCAAGCCCAAGCCTTTGTGAGACTTCCTAAGGCCTATTCTAAGCATAGTATCTGTATTGCGACGCCAATCGTCATTCTTCCCCTCGGCGAATCGCCTGCTTAGGTAGTGGCGCCTAAGGAAACCGTCATTAGGCCCTTATAGGTGGCCTAAGGGCCCTGAGGCGCAAAATATAGGCATTGCGACGCGCTAGAGGCACCGCTAAAAATCCCATCCACTCATTGACGCGTTTTCTTTTCCCCAGGATCGAAAAAAGAGCAGGCCTTGCAAAAAAGTACTGCCACTAAAGCCAGGCACTGGCTACCTGCGCCTTCATTGTGCCCTGCATTCCATCACACCGCCAACTTTCTTTTCTTTTCCCCTTTGCACACACTTCGATTGGGATTCAACGATTAACTTCAATCCTCGCCCAATGCCCGACATGGCTCGTTACGACCCCTTTTCCCCAACCTTTGATCACCCGCTTCTTAATTCGAGCCCGGACTACGGCTCGCGAAATGGCTCATTCAGAAATCGTCCTGTTGGCGACATTGGCGTCGTCCCCTCCCAGATGTCTTTTCGAGAGCGTACGAAACGTCTCAGAAGCCTTGAAGATGACAAAAACCAGTTGATTGAGGTACGGTGGCTCTCGGTCGCATACCAGTGGTGTCTTTTGGACGCGGAATGCTAATTGGGACGCAGGATCTCTTGTTTCAACTCGAAGCCACCCAGAATCAACTTGACCGACTACAAATTGACCACAGCAGTCAGGCTCAATATAACAGAGAAGGCCAAATACGTGAGTCTGCTCTACGCGAGCAATTGGTTCAGGTCAAGACAATAATGGTGCGTAGATCACATTCCATTTCAGCCGTAGAGGGCACTCTGTCTGACCGCTTTCGCAGGATCGAAGCCCCTATATCATGGTTCTCCTTGACGGAGAAGGTTTGGTATTCACCAAAGACCTGTTGTCAAAAGGTGAAAACGGAGGCAAAGAGGCTGCGATCAGTATTTCTGCTGCAGTCAGAGACTTTGTTGCCCAACATCTGCATCACCTGGACTCTCCTAGGATTGTCACCCGAATATACGCCAATAGCAAGTCACTATCTGAGACTCTGGCCAAATTGAAAATTATCGAGCGCCCTACATCGTTTGACGACTTTGTCCGCGGATTGAATAGTAGTGAGCTCTCATGTGATTTTGTGGATGCCGGGAGTCGGACGAAAGAAAAAGTCAGTGAACAATTCAACACACATCTTTACAATTGTCACTGTCATCAGATTATACTCGGATGCTCCAACGACAATCAGTATGCGACACTGCTCGAGCAAACGGCAAGGGATGCTACGGTCTTGAACCACATAACGCTCGTGGAGAGTGTACCATTTGAGAAGGATATTCTTGCAGTAAAGGACCACTTTAAGATCACGAAGCTGGAAAATGTGTTCCGGACCACAAAGTTAAGCCCTTCATCAGCGCCAAAAGGCCCATTACACGCGGTCACTGCGACTCTACCCGCACTTTCTCGAGTTGAATCCAATGGGACCACAGGGACGACTTCAAGTTCGAGTACTCCAGCTATCACCTGGGCGACGATGACGGCCCAGCCGTTTGTCCCTTCAGCTCCGGCGTCAAAAGCAAGCACGACACGGACTTCGACTCCAACGTCGATGAAGAGCCCTGAGGCCGTAGTCTCCAAACCGGTGGCCAAGAATCTCGACCGGAATCGTCTAGGCCAGCGGGTTGATAAAGTCGACTCGTCCATCCCCAACCATGAGATCCAACGGATCAAGAAACTCAAGTTGTGCAATATCTACTACCTCCAGGGTCCCTCCTATTGCACGTCAAGCAACTGCTCCCATTCACACACCTATCCATTATCCAAAGGCGAGCGTAACGTCTTGCGCGAAGTCGCCCGCATGACTCCATGCTATTACAAACTGGATTGTTCCGATCCCGAATGTATCTATGGACATCGGTGTCCGCAGAACAAGCCTGACGATGCGGGTTGCTGGTATGGTGAAGACTGCCGTTTTTATGGCTGGGGTCATGGAATCGATACCCGGGTGGTCAAGACGACAAAGGTGTGAGACAACAACGAATGTCTTGTCATCTTATCGCCATCGTCAGTTACTATTTGACTCTTCCTCCTCAGCGATAATTATGAACCCATGGTCATGTGTTTTTCTCAAATGCACATCCAGCGTACTGTGGTCCAGAAATCCAGGTCCGCTTCTTCCTCCTAGGAAACGAGAGGATCTGGGCAATCACACGCACCATTTCCGGGTATTACCCTCTATGGCAAGGTGGATGGATTAGCTGGTGGCTTTTTCGGTTTCGAAAGTGGGAGATGGCTATCCAGCGGGAGCAGTTAATCAGCGACCAAAGTGTCGAATAATTCAAGAGATACCCAGTTTTTTTCTCTTTCGATGGAATGTACAGTACGGATACACGATCTGATGATCCTACTCTCACAACTACAATCTGGCAGTGCCTTTTCGCTCTGTAGCCATGCTTCACCCTGATGCCCGCTCTAGTCAGAGCTTGATCAAGTGGTGGACAAAAGCATGCGTTTCGGTGTCCACAGCGTGCTCACTCTATGAACTCTGTGTTCGAAGAAAGCGAGAGTATTCCGTCCTTGTTGCCCGCTCCTCGGTGGGTAGTGAGCGCAATCTCGGTTCCCGTCAGCGTCCGGTGCGCTGACTTGTATCAAAAAGGCCATTTGCCGCCGCTAGCTAATACCCTCTTGATCCAACTTGTTTAATTTTCGTGCGGTATAAGAAGGACAAGAAGATCGTCGTACGCCGATGTCGATGTCGAGGATACTGTTAGCGATCCGGTACATTGCTTAGGCCGTGCTGCGTACAACGAAAAGGGTGGGTTGCCGGCTCTATTCATTAGTGAAGCCATGAAAGATAATGTCATTTGGTGACTTTATCCCTGTCCAATGGCCCAAAGCTATGAACTGCCTCTAGCAATGTAATCATATCATTCAAGTTGACTGCGGTCCATGCCTCCTTGCAAGTTGGATTGGTCTGCTCCTCATTTTCTTGGTCTGCCGCAAGTTGCTGTTGTCGGCGCCGCTCGGCAAAGCACGAACATCCAAACATGGCCCTGGGGGAACACGCCCGGGCATTTCTGCGAGGGCAGACTGAGGACGTTTTGAGACGCCGAATGCTTCCTCGGCTGGGGGATGTCGGATGTCAATGGATTGGCGCTCTGTTCTCGGTCGAAACGGTCTATTTGTATTCGCGCACTCTGTTCTCGTTCGAAACGGTCCATTTGTAGTGATCTTGGTCCTTGTCAACCTCTCAACAGAGAGAAGGCGCCAGGATTGGGATGGTGGGCACCGTGGGCACAGCAAGTAGAACCGTATCTATACACCTCGCCGCCCGCCCGCACAACTTTTCTCCGTGTCTTCTGTCTTGAAATGAACTAGGTGGATGGTGAGCATCTCTTCAGGCTTGCTGCTCTGTAGTATGGATACTGTTGAGTGTCCTCAGGCTTGCTACTCTGCAGTGTAGTACTATTGAATGTCATCAGGATCTAGCGGCAGGTACTGTAGCAAATGATCGGAGCATCCGTGCAGTGAGGATACATACCAAGTAGTGGCTGGGAGGGAGCCTTAGCACCTTAGCCCAGGAATAAAGCGAGAAGCATGAATATAGCTGTACCAAAAGCCAGTTCAAGTTGGGGAGGGGGGAACCCCAGGCTGAGGGCCAGCTAAGATACATAAAGTTACTCTATGTACCTCTCAGACACTCGTGGTGCTTGGTAGATGTAGGTACCTACCTAAGGTACCTCAGCTATGTAATACATAGGTACGTGTTTACGTACCTGATGTACCTTACAATATACATAAGGCATGGAAGTTATGGCTCAGAGTCCAAAGCCCCCAAGACTCCAACCCCCCGCTCTCTCCATAATTTCCCCCCATTACTGGGGCATAAGCATAAGCCTAAGCCTGGGCTCCCCGCATATGTAATAATATACGGTAAGGTAAGTACGGAGTACTGTAGATCCTCAGGGCGGCACCAACCAAGCTTAGAAAGAATACCTACTCGTACTGTGCCTCCGGTAAGGTATCTACTTAGGACTGTAGCCAACTGCAGTGCGTGATAGAAATCTTGTTACTAGGTGTACAGTAAATACAATACTCCGTACAGCAATACCTCAGGTAAGGTACTCTGTACCTCAGGTAGGTAGGTACCTACCTACCTACCTAGGTAGTACTGTAGTAAGTGGTAACGCTCCATTGTCACTTTGGCCCGAGGCTAAGGGGCTTCCCGGACACCAACAGCCGACCTATTAGTTCATCGACCTGTGCAACATTCCGGAACCAGATCTATAATATGGATCGTGTGTACAACTTGATGATCGGAATGCCGTGGCCTCTACAGCTACGAACATCTCTCTGTGCGTCCGCGGGGTAGGTACCTTAGACGCTCGCCGGGGAAAGAGCCTCGTTGGTCTTACTTACTGTAGGTAGAGTACCTTACCAGACACTTGGATACATTACATTGGACTGTACCTACCGTACTGTAATTCTACCGAGGTGTATCGGCAGTACGGAGTGCTGAGAAGCCTTGTCCTCGCCCAGCAGAAAAGGTCAAGAACCATCTATCTTCGTCTGAGGATCTATCTATTATCATTGTACCATCTACCTAGTATCTACCTTCCTTTAGATGTGATCGGATTCCCCCATCTCTGTCTCTGTCTCTGTCTCCCTCCCTCCTATACGTGTCTGCATCGGCGGCGGTCAATATGCCGTACTCGTCACCCTTCCCACCCCTAGATATCCCCAAATGCAACATCCTCTCCTACCTCTTCCCCCCGGACAAGGCGGTGTCCGACCAGCCGCTATGGCTCGACGCCGCAGACACCTCTCACAGCCTCTCGCCGGCCCAGACGCTGTCATGGGTCAAGAGGTTCGCCCTGGGCCTGGACAAGCTCGGCGTCGCCCAGCAGCAGGCCGTCATGGTCTTGACGCCGAATCACCTGTACGTACCCATGGTGTACCTTGCTGCGGCGGGCTCGAAGCGGTACTTTACCGGCGCCAACCCCATCTACACGGTCGCCGAAGTCGCTCATCAGATGAAAGTGATCGAGGCCGCCGTGGTTTTGATCCATCCTTCCCTGCTTGAGACGGGCATCGCCGCCGCCAAACAGGCCGCCGTCCCACTCGATCGCCTCTTCCTCTTCTCGGACAGAGAATGCCCGACCACTCGAGGAGTGCGGGACTGGAGATCTATGGTGGCCTCCGAAGCCGAAGCCAGGTCGTGGCAATGGGATCCTTTGGACGGGGAAGCGTCGTTGCAAACCATTGCCGCGGTCAACTTCTCCAGTGGAACCACGGGCCTACCCAAGGGCGTGTGTATCACCCACCGCAACCTCATATCCAATGCTGCTCAAACCATATACAACAAGTTCTACGGCACCGAGTACTCCGCCGAGAAGCCGGGCCCCGAACGATGGCTCGCCTTTCTTCCTCTTTATCATGCCTACTCCCAGCTGTGGACAATCAATATCGCCTGTAAACTGCAGATTCCTGTCTATGTCATGCCCAAGTTTGCGTTTGAAGACTTCCTCAAATATATCGAGCAGTTCAAGATCACGACGCTTCAATTAGTTCCGCCTGTTCTGGTCATGTTGAGCAAACGGCCGGAGACGGCGAAATACGACATCAGCAGCTTGAAACACTTGCTGTGTGGTGCCGCTCCATTATCCGGTGAGCTGCAGAACGAGGTCAGCCGGCGGTTCAATGTTGTGATTTCCCAGGGTTGGGGCATGACGGAGACGACGTGTGGCGGGATCATGGTGCCGGGCATGATGGAAGACCGCACTGGGAGTATTGGCTATCTCTTAGCCAACACAGAGGCCAAGCTGATCAATGACGATGGGAAGGAAGTCACCAGCCAGGGCGAGCCGGGAGAGCTGTGGGTGCGAGGGCCACAGATGTTGCTAGGCTATTGGCGGAACGAGCAGGCCACCAAGGAAAGCAAGACCGAAGACGGCTGGTTCAACACGGGCGATGTCGCCATCTGTAGAGAGGACAAGTGGTGGATTGTCGATCGCAAGAAAGAGCTGATCAAGGTCAACGGCCTTCAAGTGGCCCCGGCCGAGTTGGAGGCAGTCTTGCTCGAACATGAACATGTGGCAGATGCTGCTGTAGTCGGTATCGTTCTTCATGATGAAGAACTCCCCCGCGCCTACGTCGTGCTGCAGGAACGTGCCAAAGGCAAGACCACGGAAGAGGACATCAAGAATTTCGTCGCCGGCAAAGTCGCCAAACACAAACGACTCGAAGGCGGCGTCAAGTTTATCGATGAAGTCCCCAAATTAGCCAGCGGCAAGGTCGTTAGGAAGTTGATGAAAGAGTGGGCCAAACGTGATGCGAAAGAGGTCGAACGAACTGTGAAGCCCAGGCTATGAACAAGTTCAACAGGAAACCGGACTTGTTCAGAAACAGGAGTACGGCCATTCAGGACCAAGAGTTTCTGCGTGTTGAGGGCAGCGGGCCACGATGGTTGGCTTCGACAGGTGCTCCTGAACACCAGAGATTGTCTCCTTGACAACGGACACTTATCTGTTGAGAGGGAGAATGGGGAAGTCCACCAACTCGGAGCACAAGATGCCACTTCCCCTAACCGAAAGCGCTCTTGGTCAGACTTCAAATGGGACAGAAGGAATCATCCGCGGAAGAGGTTGTTCAGCTCTGGGTAGCCTTGCGCCTGCTAGAATCCGGCCTGTAAAATAGACTCAGAGACGGCGCATAAAGACGGCGCTGAGAACGACGTTGTCAATACAGTGCGCTGGTTGAATCCTTGCACTGCCCTGCTCGTGCCTAGGGTTGATCTGTATCATCGGGCACAAATGCATCTCTTAAGGGACTCGGGGAAGTCGGCGATACGGTGTATGAAGTTGACAATCTCCTATTTATACGGGTATCAAGAGGCAGTCTCAAGGGCCGCACGATATGCTGAGGCGCACCAGCTGTGGTGTCAAGTTCTGATACGCTTGGAGTGTCGGATAAGAGAGTTTCTTCACCCGAAGGTCGTCGCCCTGTGAGTGTCGCCAGTGCCAGCTGGATTGCATGTTCTCGTTCCAAACTGTCCGTGTTTGCCTTTTGTAGGGCATGTTCCCGTTCCAGTCTATTCGTTTTTGCTCCTTCTACCAAAGCAGCCAATCTAGCGTTTTCATCGCGGTTTTTGACAGGGTCTCGCGGGGGCTTGGTGATAAGAGGGTTCCCAGAAGAAAATAGAGCCTTGGTAGGCAGAGGGCCTTCAGGTTCCTGGGTCGCTTTCGCCCCCACAGAAGCTTTCCGCGAGTGGGCTGGGGCATTTTGCAACTTCTCGATGATTGCATCCATGTCCAATCGACCAGAGCTGACGCTTCGAGGCGAACCGACGGGAGTCGACGTAATGGGTCGACTTATGGTGGATGGTGACGAAGGAGTCGACACGTCCTGTGGCTGCAGTTTTGACCTGGCCTGTGAAACATCACGCATCAGCTGTCCCCATAAGACGCTCTCCCGAGAGTCAACCGTCGACAAGGTATGCTTGGAACTGCACTGAGTACTGCTTGGACTTTCCCAGCCCCCCAAGAATGAGGCGGAGTCGCGCATATCACCAACTTGTTCTGCGTCTTCAAGGCACTGGAGGTGCAACTGCACCCTCTCGAGACGCTTGTAGCTTTCGTCCAATTCAACAGCTTGCTGGAAATGCTTCGCAGCATGCTCGTTGTCTCCACAGACATCAGCAAGGAACCCTCGCACGTACCAGCACTTTGCTATCAAACGCTTCTTCGCGGTCTGCTCTCCTGACATGCATAGCCTCTCTGCTTCTTCTAAGGCTGCCTTGCCTTGGTGAAAGGAATCCTGCCGGGCCTCTCTGTAGTCGGTCGCGGACATGAAAAACGCCGAATGCGCTCGACTCAGGAGGATTTCGGCATAGAGCTCGACTGAATCTTGCCGGAGAGTGGAAGGCTTAGGGATGTTTCCCTTCGGCGAAGGAAGACCGGGAGGAGGAGTATGTGACATGTTGCTCTCTTGGCCAGCTCTGGATTATTTTCCGTGTGGTGGAATGTGGCGCAGTAGCTTGTCAATATATGCGTGCAGGTCCAACAAGAATGACACTCAATTCCTGTGAGTTGATGGGTTGGAGCGCCATACGGATAGAAGGAAGTCTCCCTCCTGGCTGTAGCTTCAACCCGGATGCAGAAGTGAGATACAAAGGAAACAAGGAGTTGTACCATCCATTGTTGCCATACGTACCAGAAGACCATAAAGAAATCAAGAAGTATTGACGCTACCTGCAAGGCCATTGTCGAGGCCAGTTAGCAACGATCAGGAGATCAGACTCCCAATAACAGTGCGGCACTGCGATGAGGAGCACTGAATTACTGGGCAGTACATGTTGATCATCAGCGATGCTGATTAAGACTTGCCACAGCGGCCTTTAGACAGCGCCCACGTTCACACCTACTAGGTAGGTAGCAGTGTGGTAGATAGTTCATCGACATAAATAGTCGTGAGAAGGAAGTTCCCTACCTAGGTCGGTACCTACTCTGTACCGACTATCTTGGTACAGGTACGAGATGCCAGATGCTGGATGTGGATGTTAGAAGTTAGATGCCTTGATGCCAGATGCCTGATAGCTGAAGAGTCAGTCACGTGGCAGATCAGCTACCAAGCACGTGATATAGCCACGTGACTGCGTATCCTGTGCTCGTCTTGGCACAGTCAAAGGTCTGATTCAACTTCCAGGACTGCTCCCTCTACCAATTAGTAGTACTATCCAGCATCAAAGCTTGTGGACATGACTACTATCCTGCTCAATCATGTAAGCAATGCCACATCAAAGCCACTACCCTGGGCTTGCCGCTGTGCAACCTTGACCATGCATACATACTGCTGTGGCAGTACCGTTGGTCTTCAACTAATGCTACACACTTCCAATGACTTTGTACCACCGACAATGTTCTATATGCAGTATATCGAGTGAAACTCACACCTGTCATGCTGCGCTAACGGCTGATGAAGCTATGGCCGGTACCACGCAGCCTGGCTAATCCAACACGATGCTGCCATTTGCCAGAGGCTTATAGTCTTCCTCGCCTGCCCATTGGGCTTCATACAGACTCTCGTCCATCTGAGAGGCATCCATGCCCATGTTGACGTCCCTGCAGAAGTTGTTAGCGGAAGGTCCGGTTTCTGGTTTCTTACTGCCTTGGAGAATATCTTACTTGTCCTCTGCCAAAACCTCGAGGCCTGGAATGCAATCAATCAAAGCAATGATCGCGAAAGATCCCACAAAAGACCAGGTGAAGCCGATCAGAGCTTCAACAATCTGAATCCACAGTTGGCGGATGTTGCCATCGAAGAAGACCCCACCGTCAACTTCCACTCCTCCGTATGCTGCGACAGCCTTCTGGGCGAAAAGACCTGTGCAAAGGGTACCGACAATGCCACCCACGCAATGAGTGGCGAATGTATCGCCGTTGTCGACCCATTTCCATTTTCGCGCGAAGTCGGTGAATTTGATTCGCAGCGCTTGACGGCAGATGGCAGCGCCGATGACCCCGAATAGTAGAGATGTTGGAAGGTCAATGAACCCGGCGGCCGGGGTGATCATGACCAGCCCCGAAATTGCTCCCATAAAGGTCGAATCCAAGGACCATAGGCCGGTCTCAAAATAAGTGATCAAAGCCCAAGTGATTGCCCCGGCCGAAGCGCACAGGTTGGTCACACTTAGAGCCATGACAGACTGGAAAGTCAGGCTGAGCGTGGTACCAGCGTCAAAGGCCAACCAGGAACCCCAGATGATAATCAAGGCCAGCAGCTGACACATGGAATTATGAGGCCGATGAAGTTTCAGATGAGATGGTGTCCTGACGTCTGACTTGCGTGACCTTGCGAGGGGATATGACAAGTACAAGCTCAACGCCGAGGCCGTTGCGCCGCTGCAGATGTGGACAGGCGTTCCACCCGCGAAGTCGAGCACCCCAATCTCTCCCAGAAAGCCGCCGCCCCAGACCATATGGGCCAGCGGACAATAGATTAGAGTCGCCCACAACTGTATGGAAGTTGTCAGCACAGCACCCTGAAAGTCGGAGCACACTCCACTGAATACGTACGAAGATGAAAGGGATCAGAGGCAAAATGCGACCACGTTCACAAGTGCCCCCGACAGCAATAGCGCACACTGTGGCCAGAAAGACCAGCTGGAATTCGCTGAAGAGTACAGCTGGAATGGTGCCGACTGGCTCGGCGAGCACGCCTCGATGGAAGGCATATTTGAGATTGCCAATCACTCCACCATCGCCTTCGCCATATGCCAAGGTATACCCGATGACGAACCATTGGATAGAACAGACGCAGACCGTGAGGAGCGAGGGCATAAACGACGCAAGGCCGCTACGCCTGGTCGAATAGCCTGAGTACCCCAGCCCCACGGCAGGAATGATGGTCCAGCAAAACACAGTACAAACAAGGATAAATGCGGTGTCGATACGGTCACAGGCCTCCCAGGCCTTCTGCACCTCCGAAATCATGGCGAGACCGACAGTAGCCGTCGCCACGGGGGTGACACGAAATAAGGAGGGAATGGAACCAGACTGTGGACTGGGAGCTGACAGCAAGGCTTTGGCGGGTTCTTATCCCATGCTTATCGCTCGCTCGCATCATCTGCCAACCACCGTATTCTCTCGGCACATCCCAAGTGTGATTGAGCCTGATTGCCGACCTCAGCCTTCAGTCTCCTGCTCCACCGGTCCATGTGCTCTCCGGATAGAGAGGCATCAACGGTTATCTTGACCGATCTCTTCATCATGGTTACTTCCTCGCATCTAGCGCTTCGGGTATCACCTCTGGGTACCTGCGTTGATTGACACATGGTTTTTGGTCACAGAGGTATCCCGATGATGGGGCCCAATCAGGGGTGTTTGACACTAACGACGGACAACAACGTCCCCCAGAGTCCTAGATCCATGATGTGTCCGACCCCCCGACCCGTCGGGCATGAAGAGGGAGGCTGCCAACTAGCCAACCCTTTTCCGCAAGCAGACACATCAGGCCATCAGCCTATGATTGGTGATCGATAACCTCCCTCTATGGACAGATAGCACTATCGCAACTAAGGCCAGTGTGGACCTGATATCAAACTCACTAGGCCGGAACAGGGCAAAATATCACGGCCAGCGATATCAACTCCCATGCCATCTGGTCTTTCTGCAGTGCTCTGCGGTGCAACCCACCATGGACATGACAACCAACATCATCAGCCATGCCTGTCTGGGCACTCTCCCCTGCTCTGAGGCCTGGGGCTCATCTTGGGGGATCGGTCCTACCAAGCTTGCTAAGCTTCGACAAGATAAGTCCAAGAAGACAGCGCCGCGGGCCTTCGCGGTCGTCATTAAATAAGGGCATGGCCCCAGGTCCAACCCCGGATAGTTGCAGCTACAATCGTCTGTCCCCCTCCACCCACGTTTGACTGTGTACCGTATCTCTACAAGGTAGCCATTACTCAAGCTCCAGCAATGGGTGTCGATGCAGAAAAGTTGGCCTCAGGCGAGGTGCCTGTGGATGACGGAAAGGAAGGCCGACGAAGAAGCTCTCTGCGTGCTGGTAGTGTTGATGACCTGCAGATCCTCGACCAGCTGGGCTACAAACCTGAACTGGATCGCAATCGGTCCATGATGACGCTTCTGTTCCAATCGCTGGCCATCGCCGCCATTCCTTACGGTGAAGGCGCTCCTCTCATCAGTGCCATCTATGGCGGCGGCCCTCTGTCCATCTTTGTCGGCTGGATTGTGGTGCTTGTCCTGGATGAATGCGTCGCTCTGTCTCTGGGCGAGCTGGCCTCGAAATATCCCACCTCAGCCGGCCCGTATTACTGGTCTTTCCAGGTTGCGACCAAGGGAAAGACGGTGTTGTCCTTCATCACCGGATGGACCTGGCTCATTGGAAATTGGACAATTGTGCGTGTTCCATTTCCCCTCTGGCCTTCTGGGCTTCCTTGAACATGATGGCTGACTTCGTTATTGACAGACCCTCTCCGTGAATTTCGGCTTCGCCTCGCTCATTGCCGGGACCGTCGCAATGTATCATCCGGACTGGGTGGCCAAGGATTGGCAACTCCTCCTCATTTTTTACGCGATTTGCTTGATCACCCTTGTCACCTGTACCTTTGGCAACAAATTTCTGCCCATGGTCGACACCATCTGTGCCGCTTGGACAGCTCTAAGCATCATCGTCATTCTGATCGCTCTTTCTGTCAAGGCCGACGTGGGGAGACACAGTGCAGGCTACGCCCTCGGTCACTACGACAAATCGTTCTCGGGCTGGGGTGGCTTCACCTTTTTCATCGGGCTTCTGCCAGCAGCCTATACCTTTTCGGCCATCGGAATGATTTCTTCTATGGCGGAAGAATGTTCCAGCCCGGCAATCAAAGTGCCCAAGGCCATCAGTCTCTGTGTACCGGTTGGCGGGTTTGCTGGCTTGTTCTTCATCCTGCCCATCTGTTTCACGCTGCCTCCGTTGGAAGACATCGTCCTCGCCCCTTACGGCCAGGCCCTGCCATACATTTTCTTTCGAGTGATGGGCACTCCTGGTGGTGGGTTGGGCCTGATGTTCCTAGTCATGGTCATCACTCTCTTCTGCAGCATCAGCATCACCACGGCCGCCTCGCGCTGCACATGGGCCTTTGCCAGGGACGACGCCATCCCCCTGGCACGGGTCTGGTCGCAAGTCAACCATAGCCTAAGCGTCCCGGTCTATGCGCTTCTCCTGGTAACATTGGTCCAAATGCTGCTCGGGCTGATCTATTTGGGGTCTTCGTCCGCCTTTACGGCCTTCGTCTCTGTCGGCGTTATCGGGTTGGCGGTCTCGTACGCCATCCCCATCGGAATCAGCGTCTGGCATCGACGAAGGGAAGTCTCCACTGCGCGCTGGAACTGCGGTCCGGTCATTGGGCCCATCGTCAACGGTGTGGCACTGTGTTGGATCCTGTTTGAAGTGGTGTTGTTCAGCATGCCGACAGCCCTACCGGTGACAGAAGTGACCATGAACTATGCCAGCGTTGTCTTTGTGGGGTTTCTGGTCATCTCGGCCGGCTGGTACGTCGTCTACGCTCGGAAGGCATACAAGGGCCCTCCCGAATCCGATGGCATCGCTGCATAATCAGCTCCCTGCGCAATCCGACATTCGTACATACGTACCACCACTTATACCGTTCTGGCTCGGGGTGTCGGGCGCCAGTTGAGACCGACCATAACAGGCCATCTACATATGCGGCCTGGCCAGTGGATACTTAGCAGCCAATTTTCCCCTGCATGGGCCCTGGGGCACTGGTCCGGTAAATTTTTGTATAGAGCCGGGCGGGAGCTAGGGAGCTGTCCGGGACCCAGGCACCACCTACAGGCGATCTTGTTGGCCCTTCACCAGCTCTTACCTACCTGGACAGGAAACGTTTTGTGCATTCTTTCCATGTACAATAGTTAATACATAACAGAGCCAGACGGGAGGTGGGACTGTGTTATATGAAGGAATCTAATTCATGCGCAATTGCCGTCGGCACTGGGCGGTCTTCAGTATCTAGGTGGCCGCGACGAAATGGGCTGCCAGATACGAGTCCACAAGACCGGACCACGAGTGTGATAGTGATACTCTTCGCCAGGCAGTCTGGTCGAAGAGACGCCAGTCAGGATGTGAGCCGGTAGCAGCATCAACGCCTATGTACCTAGTAGTAGTATATACGAAGGGACATGTATCAAAGATGATTGTAGAAATATTCCTTTTTTTTTTCTTTCCCTTTGGAACCAAATGGGCCTTGGTGGCCTTAATGGTAGGTACGTAGTACGTAAACAAACGCGCATCTGCTATTGGGTAGAAGAACTTGCAGGGCGGCCCAGCGCAGCCCAACGCAGCCAATGGCCAGCGAGGCGCCAAGCTGCAAATTCCTGGCCGCCAAGACCATGGCCGGGCTGCAGAGGTATTAATACTTGTCGCACCTGCGATTCCTCTCTGACTTTTTCTTTTTTCTTCATGCGACTTTGTGAGTACCATCCACGCTCCAGCCTCTCTCCCATCATGACCACGCCATTCCTCTGCCTCTGTCTCTGTTTCTGCTTCTGTCCCTGCTTCAGCCTCACCTCATTCCATCTCGTTCTCGCTGTGGTGTGCTAACGGCGGTTGTGCCACAGACTTCATAGGATCAATTCTATAGTAAACGTCCTCTTCTGAGCTCTTCACACGAGCCACAGAATCCTCAACCTGGCTGACGAGACAAAGCCCTCGGCACCCTAGAGTGAAGCCTTATGTTACTTTCGACGGTCTCGTCGGTCTGTGAATCTCGGGGCAACCTGGGATTCCGGGCCGGCGAGCAGAGAGTGGTGATGATCTTTGACCTGCGTCTTGGGGACTGGCTTCGTGCCGCTCAGCGTGGGAGGTGCCGACGGGCTGATTCTGACAGGCTTTTTGTCTACTTTTCATGAGCTGGAACCCTTGTTGGTTGGAGTTTGAGAAGAGTATTAGTCCTACATGTCGAGATCGTACCCGGTCCTCACGACGGAGCGCAGAGGAGAGCTGGTATCTATCCCATAATCTACACTACATCCTGTCGAGATCATACCCAGTACCGGATACTCACGACGGAGCGCAGAGAGATGGTTGGTACAGCGGTCTGATGATCATGGATGGGTAAGAGCTGTATCTGCGTCGGGGTTTGTCTACAGTATCTTACCTACCTAGTACCAGGTACTCCGTACTGGACCTGAAATCTTCGTTAAGGTGCAGACACTGGACAGGATTTGGTTGTTAAGGTGCTTACTGTATATAGGATTTAGTTGTTTAGTCCACTATCTATCTATATTTTGCGTGTATCGGACCGCTGACTACAGAACCCTAGCCTGTCTCTCACTTCTCAGGCTCCTTAGCCCGTGTGCAAGTCCTTCGACATGCCCTCCCCCCCCGAAACAGAAACCTCATTTCGCGAATAGCAGGGAGCAAACAAACTCCTTTTTTTGAGGCCGAAGACCTACTTGCTTGCTTTCCTCTCATCGCGTTCGCGTCTATGTCAGGTCAGGTCGCACGCACGCAGGCGTACCGTACGGGAGGGACGAAGCATACTCGGCCTACCTAGTAACGTAGGAACCTTGCTACCCAGGTTTCTTCGTCCTTTGTATACTGCATATGTACCCTAGGTACCCTAGGTACCCTCGGTATCCTATCGATCCCTTCGCACGGAACATTTTCACCTACAAGCACAAGCAGAAGCACATACGATACCAGCAGTCTCATCTTGTTCCTACTCCCTCCAAGCCACGCGAGCGGCTTGCTGTCTGGGTCTGGGTCTGGGTCTGGGTCTGCCTCCGTGTTGACGAATAAAACGACGAGGGAGTACAGGCGGCATGGGATGAGAATACTTCCAGTGTCCGTACATGCTAGCCCTGAGCCCTCTATCGTTACTACTTTGATGGTCTCTATCGTTACTAGGTACTTAGATGGTACTGTCTGAGAATACTTCCAGTGTCCGTACATGCTAGCCCTGAGCCATTTATCGTTACTACTTAGATGGTCTCTGTCGTGACTAGGTACTTAGATAGTACTGTCTGGCGCAGGCGAGAAATACAACTATAGGCTAGAATATCGAGTAGAGCAGGGACAGCGACAAGCTGGGGCGGAGCGACAGATTCGCCGTCTCAACTAGGTAAAGAGAAGATGATCAGGAAGCCATTCGCAGAGGACACGCATGTTGAATATTAGATCGGGATTAGGATCATGAAATAAGATGCATCATTGATACTAGCGTCTGTTGGACCATTTTTTCATACGTATTCAATCCATTTCATTTCATTTCAGACTTTCCTTTTCCAACTTGGCGGTCTCCTGCCTCCAGAGCACTAGGACAATGCAGTCGTCGCCATTCGTCCTTGGTAGACACCGCAGTTGTCGCCGTCCGTCCTTGGGACATTGATCAATTCTGCTCTTTTGGCCGACCCTTCCTATCGACCCGTACATCTCGGGGATCAAAGCCGCCATTCCCCCAAAGCGCCCACTCGGGCGTGGCTTTGCAGTAGTCCTCGGGCGTGAAGTCGACGCCTTGGTCCAGGAGGTGGAAAAACCGGTCATAGTCAATGACGGTATGCCACTTGTCATTGATCAGGAAGCGCTTGCTGGCCATCAAGGCGCAGCAGCTGTGTGCATGTTCGGCGGCAAGGCCATAGTCGAGGCCGCGCTTGGCCAGAGCCCGGTCCAAAGCCTCGACGAACGCCACCACCTCGTGGTAAAAGGGGACATTGCCCATAGTCAAGCCAGCGCTTGACGAGACGCTTGTCCCGCAGTATGTCACACCCTTGACTTCAATAAAGCAGGGTAGACCCCGGGCCACCAGCTCGGCGTAGCCCTCTACTTCATCCTCCACGTTGAACCCCTTGACCAGTGTAAGCCGAAAGACGGTGCGCTGGACAAACCGCTTTTGGCGCAGTATGTCGAGACAGGCCTGGAACCGCTCCCAGAAATCCCGGTGCAGAGGCCGGTCGATCTTGCGCAGGCTGTCCTTGTTGCTCGCGTCGATGCTGACGTAGAGCTGCGTGACCCGTCGCAAGTCCTGCAGTTGCTGCGGGTGTTGAGCATTGCAGACCAGAAAGCTGGAGATGTGCTCGCTGTGGAGCAGGCCGACGAACTCGTTGATTCGAGGATAGAAGATGGGCTCGCCCACCAGACTCAGGGCGCAATGGCGAATGCGCATGGCTTCGGCGAACCGCTCGCTGCGCACCCCAGGCACCCCTCGCATCATCTTGATTTTCTTGTAGTGGCCTTCCTTGGCGCCGTCGAAGATGGCTTGCGGATCATCGACCTGCCACCGCCAGGTCGTCGAGACGGGATTGGTGCCGTGGCGCCAGCAGAAGACACACTTGTTGCTGCACGACAGAGACGGGGTGGTCTCCATGCATAGATGCGAGGCGATGCCGTAGAACGAGTTCTTGTAGCACGAGCCGCGCCCGCGCAGCGCAGATTTGGTCCATCTGCAGATCTTGACTCCAGAATGTGTTCCAATGATGGTGTAGCCTTGTTTCGTCAGTGCTGTGTATGTAGGTGATTCCTTGGGCACCATTGCTTTCAAAGCCGTTGGCGCCGGAGATGGAGCAGAAGCGTACGTCGTGAAGTCGACGGCCAAGGGAGAGGCGAGAGAGCCATCTTTGCCCCCGACGTCTTCGAGATCGGTAGTAGCAGCGAGCTTTCTGCGCTTGTTACGACCCGAGTCTGGGAAGTCAACCTCTTCGACTTCTCCATCGTCAGCTTCCTCCTCGTCGGCACTCTCATCGGCGTCTCCGCTTCCCGGGACTCCCTCGCCCAGGGCACCCGTTGCTTTGAGCTCCGCGAGAACACTGCAGACTCCGACCGTCCAGTCGTGCAGTACGCGCTCGAGTTCGCCTTTGCCTTTGACATCGCCCAGCCCCAAAGGATATGCTCTTTTCCTGCCCGTCAACTTGGCCAGCCACTTGTCCACTTCGATCGCTTGTGAGCAGAAGCCCTTCTCCTCGCTAGGCCATCCCTCTTTGTCGCCGATCCCGAACACGCTATATCCTGCCAGAGTGGACAGCGGCGACGTGTCGATGCGGAAATCGTGGTGGGTCTCGTCGAGGTGGGCGAGAAAGGTGTTGAGGATGGTGTCGATGTCGTAGGACGGAATGAGCAGCAGGTAGAAGTATCGGACGTTCGGGACGGCCACGGGCGTTTTGGGACCCGTGATGAAGTAGTCGTCAAGGTCGACATACGATATGTCATGTACCTGCGGCGGGAGCACCGCAGGCTGAGAAACCGAAAAGGCTTCGAGCTCAGTTGCTACACGCTTGGTGAGCCGTTCCGTGGTCCCGGTCAGGGACGAGAAGAAGACGATGGGCTGGAGGGTAGTAGATGATGATGATGATGCTGATGCTGCTCCTCGCTGCACACCGCGGCGCTCTGTCCTTGCTCCAGCCGGTTTGCGACCTGTCACCACCCGCGCCGCCGTTGGTCGAGGCTTTCGAGTCGGGTCGGCCTTGGGCAGGTCGACCTCCCTCGCCACAGCCTGGTCATCGGTGCAAGGGACCCTCTCGGGCCGGTCAGGCCAATTGGGCTTTTCCAGTCCCTGCGAAGGTACCTGTGGTGTGACTCGCTGCACCCAGAAAGTCATGAGAAACCACAGGAAAAGGGCCGACACAACCACGCGGTACTCATGCCAGAAGATGAGGAGTTGGTCCAGCCAGTCTGCCAGTACGACAGACGTCGCGCCGCTGTCGCCTAGATCCATTGCTGCGCTGTCGGCTGATGCAAAAGCGTCTCGCTGCATTCATCCGATTTTACTTTGTGAGGCGTACAAATACGTGGTGGGTGATTTGCGGGCGACTCTCGGCAACATGTCACTGGTAGGTGACTGGTGCCCCCCAGTCTGCGGTTGCGTTTATTATTCGACTACGCAGTATTCGTACTTGTTGCAACACCGTGACTCTTCCTTTCTTCGACACGAGACCGTTGTGTGTATGATCCTGGAGCATTTGTTCTCTAGAACGACCGAAGTATATTGTTCATGATTCTCGTTTCTCATGTCACGCACGCACGCACCAAACCACCCCCGAGTGGCCCCCATGTTGTAAAGAGACAATGCCGCCGAGTCCGCGAGAGCCTCATACATACTCCTCAAGCATCCAACCCATGTTGGAGCCGACCTGGTCAAAATCCTCCATCCATCCCCTCAAGCAAAGGCCCGAACTAGCTGGTCGCACATGATCGTGATGGCCTTCTTACCAGCCTCCAGCACGGCATCCATGGCGAGAAAGGGGTGCGGCATCCCTTCCATGACGGTCACACTGGCGGGCACGCCGTTGGCCTTCAGTTTTCTGCCATACTCTTCGCCCTCATGTCGCAGCACATCCAGCTCACCTACCAGGATTTTCGCAGGCGGCAGCTGTTTAAACACTTCGTCCGAGGCCATCAGCGGCGAAGCCTCTTGATGCGACCGGTCAGCCTGATTAGGTAGGTAGTGGTGACGATACCAAAGCATTTTCTTTGCAGGCAGTCCGGCAGTGAACTCAAAAGCCTTCCATGTCGGACTGGAATATGGAGTGGCTGTGTTATCTGTGATGGGCACCACCAACACTTGCGAACGCATGGACACCCCCGGCTGTGGTCGAAGCGCGGCCTTTTGGGCAATCACTGCGGCGATATTGGCCCCGGCCGATGCTCCACTGACGGCCATCTTGCTTAGATCTATGTTGAGAAGGCTTTGGCCTTGTGCAGTCGTCCAAAGAAATGCTTCCCAGGAATCATGGATCGCGGCCGGCCAGGGTTCCTCGGGGGCGAGCCTGTCTCATCACAAGGCGTCAGTCACAGCCTCTCTGACCAAAAGAACCCGATTTTCCAGGACAACTGGCGCTGAATAAGGCTGAGGACAAAGGCTATACGAAGGGCTGGCCAACCTGTAGTCAGTTGTGATCACCACCGATTTTGCCCGGACGGCCATGTTGGTGCAGACATTGTTTTCAGTGTCGAGGTCCCCAAATACCCACCCTCCCCCGTGGAAATACAGTACGACAGGCCACCCTGACCTCGGTGGCTCTCCTGGCGGGGTGAAGCAACGGATCGGTAGTTGCGGGCCGGGCGTTTCTCGTCGGGAGATGAACAAGTCTTCCGTTTTACCGACCGGGAGAGGGTCGCTATGGCACACAACAACGCTGCCAGCTCGTCGAGAGATCGCAAGGGGCTGAAGATGGGCGGGCTGTTGGGTTAGGAGGTACTTGTTGTAGAATGCCACATAGTCTGGGTGGAGTCTATCTTTGACGCTGGAATGCAGTGGGTAAGGAGGATGGTGTATTTCGGCCACCATGTTTGAGGTGCGGACTTGAAGTGTGTTGGATCTGTTGGGTCTGGGTCGGGGTTTGGAAGCTGAAAGAACAAGATATCTCTTTCTGAACACGGGGGGGACCGGCCAGTGTTTGTCGTCCTTTCAAATTCCGTCACAATGTGTGGTACAAGACTGCTGGCAAAGGCGGCATGGCATGCCGGTGCCCAAACCAACCGTCGCCTAGGTGTTTGTCAGTATCCCAGTCCTGGCTAGTGTTACCATTCAAGTTGCAGGGAGCAGGGATGCCAAAGCCCAGCCTCCCAGAGACTTGGAGAGCGCGCCGGTCAAATCAGACGTGCGCATGTCCACGTTATTGGTCCCTTGTGACTTGTCAGCGCTGCATCAGATTGGATCCCAAAGGGCCAGGTCGTGAGTTTGCGGGTCATCCTGTAGCTCCTGGCACTGGGGGTTCTGGGTACTCCGTACTGGGTACTGGGTACTGGGTACATTACCGGGCGAGATGCTGCATCACGCTATCCAACCACTGCAGAGCTAGTCTCATAGGATCAACCAGAGCCTACTAACGCGCGGAGCTGCACAGTGACTTGGCCGGCAACAAACTAATTGGAGCCGGGCAAAGGCGCCGGCGACTGGTACGCTGGCTTGAATGGCCGGCCGTCCAACACCAGGTGACGACAAGAAATCCCACGCACTCGTTACCGGACCGCCAGCAGATCCACTGGTACTCGGTCCCGTGTCATTCATTGTTTCTGTCAGGATGGACGGGGACAGGGACGGGAACGGTTATCTCAAGCATTGGATCGGAGGGAACGTAAGTTCGGTGAGATGAATCCCTCGACCACTGCACGACCAGCTTAGACCAAATGTCGCTTGGCGTGGTTAACCGGCCGAACTCAAGCGAGAGGTTCCAGACGGTCCAGAGCTTCCAGAGCTTCCAGACTTTCTCAAGACTCATGGCCGGTCCAGGATCCAGATGATCCAACGGACCGATATCAGATTCTTTTTTGGCCGTCGGGAAAGTGGCGCTGCCGATCCCAGAAGCTACCCAGGAGCTCGGTCGGCGGAATAACAGCCCCGGGGCGCGATCTAGGCATGATTTTGCAAACAAAGGTCGACCAATGGTGAAATGGCGCTTGAGTTTGATACCCTGGTAAAGGCGGGTCCATGTTTGGTTCGAAAGACCTCGGAAGACCAGTCTGATGGGCGAGGATAGGAAAAAGTGAAAAAGTCTATATCGCCACGCATGTCCCCTTGTCTGTCGAGGGTCGAAGGTACCGGGAGACTTGGTGTGGCTTAAGAGGGAGGCTCTCTGTCAGGGGTCAGAGATCTGGTCTGGTTCGAATATTGATCCTAGTGTTGCGTACTATGCCATATGGTATACTGCAATGACCAGAGCCTCTCACCGCTCAGCGCGCTCTGTTGCGTGGGATTTTGTTGGCCTCATGCCTGACACTCCCACTCCCGCCCGGCCGGCTGGGCGAAGGCGTTAGGAACCTCACATCCTCAACCGGACTGAAGGTGACGGACTTTTTGACCCTTGCCTCGACGGCTTGCACTTGTACCGCCGTCGAAATCCCTCGATGAATCTCACCCAGGAAACCTCTCCTCCCAGTCCCCGAGCTTTCTGAGCTTGCGCTGTCAGTGACACTTGCATCGACAGTACCGTCTCTCGACCGACTACTTAGATCACTGTTATCTCGGGTGAGACTGCTTGCTTCGAGTTCGTAAATATGCTGGTCGTCGCCAATGCCAGGAGCAACAGGGTTCCGCGGTGAGAATTGATCCGCACTGGCCGGTGTGGCTTGACTTGATGGATCTGTCCCATCTTGCTGCGCCGCTTCCGCCCCCAAAGGCAACGAATGCTCGCCAGTCTGACTATCCGCGTCGGTCGCCCTGTGCACCATAGGGAAGGGTGTGGCGCCAAGATTGTCGGAATTAAAGGGCAACTCCCCATCCTCCTCCGTGATGACACCAAGTTCAATCTTCCTTCCTAGTCCTGAGCCTATATGACGGGTGTCTTCGACGTGAGCATATGGAAATGCTACCTCATTTGGAGGCACGTCTGAACCTGTGGACGGATGTATGGTGTCCCCGCAATCCTTGCACTCTCCCCGAAAGGGAGAGATGATCATGTTATCGTCCCCATGATCTGCATTGATGCCACTTATGGAGGTGCCAGAGGTTGAATTCGAAGTTCCAGACGAATGTCGTGACGGATACTTATCATTGTCCGAGATGGAAGATCCTGGTGATTTTATTTCTGACTGCTTGTTCGCATCGGTATTGTCATAGACAGCATAATCATGCTCGGGTTGTCTGGAGATCTCATTGATATCCCGGGCCTCTATCTCAGGAATCGGTTCATTCGAGCCATATGCGCTGGTAGACGATGCTGGATGTCCATCCATGCTTACTCCATCCACATGTTCGTAAGCAACACCTCCATCCAGTTTCATCTGATGCATGACACCATCGCGAAAGACTCGACCGAGACTCGATTCTGTTGATCCGGACAAGACAGGGCCGCAGCTCCGGGGGCTAGGCCTGGAGAACCTGAGGGCGAGTGCTTGATTCGTCTGGTCCGGGACAGGGCCGTCTTTGGAAACAGTCTCCGGCGGGGAGGTTGTGAGACGAGTCCCCTGAACAGATCCTTGAACCTTCAGATCTTCCTGTCTCACGCGAGCCTGTTCCTTGGGTTGCAGCCATTGCTGCTGAGTGTGTCCGCGGGATTCCAACGGAACAGATCTGCTTGGAGGAAAGTAGCAGTGACTCTCGTCGTCTTTGACCGGATGTGGCTTTGAGGGAGCCGCTGTGGGAGTGTGTTGGGCGTATTCGAACGGGAGCGGCGTGGAATAGTTGCGGCGCCTGTCATTTCCTGGAGGTGAGTAGCTCGAACGGCTGGATATGGGGCGGGCCATGTAAGGACCTAGAGAGATAATGCTCCAACACCGATCGCTTTTCCCTCACAACAAGCCTGGGGAGTCGGATATTTGGGCAACTTTATGTCTCGCTCCTAGCGATCTTCACCTTCGCTGCTAGAACAGAAAGATAGACGCAAGCCACTCAATATCGGGATACATCTTATCAAGATAGGAATGTAATAATCATGAGGTAAGAAAGCTGCAAATGTAGGGTTGGAAGTGGCATATCGGTCAGGGATGCATCTTGTAATCTCAGGCCACTTTCAACACAGACATCCTTGTAGATTGTGCGTCATCGGCAGCAGGACATTGATATGTTCGAGTCCGGTGACAGGGGCAGGGGCCTATATGGAGGGTCAAGTATCTTGAGACCCTATCTAGGGTAGGCATGTCGTGACTTAAGTGGCTGCACGAGACTTCGTTCGCGCTTCATCGCATGTGTCAAAGTCCTGTGAAATCGAGATCAGATTCCCTGCTCGATTCAAAATTGTGTCAGACATGACGAGACAAGCTGGTACCACCCAAAGAACATCGATGGTGACTTTGTTGATACGTGTACGGATATTGAGTTGCTGTTTATAAACCTTACCTTCTAGGTAAATGCCTCCCTAAATTACGCATGTCGTAACCATTAAATTGGTCACGTGCGAAGGACGTAAAATCCTTACATAACAATTGACTAATAGATGACCGTGCCGCTTTAGATACGCCAAGCCGTTGGCTAGCTCCAATGTGCAATTTTTCTGACGCGTCACGTGACACGACAATTCCGTCTTGGGCCAGGAGTCATACCGACCTTAGGTATGTTTGAACGACGGCAGCGGCATTTTGAATTTTGGCTGGTTGATCTTGTCCATAGTCCAAGTCTCTGTCTGGCTTTCTAATCAGGCAAGCTGTTAGGAAATACGTGGAAAGAGGCAACGTGTCTGGCCAATTTCCACTATGGCAGCCAACAATTCAAAGTACTCCAGTACACGGTACCATGATCCTTCACAGCGCGAATTTTTCAGCTTTGAGGAGGTCGTGCTGAAGGGGCTAGCATCTGATGGGGGGCTATTCCACCCTCACGAAGTCCCAAACGTCGGATCGAAGTATTTGGAATGGAGAGACCTGTCGTTTCCCGACCTGGCCTACCAGATCATCAGGCTGTACGTTGACGACCATGAGATCTCCAACGACGAGCTCAAGACATTAGTCGATCGCAGCTATTCAACCTTTAGACACCCGGACACGGTGCCTTTGGTCACACTCGACGAGAGCAAAAACCTACATCTGCTAGAACTCTTCCACGGGCCGACATTTGCGTTCAAGGATGTGGCCCTACAGTTCCTTGGGAACCTGTTCGAATTCTTCCTGGTCCGCAAAAACCAGAACCTGAAGCCCGGCGAGCCCAGACATCATCTCACGGTCATTGGAGCCACCTCTGGTGACACAGGGTCTGCAGCCATCTACGGTCTGCGCGGGAAGAAGGACGTCAGCATCTTCATCATGTTCCCCGATGGCAAGGTATCGCCGGTCCAGGAGGCGCAGATGACGACAGTGCTGGACCCCAATGTGCACTGCTTGAGCGTGCAGGGCACTTTTGATGACTGCCAGGACTATGTCAAGGCGTTGTTTGCAGACCCGGACATGAACAAGATTCACCATCTAGCCGCAGTGAATTCGATAAACTGGGCCCGTATTCTAGCTCAGATCACCTATTACTTCTATGCCTACTTCCAACTCCTCAAGAAGAATCCAGAGTTGACGAAGGCCAAGTTTGTTGTGCCAACTGGCAACTTTGGGGATATTCTGGCAGGGTACTATGCGCTGCGCATGGGTCTTCCGGTCGCCAAACTCATCGTCGCAACGAACGAGAACGACATTTTACATCGCTTCTGGCAGACAGGGTCATACTCGAAAAAGCCAAAGCCTGCAGGAGAGCCTCATGGCGGCATCAAGGAAGACGGCGCCCAGGCACACGAAGCCGGTGTCAAGGAAACATACAGTCCTGCCATGGACATTCTGGTCTCATCAAACTTCGAACGGCTTTTGTGGCATTTGAGTTTGGAACACGAATTGGAGGTGAACCCCGACGTCAAATTCGAGGAGACGGTCAGAGTTGCAGGCGGCAAGATCAATGGATGGTTCCAAGAGTTGAAGAACACCGGTTCCTTCACGGTAGATGGACAGATCTCAGACAAGGCACGAGCCATCTTCAGTACTTACCGGGTCAGCAACCCTGAAACCCTGGAGGCGATACGCGAGTGTTATCGAGGAAAAGCCATCTCGACGAAAGGATACGTTCTGGACCCTCATTCCGCTATCGGTGTGGCTGCGAGTCTGCGTGAGATCTCAGCGGCTGGCCAAACCGATGTCCCGACGGTGTCCCTTGCAACGGCGCATCCGGCCAAATTCGCGGGGGCGGTAGAACTGGCCCTGCAGGAGGAAAAGTCCTTTGACTTCAGCTCGGTTTTGCCCGAACAGTTCGTTGGCCTAGGTGAGAAAGAACGAAAGGTGGTGCAAGTGTCCAGCAAAGAGGGATTGCCTGGCATTCGCCAGATCATTACCAGGGAGGTGCAACAGGAAAAGGAGGTTAGACAAAACGGGGTTTGATAGATATCTACCAGTTCAGTTTTCAACGTCGGGGCTCACCATATGCCGTATCTACGTCTAGCCTTTGACCTTTACTCCGGTGCCAACGAGCAGTGACGAAATGCAGTGTTCAGCAAATCTGTAGGTGTCAGGGTCAGGCTGGAGCACCAGCCTACTTGTCTGGGGAAACATAGAACCCCGGTTCAGCCGTGATGAACGAAGCCACACAGGCCAAGGTGAATTTAGTCAATCAGCTGGAGAGTTTCAGCCAGTCCGCCAGAAGCTACGGAGTACTACTGTAGCCAAGCATGAGCTTACACCCCGGACAGGAAGCCTACAGAGTAATATTTAAGGGGAGGAGGATCGTGTCTCGCCTTTGGCTGGCCTGCAACCAACCAGATCGACCGCAGCCCAGAATCCCTACGAGGACCAAGCCCAAGTTCCGTCCTTTCAACTCTCCTCTGTGCTTACCCATCCAGATCCAGGACACGTAGCGCAGTCTGCTTCTCTCTAAGGGTCCGGCAGCTGGAGCTGACTCGCCCACCGCATCGCTTCCCGCATGCTGACTGGGTAGCTGGCTGGTAGCTGGCTGGGGAGCTGACCTGGCCTCGTTTACAGTGCGCCTGATGTCCCAGACCGGCCAGAATCAAAGCAAGTGAGAAACCACACCGACACGAAGGCTGAGCGCCTCTCCCTCCTGGTCAGTCGGCCATCGGCGTTAGCTCGTGGGTGATACCGCAGGTAAGTTTGCTATTTGTACTCTGTACAGTACACTCGACCACCGTTCTGTGTGCCCGTTTCCATTCATGATCCGAATCCTGCGCCTTTATGTGACCACGACCCATACACGATGGAGTCCAATGCAAAGCGGTAAGTCGAGATCAGAGTCCTCTTGCCTCAAGAGATCGACAGCTCCAGTCTGTGTAACTAACGCACTGATCGCCTGCGATATCTACCAGGAGACATATCCCGCATTGGCCTCCTTTCAAACAGCCATATCAACCGCTCGGTTCCGCAGAGAATGTCCAACTAACTCCTCTTTCTCTAACCGGGGCCTCTCAACGGTCCAGCCTACCGAGTGCGAGTCTATTCAGTCCAGATTTGAATAGTGCCACCGCAGAACCCTCAATTACCTGGGCCAGTACGCCTACTGCGTTTCTGAGCTCACCGAGCAAACATGACTACGAGAGGAAGACGAGGAGGAGATGGAGATGGAGATGGCCAGCACAAGGATGGAAAACCAGCACTCGCATTGCCTTGTTCGGCGCAATAGTGGTGCTGGTGGCCAATGTCTGCATTACTATCAGCATCGTCACCACCGGGATGGACATGCAAGGTGGAATTTGGATGGTGTTCGCCGGAAGTTGTCGCCAGACCGAGATCAAGGACACTTGGGTCCATCTCGCACTCAACGTTGTCGCCACCGTTCTCCTGGCCAGCTCGAACTACTGTATGCAGTTGCTATCCTCCCCGAGTCGCAATGAGATTGATCACGCCCACGCGAATCGAAAATGGTTGGACATCGGCATCCCCAGCCTTCGTAACCTGGGCTCTCTGCGGAAGAAGAAAGTCGTTCTCTGGTGGACGCTGGGCATGTCGTCGATCCCGCTTCATCTCGTGTCAGTTTGTGGCGTCACCAAATGTGATCAAGCATACAGTCAAGCTGACGATCACTTCACAGATACAATTCTATCTTCTACTCGGCTCTGGCCACCAACGACTACAACGTCTTGTATGCCTCGGAGGATTTTGTCGAGGGTGCTCCTTACGACACGACCAAGTTCCCAGACACCCGTGCGTGCAACGTGACCGATATTCAATCGCGAGCGAAACAGTTCCAAGTGCTCAGCAACAAAGACTGTATTCATGCGTACGCCAAAGATTTTGTCGAAGACCGCCGCAATGTGATCGTGGTGGTCAAGAACCCACCAGCGAACCAAGGCTGCCTCTTCAAGATCGCCGACAACGAGTTCCCCGCCGTCATCACTACGAAATACGACCCGTTTTCCTGGATCTGCGACAACTCCAATGTCGTCAATCAGACTGGCGCGTGCTGTGAGAACGAATGGGGGTTTGTGCCATGCCCGAAAATCACGCCCAAGCTGCTCAACATGGCGGACCAGTGGTCTACGGGCGGCTTTCAAGTCGACCGCTGCCTGTCGGAGCCGGTCGAGTCTCGGTGCCATCTACACTTCTCGCTTATCCTCATGGGCGTGGTGCTGGGATTCAACGTCCTCAAGGTCATCGGCATCTGGTTCGTCGCGTTTCGAATGGGTGAAGCGCCACTGGTCACCACGGGCGATGCGATCCAGTCGTTTTTGCGCGATCCCGACCGCACCACGGAAGGCATGTGTCTAGCGAGCCATGCGAGTGTCGTGGCCTCCTCCAAGCTTGGTTACTCGGCCATGCCGATGCGATATTCCCCACGGCAGCACCGGTTCTACGAGGCGGCGAGCTGGCGCCAATGGAGTTTCTTGCTGGGGCTCTTTGTGCTGCTTGGGGTCGGAACATCTGTGTTCCTGGCACTGGGGATTCGCCATCTCATGGGCGACCGGACAATCCAGAACGCCTGGTCGATCGGGGTGGGTAACGTGCGGCCGCAGAACCTGATCATGGGCTGGAACCTCCCAGGATACGGGAACACGTCGATCGCCGTGTCAACGCTGATCGCCAACACCCCGCAAGCGCTGTTTTCCTTTCTGTACGTCTGCTACAACAGCCTGTTCACCGTCATGTTCTTGTCGCGCGAGATCCTGCGGTTCGGCGTCCCCGCCGGCCGCGGCCGCAAGTACCTGCGCGTCAGCGACCCGCGCGGCGAGCAGAAGTCGACCTACTTTCTCAACCTGCCGTACAAGTACGGCATTCCATTGCTGGCGGGCTCCGGCATGCTGCATTGGCTGGTCTCGCAGAGTGTCTTTCTGGCCAACATCACCATCATCCCGCGCGACGGCCTCGTGCCCATGCAGGACGAGATCACCACGGTCGCCTACTCGCCGCTGGCCATGCTGCTTCTGTTGTTCCTCGTCTTCCTCCTGCTCGTCTTCCTCCTCGTCACGGCCTTGCGCAGACTGCCCTTCGGCATGCCTCTCGTCAGCAGCAACTCGCTCGCCCTCAGCGCCGCGTGCCATCCACCCGTCGGCCCCGACGCGACCGCCGAACGCGAGGACATGGTGCTCCGCCCGCTGAACTGGGGCGCCATGCCTGCCGGATCCAAGATGGTCAATCCCCGCCTTCAGGATCACTATTCGCCCGCGTTCGACGCCGAGGCTGACGATGACGGCAGAGGCATCGGGCATTGTTGCCTGAGTGATCAGGTCCTGGTCGTCCCGGAAGTAGGCAGACTGTACGCTCAGGCAACTGGATATGTTCACTATTGATGCCGTGGCAGATGGCTCAGCTAGCGATGTACGGATGTAGTACAAGAGTATATACGGGTGGCCGTTCACGCAGAGCCTGAGGGTCTCAAATGAAATTGTGTCTCCTCTGCGAAAATCTCACGAACCTACTCCGTATTGATTGCTTCGGTCGGTGTCGAGGTTCGTTCCTGGGCAGTGACAATGGCAATATTCCATTCGAAGCGATGACTTGATCTATGAGATCTGAGAGACATATCTAATCAGGTCGGGTAACTGTACAGGTGGGCTCTTTTAGACCCTTCTTGTCCAGTGCTTGCCAACTGCAGTGCCTCATGTGCACTTGTAAATTTTCCATATCCGATCCTATTCGTTCATTCAATCAATCATTCTCAGCATGCACTTGCCATCCAAGCCGACGTAATGCTAGACATAATCCATATGCAGCCAGCTCGAAAGGGCCGCACCATTTCCAAATTTTGAGCCAGACTAAACTCCGCCGCTATGCATGCTTTTGTTTCCGAATTCCATTTGTTGAGATGCAAACAGGTTCTTCTTTGCATATATGCGCGTAATCCGCACGACTAAGCGTGTGGCGCGATACTGATCGAGGGCGTTGAGCCATCGAAGACGACGAATTGAGACTTGAAGAAGACATCTCCGTAGATGGAGAAAGGAAGGCCCTGATTGGACTGTAGACCACCGAAACAGACTTGAAGCACAGTTAGCGTTGCGTGGGTTGGATCTGGAAAGCAAATAGACATACAATCGGTTCCAGTCTGGGTATCTGTCCCAACTTCGGCAAAATTCATGCCATCCCCATTCACCGTTGCGAGGTACGAATTTCCTATCGCCACCTGAAGATCTGGCAAAGCGGTGTTGCATGGAAAAATCACACCGCCGGCCTCTTGACTCACTTGCGCCCCCTCGACAGTGTTCCAGTATGCCACAACCAAGTCATCGGACACCAGCATCAGTGATGTGCCTGTGTCGATGATGGCTCTGCCGTTGGGAATATCCACATTCTGGCCTTGTACTACCGCGGATGCCGAGGAGACTTCCCAGAAACCTTGGGACGAATCCACCGCAGCGGTGGTGAGATTACCTTTGAATGCCGTAGTGTCAATGTTGCCGAACTCATAAGCACCGACCTGGCCGGACTTCAGTTGAGCCGTGAAAACTGGCAGCGTGAGGTCGTTGATGATATTGTCGAAAAAGGTCTTTTGGGGTTTAGGTTGAATCGTGTTGAGGCTGCTGAAAGCAAGGCCGACGAGGCCGTTCGATGCGGACTCAGTTATAAAGCTGCTGCCGACTGTATCCGGAAGACCAATGGCTTGGGCTGCCACAGTAGCGCCACCAATATCGACTTGATCTACGCCGACGGGGCCGGAAGCAAAAGACCCGTCGCCGTAGGTAATGTTGAAAGTGCCATCGAGCTTCTGAAAGGTGGTTGATTGGGTTGGATCGTAGACTGTGTGGCCTTGTTGAGCAGACTTCGCGAGGTTGGTGTTGAAAACCCAGCTGGAATGAAGAGGTGAGCTTGACAGTCCTGACAGTATCACGGGAAAGAGGGGCTGTCCTACAAATCGGATGAGCCACTATCGAAGTTCATGATCAATTTCTGGCCACCAACGGTCACAGGTGACAGGAACTGGGCATCATTCTGAGTCGGAGACGCGGTAGTCTCGCCATCTTCCTTGTCTGTCGCATTGACCGCTGCGGCGGTTGCTGCTTTGATTCTGGTGGCCACCTCTCCCTCGGGCAAGAAGCTGATGTCATTGAAACCGAATTTAAAGAGTGCTCTTTTGTAAGCTGCTCTGCCGTTAGGCTTGTAATTGGCGTTGCGTATGCGAGGGATTTTAAAGGAGCGTTTTTGTTTCTGCTTTTGTTGGATAGGAGTTGCAAATACTGTAGTCAGGAAGAGAACAGCCAGGAGCAACGCATGGAATCGAAGCATATTGGCGATGGTGGTCGACTAGCGATCGAACAACGACAGAACTGAATGAAGTAGCCTCGTCTTGCAAAGCTGGACAAAGTAGAGGTGGAAAAGAGGGTGAAGGACCTGCCCCCAGTATACAAAGGAATGGCGATTATGCAAGAAGGAAAGAACAAGGCTCGAGGGCCGATGAGGATGGTGAGAAGTAACAAACCGGGCTGAAGGGAAACATTTTAACTAGACAGGTAGGACATCGAAGAGGTGTATGTCCATCACGGGGGTACGTACCACCTTGGTGTGCGTACTGCGCGGCCTCGTCTCGAATTGTACTAGACAGTCTTAGGCCACGCCAGCTGCATGTCTCAGGATCGTAGTTGGACAAGTCAACGATGAGGCTCGACAATGTTTGGGGCCACAGATGGATCTCAAGTGTCATGTATAGCTCCCTCCACAAGGCATGGATGGAGGTGGGAGGGTTGGCTCGAAGGAAGCGGGCCAACAAGTGCCCAGGACAGGAGTGCATGGACTGCGAGCGTGACGGCAGAGCGACTGGTCGAGGATGCTCCTGAGAGTCTGGGCTGAGGCTGAGGGGACGCCATGTGGGCGGCAGTCAGTGGATGAAAGCGAAGAGTCTGGTCGATTTGGCGACGGGGTGGACGAAAAGGGGGTGACAAGATGGATCAAACGGACAGATGAAACACAGGGGAAGTAGTTTCATAGACACCAACAATAGAGTTTCAACCACTCCATATCCGTGTACTCACTGGTCGACAGGGGACCCGAGCTGGGTTTGAGAAAAGTCGCACCTGTAGGTGCCTGCGGAGCGCAGCCAGAAAGAAGGGCGCAGGCGCAGCCAAGGAAAGGGAGGGGCACTGCAGGCCACTACTCTGTATCCGTACATGACACTGGCAGTGACTGCGCAGTCTTACCCGCTTCAACCTGCCAGTTTCTGCTCGGCAAGGCAGCCAAACCTCTTCTGGCCTCCATCTACGGAGTACCTACGAGTACCTATGTACGGATATTCTCTGGTAGACGCTCCTAAAGCAGTGGTACAGTACGTACAGTGTTATCTAGGTGCTAGTACAGAGTACCCCTTTCTGAACCACTACCCCTCACCACCACTCTCTATCCTTCGTCGCCAACCAAGCAATCCTTGGTTGTTCACGTGCGCCAGAACTGCTCCTCCGTTACACAATGCACGGATACAGGACTAAAGGCTCTCTTTCACTAGCCAGAACACGAACTCCGAGCCTCGCTTCTCCATCTCCTCGCTTCACCAGTCGCCAGTCCTTGTGTCGTTGCCTAACTGGCTTGCTTTGTAGTCAGTGACGATAGGGCCAAATCGCCCTCACGGCTAGGCCAGACCAGAGTACTCCGTACTGGTACTGCGTACGGAGTACAGAGTATTGCCTCTGTGGGACTCGAGTATGCATTGCTGGTACACAGCGCCGGAGTATGCGGCGTGTTTGTGTTTGACCCGTTCCACGCCAACCCAGAGAGTTGGAAAACATTGTGGTGAAACAATTTCGTATCTTGACGTCCTATATCGGCCCGTCCGGAAGAACTTCATCAGGATCCTCTCCGATTAACTTCCCCACCGACCTCACCACTTGTCGCAATGCTTTGCAAGCAGGACTGTCAGGGAAGCTGTCCAGGAAGCTCTCTCCAAAATCGCATGCCATTCCTATCCGGGGATCAAGAGGCACCGCCCCAAGAAAAGGAATGCCCATGTCTTCACACAGCTTTTGACCCCCTCCTGTTGTTGCGCGGAAGATCTGAGACTCGTGGGTACAGTTCGGACACACAAACCCAGACATGTTTTCAACCAGTCCTAGAATCCGAATCCCAGCTTTGTGGCAAAAATCAATCTCTTTTCGTACGTCTAATAGCGAGACTTCTTGGGGAGTGGTCACCACCACGGCCCCGTCCACGCCTGACTCTTTCAAGAAGGAATTGACCGATAGGTGCTCGTCCGACGTGCCTGGAGGTGTGTCCACGATCAAATAATCCAAATCGCCCCATTCGACATCTTTTAAAAATTGTTTAATAAGTCCGTTCTTCTTTGGGCCGCGCCATATCACTGCGTCGTCTCGGTTGGGTAGCATAAATTGAACACTCATAACACCAAGATTATCCGTCACCCACACCGGGCTCCAACCCGCGTTGCTGACGTGGATGGTTTCGCTTTCAACGCCCATCATCTTGGGTATAGAAGGCCCGCAGATATCGGTGTCCATGATTCCAACTGTAGAGTCCGGATTGGCAGCAAAGGCCTGCGACAGAAGGGACGAGAAGGTTGATTTGCCCACTCCTCCTTTCCCTGACAGAACCAGTATTTTATGTTTTATTCCAGCGAGGCGTTCGGTTATGAGAGGAATGTCCGGATCGGGACCCTTGGGAGCAGACGCGCAGATGGCTTGATTTGGACAGCCATTGCAGGCATCACCTTGACCTGCTTGGTCGGATTCGGGACCAGGACAGTGTTCTGTTCAAAACGGTGTCAGCAACTGTCGGTGTGATGAAACAGATCAGGTGTCCACAAACCCGGTTCTGGAGCGACAAGATCAGGCTTGGACTTGAGGGGGATTTCAAGAGCCTCAGAAAGCGGTTCTTCGAGAGATGGGGCCATCAGAGTCCAAACATAAGCCCAGGTGGCAGAACAGGATAGGTCGTGTATCTGCTGTGGACGGCCAGTGCAACAAGATGAAGATGAAGAAAGAGTGTTTTGGTTGATGGCGATGGCGAAAAACTCCCGGTCTCGGATGATGGATTGGTAATAAAGGCAGGAATCTGATTGGCATGAGCATCCACCGGCCGCAGCCTCGTCTGCCCCTCCAAACGCCTATCGCATCTTTATCAGTGCCCAGTCGAGTGGGAGTCGTACCTGGCCTCAGGCACCAAATCGCTGTCACTCTCGCTTGCTCGCGTCGTCCCTTGATATTTAATGTTAGTCTCCTGGAAGCATCTACACCTTTCAGCCTTGTTCAAGCGCTGCATCGTCTTCTAACCGGCATATGATATTCTCCAATTGCTTGTTACCATGGCGTCATGTTCTGCATCCCTCACCATGGCAGCGATTGGGTGCCGAGTGAAGGAGGGGCACGTGAGAAGCTCTCTGTCAATTTCTAGCCGTTGGCCAAGCTCCCAGCTAGCTGCTTTTCTTTCACTTCTTCCACCTTCACTACTTGTACTTATTACTAAAAGTAGTATTTGTTTTCCTGTGCATAGCCTTACATTATTGACTTAAAGACTGCATGGGCGTGGGTTTACACATAAAGCATTGCCTTCACAAATATCTGGCTGCCGCAGCGCAGCACAATGGCCGAAAACTCGGAAGCATCTGTTGATTCCACAACTAAAGGCCTCCGTCACAGAAACACTCCCATGGGTACAACCAGCGGAAATGAGGCCAGGCAAACCGTCTTGGAGCTTAACGCGCTTGAAGAAAAGTCGTCGAAAGCTGAAAAGGACAGAAAGACATTTGGCCGCACTCCAGATGGCACTGGTACGTCCCCGTCTATCTCTAATTCGAGGGGACGGTCTAAGTCTGACCTTGTCGCAGTTTTCACTGTCCCCCAGACACATGACATGGTCTCGCAGCTTCTATCGCCCTCAGACCCGAAGAACGTGTCGGACCTCCTGGTCCTTGCCATTCTGTTGCTGCAAATCCTCCTTGCTTGGGCTCTGCCGTTGACGTACAGAAAACTGGTCCTTGCCGCCATTTTCTTGTTCTGGAGGGCCGCCTATAACATAGGTATTGGCTACCTCCTCCATATGCAGTCTCATCACAAGACGCTTGTTCGATGGGCCCGTAGGTCCAAGTTGTTCCCTGTGGCCTCCAATGGCGAGAATCCTCATCCCAGACTCCGCGCCTTTATCAAACGAGAGCTGGAAACAAAAATCCCAAAGGACTATGACTTCGACACTGCACCCCTCGAGTACAACACCTGGCTGGTCTTTCGCCGTGTCGTCGACCTGATATTGATGTGTGACTTTGTCTCTTATATGCTTTTCGCCATGGCTTGCGGTCATAGATCGGTTGCCGAGTCAGTGTTCATGACCGTATTCCGTTGGTCTACCGGTATTTCCCTGTTTGCTTTCAATCTCTGGGTTAAGCTGGACGCCCACCGAGTGGTCAAAGACTTCGCCTGGTACTGGGGCGACTTCTTCTTCCTGATCGACCAAGAATTGACTTTCGACGGAGTCTTCGAAATGGCCCCTCATCCCATGTATTCCATAGGATATGTTGGTTACTATGGCATTTCCCTCATGGCCGCTAGCTACAAAGTTCTTTTCATCTCCATTATCGCGCACGCTGCCCAATTCGCGTTCCTGGTGATGGTCGAGAGTCCCCATATCGAACGCACCTACAACTCTCCGCCTCCACGGAAATCAATCAACGATTTGCCGGCCGAGATGTCAAGACCTGAGCAATCCTCGACTGCAGAAATCTGGCCAGCCCTTGCCCACGCGCAACCACCCCAAACGCACAATCTACTGGGCATTCACAACATTGATTTCTATCGGACGACTGATTCGGCGATATTTATCATCCAGCTCTATGTCTTTGCACTGACCATGCTTACGCCGAACACCACACTGATTCAGACACTCTTTGTGATCAATGCAGCTGCTTGGCGCATCTGGTACTCGCTTGGTCTCGGCTATTTGCTTAATCGGCAATCGTCGAAGAAGAAGTGGACCAGACACTTTCTGAAATATGGCGAGAGTACTTGGGAGGCCTGGAGACAATGGAAAGGAATATATCATCTGAGCATGACCACCTGTTATGCAGCTTTCGCGGCAGCTGCTTGGAAGATGTACGCCATCCCAGACAACTGGGATTATGGCTTGGTCCTGCTGAAGCACGTCGTCGGTCTAAGTCTGATCTGCCTTCAAATATGGGTGTCATTCAGCATCTACGATCAGTTGGGAGAGTTTGGCTGGTTCTTTGGGGACTTCTTCTTTGACCAGCACCCCAAATTGACATACGGCGGCATTTATCGCTTTCTCAACAACCCAGAGCGGGTTCTAGGTCTAGCAGGGGTCTGGGGCGTGGCTCTCATCACCAGCAGCAAAGCAATCTTCTGTCTGGCCCTTTTGAACCACACATTGAGCCTGGCATTCATTCAATTTGTAGAGAGACCACATATGCAAAAGCTGTACGGAAGAAGTCTCCGACAAGATGCAGGGTTGGTCAGGAGTCTACGACGATCGCTTCCACCACCTCTACGACAGTGGCAAGACGGCATGGATAAGATGCTGACCGAAGCTGCTGATGTTCTAGAAGAATTCTTCGATGCGGCAAGACCAAAACTGGCGGCCGGCGTGACCAGCATCGTACAGGATACGAAGAAGTTGCTCCCTAAATACACGGCGCGCATCACCATAACGAAAGTGGACCCTGAAATAGTTGGACTGGACCCGAGAGATTACAAGCTTGAAATTGAAGGCACTCCAGCATCGGCCCTGGCAGATTCACAGCGATTCAGTGACAAGGAGGCGGAACAGGCCAGGACGCCGGCTGAACGGACCAATGACTTCAAGCCACTTTTATTCGAATATGGTGCTCCAATCAAGGTCAAGTGGACTGCACCTCTTAATCACGGCAAGAAAGACTGGGTCGGGTTATACATGGTTTCAGACAACAGCTCTAGAGAAGTCACGCGAGTATCCTCGGCAGGGAGGTGGGTTGCAACAAACCCTCAAGAGTACGATATTGTCGACTCGGAGGTCGGAATCATCTCGAGCGACGTGAAAACAACCATCACCTCAGAAGACGGGATCGAGAAGGAATGCTATACGGGCGAGTTGCTTTTCGCAGGCGACAAATTGTGGTGGACACAGAATGTGTTTGAGTTCCGGTACCATCACAACGGGAAACACAATGTCATGGCCATCTCGCTTCCTTTCGAGGTGCGGATCCCGCGCTTCAGTGATGACGAGCTCGGAGGCCTCGACTCCAACTTCTCTGTATCCAATTTGAGATCTACACAGAACGACGCCCTCATCCGCCATGCAATCGAGAAGGCCCTGCTCCCCGTCGTGCAGAACTGCTTTGACCGCAACCCGGAGATTGCGCCGAGCACTACGTCAGAGCCTTTCGGTAGCGTAGTCGACCGTGACGGCAAATATGCTACGAGGGTGGTGTACGCGGTGCATCAGATGTTCGGGATTGAGTTTGCCCCGGAGGTCGTGAAGGCGGATGGCAAGATCGAGAATCTGGCATGGCGGATTTGGGAGGCGAAGAAAGTCCTGGCCCCGTTGAATATGTCTAGGTCTAGAGGCACCACGACTCCGGAAGAACGGTCCTAGACGGCGTGCATAATTGCATCGTCTATTTTATGTTTGGACTAGCGCAGTGTATTGAGAAGCAACATACAACGAACAGGGGCTAGGAGTCTTTGGGTGCAGAGTTCAAAAGTCAAAAGTTTTACAGCTCGAGGTATGGGACAGTAGAGAAAAGTTGTTGACAACCAGGAAGGAAATCAGACAGATTGCATGAGACCCCGGTCAGGACTCTCGAATCCTCATAAAAACTTTTCTATCCTCTATCCTAAATGCCCTGGCGGTCCGAACATGGAATATCTAGTAATGTAACAAGGCTTAGTAGAAAATTGACCTCGTCCGATGATGCGGAAGCATGCCATCAGCCTCACCGCGAGCCTCCATCTCCTTGCAGGTATCATACAGGAAAAAATCAATGAGCACGGCGTTGACCTTACCCTTAGCCTCGGGGTGGCGGCGTTCGATCTCAAGCCGAAGCAACTCGACGCACCAGATACTGCAGCCACGGATCTCAATCTCCATGTCCTCGCCCGGATGGAGATGATGGAGCCGCTTGATCCGCGATTCTAGCCGCGGCGAGTATAGAAGGCAGTGCAACCCCTGCAGCATTTGCGGGATGCGGTAGTCGGCAAACATGGTCAGCGAGCGAATGTCGTCAAAGGCCCCGTACGAGCTGCCGTTGAAGCACGCCCACAGGTCGGCCACAAGGATCTGGGCGCGCTTGTACAGCCGGACTTCGCGGCCATGGAAGTGCGTCGAGTCGCGGAAATTGGGGAAATGTTCGACCAGCAGGTTCACGAGCGCAGCGGCGGACTGATTGGCACGAGCGATGATGTTTGCCGGTCGCCCGTCAAACTGCCTGTGCAGGATGTCACCTGCCTCGCGCAAGATGGCGATCCTCTGGGCAAGGAGCGGGATAGGCTCGGCGGTCGCTGAGCGGAAGATGTGCTCCAGCACACCGTCCGGGCAGAGGTCGAGGTCTTGCCAGAAACTAGGGGTTGTTATTGCGTAGCCTGGGCGCCGGGAGTTAGTAGGAGGGCGAGTTGATGGACTGTCCAGCCTTGTTCGGGAGGGAAGAAAGGATTGGAGCGGATAGGGGTTGGAGGGGGGGACAACGAACCTTCATCCAGCGCTCTCTGCAAAGCTGCCACGAGTGACCAGTATCCCGTCCAGCGGCGGCCTCGGTACTCAACGGCAAACCGTTCTTCCAGTGGCAATTCGGACCAGAAGGAGAAGTTCAGCAAGTTCATGGTGAAGATGAAATTGACCGTGGCCTCGTCTTTCGATTGCGGGTGCAGTTTGTGGGACGACCACGTCTCTGTAGAGTAATGCTTCTGCTGCATGTGTCGCCATATTGTCTCTGCCGCGGCTTTGGTGCCGCCCGGGGAGATGGCGACGTCGATGGCATTGTCGCAGATGTATTCTGCCGATTTCAGCACCCCGGTCGACGGGCAGGCCGTGGAGGAGCCAGGACCGAGGCCGAGAGACTGGCGGAGCAGTGCCAGCAGTTCAGGGTCGGCCTCGTCATCTGACATCCTCCTCCTCTATGTTGAAAAGAAAACACCAGGCGACACTTCTGGAGGAACTAACAATGCATACTGAGGTCGGTGAACAAGGCACCTTAGGTATGTATCAAAAAATCCTGCCGGATAAAAATCGTTCCTGCTCCGATGGCTCAGATCTCCACGTGATGTCGATCACGGCTGGCCCTGCAAGGCACTGGCGCTGGCGGTGGTGGTACGGTAATTAGTAATTCAGGTAGTTACTGGTCAGTACGTGGCATGAAGAGGCTCAACCACATGTGCTTGTGATGCGCCTGTAGGTACCTGGAACCTTTGGCCTGGTCAACTCTTTGGCCTCCGTCTGTGGCGGCAACCGCAAAACCATAGGCACCTGTAGGTGCTGAGAAGGCGCTGTGATGCCTACAGAACCCCCCTACCTGCCACCCGGGCCGCTTTAAGCGATTTCTTAGGCGTAAGGAGTGCCCGTCTTACTGTACTCCGTAGACTCTAGATAGCACCTCCACCACCAACACTGCAGGGTCCTGGACCTAGTAGAGTACTAATGCAGTGCTAGCTGCAACTCTGCGCTCTAGGTTCGCTCTAGGCTCGCTCTACAATCCTAATAATATACGAGGAACTGATTTCCTTCAATCCCATCCCTCCGCAAACTTCCATCCTTTGTGTATGATTGCGACCTCGTCCTTTTGACCGCCCGGCCAGGCAAGGGTGTTTGTATTGATTCCTCACTTCACTTTCACTTCCACTCTTGTATTCTACGACTTACACCACACCCTCCTATTGACTGTCCTTGTTGTGTCATGCCTTCTATTGGCTGAGATCGCCGACATCTTCCTACTTCTTTCACCTACCCAACACGACCTGGTACTTTGTCAGGCTTAAACCATGCCACGGGATCAGTACGCCAGGCAGTCTCTAGGCTCTACATATCGTCTAGTGAAGGAGGTGAGTCACTGAAGACGACTTAACGGTCCAACACTAAACCAATTGGGCGCAGTCTCGCGTTCTCCTCGTCGGCGCAGGCGGCATCGGCTGCGAGCTCTTGAAGAACCTCGTCCTGACCGGCTTTGGCGAAATCCACATTATAGACCTTGACACGATCGATCTGAGCAATTTGAACCGCCAATTCCTCTTCCGGCAAGAGCATATCAAGAAGCCAAAGGCGTTGGTCGCCAAAGAAGTCGCCCAGAAGTTCAACCCCGGCGTAAAGCTCATCGCGCACCATGCCAACATCAAAGATCGCCAGTTCAACCTGGAGTGGTTCGCAGGATTCAATATTGTCTTCAATGCGCTTGACAACATGGATGCGAGGCGCCATGTCAACAAGATGTGTTTGGCGGTGGATGTGCCTTTGATTGAATCTGGCACTACTGGGTTTAAAGGACAAGTCCAGGTCATCAAGAAGGACAAGACCGCGTGCTACGATTGTACGGCCAAGACCACCCCCATTTCTTATCCTGTCTGCACGATACGGAGCACACCCAGTCAACCGATTCACTGCATTGTGTGGGCCAAAAGCTATCTTTTGCCGGAGCTATTTGGAGTGAGCGAGGACGAACCTACAGAGCTCGATCATTCGGGAGATACAGACAATGTCGAAGAGATTGAAAAACTGAGACAAGAGGCGCAAGCGTTGAAGAAAATCAGAGAGTCAATGGGCTCGGATGACTTCGCAAAACATGTCTTTGACAAAGTATTCAAAGAGGACATTGAACGATTAGTAAACATGGAAGATATGTGGAAGGACAAGAAGCCACCGGAACCGCTGTCCTATGAGACCCTTGAACAAGAAGCCTCCTCAATCAACAGCTCGATAAAATTGGATGGACAACGCATCTGGTCACCCGCCGAAAATTTCATCGTGTTCAAAGACAGTCTCTCTCGTTTATCACACCGACTGGCCGAAGAGCAAAGTAAGGCATCTAAGACAGCTCAACCGCTGCCAACTATTACATTCGACAAGGACGACGATGATACAATGGATTTTGTTGCCGCCACAGGAAATCTCCGAGCCATCATCTTCGGAATTGAGACCAAGTCAAGTTTCGACATCAAGCAAATGGCAGGCAATATCATCCCTGCAATTGCTACTACAAATGCCATGGTTGCAGGATTGTGCGTGATGCAAGCGTTCAAGGTATTGAGAGGAGAGTTTACCCGGACGAGATGGCTATGGTTGTGGAACGGATCTTTGCGGACCGATCAGTTGGAAAAGCCAAACCCGGAATGCCCGGTTTGCAGTGTTGCGATGGGCCGGGTGCACGTGGACCTTGAGAAAGCCACCTTGAACGACCTGGTACAAGATGTCCTGCGCACGAGGCTAGGCTATGGAGAGGAGCTAACAGTTCTCACTGACGCCGGCATCGTCTACGATCCTGATCTAGAAGACAATCTTGAGAAAAAATTGACAGACTTGGATATCGAAGATGCAAGCTTCATTCTGGTCAAGGACGAGGAAGACGACAACCCCCGAATTGATCTCCGACTTGCGATCGAGGCGAAAAAGCCCACAGACCAGTCGAAGCCAGTTGCCCTTGTCGAGAAAGAAGGGGAGACACTGGACATTCCCCGAAGACCGACAAAAGAAGATGCACCAAATGGCGGTGATGTTGACGGAGACGATGCAAATGGCAGTGTTGTCACAAACGGCTTTAGCATAGCGCCACCGACAGTCAAGCGGAAGCGGGACCTCGTTGATGACGACGCAGCGAGCGGCACACCGGCAAAGAAGTTACAGGGTCCTGTGGCTGCAGAGGTGGCTAAGAACTCAGCCTTGAACGCGATTGTCATTGATGAGGACGATGGAACACTTTTGATTGCCGATGATGACTAGAAAGCTGCCCGAGACTAGAAAGAAGCAAGCATAATTGCTCTCACATACGACTGTTGTCCCCACAACCTTTGCGAGAGTTCTGATAATCGAACGTTCAAGCACCTGGAATGGTGCCACAGCACGCGACGCCAGGCCTTGCATTGCGACGACTGTCTGATGAACCAACGTCCTCCTCCATCGCAATCTGTTCTTGGATCGACGAGAAAACGGCCTCTTAGCTGATTCCTTGTTGGTTGGTCAAGCCGCGGGTCTGGATGGGCGAAAGAGCTATGAAGATGATACGAGCTTAGAGGGTGCAACAGAGGAATGAACACGGGAGAATGAGGCAACGCACTTTAGAATACATTGAAAGCACAGGGGATTTTGCAGATTGTCGCACTGACAGTCCAATATCCTGGATAATCAGTGATCATCCATTGCCTGGTGACGGGCGTGGGTGTGACCACCTTCTGCTTAGCGGTGATTGCAAGACTACCTTAGGTACCTACCATATACCTTCATTCAGTGCTCGCTGCTATAAGGCCACGCGTGAGTGAACACAGTGCAGAGGATTTCTCGACGCGATGGATACGCGTTCTGCCGCGTCTCACCGCTTTCTCATCGGACTAGGTCCTCATTACCAAGACCTCACACTTTCGTTTCCTCACAATCCTACCTACCTAGCCACCCTCTCCATCCTAGACTCTGGAAACCTTTGTCTTGCCCAGCGACAACAGTCTAGTCGATTCTCCAACGATGGCTGTCAGCGGCACTCCATCGCCGTCACCCTTCGTCACCTTGGTCTCGTCCGACGGGTTTGAATTCCACGTTCGACGCTCGGCTGCCTGCGTATCTGCCACCATTCGCCGAATGCTGGATCTGCAAAGTATGTTCTTCCATCAAGATCCACCCCTTGGTAGGATTCTGCCTCTGACTTAAAGGATGCAGGCAATTTCAGTGAAGCCCAGACCGGCATATGCCACCTCGAAAATATCAGTGGCATCGTGCTAGAAAAGGTCGTGGAATATTTCTATTTCAACGAAAAATACCGCAATAGCGAGGGCGTCCCGGACATGGATATCCCGTCTGAGTTGTGCTTGGAGCTGCTCATGGCCGCTGATTATCTCATCACTTGAGCGGAAGGATTCTCAACATCTCGAGTCAGGAAGAGGTCTGGGAACATTTTGCAGATCACGCCCGACTGCGTAAGCTGGAGATCTGTTGCGTCCTCCACTGAAATGGATGCCATACTACCTCCTGGCCCGTGATCCCAATTTGGGACACCTTCACAAGGGCAGCGCGCCCACGCATTTGCGAGAATCAAATCATCACGGGTTCGCCACGCTGCCCGGCTTGAAGCATCGGAGCTGCCAGTACCTGATCGTGTCCCTGAGCCATGGCACCGTTTATGATGGGATGACATGACAGGGGCTTCTCCCGCCTAAAGGTTCAAGCGGGAACGATATACTGCGCCGGGCTGAGGTCATTTCGCTTCAGGATGTTGCCCATCAGATCCGAAAACATTCTCAAAGCTTGCGGAGGAGAACCACGGTAACTCAGTGGGCATTGCCGACCACGAGAGGAGCTTGTCTGCTGAAACCCCCCGCATCACCTGTCGCAATGGTCATGCAGGCCATCATCAGGTCTGGGGACCTGCTTGTCCATCAAATGTCTACTTTGTCTGGGCAATTGGAGGTCATCCCAGGGCCATCAAACATTACACACCTCGAAGACCTGAGCTAGACCATCATTTGTCGATCTGGACCAACAAATGGGTATTTCTCATTCCGTACCCCCCATGCACCCCTCCCTTTCCAAGCTATCTGCGTTTCCATTCGCTTTTAGGAACCGTCACGCGACGGACGATTTTCTTACGGTCCCTCCCCGTTCCTTGTTTCCATTTGCATCCGATCCCACTCCATCTCAAGCATATACGTCGCGCAATACCTGCTCCTCCTACAGGCCGACGTCTATAGAAGATGGAAGATGAAACCCTTCCCTAGATCATCAGGCAGTCCGCCTGGCTTTTTCTCCATGCTGCGACGCGGACGTTCTCTCAAGGGGAAACAAACTCTCACGATCACCTTCCCGTCCAAAAGACAACTCTTGCGTTTTGGAACATTGCCCTAGACCCCTGCGAACATTCCATCTGGTCGGAATTAAGAGTATATATGGGAGGTGTGGTCGGGTTTGGACTAGAGTTTCAGTTTCATGTTGGATTCTTAGAACCGTTATGCAGCATTTTTATTTTTCTCAGGAAACACGGCTCAAACGCCTGATCCTCTCCTAGTAATTATGCCATCTGTTGGGGTATCACATCTAATTGGACCAAGAAGCAGTCCCTGAACTTTTCCCTTATTTGTCGTTCATCCACCGTGCCGTCGTGCTTCGTTGCATCGTACGTTCCAACGGACATGGTCATGGATGGGATGAGCCTCAGCAATATCACTCACTACCTGGCTCCTGCAACCACTTCTGTTCCGTAGGCATATGAGACGCCTCTTAACACCCGGCTGCAACAAAGCATGTCTCAACTCCAGCACACCTCCAGTCCGCTTCTTCAGGTGTGACCTGCACCTGCACGCTCAGTTCCCTGTCTTCTGCCCCTGCCTCTGCCCCTGTCTCTGTCCCGGGCTTTTCTTGCCGCGCCCACCACCACCACCTCTTCCCTTTCCCTTCGAGCCAGCTTTGGCTTTCTGCTCAAACAGTTTCTCCGCGCCAAAACAGGCATCGCTCAGCCGAAGGTAACTGACCACACCCATATCGACGACCGCGAGAAGGATGTTCCGACGACCGTGCTTGATTCGCGTCTCTAATCGACCGGCTTTGTCTTTGGAGAGAGAATCCTCGGGCTGCGAGTCGAGGAGGTCGCCGATCTGCGAGAGTGTGGGCATAGATGTCAGGCGAGCATCGATGACGGCGATGCGGTAATCCGGCGGCGGAGGCGCCGTTTTGCGGTACGTGTGGGCGCCGCTGGGCTTCCAAACGTGGAAGTGGACGCGGAATGGAGGTTGTGGGCTGCAAGTTAATGTCGGTGGGGGTTGGTGAGCGTTCACACCTCCAGCGGCAGAAGTGGCTGACAGGGAAGTGTCGGGATCGTGGTAAGGAATCAGTGAAAGGGCACGGAATAATTCTGTGTAGTTTCTGTACAGGCCAGGGGCGGCCAAGGGGCCAAGTGAAGGACAGGACTCTGCTCGTTGAGGTCGGAACAGCCACGACACCAGTCTGTGAATGAGGCTAGCCGGGCTTGAGAATGTTCCAGGCTGTGACCAATTAGCGGATATCAAGGCCGATGAAGAGGCTGCTGTCGTGTTCGATGTCGACTCGCGCAATGGTTGAGGGTGGGCGTGGCCGTTGACCGAGGCAGGATCGTTGTCGTGCCACGTCGGCGCTCGTTGGACAATGTAGCCCGCTCTTTTCAGGCCGGCATAGACGCTGTATCGCTCTAGCGTCAAGCCATCTTTACCGATGAAGCTGGCATAGGCACCTTGCAGACTCATGGGAAGTTCACCGACTTGAGGGTCCTGCCGCGACGGAGACGCAAGAATGACTTCCGACTGTTCAGACCGGGAGTTTGTCTCTTCCTCAACTGACTGCTGGAGTTCAGCCGTTTCTTCATGTCTGGGCGCTTCGATCGTGACATCCCGACTCCCAGAAATATCCGGCCACCTGATGTCCAGGCTTCCTCTTTCTAGCAAGAAGAGCGCTTCTTCAGGCAGCAGCCATACCCAGTTGTTTCTGTCCGCCTGGCCCATGACTTTCAGATGCGTGCTCTTGAACTTGTAGACTACGACACATCGGCCGTGTCTGAGACCGGCACCAGAATCGTCCCATCGCCAGTCGTCTTGGTCCGGGAAATACTGGCCCACGAGATGGCTCCTCCCAGAGTGCACCCGTACCGCACTCAAGGCGGTGTGCATAGCCAGACGCGCCGCGTCGAGGGCCGACGCTTGTGACCTCGTCGGATTAGGCTCAAAGTCTTTGGTGCCCCGTTTGGGGATGATCGCTTGCCCGGTGGTCGCGGAGGAGGTCAATTGCGCGAGGAAGCGAAAATCCTGGGTTTCATCTTCGAGGTCGTCGGCCCCGGAGGGAGACGTTGTGGGAATGACATCCTCGTCCGCGTCCGCCATGTTGAGGCCTGTATTGGCTGGCGCAGGCTCATCTGTGACAGCGTCTTAGCCAGGGATGAGAGAGTGTTTTGTGCAACCTAAGCGCAGAGTATCAAGAGTCACGTTTACGTATGTACAGAAGTCTTAGTTTTGCTTATCTTATCTTAGCGTATTCTTGCAGCCTCGTCAGGTCCGCGGGATCTTCCCCTTCTTCTTCTCCGTCTCTCCGAGCCTATTTGGTTTTGTGAAGTGGCAATACCAGTCAGGAACAATTGGATAACGACTGACAGAGGCTATAACTGCCGCGCGGTTGAGATACCCGTTTCGGTTCCCATACCTCCGTTCTCCCTCCATTTCTTGGAGCATGCCAAACTGATCAGTGTCGTCATGATGGAATAGAGCCTATTACTCTGCATATAAGAAATGGTAGCGACCGGCAGGGAGTTGTGCGACATCTGATAAAATAGCCTTGTCCAAGCTGTCTAGGCCGTGTGACTTTCTCGCGCAGTGAGATAACCGATTAAATCCTGATGAAGGTTAAGGAAGACCGTCTTGCCTTCGCTTAAGCCTACGACCCCTTTCCCGCACCACAGGCTCCGACGGCGTGTAGTTCGGCCCAGCACTGGTGACTGCATTCAGCTTCTGATGTCAAATGACTCCCTGTGTTTCCACGGCTCGGCAGTGGCCCAATGTATGTGTCCTAGGCCCTTGCCTCGGCCATATAGGACTATAGACCCTCTCTATCGGTCAGTGGTAGGTCATTCAAGTCGCAACTCCCTCATAAGCTGCTCAATCCCTTCTTCAACGTTCTTCGCCCGTTCATCCATATCGATCTCAAGCGGTTCTCTCGTCCGACTTTCACTGACATCGACTGCGTGGATATCTTCATTGAGGGATCTCTCAGACCCGGCTACGAGCCTTAGCCTCTTCATGTTCTCAACAAGATAACTCTGCATGATCCCCGCAGCAGATGCATACTGCGGGCTATCGCGGCCCCAGGTGCGCAGGATATTTGCGATGTTCAGCCGGATGGCGTCGAGGAGGGCATTGATCTGGTCCAGTTCCGACTGGATCTTTGAACCTGATTCTGGCGTCAAGTACGTGTCTGAAGCAGTGTTTGGGTATGATGTGGGAACGAAGTCTTGAGAAGCAGACGTGGCAGTAAAGACAGAATTTGCCTGTGGGTGGTATTGAGTGGATGTTTGGCTTCGATTGGTATCCTCTTTCAGAGATCCTGGCTCAGTTTCGAGCCGTTGCCTGTTCTGATCCATTGTACTTGGAGCCGTCCATTACCTCATCATGGCTGGGGGAGAGACAGAACCAACATGAAGGGTTCGGTTGGAAGAAAAGGTGCGGAAGTGAGAGATGCATATGTCTACGAGTATGAGTGCATCCATCAGCTTTGCGAAGAGATAGAATGACAATCGTTTCGGGCCAAATGTCGTGCTGCTTTAGCCTGCCCAACCTTATGCTCAAAGACAGCCAACCTTGACTGTCAAGGTCGGTACGCCTTCATCATCAACAGCACACTGCTATGTCTCCTCTTGATTGTTCAGCTTTGGACGAAACTGGAAACGATTGCTGCTGAATGGGAGCACAAATACTCATCCGTTCAACTCCAGTCGTCTATGCCTGTCGGACAGGCGGCACGAATATGATCAATTCATTCATTACCCTATCTCAAGTTGTCGCTTCCCAAAACCGCATCCAAAACCAACGCCTTGCGAAAAGTGACGACGCAAAGACAAACAACCGCAAGTTCGGCCTGAATTGCCACTAGGGACAGTTTTCGCTCGCCTTCATCCACATTCAGACTCCCGTTGGGAAGAGCTAGCTTTGGCACCTTGATTTGAGGTAGCGAAACCGGAGTGTGGCAGCAAAAGGACGCCCGGGTCGAATCTCACAGGCACCATCCCAGATTCTGAGCAGAAGCAAGATCCGTTTCCGAAGTCGGCGTCATGGGAGTTGTTGACAACTCATTCGATCAATGGTTTCTTCACTGATCCAACCAGCGCGACACCGAGGCAGCCTATTGCATTTGGATCCGATGCCCGTATGATGGTGGCAAGGGGTAGCATTGGGTTGTCTGCATTTACATGCGAAGCGTCTCGGGCGGCTTGCTCGATTGCCTCCATCTCAGCCTTGCATGCTGCGTGATCAAGAGGACACACCACGATTGGCTGCTTTAGAATAATATCTTTGGCACCGTTCATCGAAGCCTGAATATAATCAGTATTGCGGTTTCGCCCGTTGGTGTAATCACATACCTTAATGGTCAAGTAGTATTCAACCTTGTAAAGGCCTGCGGTTGTTGTGAAGCCAGTTACTGCATATGTCGGGAACGCCGCCTTTCCACGAGGCATGATGCCGTCTGCATCCCGGAGGTCATTCGCAGGGAAAACAAGCCCCAGGTTCGTAAAGTAGCCTGCTTCGGGCATCTTCACCCCTACATTCTCTGTCTTCTTGACCAGACTCTTTGTTTTCCTTTGCGGCTCGTCGCCTTCGTGGTTGTAGATGACTTCCTCGTCAATGCCAATTTCAATCTTTCGAATTGTCACCTTGCGTGCCTTGCTCAACCAATCCGGGTTGGGCGATAACTTGATGTATACGCTGACAGGATCCAAAGGTCCGTACGACCATCTTGGTAGAGATATGCCTAGAGTCACCAAATGATCTGACACTCGTTCTGCGGTCTCCGGCCGGTTGTACATGCCAAACGTAGAGAGTGTATCGTATCGCGCCATCGGCACGGGGAATGCGTATTGTTTGCGATCACCAGATCCGTAACCTACCGTCACCACCATCTCATAATATGTTTCGGCCGTCCTCCTTGGTAACTGTAGACTGGCCGGGGGGACTCTTCTGGCAGTCTCTTGTCCTCCACGTCCAAATGGTATGAAGATGACAAAGGGTAGGTCCATGTACATAATCTCCTCCGATTCTCTGTTGGCCGGACACCGAAACAGCAACATTTCCTTCCCCACTGTTTCTGTCGACTCCTTCCTGGGCGCCGCCAGATGTTTCTTGGCCACCGAGTCTGCATGAGGATGGATGCTTTCTCGTCTCTGCAGAGAGATGGTGACAATGGAGACATTGACCGGGCTCGATATGCCGACCGCGGGACGAATTTCGACTGTCCCCTCGATACGAGGCTAGCCGATGTCAGCTTGCTTCTGAATGCTAGTAACACGCCTGGAGACTCACCAGCGTTGCAGAGATTCCTGGGTACCCGACCAGAAAATGTGTGTTTGGACGGCCAGACACTCGCACAAATGCGCTCATCTTCTCACAGAGCTGGAACTCAAGTTGGGAACATCAGGCGTGATTAGAAGTGTCCTTTGCTCGCGGCCTCTGATGACACTGGGGGTTTTCGGCGGCCTTGTTCTGAGCGACAGTGTGAGGCCCATAGAGACGTCTTAGCGGTGCTGTGGATTACATGCGGGCGGGAGCTGCAACCGTTGCGTTGTGCTTTGTTGTCATATCAATGGAACCGGAGTTGGGTGTTTTGGACGTTGCTTTGTGTGGACGAGGGGTTAATAGTGGTGGATAACAGTGGTGATATTCGAGTACGAAAGAAAGGCCTGAGTAACGGAGGATAATGTCCAGTAAGTTCTGAATGATGTTGCCTATAATGACTGTGGGATAAGCTGGGGATGGAAGTGAGATTCGGTTGGGTTATGAGCGCAGCGCGGCTCGTGGAGGTGTAGCCGCAAGCAGGCGCAGGTGGAGGGATGAACTTCCGTCGGAGTTGAGTTGGTCTGCCCTGCGTCAAGGTAGGACAATAGGTGGACAAGACACGCACCACACCACACCACGTACGATTCACATATCCGTACGTTAGATACTAGGTACCTAGAGGTAGCTACATACCTGACTGACTGTACGTACATATCTCCGTACCCTAAGAGGAGCCGCTGACCTAGACGCTCCAAGGCCCGGCGGCCTTAGGACTCTCAGCGTCACCCAAAATGCCCAGGCACCTCATTTGCCGCCCCGTACTGCTGCACTTCTCTACTATAGTAACGTACCTAGGACACATGCATCTGGTCGAGACTCTTCACTGCATTTCACGATTTGCACTTTGCGCTCTAACTTAATCAGAGCCCTTGATCTGTACTGCATCATCTCTGTTGTATGTCTCTTGATCTGAGGAAGACCTAACATAACATGAGTTCACCCTGAGTCCCGGATCACTCCAACCTAGGGCTGATATTCTCAAAGCCCATGCGCCCAGCTTGTTCCACCACAGTTGATTTGCTAGAATGTCCCGCGAACAGTTGCTTGACCATCTCTAACTGCTCTGTGGACTGCCGTTCAGCGCAGCCAAGCGCCTGAATGCTGCAGCTTTCCAACCCCTCCTCCTCCGCATTAAATTCCAGTCTAAATTGTGGAGGTTCGTAGCGCTTCGTCCCTAAACCCCGACACAAAGGCAAGATACATGGCGTAGCCGCCTAATTAAAAAGTCCGTGGACGGGGCGGGTGAGATGTCGTCAGCATACTGCGTTAGCCATTCTTATGGCCCGCTGCCCACACTCTGGACCATCGTTGCGCATGTGCATTTCTCTCCTCGGAACCTTGGGATTTGGACGCCAGCCCATGACATGCCCATGGTTGACGTAGCTTGGTTTCCTTTACGGCTGCCGTCAAGATAACCCCCTAGGCGTTCCATGTAGCCAATGGAGCAGTATCGACCAGGGTGCATTCGTGTGCGGTCATTGCTTGTCTGTACTGCCTGAGTGGTAACGGAAGAGTCGGTAGTTGCATCAAATAGAACCCTAGGGTCTCTCTTCGGTGTCTTTCTCAGCCTGCCAATGGATTCGCATGTATCGTCACACGTTCGAGGATAATCTTCTCGTCCTTTGGGCGGAATTTCCTGTCGACGGTTACGCCTTCCATTCTCTCCAGGGTACCAGCTTCTTCGGCACCGTCAATAACCCGCCCAAACACTGTATTTTTGCCGTCAAGATGTGAAGCCTCCTTAAAGATAATGAAGAATTGACTGCCATTCGTGTTAGGACCTTTGTTCGCCATCGATACCATTCCTCGGCCGCTATGTCGCAATGCTGGAACTTTGATCTCGTCCTCAAAGTACTCTTTCCAAACTGATGTTCCTCCTTTAGGGATCGGGTTTTCCTCTGTGTTTCGGGCAGTCAATGATGTGTCTCCTCCCTGAACCATGAAATCAGGGATTAGCCTGTGGAAAGGCGTGCCATCGTAGGCTCCCGACGCGCAAAGAGCCAGAAAGTTTTCGGCCGTCTTGGGAACAGATTCGCAAAAGATCTCAATCTTAATGTCACCGTGGGTGGTATGTAGCTGGTACTGGTAAGTCTCTGAACAATCGAGTAGGAGTATTTCACTTACTGTGACTGACATGCTGCGGATAGAGATCCATGAAAAAGCCGGAGAAATAACCACAGAGTGATTGAGCGGCTTTTGGGAGGCTGGAAGAAGAGAACAACGATAAGTATTGTCAAGTAAAGAGGATGAGAAGATCGTTCATCAAACAGATGCAGCCTTGAATCCACAACGAGCAAGATATAGTGGAGACGAGCTAGTGCGGTCACGTGAGGTCACGTGGGGGTTTTACGCATGAGCAGCGGTCGCCTGCCGGCTGACCCTAGCAAAAGGAAAGGGATAGATGTTGGTTTTCCAGTTATCTGCATCAGTTCTCGATTCATTACCGGTATTAACGGTAGCAGGGCCTTGTGACACGCCTGTCATATACCGACCCGCCAGATAACTCCCTTCCAGTTCCAAGCATTTGCCGTACGTACGTATGCATAGTGTTTCAGGTATCTTCGACCGCGCAATCATTCGTTCCAGGTATATAGTCGTCACAATAGAAATAAGAAGTCCCGCCCTAATAGTACAAGTCAAGCATCTGCGTGACATGCCGAGAATTGAAAGTGTACAAAGAAAGATCACATCCATGATCTGAAACAAAATCATGAGCGACAGGCACTGGGGCCCTCAAGTCGCGGCTGATAGTAAATGCGCGTTCTTCTTCGATATCCAGTGCATCAACATGTTATCAAGTTGTGACTGCATCTCCGCTAGTTTTGTCCGCTCGTCCGAGAAGAGATTGTGCATAAGAGGATGGTCTGGACCAACAGGTGTAACATTCGACTTATCGTGAACGATAATCAGAAGATCTTTGATATCTTGGTTGTTCTCCATATATGTTCGGAGAGATGCGTCTGACCATGTCGGTGTAGACCTTGAGGTTGATGGAGTATGAGGAGCACTGGAGGGCGATAGTTTGGAAGTGCTGGCAGTCCCTTCCGAGTCCGCTGGGTTGAATTCAAGTGGAGGAGGAGATGAGGCTAACGTTGCTTGTTGAGGAGAAGGCTCATGCTTGGCGTCTCCAAATCTGTTTGGAGTCGAAGGCTCTATGGGTGAAACATGCATGGCCGAATCTGACCGCGGTAGTAACACTTGTGCACTCGTGGCCGGAGAGATACTTTGTCGATCCTGTTCAGTTTTGGGAGCCTCGTCGTCTCCTTCAGACTCGGTGTCGTCTATCGCAAATCGCTCCTTAGCTCTCTTCGAATAAGTTGACTTGACACCGAACCCACCATCTGGAACATTTGAAGGGGTAGACTTCAAAGCCATTGTAATGGGCGAAAAAATAGACCTCTTTTCAGTAAGAGAAGGAAACCTATTGACTTGGACAGGCGCCTGAGACGGTGTAGTCTCAGGGCTCGTTTGTTCTGCGGGCCGTGAAGTCTCGAGTTCAACTTTTCGGACCGTTGGCGGTGCAGGCGCAGGCCCTGTGGGTGCAGGAGGCACACTGCTTTGAGAGGGATCGGACGTGTCTCGTTGTAGAGCCTTCGGCTCTGTGGGTGAAGCTTTGGGCGAATTAGTCGGAGGTGTCTTCTGCAGCTTACTGGGCTTTCTCTCTGGCCCAGCGTCTGGCTTCGTTGACAGCGACTCCAGAGAATCTTTCGCCTGCGACGATTGGTGAGAATCTTCCATAATTCTTTCAGCTTCCTCGTGACTGGTTCCCTTCTTCCTTTTGAAAAGACCACTAAGCATACCCTTCTTCTCCCTTTTCTTCTCCTTTGACTTGTCATCGGGCCCGACCATCTTGTCAAAAGTTTCCAAGCTTGGCTCTTGACGTACTTCTCGCTCAGCAGAGTCCCCAGTCTCTGAATCTCCTCGGAGCAGCCGTGGAGTTAGCGAGATCTTCTTTGTTTCTAGTGTGTCATCTTTGAAGAAAGAGTCTGTATTCCGGACCACCCCTTTTCGCGATCTCTGCGCTGGTTCTTCCGCCTGTGACTGCTCTAGCCCCGTATATGGCTTTTGTGTCTTTGTGGGGCTAGAAGAGAGTTCGTCCTTGAAGCTGTCGTTGCTAGTTGTTCGTTGAATGCCATTCATGGTGATTGCATCGCGCTGTTCCTGGGGTTCATTGGCTGCAGATGCCTCTTGCTGATCATCGGCGGTTTCGCCCTCGTCAGAGTTGTCGAGGCCCATGTGCTCGAGGTGGCTCTCATCTTCCTCGTCGTCCTCATCAGAGTACTCATACTCTTCGGGCTCATAATATGTTGGAGCAGCGAATTGTACTGTCTTACCATTTCTTCGACGGATCGCCTTTTTCAGAGGATTCTTGGATTTTTCAGGGTTATCGCCAAGCATGCGAGCAGATAGCTAGCCCTTGTCAGCGAAGTGTCTAGCCCGGGAATGGCCACGTACGTCTACATTCCTATGCTTGTTAAGTCGAGCTAATCTTTCGGTGGGTGTCTCAATATGTTCTGCGGGTAGGTAGCCTGAAATGTTAGCCATTTGTAACCTAAATACGTATAGAATAGCTTACCAATGCTGCCATCTTTCACGACTCTCACGAGCCACCAGTAACTGTTGCTATCATCAAGCAGCACCATGGTATCGCCTTTCGTAGCATTGGCTTGGCCTTCGACCGTTGCGACAAAGGTGTGTAAGGCGTACACAAACTCGAAGTCAATATCCTCTATTTCTCGTAAGCATTCTCCTCCCCAACCAGAGTCGATAAAGCGATCGTCAAGAGAAAATTGAAAATTATCAGCGTCATCATCTGAACTCGACTCAGAACAAGGTGAGCAGGATTCCTCATCTTCCCAGTCATCAGCGTCACCGTACACGGACTCTTCTTGATAGTCCTCGCCTGCGTCGATTGTACCGGCCAAGATCGGGTCGTCTAGGGGTAACAAGTATCTCCTAAATTCTTGGGATTCGGACAGCGCTATACCATGAGACTGCGAGGGCAACACGTTGGGCAACGGTGTTGGGGAAGATTCATCTAGCTGTGAGGCTTCCGGTTGATGACATAAAGGCTGGTATCTCGCCGCATATACCTGCTCCACCTCATACTCACCATGATGACATGCCGATTGAACCACTGGCAATAGGCGCAACGGGAAGTGCTCAGGAGTAGAAGAGAACGGTGAAGAAGCGATGGTGCCTCGAGTCGGCGTTGATGCTGGAGCTGGGGAAGCTCCAGAATCCACAGAATCCGCTCGCGGGGGCCAGGGGGGTAGGGTGTATTTACCATCTTCAATTGAGGGTGAGCTCGATATTTTGTCCAGTAGGTCGTCATCCATGTCCTCGTCCTGGGAGTCACCGCCTTCCCCGTCGTCAAGATCCTGCACGTGATAGCCACTTCCGGTCGTTCCATCTTGCGAACTTGTGTGGTCGTCGTCTCGGTCGTCGTCCACGTCGTCATAGAAATGCTGCTCATGTAGGAAGCCGGCGTTGGGCCCGTCTTCTGAGGCCCGCGGACTAATGTGTTGTTGTTGAAAAGCCTCCTCTTCGGCGAGTCTCAGAGTTTGGGCCTGATGGGGCGCGGCTGGCCCAAAGCCATAGGGCGAAGGATGTGTAGGTTGTCGCGTGTGGTCCTTGGCTGAAGGTGCATCGTGATCTTGCAGGTCGAGAGTATCTGCAGGCATGATGTGTGAGCGAATACACTACATTGAGCGACAACTTGAGCATTTGGGAGTTTTTTCAGGGCGTATCTTACCAGCTCTCACAAGCTGTGGCTTGAGAGTGGTCATTGCGCGCACCATCTGTGCGGGAGGTCTGGGTGTCGCGTTGCGTGCTCGCCCACCAGAATCGACGGACTTCCCAGTGATTCAGGTTGCATAGAGAGATAGTATAATTCAAGTGAAGTGAAGCGCAGGAGAGCTGAGCTATGGCTATCAGACGGAAGGGCTAATCGGCGAGACCAGCGTCTTTGTGGTCGAGGTGAGGCGCGGTAACGACTGGTGGTGTGTACAGAGCCAGCTGGGGAACGCTTTTGCAAGGGAGCGACGCGATTCGAGGATCACAGAAAGTGAGAGGAAAGAAAGAAAGGAAGGACCGGCTAGGTTCAGCGAAGGAGTATTGATGCGCAGGCGCCAGAACAGGTGCAGAGGAAAGGTTGGCGGTGTTGTGATGGTGGTATCAAACAGGATTGAGGTGGTGATTATTTGGAAATGATAATTAATGAACAGCGGCGGGATTTGGCCTCTCCCTAATGTCTATCCAGCGGCGAAGGAGGTGTGTTTCAAGAACTGGCACAGACCACCCGACAGAGCTGGGCACGGGGTTGAGATTCAGGGACGGACACTTTAGCGAGTGGGCGTTTACTGTACGCCGACGGATACACATAGGCGGCTGGGGAGGCAGGGACCACTAACGGGGTTTAGCAACTGAGGCTTGCTGCAAGACAACTGGGGGCGCCTCCTATTCCTCAGAATCCCTTGCAAAAAGTGTCGCCGGCCCCAAAGGCGGGCGCGGGCAGCCTCCAGAGTTTCCGGGAGCCAGTTTCAACTGCTTCTACGGATATACATAGGGCCCGCCAGGTCAATTCCGGCTTCCTTGGAATCTGTGGGGGAGTCACCACCAATTATTGTTAGTTATTGTTAGGTGCCAGGTGCCTACCAGAGAGCAGGCAGGGTCAGGCTCCCTGCCCCTCGGGCAGCTATGTACGGATACCTACAGGTAGCCGCATGAATTTTGTGGGCCGTCGTCATGATCGATGTCAATCGCCATCAAGGCTGTCTCTGATGGGATCACTCTGGTAGATCTAGATGTATAAATAAAATGTTTTCCGGTGAACCATTATCTTTTTTTTTGATCCGCGTCAAAACATTCGCATTAGGCAACGGGGGGTGAAATGTGGTTATTGAGTACAGACAGTGAAGGCCCTCAGGCGCCTTGGGTGCCTCTGGTCAAACCTGGGGTGCCCGTGCCATGCCCACTATTTCGACTACTACCCATCCGCCTTTGCCTGCGCTGTTCAAGAAGAAATGCAGAAGCAAGAATACAGTCCAGAAACTCTTAGCTACTGTAAGTTCATCATTGTTATCATCGCCCAGTGCCCAGTGCCCCGTGCTATACGCCAGGCTGCTGATCTTCGCTCCGCACGTAAAGCCAGCCGTTTGCCTTTCACCTGGCACGTGGGTAGACAGGATTTTTACTCCAATTCTCGACTTTGTTCTGCTCGACTCGGATACGCTTATAAAGAAACAGCAATGAGCGGAGGCCTCTCGAATCACTGAGACAATAAGTCTCTTGTTCTGCCTTCCATCCGAGACACCGACTACTTCTCTTCCTGTTGCTGCGAACCGACTACACCCCTGCGAGCTCTCGGCTGAGAGCAATGGCGCAGGCTGACAATGTTCACCATTTCGATCACCTGCGCCTCAACTCGGATAGCGAAGACGATGCCGTCTTGCTTCCCAAGGACGGATCCTACATAATGCAACGCCCTCTGGACAAGTCCCTGGGTCACTCACGGCCATCTCTGCGAGGGTCTGCCGCCAGTCAAGATACCATCCGGGCCGCTGCCTCTCTTCCTATGAACATACCGGCAGTCAACGAGAATCCAGCAGTCATAGACGAAACTCCCAATCCCTCTACATACATTGACCATTACATGCGCCACCGGAACCCCTCTGTCAGTTTCAGTAATGAACTCAAACTGGATTCGGGCCAAAGCCAGAGTATGGCAGAGCCGCTGGAGAAACCTACAACGGCCCTGAAACGCGGTCGCTCATCCATGCAGGCAAACGGAGAAGGAAAGACGTCGTCACGGGCACACAGTGAGTCAGGGCGGGAACACTATGATCCTGTCACTGGCCGCTATCTGGCCAGCTTTTCGCAAAGCCCCGCGAGGGAACAAGCCCGCGTTGGTGAGGGTCGCTTTCCACTGCTACAGACCACGGTTGACGACATGGCAAGAGAGACCCAGAAGGATCCAACCCAACCCATACCAATGATATCTGAGTCGGCCACGTCACCGTCTAGTGAGGCGGTCCTAACACCAGATGTGGACGACAATTACCTGCTGTCGCCCACTACTATTTCGCCCATAGCTCAAGCATTCTCGTACGAGGAGCCGAAATCCTTCCGGCGAACTGCGTCACAGCGATGGAGAGATGGAGACTTGAGTTCCTCTTCCCAAGATTTCTTCTCGCGTACGGGAAGTCTCCGCAACAAGAGTATGCGTGATATTGCAGGGCGCTCATCTCGTCGTGACACATCAGGCTCCACCAGATCCCCAAGGTCGGTGGCTTCTTCGTACCTTCGTGCATTCTCAGTGAGCAGCGGTACCAATGGCGACGCAGTAGACAACGCGCCCATGGCTTGTGATGCTGAAGGTCAGACTATCGGTGATGACTATGTGCTCGGCAAACAGATTGGTTACGGCGGATTCAGCACGATCAAGCAGGTAACACAACTTCAGGACAGAAAGCAACGGACACTTGCCGTCAAGATTGTACGGCGGCAGATCGAAGACAAGACAGAAGCGGAGAATGAGCAAGCACAAGCCGAGTTCGAGCACGAAGTCGAACTGTGGCGCTTCCTCAACCATCGCAACATCTTACCTCTCGAAGCGGTATACAAACTCGACGAGGCCACTTTCTGTTTCATACCCCTCAACACTGGCGGGACGCTCTTTGACCTGGTCCGCGCCAACCGTAACGGCGTTCCACACGAGCTCGTGAAAAGCTACTCGTACCAGCTTGCGTCGGCCCTCCGCTACCTTCACCTTGACGCGCGCGTCGTGCACCGCGATGTCAAGCTTGAAAACTGCTTAATCGAACCAAGCAGCAACGGCGAGCCAGGTCTTCTGCGTCTGTGCGACTTTGGAATGGCAGAGTGGCTTTCGACAGACAGCAACTCCGGGCCACCCAGCCCACGCTTCAACCACTCCGACCGGCCCCCTCAGAAACATATAGGACCAGCAGACACATCGACGGCGGCTTTTACCGGCGGGAGCCTCGAGTATGCTGCGCCCGAGATCTTGCGGGTCGCCGAACGGATCAAGGGTTCTAGTCAAGCAGAACGGGCGATTGTCTCCCCTGCAGTCGATATGTGGTCGTACGGCGTCTGTGTGTACAGTATGATCGTCGGATCGCGCCCGTTCCAGAACTCTTTCCAGCCGCGTGTGGTCATGGCGATCCTTGCGGGCAATTGGAACCGGGACGTGTTACAGGAGAAAGGGGGGGACGACGTCCTCGAAGTGGTAAGTGGGTGTCTTGAAATGGATGAATTGGCACGCTGGAACTCCACTAGAGTCATCGAGTCCGCTTGGCTGGAAGAACTGGCAGACGAGGACGACAGCTTGCAGCACGGCGCAAATGGATGGCGATTGTGATTGCATATGAACCTGGACACCGTGGAAGCAGAGAAAATCTACTGCTTCAAAGGTTTCCCAAGTCTTCACTTGACACACAAGCCCTCCACTTGACCCTGCTTCTCCCATGTCGATGACCATCGCCTTGAATCTTATATCTCAGCTACGATGCGCGCAGCGGGCAGGGACGGACGTTGACGACAGAAGGGCGATTTATTCAGCTCCAGGCATGACACTGCCTTTGACAGGCATCCACGACTTATGCTCGACTCTCTCACTCATGATTATCGTATGTTTCATGCAAGGCGCTATCGGTTCATTTATCCGGTTTTATGGAAAGAATCTCGGCGTCTTGGTTTGCACCTGGTTCAGCCTGGTGGGATTAGTCCGTGCTCTGGGACGTCACTTTGTTTCACCACCTGGGGTCATCAGACTCGCAATCGCCGTCGGAGATGGATATCATACCACTGTATAATACGAAAAGCTCGACTGCGCACCACTCGGGCTCGATTGGACTTAGGTCGGAATCGGACGTCTGTTACGTTACAGAGATGCGCTGGCGCAGGAATTGACTCCGAAGACAGAGAGAACAGAGAATGACGTTAGTTGTTTAATGATAATGAGAATATGATACCCAACAGCATCCGCGCCAGTCATTCAATCAATGATTCGTCGTTTCCTGTTCAGAGGTCCACGGGGTATTACTCTACCTCAGTAGGAAGATGTACCGCTTTCATTGAACGTGTGCTTCAAGCAATGTTGATACAGCTACAGGATGGTGCATGCTTCAACATGCTTGTTCTCTTCACTATGGTTGCACATCGGGGACGTGGATCCTGGCCACACTTGTCTGTCTATCTCAAGGTGCCTATGGCGGGTCATTTCTTCGTCAAACTCGGGGAGGACCAGATGTCGCCAGGTGCTGTCTCCTTCATCCTTCATCCTCCCTCGCTCTCCTCCACTCCATTCCGGTGTGTTCACAGCCGGCTTGCCGTGGATGGTTCCGGGAGCTCTTTCTGACTGTGGCATTAATAGAGCGTACTTGTACAATTACCATTCCGCCATGCTTGCATTCTTGCATTCTTGCATCATCAGTCAGCCACTTGCCTCCAGATTATGTTTCGCATCAACTCAACGAGCACACCATCCTCCGTTGTATGTGCTTTTCTTGATGGCAAGGACGCTGCAAAAGCCAGCCTCCTCGAAAGAATGATGGAAACAGTGTTGCTATGTTGGTATCTCGTTCTCGTAGTCGATCCTCGACGATGCCAGTACTTTCGTCAAGACAATATGGAAAATAGTATCGCGAACAGGAATGTCACGAGGATTTGCGGATTAATTGTGCTCAATCGGCCAGCTCCAGAGCCGACCCCTGTGTCGAAGGGACTGCCGCCGCCACTACCGCCTGAACCCGAACCCTGCGATCCGGACGTCCCTCTCGAAGATGCTGCCGAAGATGTGCTCGAGCTCGATGATGATGATGAAGAAGAGGACGAAGAGGCAGTAGCAGAAGACGAAGAGGAAATTGAGGTAGTCAAGGTTTTTGACGTCGCTGAAGCGATAGACATGGCTATCAATGACGAGGTCGACTCTGACGCGCTGCTTTTGCTCGCCGATTCGGTCTTGCTGGCTGAAGCCGCCGACTGGCTAAGTGTTGATTCTGTCTGCGAAGTTGCCGTCACCATCTTGGAAGAGACCGCCGCCGAAGACTCGGCCGAACTCGCAGCTGTTGTGGTCGCAACGCCGTTACTGTTTGAACATAGATAGTCGACGACGTCTCCAATAAACAATTGCCCTATCAAGGAATTCCGAGCCGCTTGCTGGCCCTGGCATGCACGTTGGACGTATGTCTGTGCGGATACTAAAGCTTCCTGACAAGTTACAGAGCAGGATCCTGTTCCTCCAATTGCCGGAAAGTCGTTGAGAACACAAGTGGCGACAGGGTTGCTGTAGGCTGCAGTACAGGAATCAGAGAATCCGACAATGGGCTGGATTTTCGGGAATGACACTGTGGCGGTCGCGCTCCTGACGAGGGCATGGAAAATGATGGCCAGGGCCAGGCGATTGGTCCGTAGTTGCATTGCTTTATGCGGTATTCATGAAGTTGTTGGGGAGAAGGTGCGTGGGAGGCGTAGAGGTGAGGTGTCGGTTGTGCCAGGATCCAAGGCTTGGGTTTGTTTGTTGGGCCTGGGTCCGGCAGAATTTCAGTGAAGACTGGATTACCGGGACCGGGACGGCTGTTGCGCTGTGCCAGAGCAGCAAAGAGTCGATTCCAATACTGTGATCAGGACGGCGTGCTTCCAAACGGCAACATGGCCCCCAGCAACTGTCAACTCGATGGCTCTGTGTAGGCCGACCGCCTCTCAACGACGCCGACTGAGTGATTTTGATCGATTAATTTTGCACAGTGAAAGAGCGAGGTTTCCAGGACTTGAAAGAGCGAGCAACTCTTTCACCAGCAAGAAGCGCGATTGCTAACCATCTCCCTCTTGGCCTCTAGTGGACAACAGTCCGGTTGTCTGTGGTGGAGCGACAGCGTTGCCGACCGGCCTCTCCTTGGTGGAAGAACGCAATCAATGTGGTTCTACGTCAGTCCGTGCTCGCAACACCAGGATTGCAGGAGCAAGCAATATAATCGGGTATGGGGTGGTTGACAAAAGATCTTCGTCGATCGCAATCAAATATGCGCAGCCTGGTGGGAACGAGATCGTCGGATGATTTATCTTTGGGCGGATCCCGACTTTTGGTCTGAAACACGACGGACGTGAGCACAGATGCCGGTGGCCGTTTCTGTCGACTTATACCCCCCTATCCCCTTGTGATGTCAGATAGCCCCTCTCTTTCAGCACGACGAAGTGCCCGTTGTCGCTGTGTTTGGGACGCGCGTGGACTCGTTGCGAGAGGTCTAGGGATGATAATCTGCGAGGGGTTCTCGGCCGTCCAATGACTCCGGTGTCTCCTTCAGTCAGCTCCAGGCGTCTCAGCAGAAGAGGACTCGACGTCTTGTACGGGTCCCACGATGAAAACAGAAGCAAAGAGGGAAGTGTGGTTGAGCCTCGCTTTCTACCGTTTCCAGGACAAGCGGCAGCATGTTGCCCCTACGAACTGCGTCTCCGCAAGCGGTTCCTCCTACGTGATACATCGCATCACCTAGGGGCACAACTCGGGCGGCTGGTGGAATCCCTGCTACGAGTTGCAGTGGAAGGTGATGCAGATTCTGCGACAGTTGTGACCCTTCGTAGGGGTTGCAGGCCACGAGGCTATGGTATGGACGTCTATGAATGGCGACAGCATGAAGCAGGAAATGTAAGAGCGACAGGGGATCCTGTTGACGTGATTGGCAAGGCGAGCCAGGGGTACAGGAAACCTTGCAGCCCCGCCAATCGTCCGGGCGCTTTGGGGGTGGAAACGGAATGCGGATGACGGAATGCTGGCACCGAACAGGCACCTGTAAGGGCCTTGGGAGCCTAAGAAGCCTCCTAAGCCTATCGTTCACAGTGGTCAAAGGTGAGCGCCAGCGGCTGCACTGGCCACATCCTCGACTTACAGAGGACACTTAGAACCTGACATATTCAGGGGAATTTCAGCGTGACGCAGAACAGAAGTGCTACCTATGTGACTATCCAGGATGTTTCCCTAAATCCACCCACCATCGCAGCCATCGCAGCCATCGCAGCCATCGGACTCGGCTCGCGGGGTACAGTCGGTCACGTGCACGCCACGGATATCGAAGTTATTGCCCTCCCTCTACGGAATAACCACGCCACGGAATCTGATCTTTCCGCTCACCATCTTTTCCAGCGCTTCATTCGCCTTGTCGAGGGGAAATTTCTCGATCATCACGTTGACGTTGTGCACCTGAGCAAATTCAATTGCTTCCTCACTGTCGAGAGCATGGCCGCTGGGCCACGCGACAATGCTCAAACCCTTGGCGATCATGGATGCCGTGTTGATCTCGACGGGGGCGGATGCTGCCAGAATGAGAATTTTGCCCAAGGGGCCCAATCCCTGAAGCAGTGAAGGAATGAGTTTCTGATTCGGCGCAGTGAAGATGACACATGCCGCCCCGCCCAGTTTCTGGAGTTGTTCCCCAATGTCGCCCTTGGATGCGTCGATATACTCGTGCGCCCCGAGTTGCGTGGCGAACTCCTTCTTCTCCGAGCTCGATGAGATGGCAACCGTCCTATACCCCATTTTGCTGGTGTATTGCAGCGCAAGATGGCCAAGACCACCTAGACCTTGGATGGCGACCAGTGATCCTGGAAGGACATTCTGGTGTCGCAGAGCTAAAGAGGTGGAACCCCGATCAGCCAAAATTCCCATAATCGGCCTAAGATAGACACAGGCAGAGATGCGACATTCTTACAGTTGAAGACAGTCACTCCTGCGCAGAGCAGAGGGCAGAACTCAGCCGGGTCAACATCAGAGGGAATGGACACGACGGCCTCTGTCCTGAGCGTCACATATTCCGCATATCCTCCGGATTTAGTGACGCCGTTGATCAGCTCGTTGTCGCACATCTGATACAACCCGCGTTGACATGATTTGCAGATTCCTGGCCGACCGATCAGTTATTTCTCTGTACGAGCAGGCAAGTTGGTTCAGATAAAAAGGGGAATTCGAGACGGAAAGCCAGGCACTTGGGGTCGACGGATGCGAGCAACGCCTGCATGCATGGGCGTCTTCCCCCATGCAACCAAGATGCTTCCTTCTGCGAAACTCGATAAGGACAAACGAGGAGGTGTTCTCGTACCATCATGACCACCATGCCATGGAGCTCTGCAATGATCAAAGGTCAGCAATGTTGACAATTCTAACCCAAAGCTGGGCTGGGATGGAAACACGGTATGCAGAGATCTTGGGAGGAGAACGAGGCCAACGTACCCTACACGGTCACCAACCTTCCAACGCTTCTCGGAATCCGGCACCGCAGCCACGTCGCCGATGACCTCGTGGCCGGGAACGATGGGAAACGAGTTGCCGAACAAGCCATGCTGTACTGCGGCGTCGGAATGACAGACCTGTAGCACAGCATTAAAGGCGGAACAATCAAGCAAGGGTCACCAGGACAAGACGCACACCACACGCCAGCACTTTGACAAGCACCTAGACAGAGATCAGCTTCCGAGAACACGGCGGGTGCTAAACAATGGACGGGTCAACACAGCACATACCTCGCCCGACTTGGGCAGTTCAAGCGGAAGCTGTTTGAAGCTCAGCGGCTGGCCTTTGGCCTCGAAGACGGCGGCCTTGTATTCTTTGGGGAGATTCGGCGCCATTTCCAATGTGCTTTGCTTTTGAAGTATTTACTAGCAAGCTGTACGGATATCTGGCCTGTGATACTGATGGGGATGGATATGCCTAGTCCTAGAGAGCGCTATCTGCCACCTTATATATCGACAGTACTATGTTGTATACAACGAACCATTAATTAGTAATTGGAAGGTCTGGGCGGTGGGAATTGAGTATTCTGTAATGGTGATGATGTCAAAAACTCTCTCGACGTCAATCTGCCCATCCACTCCACTCCACTCCCTTCCATTCTCGGTAACTCCGAACTCCTTGCAGCACTTCCGGGCGACGGCGGAACAGCCGCATTCAGAAAAAAATATGGTTGTGTGTCTTATCTCCACCGCGAGTTCGGGGAGAAAGGACGTGCATTCTTTCCTATTCTTATCATAGTCGTTCTTCGCAGTGAACGTGGCGCCACGCCCATGCGACGCGACAGGGGCTAAGGCTTGCTTGGTCCTAGTAACTTTCCATCATCCTATTCCTGGGACACATATACTCCGTACTGTGTGCAGAAATGCCTAGATACTCGTGGGTGCGAGGATCGTGATTACTGGTCGTGAGGTGGGATCTAGTCGTCCGAGACATTGATTTGCGACACCGAGAATTTCAGGCATTAACATTGGAAAGCGGAAGGGAATTGCATTTGACCCAAGCGACTGCGGCGCTGCCTGTATCCGACCACGTGCCAACTTGACCCAACGCCACAAACAGAAACAGAAACATAGCCACTCGCCAATGCTGTCCATTCATACCTGGGTACAGAGTCCTTTGATATACATAACAATCTCTCAGGCCTGACCGGTCCCGAGAGGTCCCGAGATGAGCTTATGGTACTCCGTCACATGGCAAACTGCGTCTGATCGGACGCATAACTCAGGGCCGTTGGGTCAGTGTAGAAAACACGCCACCGATGACTGGCTGGATACCCCTGCGTGGACTCAGGAATCCGCCTGAGATGTATCAATCTAGCGACATGGATGAGGGTCTTCACGACAGAGGCTGAGGATCCCTGACCATACAGAAGAGATCACATATGTCGCCATTGTCCTCACAGACCATTTTGCGCGCGAGTCTGAATCCCATCTTCTCATAGATGGCGATGTTCGGTTCCTCCTTTGAGCTCTCCAGATAACACTTGCGGCCTTCCTCGTCGGCCCGGGCAGTGACGACCTCGAACAGCCGACGACCGATGCCTTTGCCCTGGATGCCGGGCCTGACCGTGACGATGTTGCAGAAGTAGTATCCGTTGGGGTCGGTCCAAATTTCGGCTTGGGCGATGGCCTGCTCGCGCTTCCAGATCCAATACCGGTTGGTGTTGAGGCCGCCACGGCCCTGAAACCGGACCAGATTCCAGCCTTGCTTGAACCATAGGATGTAGTCGTCCAGCCACTCGGCCCAGGTCTGCTTGTCGTCGGCTGTCCTTGGTCTCATCCACATGCTCACCCCCAACACCGGCCCGTCCGGCTGGTCCGCGTCCGTGGCCACGTAGAACAGCGCGTTGCGCATCCCCCACTCACATTTGGCCTTCAGACTGGCGAAGTTGCGCTCCTTGTTGAACTTGCCTGGCCGAGTATCGAAAGCCCACTGATGGTACGGGTCATCGGCGAATGCAAGCTGGATGCATTCAACCACAGATGGTATGTCCTCGGGTTGGATGGGCCGTATCTCGATGCCCATGGTGAACGGATCCAGGATAGCCTCCAGATGTCAAAGATGCCGGATGATATACTGCAAATCCCGTCAAGCACTGATAGCTGGGTGTGTGCGACTGAAGAGATCGAGCAAGCCTTTGGCGCCGTACAGACCGCAGATACCACTCACTATACCTTGCCCACACGTTGGTCTTCAAAACACCCGTCCTTACCGATTGAGGTGCCGCGAAAAACCCAAAAGTCTAGTCCTTGGACTTTGTCCCCGGCATTCGGACAAGAGCGACTAAGCAGACGGCAGAGATACTTTTCCCACTCTCTTGGTCCGCAGTAGGACTGCACTACGGCGGATTTTGTGAAGTTAGACGTAGATATACAGCCTTGCACAGGCAACTGTGCTTGCAAGTGCCCGGACGAACGTCGCAGAGGCGCTACCAGCAATCTCTTGAAATTCGCCCTTGCACAGACTCCAGGAAGCCGGGCACAAGACCTGCCAGTGTGTTATGATGCGTCACAGGTTAAGGCAGGGCTCGAGTCCTAAAGGCCAAAGGCTGTCTCGTATCAGGGCCCTTCCATGACATCACTGCGCGCACGGAACATGTGAACATCCATCTCTCGCTAGCAGTTGACCTTTGACGCCCCTGCACACATCCAAGGACTGGAAAAGACTGCAGTACTAATACTTGTAGTACTACCTTGGACACTGACCGACAGACAGCCTACTTTCTTGACCTGCTCCTGGCATAACCTCCTCACATAGACCATCGACTGAAACCGTCTTACGAGTTGACCCTGACCCTCACAAAGACGTCTCTTCGAAACATGTCTTCAGAACAGCCCTCGGACTCCCAACCCTCAATGCTCGGCGGGCACGTCAAGGTAAGAACCCTTCCACCTTTCCATCGCCACGCCACACTAGCGTCCTGTTCTGAACCTGCCGTCGATGTCTCAGCGTACCTACCGACCTAACCAGGACCTTAGCTGACACGCTCTCGCTACAGTACGTCCAAGGCGCCGTCTCGTCCGCTTTAGGCTATGAATCGGGCCAACAAACGAAGGACGCTGCCGTGCACGAGATGAAAGATGCAAAGGCGCAGTCAGATGACCAAAGCCCGCCCACTCAGTCTACGGTGCTCGGCAGTATCGAGAATGCCGTAGGGAAGGTCACTGGCTGTGAGGGCCTAGTCGAAGAAGGACAGCAGAGGATTCCGGAGAAGAGAGGTGTTGAAGAGCAGAACGGTACTGGATGATGCGCAGATACTTGGTGGTATAAGAGCAAACAACGCCATGGACTTCGAATATGGTTCCCATCGCAGTCATGCGCAAGGAACATCTTCAAATAGCTGCTGGCCTCCGCGGCTTTTCTTTTCCTCACTTTGTTAGTGGTAAAGCTCAATCACCAGAGGCATCTGCCTTCCCAATGAGTGTCTGTGATGTGCCCCAATAATGCTGGAGGTAATTGTGACCAGTTTGTGGCAGTAGACAAAGACACAGCTAGTTGCCCGTCACCCTTCAAATGAATCGGTGACTTGTTTTCTAAAACATTGCCCGGCCCCATGCTCCTCGACTTGAAGCCATTTTGTCGTTCCCGGCTTCCATCGTTGTTGATGGCCATTCACTTGTTCATGTCTCTCATGTCTCTCGTGCCTAATTCTTGGGTTCAACAGCTCCACCTCCATCATGAGGAGAGCCATTCTTCATGATCCTGAAGTATTCTCCGACCTAGGGAAGGGAATATCTCCATTGGAGGCCTTCTCGACAATGACGCTGTCCTCGAGGTCCTCGTCACCATGCTCACTATCTCGCATTCTTACCTCGTCATCAGCTTGAAGGTCGAGTTGCTTTTCACCACGTTGCAAGTCGACTGAATCCCAATCTCTTATCAGATTCATTTCAACATCCGGGTCCGGAGACGGCTGGTCAGTAAAGCGGTCTCGTTCTCGTCCTTTCGCTCGAACCTCCTCAGCGTCGTAATCCGGCTTTTCCCAACCGTCGCCGACTTCCCCGTAGTTGACCCCATGGTCTTTTCCCAAGAACGTGGGGCCGTTGCTTGCGCGGTACCAACCCTGGTCAACCCATGCAGAAATCAGTTCCTTCGCTCGCTCACTTAACGCATAGTAGCCCGGATTGTCAAGTGGGAAAAATATGGTCACATGGGCCATGGTCTCGTCCGCGGCTTTCTCGTTGACGGTTTTGATCCATTGCAATTCTGCTGGTCTTGCTCCTTCCGTGCGGCCTTTGGCCTGGCTCCTTTCCTTGCTGACATATACAGGTAAATTGCAGAACGTTCGTTCTTTCCCAGCCACACTGGCTGTGATTCCATAACCCTCACGCGCACCCTTGCCCAAGTTAGTGTAGAGATTTGCACATCCACCACCGCGCTCCTTGCATGTCTGCTCAAGGTTCTCGACCCGCCTGCGCAGAAACTCCGGCTTGAACAACTCTCCCACAAACAGAAGGTGGTCGGAAGCCCACTGCCATCCAGTGCTCAATCTCTCCCGTTGTGAATACAGCGCTGCTGCGCCGCCAGCGACGACTGCGCCCGCGGCACCGGCAAACATGGCATATTTACCCCAGGACTGCCATCGAGGAGTCGCTGCGGCATCTCCCGTGGCCGAGGCTGGCGCTGGAAGCGCCTTGGAGCTCGAAGCCTTCGAGGCGATGTTTGGTTCGGACTTGGAACCCCAACCAAACATTGAGGTAACTTCATTATACGTATTGAAGGCATTGGAGACAAATTTGTGACCTCCCTCTAGTCCATGAGCAACCATTCCCGGTGCCAGGCCGAGGAAGGGTGTGTCAAAGGCCAATAAACCTTGGATATGAGGAAACATGAAGTTCTGAGCTTTCGACGCGTCATGATGATGAGACGTGGTTGGGTGCGAAGTCGCAGTCGTCGAATTGAGGGTCGTGTTGGATGGAAAATTCGGTCTCTCGGGATTCTGCCGCGACGAACCTGTCGGGATCGGTTGCTCACTTGCAAGAAGAAGATATGTTTCTGCCGCGACAATACCACCCATTGAATGTCCAATCAAGATCACATGCACCGAAGGGTCAACCGCAGGGGAGGGTGTCGAACGAGCCACCTCTATGTCGATGACTTTGTTCTGAAGCCTACGCAACCCCACGTGTCAGTGTTGTATCTGAGATATACTGGGTCATATGTAAGGCATCGTACCATTCGCGAAAACGTGCGACACTTTCTTTCAAGTCGCCGCGGGTTTCAAACCTTGGATAGGTCACGGCAAGTACGTCGATATTAGGGAGCGCATGGCTAACAAGGGTGCGGAGATGCTCAGGGAAGGAACCAAACGTGTCGTCGCCGCCCTAGATCAAGAGCCGTCAGTAAGGATAAAGAAGGAGCCGTAGAACAGGATAGGCAGAGGCAATCGTGTGGGCGCATCATGGCTATTGCAGGTCCGAGTGTATGCACACCTTAAAGCCATGGATGAAAACAAGAAGCAATGTCTTGCGCATCCTCGCGGAATAAGCAGTTACACCGATACTTCATCATTCGGAACGACAAACATCTATGGACTTGCCGGCATTGTCCAGATATGAGAGGGTGAGGTTGAATTGTCCACCTTACATACGGAGTACGGACACTAACACTGCACATGTTTGCAGGTGGGCATGACCTTGTCCGCAGAGTGTACGTCAGAGGCCGATGTCACGTGCCACCCATGAAGAGGAAGATATAGAAGATAGAACAGAGACACTGATATAGGTGCTGATGATGTTTATGTGCATTTTTCTCTTTTGATGCTCAAGAGTCGGGCGTCCCCGTGGTATATCTAACAAGCTTCTTCTAGCTCTGTACATCTACACATCCTGCTAGACAGGAAAGAAGCTCCCTGACCCAGCCCGCCTGCCTGTATCCCCAACGCCATGAATGTATGCCGCTAATAGGAATGCTTCCAAACCCAATAAGCAGCTTCCGCCGCGCTATGCTGAAAAGAGAATAGAAACCCGCAGCAAAGCGCTTTCAAACCCACCCATTGCTGAGTGTATATCAGAATGGGCGTGGCTGCTGGCCAACAGGTGTAGAAACATTGCTATGCTGCCATGGATCAAGCTGCATGAACGGTACCGGGCCAGAGTAGCGTGCAGTAGCAGTTTTGCTCAAAGGCTGATAATGAATTTGATCAGACGGAATATTCCGTACGGGGACTTGAAGTGCCGCCGAGGGAGGAGGTATTAATAGCGTGTTGACATGCCGAACTGGTCGGTAGGGAGATGACCGGTGGGTCAGGAAGTATGACGGCGAAAGTCCAGTGGGCGTGGGATGCGTGGTATTGAAACCAGCAGAAGGTGATGTCTGAGCAGAAGGGTATGTGGCGATTGACCGGGAGGTGTCTCCGAGACTTGGAATAGGATTTTGGAAGAGGGACCGAGGTATTGCAGACACTGGCGTGACCGGCTGTGAGTACACCGCGCTGGCATTTGGATAGACGCTCGACATGGCTCGGCTAACCGGGACCGACAGAGGAGCCAGTTGGCCGAATGGACGGGCCAACGGTGCCGAAACCCTTGGGACTTCTAATCTCAGAGCATCCAACGACGCCGCAGCTGAGGTGGAATGCGTCATACTATTCAAGTTGGGGTCGCCGGGTGAGACTCGAGGGCCAAGGGCTGGATAAGACAGCGGGTTGAGAATGGTTGCACCATTCTCCAAGAATTCAGTGGGGTAGTGCAGCCTCTTTGCGGGCGGCAGATCAGCCGATGTATCCAGACTTCTTTTACTTCTTTGGTGTACAGGGGCTGACACCTGCTGTTGCCGCAGAGGGGAGTTTGTAAGTTGCGGCACGGTTGACAGAGGATGTGGTAACTTTGGATAGTGACTGTTTAGAGACGGTGAGGAAGTGAAGGGACCAGCGTTGTGATGAGTCGATGACGGTGAAGGCAGTTTATGAGAGAAGCTCTGCAAGGTTGGTGTGACCGGAACATGGCCAATATTCTCATCCGTCGGGGGCATTCTTGAGGCTTTGTCATAAAACGCGCCAAACCTTCCCAATTTGGCCTTCCACTCAGTCCATTCTTCGGCCGAGGCGTAGAGGGCATACCTCATATTGCTCAAAAATTCCACTTCCATAATGTGAATTTCGTTGACGGAAATGCCGGATACTTCTGCCCAAGTCTTGTTTGTGTAGGTGTTGTCATCAAGAAACTTGTTTCCCAACATAAGGGCAATAGTCAAGAGTCGGAACTCACTTCCCCGCTTGCCACTGACCGTCGGATTGAACCGTTTGAGACGGTAGATAAACATCAACGCTAACAAGATAACGTTTCTTCCCACTTGCGTCGTGCTGATGATAGTCGTGACCCATTTGCGGAATCCAATCGTCGGAGCAGCGTCTGGGAGTAAACCTCTGTCAACCGGCGCATCAATCGATAGATCCTCTGCGTATTGCAGATTGCTCGCTGTTTCGAACCAAAAGAGACATGTGATCTCGGCCGTAAACTCGGCCAGACTGCCCTTGCTCTTATTCACCGAATCGGGTATCTGGAGGTGAGGTGCAATGGCATCGACCTTCTCCTGATCAATTGCCCTGTAATTGTAGAGGCCTAGGCCATCGTTCGAGGAGGAGACCAAGGCGAGGTGGTTGGACTTGGTTGCTGTGAAGGAGGCTTCGTCCTGCCGTAACGTGTTGGATCTGTCTTGCAAATGGTCTCCGTCTCGCCCATAGTGCTGATCAGACAAGTCAGGGTAGCCGTTGCCCAAGACCGCTGCAGGCATGGCCCTCGACCCTGGAGGAGTGGGCAGGCCGCTGGGGAAGTAAGTATTGCTGCTGTTCCACCTCTTGGACGCATACCCCGGCAGGTCGATACAGGGTGCTTTTGAATTCGGTCTCGCCCAGTCCCGGCTCTCAACGCTACGAGAACGGGTCGATATGGACGACATGGGCTCGAACGTCGTCCGGATTAGGGAGCAAAAGGTAGGAACAGAGGCGTTCAGGTGTTATAGATTGGCGGAAGAATTATAGGAGGCATGTATGTTTCGGTGAGGACGCACAGGTGAAGACGGCAGCGTGTTGACTTCACCAGCAACAAGTGAGGACAGGTGGTTTCCCTTCACAGCGAAGAACATGACAAAGAGAAGCGGAAGTGAAGAATCAAGAAGTGAGGAGCAATTGAATGTTCTGGAGCCTTTGACTGAATCGGGGGTTTGGAATGAAGAAAGTATTGAAAGGTGGAACCCAGAGCGACCGACAGACGGACACACGCTTCACCTCCAAACGCCCTTCAGACAGTGAGTGTGGGAGGGTACCAAGATGGGATCAGCGTAGGCCGTCTGAAGCAAGCAGGAGCAAATAATGACGAGGCACAAATAATGAATGAAAGAAACGCAGTCAGCCGAATGGAGAGTTTGTGGCTGCACCAGGCAGTTGGAGCAGCCGCGGCCAATCCTGGATTTCATTAACATACACACGGCCTTGTCTTGGATGGGAGGTGGTTCGAGGCTCGGCCTTTGATGTCAGGGCCCCAGTGATGAGCCGACAAAGCAGGAGACGAAAGCAGCAAAGGACAGTCAACGAGGCAAGCCGCACAGAGACGACCTACGACTGGATACACGCGGCCGAGCCAATGAAGGGCAGGAGGGGCTCAGGGACAAGAGATGGAGAAGAGGACAGGCTGCACTGGCGGATTATGGTTGCCAAAAGTGGACTAAAAGACGGCCTGGCGGAAGGGGGAAAGTGATGGGATGTTGTGGGAAGAGACTGCTAGGATTGATGGACGTCGGAAGCAGGAAGAAAAGAACACGAACGGACGGCAAACGGAGAAAAAAAATGGGGTGGAAGCGAGTAGTGACAGCGACGGTGGTGGTGACGAGCAAGCGGTATGGTGAGGCAGCGCCATGGTCCATGGGATGGATAGGCAGCGCACCGACCGCACCAAGCTCGGACAGGCTTCGTATCATCGTATCATCGAAAAACATGTTCTTGACTAGTAGAGGTAGTTACTAGGTAGTTGGGAGTAGTATTGGGCGGTAGGAGTAGTGGTTTTGGAGCTGGAGGCCAAGGGTACCACGGATGGGCGCTGAGTTGGGCCCTGAGAGGCTAAAGGCAAAGCCTCCGGCATCCTAGCGAGGTTTTTTGTCCATGTGAGAGCGCTTGACTACTTCCGTCACGTACAGCCCAGTGTGCCACTGACTTGGGACCCATGGAAGCTTCCTGGTAGAGGCTGTGGAAGGGGGCGAGAGAGAAAACGGGGATTGCCCAATGATGGAGGAGCAATCAGCGTCCGAGGCCCGAAGTGGATGGGATTGCGGGTTCAGCAGGAGGCACCAGAGGTACCAGTAATAGTGGCATCATCATGATGGTTTCTGATCCTCGCCTCCCTTGTAGTGCGTAGAAAGGGTGTCCCGTGATGGAGTGACAAAAGTGCTAGGCCACGACGAATGGATCATGGATCGCACCCAGGATGCTCGGGTCGGAGGCCAGAGGGCACAGACACAAACGCAGGCAGGGGGGTGCGACAGGAGGGCAACCGCCCTGTTGCTAGCAGGAAGAAAGGCAAAAAAAAGAGGTGTTAGGCGGCTGTAGCGACTCGCCGAGGCCCCTAAGCCAGGTAGGGCGCCAACGGCCTACTAGCACGGAGTCTCAGCGGCGTAAGAACCGGGTCTGTGGAGGACAATCTTGCAATTTTTCCCCCTCTCAAGTGACCAAGCGAAGTGTGAGACTTGCGCAGCCCGTGGACATCGGAAAGACAGTACGGAGCTACAGCGCTAAGAGGAATGAAGGGTGACGGCCTCAAGCGGGGGGTGACCTTGGGCAACGCACGGCCTGGCGTGGAGCGAGAGCTGGGGGCTTAGGAGGCTTTACAAGGAGCAGCTGGACGTTTGACATCCTCCAGGAGTGGGCATGGTAAGTTGGACTGCAAGGAGGCCGACAGTTCTTTTTTCTTCCTGGGCGACAGCTAAACAGATGGTCGGTCACTACCTAGTAGGTACTACTACTGGGTAGTAAAGTTGGTGGATGACAGATGGCTACCAGGTAATGGATCGCAGATGGGGGGATACAATGATAATACGAAGACTCCGTACTCCGTACACTTACAGGATTACTGACCGATCACCGGCTGGCTTTGGAGGCTGACGGAAGGATGATCGGCAAAAATGTGTCCAGCCTGACCGCAGCCCTTCATCAGCCTGGAATGTGCTTAGGTGTTCGCGTGCATGCTTGGATCAGAGGAGGTCTGGGTTTAAAACATTGGTGGAGCGGTCGTTGAGTTTGGTCGATGGTCTGTTTTGCTCACGACTAGTCGCGTACGCCGTGTCAAAGCGTATTTCTTTCTGCTGGGAGGATCATCAAGCCAGCCAGCATATTACAGGGTCGACTAAGTCGAGTGGACAGCACAGTTCAAGTTGGACAGTCCCGGACGACGCTGGCCAAAGGTTCAGCTGAACACCAACCGCAGCTGCGACCGCGGAGCGAAGACTTATCACAACCCTCATCATCAAATTATCCCAAGTCAGGACGCATACAACCAATGGCATCAGGGCATAATCGGTGGAAGATGCGCGGTGGAGATGGCAAGGACCAGAAAGGCAGCAGCTAAAACACCATGCTGAGCTACTACTACCCAGCAACTGGCTCCTCCGTAGTCACAGCCGGACATAACGAAAATAAATATTAGTTCTGCCTGACAGCATGCTGCTCCGTACTACTGCGGTGTGAAGCTAGCGACCTGCGTGTCGAGGTTCCCGCCTGGCTCCTGCGTCGAAGCAGGATACACTGATACACTGATACGGACAGCGGACAGCGGACAGCGTGAGGGTTGAGGGTACGCGTAAGTCTTGCTAGTGGTGGCTGCACAGGGCCACAGACACCTGGCACCCCTCTAGGGCCTGCTCCGTACAGAGTCAGTCTCGCAGGCCCCCAAGCCTAAGCCCGCGGAGCATCAGTCTGCAGGCGACTGGCTGTGTCACTGCTGATCCAAGGACACCAACCAGCCGCACCACAGACCACTACTACAGGGGACCACATTATTCGACTAGAAAGAAACACACGCAAACGCCTCCTCGAGTTCTAGAGGCCGCAACACTCGCGATTTCGACAAGTGGACCCTGCTGAGGATGTCTACCAGTAGCCCACGTCGCAGACAAATTTCACCAGACACACGGCTGCCATCGTGTCGCGGTGTCACTGTAGAAAACATGCCAGTTGCACACTTTGCTGACAGGACCTGCGGCTTCCAGACCACATGACCGGCAAACGTCAACTGGCAATTATCGGCTCGCAGCGACCGATGAGTGAAGGCCTTCTCAGTGGTCGGGAACGACCCCGATCCGGAAACGCCGGTGCATGGCTAGAAGACGACAAAATCAGCAATAATGCTCACTTCTCAGAAGCTGATCACACAGATCGATTCGATATCCATAAGAATGCTAATAGATGGAAAACGTACGGATACATGGGGCGGAGTGCACCGGATACTAGTTACATGGAGCCACGCTTCTCGAGTCCTATTCAAGAAGTGCACACTGCACAGTCGGCTGTGGACCGCCGAACCGGGAAGCGAAGGGGCAGATACGAGTGGCTGTTTGATGCCACTGCCCCCAAAGGCCCCTGTTTCGACGTCCAAGATCATTCCTTGCAGTATCCGTGCATCGAGTCCGACCCGAAGCAATATTTATAATGTAGGACCTGGATCCAGATGCTTGGATTCACCGTATCGCGGGACATTGTAAGACACATGTATCTTGCGGAGACAACACCGGCCTCAAGTGAGGATCGTCGGAAGGAGAAACACGACACACGCATCATGATCAAGATCCTCTTTTTAGTTTACGTCGTCAAACCTTGCCTCCGCGGTGATCCTTCGTAATCTCAGCCAAGATAGGAGAGAGGCCGGTGCGGGTTGTGTCGTCTTTGGGAGGGTTGTCGGCCTTGCAATGCTTCCTCCGTTCCCATTGACCGCCCTCTAGTGGCTGAAAGTGCAGTTGGTAGCAACCACTGTGGACGGGAAATTTTGCAGCTGGTGGCGTCGACCTGCAATGGTCATGTTTCAAGGCCGGCCGACACCACACACATCACCAGCCTCCTTACGTGACCACCCTGGAAGGTTCCGTCAGGTTTCATGCCCGCCACCACTGCCGAGATACAAGAGGAGCTGCAGACACCTATCGGCAACCGCAAGTCAAGCGCAGCGGAGGCAACAGGGAATCATAGGATTGTACGCCGTATCCGTCCAGAAATCCGTACTCCGTCGGTAAATGATGGGGTCACTCAAAGCAGGCAAGGGGGTTCGCAGACTCCAGTCACTAATCCATGCTGTGAGCATGCGAGACTCGACAGTCATCTCGCCTGTGAGATAGTAGAGCCCAATCCTCAGGTAGTTAGTTGCTGCTCTCAATGTCTCAGTCGCTGAAAGAGCTTCAGCCATCAAAGTCGACAGCCCGCAGATCCAAAGTCTCACATCCTTTCCAGTATCTACAGAGTTCTCCCTCCCGGGTCCGACAAGCGAGACACTAATACTGAGTACTCAGATCCCGCTCGAGCTTGGGGCGAAGACAACCGAGTCTCTGGCCACTGCCACTGTAATAGTGCAATGAATGATGACGCTAGCAAAGCCAGTGTAGGCCCAGCCCTCAGGACCAGGATTGACCGCCTGCGACTCCATTATTCGCTGCGCTTGTCAACACCACGCGAGGATTCAGCCTGCATCCCGGAAGCGCACAACTTGAAGTGATATTATCATTTCCAAATGGCGCTACACGGGGTCGGCGTAACATAAAGCAGGCAACAATTCGGGCCTCAGGCAGGTTTCTTCGAAATGGCCTTCGCCCCATCATCGCTTCTCATGGTTTGGATGCGTCTGCGCTGTCACTGGCAGCGCCTTGTTTCCAGCAGGTGGCCTGGCTGCCTGTCGGAGGGCATTATTGGACACCCGAGGCAGCATTTGAAGCTCGCCAGGATCAAGATAGACCAGGTACATGCAAGGAGTCAAGGCCAAACAAGGGCGTCCAATCTACACATAAATCCAGTCCGCTGTCATTTATTGCGGGACCTGAGTGACTTCAAACACATGCCTGATGTTGGATGTTAGGACGGGAGTAATAAGTTGCTCCTGATGGTGCTCCCACCGTTCCAGTTCCGTTGATCGCGTCACGCGCTCGCGTTCCTTGCGACGCACGCGTTAGTTGATGTTGCATTTTCTGGTTTCTTCAATCTACTACTCCGTAGCTTCCCCGCCGATAGTCTGGATCTGATGCATGCTGGCAGACACTGGACAGCTTCATCCATGCCTTCCAACGAAGATCATCACCACTCAACTGAAGCATCTCGCTATCTTCAGAACCTGGTCAGGATCACTGTCGCCCCATGCTCTTTCCTTCGCCCTTCACGACTCTTCGGTACTGTCATTACCGCCACCCTCCTTGCGCAAGCTTGATACGAGCCTGGTCTACCACCATGTATCCGTCCCTCCCTATTCCTGTCCTCCTGCGCTAGGCGCTCTGTCCCTGCTCCATCTCCAGTCACAAATCCACATCAAGGTATTTCCTTACCGGTGTGCCCGAGACTGGCGAGCAAGGTCACACTCACGATGTTCAGCACACCATTGCAGTCCAGTCCGAGGTCTGATTGATGTTCGTCAACCCGCCGACCAATGCTTTACGCTCCACAAGACCCTCTGCTTGCAGTCAATTGCATGGAAACAAACCTGTGTCTCTTAAGCTTTGGCCCCCTTTACAGTATGTGTCTCGCAAGCCATGGTTATCCTTTGCGTCTCTAGGGAGAGCGTCAAAGAACTAATCGTCGCGTGTCCAAGGTTTGCCTCCAGCCTGTCTGCGATTTGGTCGGCTGTTAGTGAGGCAAAACAATTACGGCCTCCCCATCCATCTTCAAGGCTTACCCTGGACCACCATGGCAAAATTTGTGACTTCTCACGTCTGTTTCCGTCTCCTTGTGGACAAGAGAAGGTTCTGAGCACTAACCGTTTCACAATATGGTGGGATCTTTGTTCTCCCGACGTTCTGAGTAGCGGGAAAGCCTGCCTCCCGGAGGCACATTGGTCAAACTGCTACCTGACAGTTCATATTATGGCCATGACAGCGGCTGTCGAACTGGTGTGAGAGAGACATTATCACAGAACTTCTGAAGCAATTGGCTCGCTGTCTGAAACTCAGCGGGCTCTTTGAAGTCGTACTTCTGCCACCGCAAAGTCGCTTCACACGAGGTAGCCCAAGATTTTTGGATGGCTGCTTCGCCTACCGGCTGACTCTTTAGTTGGACAGTCCAAAGGTCAGGTTGTTTCCTTCTAAGGCTTTTCAACGTAGCTCAGGCGCCGCCTGTGCAACTCAGTCGAACCACTTCCTCCTCGGCCTTTGCCACCTATTCATTGCAACACTGGACTTGCCTGTGTATGAAGACTTTGATACTGTGGTTCCAAACTAGTCCAGTATGATCAGACAAGGTCTGTGCACTACTGCATCACCCAGGGACTAAATATGCCACCGATGGGTTTCACTGGCGACGTTATCCTGAGAGGTGACATTGATTCGGTTGCTTCTTTCCTGCTTCTCATTCCTCTCCGTGAACCATCAGTCTCTAGAGACTGTGCCCTGAAGACACCCCTCATGGGTGTTCATCGGACACGTCTTGAGTTCGCCATAAGAACTACATACCATTTTCCCATTTCTCCTTGGTGCGGGATAAGTCCATGAACTCTACCCTTCACCTTTGGCAAGCCAATTCTCAAGCTGGGCTGGGGTTGTGCCATGTTGTTTGAAGAAGTCATCGACTGGTTCCGTCTGCGTTGCTCGTCATGCTCTCAACCCCTATTGCTCTGAGTGAATCCCTCCAGTTGTAAGTGACCAGTTTCTACGTTTGCATGAGGGGCTGGATAAGGAAGACTGCCAGAGCCCTTTGGTCGGAACGCGAAAAGTGACTCCTGATTTGGCTTGGACGGTGGTTGATAAATCGCTTTTCGGATCCTTTGTCCCGGATTAAATGATGCTGTCCACTGCTGTCTCTGCACATGTCGTCATGCAGCGTCATGCATGGGCACCTTCTCCTCAGTCCCAACAACGGACGTCGTGCAAAGCTGCCGAGAAGTCGACTCCTCAACATTGCTCACTCGAGGCTTAGCTGTGGCAGCTCCATTGTTTGCGGTCGGCATCCTCACCATGGCGTCGAAGCGAAGTATCACCATCGACCCGTCGCGGAAGCAAGCTCCGACCCGAGACAGGCCCTCGACGACATTGAAGGAACATCTCCCCCCAGCCAAATCGAGCAAATCGCATCCGACACCGACGACGCTCGAGGAATGCAATGCCACGCTCTTCTTCGTCGGCACTGCCACCACGGTCCTCGAATGGCAGGGTATTCGATTGATGACTGACCCGAATTTTCTGCACACCGGCGATCACGTCCATTTGGGCCCCGGTGTCACAGGCACGCGCCGAACCAACCCGGCGGTAGATTTACATGACCTTCCACACATTGATCTCGTCCTGTTGTCGCATTACCACGCCGACCATTTCGACCAGGAAGTCGAAGCGTCGCTGCGCCGTGATCTCCCCATCATCACTACACCCCATGCCCATTCGCACCTGACTTCCAAGGGCGATAGTGAGTCATTCACCTCGGTCCATGCGCTGGATGCGTGGGAGCACATGTTCGTCAAAATTAAAGTCGATGTTGCGATGAGAACGGGCGCGGACACCCCCTCCTTCAGCTCACGACGGCAGCAACCCTGCCTCCATCTGACCGGTATGCCAGGAAAACATGTCGGCGATGGCCTCCTCTCCACAGCCAACGATATCCTTGGCGCGGTGCCCCCAACCAACGGCTGGATGCTGGAGCTCGGGTATGCTCCGACCTCAGACATGGACGCTAGCACAACAGATGATGAAGCCTTCATCTGCAGTTACCGAATCTACATCTCTGGCGACACACTGTATGTGAAAGACCTGGAAAGGATCCCGGAGCTGTACACACACGCGGGCAAGCCGATCGATCTGATGCTCATCCACCTCGGCGGCACGACAATTCCAGGGCCACACATACCGTTGCTCATGGTCACCATGGACGCAAAGCAGGGGGTCCAGTTGGTCCAGTTGGTGCGGCCAGATCTGACCGTGCCGATCCACTACGAGTAAGTCTTGTCTGATCTTCTTCTGTCGTCGCAATCGTCTTTGCTTCTTGCCTGCCGGGACAATGCATTCTATGTCGCCTTTTTTATTCGAGCAGTCAGAATATTCTCTCCTCTTCGACAACTCAAGAAGGCAACTGCGGAGAATACCCTAGACAGGGGCCAATGAACCAGTTCATGCGTCAAGGCTGACAGCTGTGAATAACCAGCGACTACGACGTCTTTCTCTCGCCACTCGCCGACTTCAAGGCCGAGATGTCTAAAGCCGGCCTCGGCGACAAAGCCGTCTACCTTGACCGTGGCGATGAGTTCCGGTTCCGCGTGCGAGACCCGTGATACTACAGTATGTTGGGTCGGTGTTCGCCGTCATTTCGCTACCTAGCCACCTGGTCCACACCTGAGAGTAGTCATGTGAAAGGCGCAACCCCAGAAACAGAAGTGAAGGGTAGGACAATATATGTGTAGAGCAAGTCACCGAACCACTCGAAGACTTGGACTTATGAAATCATGAACGAGGCTGCCCTTTGATGACCGCGCGGCAAAGCTAGGCCTGGCTATCAACACAACGCGCTGCGTCCTCCACTCATCAGTGATCCCTTGGTTCCCTGAACCCGAACCTCGAACTAGAACAGACCAGCCCTACCAGCAGCAACGTGTTCAGCCTGACCGACAACATCTCGAGCGTGAATCAAGAGCTAGGTGCCTGATATTGTAGCTGTGGCGGTGAGCACAAGCGTTAGCAAGTGCGGAGTACGAATTATATATTCTGGATTCAGCCAACTAGTTCACTCATCGCAGACCATCGTCACACTCGGGTTTCCGAGATTCACTTTCTTGAGAACGGAGACCCAGGAGCTGTTATTATATATCAGATATTACATTTTGCGTACACCTATTACATGCTATGTCGCTGCCTATATCAATGCTACGCTAATACCCAGTCGACCGTGAAACCCTCCTGCAATCCGGCCAATGCAGCTCCATGCTGACGAACAATCATTCCGAACATTTCCTTCATCAATAACACCATGACCCATCGGCAGCGAGACGAGTACTGGCAGAGTGTGCTGTGAGTCCCCTGATTCAGCTCCCTTGACCGTTCTCCGGGACCAGAGCGAGCCATCACATCACCTCAAGCGATTGATGATTCAATAGGCATAATCTCTATCACGATTCCTCAACCCGGATTGTTGAGAGTCATAGTCCTCATAATTGCCCAATTGCCGCCTGATATCCCCGTAGCTTTGTCTACCTTCGAGTAGGTTGCCGTACGCAGATGCACGGTCTCGACCACCGTGGGCTTGAGGTTGGTAGTCCATGTTCCCCATGTCGTAGACGCTTTCTCGACCGCCGAGGCCTCCATAAATACTGGTTCGATAGTCCTCGCTTGGTTCCATCAGAGTCTCTTTGACATCCCAGTGACCCTGTTTGGTTCCGACGCTGAACTCGAGATCTTCTTTTGTGATACTGTCCCAATACTAGCGGAAGTGTCAGTCTTGCAAGAATAAAGGTTGCTGAAGCCATCACGTACTTTGTATACCATCATAACCGCCAGTAAATTGCAGACAGTTGCAAAAAACAAGGCGTCAAGATAATGGCTGACACCCTCACATATCTGCTTCCCAAAAACATACACGATGACCTGGCCGATGATGAAGAAAAAAGCACCAAAGGCAAGATCTCCCAACGGCCACCTGTCTTGCAGAGTGTTTAGCACTAGCATGACTTGCATGATAAAATACACCACCAGGAAAACGGCGTTGATGATGTACAAGACGACGAACAGGCCCGTGGTATTGGTTGGCGACAAACCTGCCCACCCTTTGAACGTGAGTAGACTGACGGCAAAGCTGATGATGAACATGATCAGGCTGCCGAGCCGCAGTAGCCACACAGAAAGGGTCGTGCCATCTTCATAGAGCTGGAACCCAACGAAACCGTTGATCAGGAGGCTTGTGCATAATGCGCTTGCAAGGCCATTCTGCACCGCCACGAACCAAGGGAATGCACTCTGGTTTGTCGCTTGTATGACACCGGCATCCAATACCAGGCTGATGATGGTCAATAGGGTGTAGATGTAAAAGAAGGTCAAGATCTCTTGTCGTCCAACAGCCGTAAATTTCGAACGGACATGGAAGATCATGATGGCCGTCATGCCTAAGGCGGCGATATGGGCGAAATCCGTGGCCGCTTGGAAAATGATTGTATTTCCCAGCTCGATGGACCGGGCGGAGCATGCTGGCAGCAACACGGGATTGTGTATCGATGTGAAGTCGGCAGGAGTGCCCAAGAGGTAGCATAGAGGGAGAGCGGACTTCTCGCAGATCCAGTCAAAGGTGCCGAAGCCCATGTTGGGCGACGTGCCCGGAGCAGGGTGCTCTTACGGAGTTCAGGAGCGACGACGAGGACGAGTGTGGAAGCGAAGAGACTCTCGGCGGTACAATGACTTTCTGTGGACTCGCGAGCGTCTTCAAGGGGCGCTGGAAGGATACGGCCAGGAATATGCGTCAGAACGACCGGTCGTCGGTTGTAGGTTCAATGAAGGACAGGCAGGGTTGCGATGGCGGTAATGAGTGTGGTACAATGAGGCTGAGGTGAAAGAAAACAAGAACGATGGTGCTGGTGAAGTTGGTTTGGCTGAGCTGCCGGGGAACCAAAGATGGTGAGACAAAGTGTACGTACTCTGTATGGCGGAGGGTCCGTGTTTTTCTGGCCAAGAATGGCACTTGGGGACTGCTGCTCGTGGTTACGCGGGACTAATACGTCACGTGCGAGGCGCAGGCGGAGCACACGGCCAAACATCCGACATGTGACTTGGCCCGACTGGAGCCTCGTGCATCTGGTTGCCCCGTGCCCCTGAAATAGAATGACTGCGACCGTGGCTCTCTCTGTACCTACCTTAGGTACGGATACAGTGTACGGATACTACAGTATATATCATCGTTCCCCGTGGTAAGTACGGAGTAGAGTACGTAGCACCCCCAGTTAGCGACCATTCAATGCTTTCTCTGCTCCCTTCCCTCGTTGCTCGAATAATTAATTTAGTGCTACTTCGAATCTTCAGAGGCATCCCTCATACTTCACTTCAGCTCATGAACGCAGCCACTGTTGAACATTTGACCTTGGAGCCCCCTGAACGCCGTCACTCCCTTTCTTAACCAACGCCATTGTGTGGTTACTGTCGTCGCCGCCTTTATCCCATACACGCAATCACTGTGGCCCTCAGACCGTGTACCGGCTACCTCGCATGCAATGCCCTGACATCCATCTCAGTCTAGTCCCGGCGTTCCCTGTTTCTCAATTTGCCAGCGGCATTGGATACAATATGCCGTGCACTACCTTGCGCAACACCCAGTTTCTTTGCAAGTATACCTGCCCTCAGTTCAGCGGAAAGTTGGGCCGCATCCACAGACTTGAATAGTCCCAACAAGCCTGCTTGAGCATTGTGAATTCCGTCTGTAAGATGCCTCAGAATTCTTCTTCCCTGGACAACGCCTTCTTCCATCAAACAAGTCATGTCAGCGTGGAGACTCTTCGCGCCAGTCAAACCTTGTGTCTGCAGGACTGACAGTCTCTTCAGAGTAGATCGTTTTGACGTCACATAAGTGATCCGCAATCCCTTGATGCTCTCTTTCAAGTCTTTGAGTTTCCCAACATCTGAATCAAGGATCTGAGAAGGTATTTTGGAACGCCAGTCAGGCAACCAGGTTGACAACTGATTGATGGCACCTTGCAAAGTCCCGTTGATGGCATGCAGAACCGTCTGGAGCGGCCTATAGTCATTTGTCGTTTGGCTTCCCAAGAACAAGGTCAAGCTCTCGCTGAGAGGAGGTTTGGTCAATGTCAAATTGACCTCAACATCTCCGGAAGCATCGCGAGGCTGAAGTTGAATGCTGTAAACGCCATCGAAGAGCTCTTGCACCACTGCCGGAATAGTCCGGTTCCCTTTCATCAAAACAACCTCCAGTTGTGACCGCTTCTTGCGACTCAGGAATATTCTGGGTAGTCTAACCATCAATTGGCTCTCACCAATGATGCTGATTTGGAAATGTCGATTCTCCTCTCCCAATGTTGGAGCCGGGCTTGTCGATGGGATTGCAAGGAGCTGATTAGTTGGACCGAGCTTCCAAGCCGCATGGCTAAGCGTGTTAGATATCTGGTCCGGCAGGTGAGTCTGGGAAACATTTGGAGCTTCACTGGCGCGGGCCGAAACGGCGCTGTTCGGTATATCCACTGCTGATTTCATACTGGCTGATCTACTGGACAAACTCTCCAAGGCCAGAGGCCATCGTTGAGCGCCGAGAAAGAAGTAAACGCCGACAATCCAGAGGGTTATGAGAATGCGTTTTAGGTAATAGCCATAGGCAGGCGAGATTGGCGTCAAGAAGCTCGATTGTTCCTCGTGAGGAGCGGCCGGCAAGCTGACCACTTGGGAGTCCTCATAGGACCTAGAAGTGGCCGACAAGGAAATGAGGTAGGCGATGTGCTTATTAAGCAGAGCAGAGTCAAGATTCAAGAATGCCGGAATATCCACAGGGAGATTGGATGTAAGTGCCTGGCCTGGTGGCAGCTCAGGGTTGCTTTGGATACTTTCATGGAGATAGTCCGTTTTCACTGCCGTGCCATAATTGCCCTGCCAGCCTCTGTCCATGCGAATGAGAATGCTAGGAATGCCATGCCGATCTGCAAATTCGACCATCGGAAGACTATCACTGTCCAAGTTGTTGTTCTCGTCAAGGTGAACACAAATGATTGCAAGATCGGGAGAGATCCAGCGTGGGTTGGTCACAACAAATACGCGCCCATCCCATTCAGAAATGACGCTTGAACGTGTTTGACGATTTCTCAGGACCAACGATGCTGGGGTGTTGTCAGAACATCTTCGCTCGACCAGGTTGTAGCACTCGAAATCGATCTGCTTATCGATGGCAACAAGATCGGCGAATTCTGGTTGTGACCCAGGCCCAAAAGAGCTTGGGACAAGATGAAACCTAGATATTGACGTTCGACTGGCGCTGCCAGAGGAGACTCGGCGTGAGACCAACGCATCGCCGAGCTTTCTCTGGATCTCTGGCTTGAATTGCTCGACATGCCGCCCCAGCAAGATCACTTTGAAGTAATCGAGAGAATCCAGGTCCAGCCCGTTTTCCAGAAGAGGCATGCGAATGATGCTGCAGACTTTGCTTGATATGTCTTCATCTCGCCACCGACGGAACTGCTGATTCTGAATTTCAGTGAGAGGCCTGACGATTGTATGACGGTATGTGGCATGACGGATGGTTTCTTGAGACTCTGCTCCGACAAAGTTCAGTTCAGAAACACCGATATGTGAGTGATCTAGGCTTGTAGCCTGTCGTATGCCCGCTTCCAGTGGGGACTGACGGCGTAGATATGCTGAAGATGTGACATCCTCCTCATTTGTGGATTCCTCACCGTCGGTAGCGCTATGAACGTCATCCGAGCTGTGCACATCGAGAAGAGACCCGACATCAGTATGTTCTGATCGTAAATCTTCTTCATTTGAGGTTGAGGATTCGACATCGGTAAGGGAAGCCCAGCTGTCACCGAGAGCAGGCGGGGTTTGGCCAAAGGTGGACATGGCGTGACGAGACGGCGAGCCGGAGGAAGAGGAATGAACCAGCAGAGATTCAAGTGAGAGATGCAGAGGGATCCGAGGATATTCTAGTTCGAGACGATTGGTACCTGCAGCCGAAGATATGGCTTCGTCTTGAAGTGCGTTGTTGCCTTTTGAGCCAGGCTTGTCAGTCATGGTTGTAAGGGATGGCCATCGGACGGTTGATAGTGACATTCACCAAACCAAGTAGGAAGCAAAGGAGTTTGGAAAAGACCTACTGCGTGAGGTACCAATCTAAGTACCGTTCTTTGGTACGTGGGTGAGGTTAAAACAGCGTTGCGACTGACTTCCAGCCGGTTCGGGAGCCAAATTCAGTGGTTTCAGGACATTGTCGAAAGCCTGACTGTGACCGTTCGGAATGCCACTGCCAACAAGTGAAGCAAAGAGCCTAGATTATAATACCTCTTCGTTGCGACATTGTCTTCTTGAAGAGGTGAGTCACGGGGAAGGAACTAGGAGTGCGAAAGAAGATAGAGCAGGCAGCACAAACGCTGTCGAGTTGAAGATCAAGGCAGACGAGAACCCCGCAGTCGTTTCACGCGCCCCTCGCGTCGCAGCCTGGGGGGCAATCGACCAGAGATAAGCATTGATAACGCGCTTCGGCTGTTAACTCTGCATTTTGTATTTACGGAGTACGCAGTCCGTACCTAGGTACCTACCTAAGGTACCTGATCCTGGTAGGGGTGTTTCTTGCTCCTCACAAACGCTTTGAAAAATCTTGGTGGATTGATAAACTCGCATTTCACGACTTGAACTCCAGTATTGCAAGAAGTGGACTAGCAACAATCCCTACGTTAGTTAATTACTCTCTGCACGGTTCAACAGGTGCTCTTTGCTGCTCCGTATGCCATTCGACGATGCTCTATACCACTCGCCGTACTACTCAATATCCTTGGATAATGGGAGTGACTTTGGATCTAGGTCAACCAGTTGCATATTAGACTGGATGTCTTAGTAGGTCGCTGACTGTTTGGACCTCCATATAATACATCATATCGTAACGTCTTCATCGAGTCGATAACCAATAAATCAAGGGGTAGCGTCGTCTCCATAAGAAATGGCACGGATGAGAAGTAGACTTACTCGCACAGCAGGTCGATCTATTATGTATGAACATTCACCTTAACGAGTTGACGTGCCTAGATACGTCAGTCACATCAACCATCTACAGCCTGTTGATATAAGCCGTAACGATCTGCAGGAGATAAGGTAGGTATTAAACAAAACAAAAACATATGATATTCACACAATCCGATTGTACACTCTCATGTGGTGTATATGGATGGCCTTGCTCCCACCAGAAAAGCTATTATAGAATAGGCCTTGACACTGCTTTCTTCTTCCAGCGTCAACCAGTCAACCCTGTCCGTCGGGAATTGGCCAGTGTTCCGAACCCGTGGCGTCAACGGCCATGCACTCCGGCCCGGAAGAGAGAAGCACTCCTTCTCATTTTCCCTGAGCCTCAATCTCCGATTTCTTAGCCGGAAACATGAGTTCCTCGCGGCTGCGGCAAATCTAACCGCTGTTTCTTGAGGGTGAACCTGATAGTCTAGGACATCCAAGCCAGGTCCTCGACATCTTTCGCGTACACCTCTGGGTCTCTTCATGTAACCTGGAAGCCAAACTGTTGCCTCCAGACAGAAGTGAGTACACCAAACACCAGGGCGCGATGCATAACCAGACATCATGTCCCACAACTGCTTTTTGACTTCGCCATGCTATCTCGTCTGCTTAAGGTGAAGCCCAACCGCCGGCAACTTCCACCCACTCGGCAAGACAGCTGCCTTCTTTTCCTTCGACGTCTCGAATGTCGGTGTCACAGCGGCATCGGCACCCGACTCCGTTCTCTTTGGCCGGGTCCGGGGTCGCCCAGTATTCGTCTTCCTCCTGGCGTTCCTTCTCATCCTCTGTCGTTTTTTCAAGCCAGGGTATTCTCGGAAGTTGCCTTGCGGGTGCATTCGCAGGGCAATGCTGGATTGTGGTATGACGATAGCCAAAATCACGGAAGTAATGAATATCACGAGGCGCCAGGAGGGCCCCAGCTGCGAGAGAGTGGATGGGAGCATCCCCCCACTGAGAGCTGTTAGCGAGAGTTGCCTAGACATACCCAGCATGCAACCACTTACCCTTTCCATCCAGAATCCTCCACTGTGATCCATCATTTCGAAGAAGTCGTTGTACTCCTTGCTGCGGAACCAGTCCAGTCGGGCAATCTCGAAATTACTCCAGAAATGGCACATATTGTACTTCTCCCCTTCCATGGCTTCTGGGTCGATGTCCTCGATGTTTTGATGCCCGGGTTCGGTCTGCAAGATCTCATTGGGCAATGTTTTCACTCTCTTGTCTCCTGATGAATCTTCTTTGTCCGACGATTTTTCGACAAACATTTCCCAAAGCCCAGTAGACTTCAGGTTGTGTTTTCGTTTGTAGGCTGAGGCGTAACGGAAAATGTTTGGCACGGTCTCCTTCAACTCTTTGACGGCAATGGTGAAGCCATAAGTCTTGTTTGACCTGGCCATCTCGATGAACGGATCGTATGTGATGTCGCAGAAATACTTGATTTCGGGTTCGAGACGCCAATACCACTCATACTTCTGCAGGAGTTCATGCTTGTAAAAGAAGCCCGAATAAAAACGGCACATGTGGTGATAGCTCTCCATTCCACCGTACATGATTGCTGCATCTCCTTGTTTTCGGATTCCTTCTCTTGCAACCTCATGATCGACCCAGTCCGGATATCCCCACATAGTCGCATCGATCTTTCCAAACTCCACAGGAGCGCTTGTGTAGTTTGTTATGGTGTCTTTGAAGCTCTGTTCGAAATCTCCGTCATTCAAAAACACATAAGGATAGTGGAACCATCGATTGAAATGTCGCTCGATGCTCTTGATTGATTGTATCACTCCATCAAGCTCTTTATTTCGGGCTAGAACCACGAAGGCCGCGTTTGCACGAGGCTGCTTCGCAGACTCTTCAGGATTTAAGCAACCGGTCGCGAACACTCGATCATGTTTCTCGCTGATTTTTCTGCCATCAAGTCAGGACGGTGAAGTTCGTATCACTTTGGACTTGCATCAAAACATACCTTATGGAAGGGGGTGTTCCGGCAGGGAGCATTATGCGTCCCGGAGAATTTGGATGCTTCACCACAAGAATGAGGATTAACAGCACTACCAAGCTGGGAAAAAGGAGCAGAAAGCCCAATGGTATAGATATTGAAGAATTGCCTTTTAACGTGATCCGCCTGCGAAAAAAGGATAATCGTGGCAGCGTCCGGGGTTTTGCATCCTTATATTCCTCAGTGAAAGGGCCCAGCGGAGCTGAGGGCAAGCGCTTTAGTACACGCTGCACGAAACCCATTATTGTGGCCAGGGCCCCGAACTCCTAGGCGAGGGAGGACTTCCAAGGTCGATCCAAGATGTTACCGGCCGAGCATGCAACCGGCCTTACATGGAACAGGAGAAGTTTGCAAAGTCGCCCGATTGAGGCTATTCAACTAGAGATTGAATCTGCCGTTTGCAAAGTAAACGGAGGCGAAGAGAAATCCCAACCAGCGCGCAGGGTAGACGAGATAGGGATGGCGTGTAGGAGGAGCTTCGATAGTATCGTCGCGGCACTATGATGTTGATTATCTCGACGGATACGAAAGCGACATAGTGAGCTCGCAATGGTGAATGAAAAGAGGATGAGGACAGATATGATCTTTCGTTAATGTCTGGGGAGAAGAACGTCTGCGGTGGTTCGACTGAAGATGGTGGTGCTGCTGGTCCACTTAGGATCCCTGAAGAGGCCGAACTGATGAGAGTCTTGAAACTGCGGTGCTTGCTCCGGCGCAGCGCAATGCCACGCCACGCCAAGCCAAGCCTAGAAGGCGCAGATTTGCCTACGTTGCCCCTATTGCCACCAGGCCCTAAAATAAAACAGGCGCAGTCTCCGTACGGAGTACGGAGTACTACAGAGTACCTAGTACCTACCTCAGGTACCTAGGTGCCATTACAGCAGCCATGTTAACGCCAGTAGGACCTGCTGTAGGTACCTAGTAGGTACTCAATACTTGGTAGAGGGTACTCCGTATACACTAATTATTATTGCAACTTACCTGGGCTAAATTGAGCCAGTATTTTGTGTCAACATGGGCGAGCAGTGAGTCTGCAAAGGTAACCATGCCTTTGGTACATCGGTGTTTCCCTAGTATTATCAATATCATTGCGAATTATTTGGTCAAAAGGCCCGTGCCTGGACCATGCTTTGCGTGACCAACCCGAGTGTTTAGGTGCCTGGAAAGCTACCTCGGCGTAGCTTTTCCTGGCCGTTGTTCATCAAAGTGAGATTCTAGGCGTTGCATACCTAAAGGAATAGTAGTATAGGAGGGGCAGCCCAAGGGCCGTTGCCCTGTCAAGCCTCAACCTCAACCTACGTGCTACCAAACATTATTATTAGGTGACCCCCGGCACCTGCCCGGTGTCAAACCCCCTTGACTTGACCCTCCCACCAGTAGGGTGCCCGCTGGGGATCGACCATTATTATGCGCATTCATCTTATTTCCACGCGGCTGCATTGATCCACCAAGCCAACCAGGTCTTCTGGCCTGCGCCTGCGGTTTTGACACCAAACAATCAACGTTGGCAACACCAACCACGTTCCCTTCCACCATCTCACTCGCGACACCACCTACTTGCACTTCGCTGCATTATCCTGACCTCGTCATGATACTCCGCAGAGTGACCCAAGCGATGTCGAGTCACTGATAACCGTCTGAAACGCTCACTCGCTCCGCCCCCTCTACCTGGTTCCCCAGCGGCCTCACGCCGGAATCCCCTTTGCTTGTCTGGGCTCTCGAGGTAGCCTCCATCGCACAGAGGATGGTATCACTAAAGCTCAATTGTCATCTCTGGGCTTCTGACAAGCTTTCCACGTCTTGCATATTTTGAACATGGCAGCAATCTCGCCGCTTCGTCCTTCCACCCCGTCGCAGTCCAGCATGCAGGCGCCTCAGCTGTCGCCTCATCGATACCCCGCTGTTTTTGAGCCAGGCTCATACCAGTCGGGGCATCGGAACCTCGACGTCTTCTCTCCGGTGGATCAGAATGGGAGTTTCTGTTTCGACCGGGTGATCAAACGCGGCAGAGTGAATCGAAGAATAAAGAACAAGGGAGCTTGGAAACCCTCATGGAAGCCTGCCTACCTCGTGCTACGCCCAAATCTACTGTCCGTCTATCAAAATGCCGACGAAACAGATCTGAAAGCGTCAATAACCCTCTCCGAGGTCAACGCCGTGGCGCCCGTCCGAAAAGCGCATACCGAAAATGTCTTTGGGGTCTTCTCACCATCTAAGAATTACCATTTTCAGGGCATATCAGCGGTGGACACGACAGATTGGATTAAGCATATTCGTCTGGAGGCCCGGACAGAAGAGGAGGACGACTTTGATCTCCTCACACCGCAGTTCTCCCAGAGATATACTGATATGTCAAACACATACGAATCGACGGACTTGTCGGCGGACGATGTGGCCAATACTCCTCGATCACCGGAACGTACTTCCGCAGCCGTCCAGTCCAGACCAAGAAAGGGCTCGCAGTTAGCTCAACCGCACCAAAGGCGTGCCTCAACCCTTCAAGAATACTCTGGAAATGAACAATTCACAACCTCACATTCTGATTTTTCGGACTCTCTGGGGAGCTCCCTACCAAGAACCTCTGGGCTTCCGCTTCATAGACCACCACTTTTGACGCCCATTGCATCATCTCAGCAACTCAACGGCCCGAGTGATCCGAAAATGTCGACTCATTTGCCGCCTCATGGTATGCCGTACCATGATCCAACATCTGACCTCGAGCGTGTCATCCGTCATGGATACTTGCAGGTCCTGAAGTCGTACAAGACAGGTGTCAAAGGTTGGAAATGGATTTGGCTCGTCCTCCGTCCTCGAACTCTTGCCTTCTACAAGGACGACCAAGAGTATTCAGCCCTCAAAATTTTTCCAATGGATTCCATCATCAATGCAGCAGAAATCGATCCACTCAGTAAGTCCAAAAAGTACTGTTTCCAAATAATTATGGACGATAAACCGTACCGACTTTGTGCATTGAGTGAGGATGATCTGGCCAAATGGTTGGGTGCTTTGAAGAGTGTGTTGAGCAAACGCCACGAGGCGGAGAAAGCTTTAGCAAAAGGCAAGGAGAAGGACATGGTGGACGCAACTACTGCATTATCACTGCGATAAGTCTATGGTGTCTGGCGGGTGTTGAAGAACGGATCCCCGGTGGCATGTGGCTCAAATGACTTGCAATGACTATTCTACGATTTTGATGATCAGTTTCAATGCGTGTTGGAGTGCCTTTGGGGTATATGGAATTGAAAGCGTTAAGGGTTGCGCGTAAAAGCGTTAAGGGCATCCAGGCCAGTGGATTGAGCACCCGAAGAAGCCTTTTTTGTGCTGGCGGACTTTCCCTTTCCGTGGCAAGTTTGATCCGGGTTCGAAGGGGTCTACCGCATTGGAGGCTTCTCTTCTGTGGACTGGTTGCTGTTGGTTGAGGCGCTTCGCAAACCTGTTTCCCGGTTGATGCTGGATGGCTATCACTTTGATGTCGCAGAGACGAAACAATGCGCAAGGTACCGAGGTAGGTAGCTTTGCGTCTAAATCCTTCATGATTATGAACGTACGAGATATATACCGTGAATCCCATGCAGGAATGCAAGCAAATATTCCTCCTGGCTGCAGCGTTATCTAAACTAAAAACTGGCGCTTCTGTTATTTTTACAAATCAATCTGATTTCTGGATACCTGGGACGACAACCCTTCATCGAGCCACACCGGTTGGGAATGCTGGTTAATAACACCTCGCGGCAAAGATTCAAGTGCAAGTTGGTGTGTAATTCGGTCCATATTTTGGGAACTGGCAGACAAGACGATGAGAAGGGACAGACGTGATAGACATCAAGCCAGCAAGGGATAGCAGGCCGGAGAAATCGTAGAGTAAAGAGATAAGGCTGTGTGGATAGGTAGTTTTGTACATGCAGATATAATCGTCCCTGAGGCATGTCCATGTCACGGATATTCCCAATGAGTTTCATGTCGTTCTCAGACGCAGAGATGAAGACTGAGGGAGAGGGTCGATCGAAGAGAACCTGTCTCGCGCCCGTCCGCAAATGTGGAAGCTTCGAACAGTGCTTTGGTGATATATGTCGGTGCAAACTCGTCCACGAAGTTCTCTATCATGGCACCAACTATCGATCCAAAATTCAAGGCCGCTCGCATCGTTTACCGGCCAAAGATGCCGCGCACGCGGGCCCAGATGCCTTTCTCTGGTTCCTCATAATATACCCCGAAATCCTGCTGTTCTGCACCGTCCTGAGGTGCCTCGACAAGGTGTTCCGACGCGGATGCTGCACCTTGTTCCGCTGGTGGTGGAGACCACTGGGCGGGCTCCTTGTGGATGGTAGCTATTTCGGAGGGCATCCAGCCGTCGCTCAAGCCGCTGCCGATGACATGCACGCTCTTGGATTTGACAAATTCCAGGCTGCGAGACTGACCTTCACTCAGCTCCTCTCTTGTTCCTTGCTCTTCGTCGTCCACCAACTCCTCAATGATCTGGTCTTCCGTCTCACGCACCAAGGCTTTGGCTACTCCATACGGTGCTAACTGGCCATGGATCACATTCTGCGGCCACGCTGGCGCAAATAGACCGTCATTTAGATCGGCCCAGAAAACCTTGATTTCGCGTGTGTCCGCCCAGCGGGGTCTCGGTTGCTGGGTTTGTTTCTCCTGCTTCTCAAATTGCTCAAGAGCAGCATTTTTGTGTTGCTCAATCGTTTGTTCCAAAGACAAAGTGTCGACGTCCGTCCCTTTACGTTGTTCATATTGTCTTATGGCTGCTTCCTCTGCTCGCTTCAACGTAGTCTCTCTGCTGGTGGCTTGTCGCTCCTTCTTGTTAGCTTCGGCCTCTTCATCAAATGCTTTTAGTGCTGACTCCCTCTTCTCCGCGACCCTCTTCCAGACAGAGTCCGATTCCGTCGTTGGAGCATCATTTTCCTCAAACCATTCCTTGATCGCTCGCCGCTCCGCTACCCTTGAGACATATTGTCTCCTGTTCCACTCATCTGCGTCAAGATTGCTTGGATCGATGTGAATGAAGCCCTCCAATTCCTTGGCGGCATCCTTGAGTTCCGTGAGTTGGTCGATGTTGACGAGTTTACGTCCATCTATCAGGCCATGGTGCTCCATACTAAGCTGTGCGAGGGCGCCATCAGAAAGAGGCAGTCGGTTGCGGTCTTCAGCATCCATATCTTGTAGGGCTAGAGCAGCACGGGAGATAATTTCATCTTTCTTTTTCGCGTCCTCCTCTCGGATCGCGTTGAGACGTCTCCGCGCTTTCTTGGACCTGTCCTTGTGACGTGCCACACGATTCATTTCGATTTCAATCATCCGGTCCAACGGACTTGGACCTGCGCTTATCCAGTCGAGCACAAATGCAGCATCGGCTACACTGGTGGCCTTTTGATCCATAAGCCTCCGCGCGTGTAGTTTCTTTGGTAGGATCTCATTGAGTTTCGGTATTTTCCCAGTCAACCGATCGCGTACAGCCAGCTCTTGCAAATCCGTCGGCGAACCGAGCTTTGACTTCACCACATCAATGTCTTCTTGTGTAACTCTGATCAGTGAATCAGGGGGTGAAAGTTGCCGCTGCAGTGACAGCTCGCGCAGTTTCTGGAACGCGAAAAGGCCTTCTAATGCTCCTGCGGGAGTAGGTGGGAAGTGGATGGAGAAATAAGGCGTCCACATATCGCGACGAACAGAAGCTGGCACTGTCTTCTTGCCATGGAACACCAGCTGCTTTAGTATCTTGTTATTCTGATTGTAGTCGTGGGTTAGCTAAGCAATAAAATAAAACTACAAAGCTCGTGACTTACCTGCAGGGTCCTAGTCAGGCTGTACACCACCTGGTTCGTTCGTATATGGCGATAGGCATAGATATTCAGTCCGTGGGTTTCGTGTCGCAACGCCTTTATGGCCTGACGGGTTTGTGTTCCTCTCTGATTTTTAGCCGCATTGGAGCTCCTGGCGCGCCATCTGCCTTGCACCCAGAAAAGACCCTCTGGAAGTTCACCAAGAGGCTGTGGGTTCGTATTGGGGCTCGGAGTTCCCTTCAGCATTCGAGGGGGTCGTACTCGTGGCATTTGAGGTAAGGACATGGGAGGCAGCTGATGGGCCATTGTGCTTGCTGCGGCCGTCGCCATTGTGTGAGAAAAAGAGCGGACTGCCGATGACCTGTGGGAGAATCGTATTACAAAGACATTTCACCAGTGGGCAATTAAGGTCCCCTCAATAGAATGACCCAGGTGCAGTAAGACAGCGCCGGCACTTCAAGGGAATAATTTGCTTGAGCAGTGAGTTGTACTCCGTACATGCTGCTCCGAAACAATTTGGAGCTCTCTCGGCGAGTTCTTGCAATTGCAGCCATACTACTCTGTACTCCGTACTAGAGCCGGGCTTGGCATATTTGTTGTTCAAGTTTGCAACCAACGTAGCCAGTCTACCTAGGTCGCAAGGCTCCTTCCGTCCAAGCAAAGCTAGCCCTTGTTACAGCGATCGAATTCGAGTCGGTGGTAAAGCCTTTCGGTTTGTTACAATCAAAGATGCGTTTCACACCTCACCTCAAGATTTCTTACCCGCTCCAAACTACTAGATTCGAGATCTGCTGTCTTATCTAAACCATTCGTGTCACGCGCCAAATTCAGATCCCCAGAAATGTTTCGATAAAGCCTCCCAATGCCCTTATCCAACCATATGCGCATACAGTATTGCCGCAATCCTCGAGATGTTCATCATTCGTGACCGTGCAGTTCGCCTTGAAATGTGTAGAAGTTAACATAGCCGCTCGCCTCAACTAATTTGCAACAGGAGTTGAGTTGGCCAGCCTTGAGGGTGTGTGAGACGTTCCAGTGGTAGTTCCACCGATTGGAATCCAGGTTCGCGTGATGTCCATACTCCTGTTCACCCGCCCACCAGGGGTAAGGGGATAGTCCACCCGTGACCGATCCAAGCGCTCGTCTTCATCCGAGGTCTCATCGGCGAGACGGGCAAAGTAATCCGCCAATGCACTAGTTGAGTCTCCAGAAACGACGTTGTCGTACAACGGAGGCGGAGTGACCAACGGCGGTGGAGGCTCATCCTCATCAAAGGCTGGTGGGTTGAATGACGGACTTCGAAGTAAATGCATCGGTCTTGCTTGTCCAGTGTTTGGGTCGTTGTGGACATGAGCCTGAGTAGGCAGTGTCAACCCGCCAGAATCATTTGTCCAACTTCGTTGTACGCCCGGATTAGACTGGCCTGGCGCACTGGACACTGGGATTTGAGGCTGGGACACGGGAGGAGTGTTGCGTCTCCTTAACGCAGCCCCTGGGCAGCCACATTCGTACTCATCCGCAGGAGAGGGTACTGTACCACCAGCACTGTAAGCTGGCAATGAAATGTTTGCCTGGGTTGCGCGACATGAGAGAATATTGAAAGGTGAATCGATCGAGATCTCGAAATGCCGACGCTTAGTTGAGTCATTCTCATCTGGTCTAGACAAACGCATCACAATCTGTGGCATTGATTAGTGAGAACCAGGATAGCAAGCAGGCAGAAACGAACCTTGATCCAATGATTCACCTGGATATTAGAATATGTGGTATCGAAATGAAGCCGCTCACTCCTCAATTTTTCTTTCATCTGATGGCAGCTAGGAAGCTGCACATTGAACTCCATTTCCGTGGGACCGATACTTCCAGCGTCACTGTCGAGGTTACCCAACAGATTCGTCTGATCTGTGGGGATATCCTCGTCGCCAGCCGCAGCAGCTTGCCGATAATCGTAGGGAACACCACCTCCAGCTAGAATACGCATAGAACTTCCGGGATACGTGGACACACTGTGGCCGTCCGCACGTTTCTCAAATAGTTGCACTTTCCTTGTCGGTTCCAATCGGTGCACCTTCTTATTATTCGTAAAGTACTGTATATTCTCCGTGACGAAGACTTTGATCCTGTGACATTGGACTTTCGCTAATGGAGTCAACTTGAAGGCAATGGGCACTGAAGAGCCTAGCGGGAAGGACTTCCCGGAAATGACGATGTCGTAGTGTAACTGGTCTTCCCAATTTCGAGATATGGCGATGGGTTCTACCTGTTCTAAAGAGCCTTCTGCCGGAGCTCTGATCAAGGTGAGCTCCTTTGCGCCCACCAAGTTGGCACGGAAGGCACCAGATCGTTCCACAAGGGCCTCCAGTTCGTATTTGACATGGCCAAGGTCAACATTGATCGTTTCCGGGAGTCTGGAGTCGAGGGGCAATTCAAAGTTATAAACATAGTCCCCGGGATGGAACAATTTGAAGCCTTTCTGAGCAACAGTGGGGCCCCCGTTGATGGTATCGCCCTTTCCGAAGCTTCGGGACTGGTTCGCCTGCAGAGACAATCTCTTCGTGTCTCGGGAAGTAGGGCCTTTGGCGGGTGATGCGCTACGCTGGAAGAGATCAAAGGATGATACCGTCACCCCGATGTCCTTCGACTCAACAGAGGGACCTTTGTGTAGTTGAACGATATCTGCACCATAGCTGTACTCAGCCTGAGGAATTTGCGCATTGAAGAACGACCAAGTGTGGTTCATGATGGTGGTGGCATCTTTGAACTCGACGCGCTTGGGCGGAATGCCCTCCGGCCACTCCGTCTCGGACTTGCCACGGAAATTGAGAGATATCGACTTCAGTTTTGCTTGTTTCTGGACACGTAATAAGAGGCTCCCGCGAAGCATCGTGGTGCCGTGTGTCGAAGCATCATTTGGGTCGAAGCCTTGCAGGAACAAGACCGGTTCCGCTAGGGATATATAGGCTGAGACGCCATTGCCACTGGCGACAGGCTTTTCATCGGCTAAATGGGTCGTGTTGACGGCAGGTTCAGGATGGGCGGATTGACGAGAAGAGTTGCGAGCATCGCTATCGAGTCGAGGTCGGTGCAACACACCGGTAACAGGGCCGCTGGCGATACTCGAGCTTCTGCCCCGTCGATCCGGCGAACCGCGACCAACGTCGGCGAACACCATCTCTCCCGCTTCCGCCGAATCTCTACGTCCAGATCGCCCCTGCGATACAGGATAGAGTGGGATTGTCTGAGCAGAAACCGGAGGGAGATTGAGTCTGAGGAATCTCTTTGCGTTTTCCCGTGAGAACGCCAGTTTCGCCGCCGGTTGGTTGAAGCTGCGAGGCGGTATCTTCGAGGGCAAGGCGTCCTGGATTTGCGGTTGCGAGGGAGGGTTCGAAATACCGAATCGTCGACTTGAGGGGCAGAAGGTCGGGGAATTGCGCTCGTTCGCTTGGATCGACTGTGGGCGATGGTTGTCAGCATTTGGTGAGAGATGAGAGGAATCAATTGCCCACGCAGGGGTCGCCGCAGACTCGAGTGCAATAGGAAAAGGAATAAGCAGGCGTGCCAACTTGCAACTCCGCAGTTTGAACTCGCTTGGCTGTACGGAGTACAGAGTAACTGTAGCACTCACCCAAAGTGGCAGTTCTGGCAGTCGCTAGTAGATGGTTCGGAGACTTGACTGATAGTTCGGCTCAGGACATGCCGTGGGCCAGTGTAGAAGCGCTCATTGTAATTGGTGCATGGCCTAGCTAGTGTCTGTGGTAGCAGTGTCTACTACTACTAGTAGTGGTTGAGCAATGACGAGGAGAGTGTATGTATGTGCAGAGAAGAAACAAACAGAACTTCTGGAAAGCTGATGTCGGGGGTTTGGCTTCTGGGCAGAGAGGGCCGAGGACAACTGCTATGCTTATGACCAGGAAAGATTTCTCGAACAAGACGGATGGAACGGTATTGGCGGAGAGGCAAAAAGCTGGCAGCGCCCGGGCCGGAGAAGCCTGACTGATCACCGCGTCAGTCGATGATATAAGAGGGGTCCCGGTCGTGCCAGGGCCAGTACCAGGGCTAAGGCCTGTGCCCACTGCCCAGTGGTGATATATTATTACTCCGGACAGAAGCCGACGGTTGTGGGGATGAGAGGCCAGAGTAACATTAATTCCAGGTATGTTACTACCTGGGTACCTGGGTACCCTTGCCTGGGTAAGGTAGGTACGTAGGTACCCAGGTGTGTACACATGATGTTTACTGCTTTGTGTAGGTGTAGGTATAACTACTAGGTAGGTACCTAAGCACCGACCATCTGGTCTGGCCACGTCTGTAGAAGCGAGGGCCATTCTATCTGCTGCTTGTCCGTCCATCCTATTCCCCCCAACCCGTTCAATATAACGACTCCCGACCAGCTGCTCTGACCACCACTCGCCTACTAGTGGCAGGTGGTTCACCTAATCATCTCGTCATTTACCTGAAGCAGTTCTGTATCCCGAAAACTCTATAAAGTACTCTGTCTACTTTGGTTCAGCCCACGACGCCACCCAAACGGGCGCTGTATTCAGGTACGCCTGAGTCCCAGTACCCACTGCGCAAAGCCGAGTCTCCCGCATCCGCCATCTCCCTTCGTCGACCGTTTCTTCTATTCGTGACCTATATCCCCACCACGGCCAACATCCTCCTCTCGAGATTGGTAATTCCGGTGCATCTAGGTCGTGTGAAGCAAACCGGGGGCTTCTCCAGCCCCGAAAAACTTGTCAACCCGGCGATTGCCACTCCCGTCTGGAGACTCAATGTCACCGCGACATATGATGTTGCGTTATGGTTTTTTTCATGGCTGCGCCTCTTCGGCGTCCTCCCCTCAAACCGCGGCATCCCGAGGACGGTCATGCCAACAGGCCAATCGGATCCCTGCGGCATATCTCTGGCAGCAATAATGGCTAGGTATTGCCCAACTCAGATCCCGCACAAGGGTTCCTCTTCTACAAATTAGTACGGAGTATCTATACAGTGTAAGCAGTTACATAACCCTCACCCGATTTGCATGGCCACCTTGTTGTACAGAGATGGATGTGGTTGAATGCTCCTCTCCGCGACGTGTTGGTCAACGCTATTGCATCCTTCCAAACGGAGCGGCTCGACCGATGATGCGGCTTACTGTTGAACTTTACAGACTAGATTTTCACCTAAATCTACAGGCGGTGGCTTCCGGGTGTATCAACCCGCTCGCAGAGATAATCTAATTATTACAGATTACGTGTATCATTGAGGCTGAGTGAGCAAGTAATCACATGTCGTGCTTGTGTCGGTGGTAATATCACCTGGGATGTTCACCGCACAAAAGGAAGATTTGTATTTGCATTCTTGACACGCCTGGATCACTACCCTAGGATCAACCTTGCAGGACACAATGGCGAAGAGGAGGCCGCCATGCGAGACTGAGGGGAGAAATGGTCTCCGGGGAGGGTTAAAGGGTCAGACGTGGCTCCGGGTGGCATCCTGTCATTGATATTGGTGATACTCAATCGTGTGTGGTATCAGGCTTTTGTGAGTAAGGTCGGCCGAGGTGAACACATCGTAAGATATTTTCTACGGGTATGGCATTTTGCACATCTCTTCAGAGTAAAAGTCAGAATTCATATTTCGACCCCTCAGAGTTTCCGTATCCGTCTTGCGGCTTTATGTACTCGCAGCGCTTCTTTGCCCTGGCACTGTGTAGAATTGTGGTTTCGGATCTATAACCAACGCAGAAGCATTCAGACGTCCCTGAGATCAATTGATCATGCATACTTGGTCAATCGCAATCATGTGCTATCTCTAGTCTAGGTCGAGAAGCAGACAGTAATTGACGAAATCGGTCGTTATGATGGCAAATTTTTTCGACAACGCCAGCTTTGGGTTTACAGCTGCATATGCTCAGCTTTCTCTTGCGATCCTCAAAGCATCAGCCGTATGCCATTGGTTGTATCCAGCTACAGCAGTGGCTAGGTACCTACCTTTAGGTAGGTAGTACAGACAATACTCGCACTCAACATACACTATATTCAGTTCACATAATAGGGCATACCCCGCTTCGGATAAACTTCCCCCTTTGTGCGAACGGGGCCCCGATCGCGTCGTGCGAGTCGGACGCGTCCTTGGCCAGAAGTCCCATTAAACTTGGATGCACTGGCGGTGGACTCGGCCGGTTCCTAAAGCAAAAACACTCGACTTTTGGATGAACGTGTCTTAGCTGAGCATGATATGACCCTATAGCAACATTTCAACATGCGTGATGGCACAGAAACAAACTCGAGGTCTGAGCACCTTGCTGTTCCATGTGCAAACTGCTGACAATATTGAAGGATCAGCCGAGCGGCCACTTCAAGGCGCAGTGCTATGCTTCACTTCGGTCGGTCCAGAAGAAAGGGTGAGTAATACTTTTGTCGATCAGATGCCTCGTCCGCTAAGCCTCTCCATAGACTCGATATGCTGACCTCGCCATGCAAATGGGAGCTCAACACAAGCTCGACCTCACCTCTGACACCACCCATCTCATCGTTGGTAGCACTGATACTCTGAAATACCAATATGTCGCCAGGGAGAGAGAGGATATCATGGTATTATGCCCAGAATGGGTTGAAGCTGTCCGGGAATATTGGATGAATGATCTACCTTTGGACCTTGATGCTCTCACTCGTCAATATCGTATGCCTACTCTGGCCGGGTCGAAAATATGCATTACCGGTTTCGAGGACATATCCTTCCGCGCGCAGTTGCAAAGAAATGTTGTCGAGAATGGTGGAGAATACACTGGGGACTTGACCAAGGATGTGACCCATCTTATTGCTGCGAAGCCTGAGGGGAAGAAGTATGAATACGGGATGCAGTGGCAGAAAAAGGTGGTGAGTCTGAAGTGGTACAAAGATAGTCTCGAACGAGGCATGCAACTAGACGAAAGACTGTATCATCCCACCATCCCTGTTGGCGAGCAAGGATTTGGGGCCTGGAATCGACGAGCTCAACACTCACCACATCTGGGCAAAAGAGCCCGTGGGGATACTGTCGCTCCCGAACCATCTCGAAAACTTCGACGAACTGCAAGTGCGAAGCTTGGAGGCCAGAACCAAGACCTGTGGACCGACATCGTAGCAGGTGCCGGATTCGAGGCGAAACCGGCAGAGCGTCCGCAGCTGAAGCCATCTGTTTCTATGCCCACAATTAAACGAGGCGCCAACCTTGTGAAAGCTTCTAGCACCGAGGATCCTAGATCGCTCAACGACAGTGTTCCCTCTGAGGCATCCCATGTCATCCCTGGTTTCCTTTCGGGTCGAAGTTTCATAGTGAAAGCCTTTGACGGTAAGAAGGTAGGTTCCGTCATACATCTCTTATCAAAGTCACTTGTTGTCGCTTACACGGACTAGGAGGGACTTCTCCGCAAGATTTTAGTCGAGAACGGAGCGTTGATTGCGGACGAAGAAAACGATCAGAACGCGACTCTCGCAGCCAACACTTTTTTGTTACTGCCACATGATTTAGGCAAGAACAGGTCGATAGCTCCGGAACTTTCGCAGAATAACCACCAAGCCGTGTCTGAACTCTGGTTAGAGCGATGTATGCTCCAGAAGTCATTCATACCACCGCACACCTACCCATTGGGATTGTTGGTCAAAGGTCCATGCTTGAACGGGTTCTCCGAACTCACGGTCAATGCTACTGGATTTAATGCCCTTGAGACACTTCACATTTCCAAGATGATCGCCATGCTCGGTGGCAGATATCTTGAGGTTTTCACCTCTGCTGTTGCTGTGCTCGTCTGCAAGAATGGTAAAATCAATGAGGCAAAGCTCGACCTGGCGCATCACAGTGGTATACCTTGCGTATCAGAAGAGTGGCTTTGGTCCACGATCAAGAATGGCAGCAAAGCACAACTTGAAAGATATCTCATCCAGCAGGATTCAGCGAATGCTACCAGTCCTAATCGCAAGCGGCGTGCACCCAAAGAATATGTCGAAGTGAGCACAATACCCATAAGACCTGAGTCTCGCGATCAGCGAAGTCGTGAGCTGAGCAGAGCTAGCCGAAACGGGACGAAAAGTATAAGAAACGGGCCAACACCAGCGGTTGAGGTGCATGAGGAGGTAATGGATGATGTGCCACAACAAGCTCATGAACAGTCATTTGATCCTAGTCGAGCTGGTGATTCGCCAGAGGATAGTGGCACTGAAGCCGGCTCATGTGTCCAAGAGGCTCTCCCACTACAGGAATTGTCTAACTCGTCAGGAAGAATCGGCGGAGCATTGCAGGCCAAAAAAGCATCGATTTTATCACTTGATGGAAACTGCAGCATGCAAGAGTCCAAATGTGAAGAGACCACAGACGGCGCTGCACTAGGCGGTGCCGAGGACGTTTCCAAGGTGACGAACATCCACGCTATCAATGGTGCTATCAGAGAAATTCTTGAGCATCAGACGAAGAAGAATCCTAAAATGGGGTCCATTAAGAGTTCGAATGGCGAGCCCAACCAAAAAGGCAGACTGATCGGGCGTGCTCTCAGCAACTTGTCCAACTCATCGGTAACGTCCAATATAAGGAATTCTAGAGCGAGCTCGGTGGATAGCATCAACACTGAGGGGGTTGGCAGCGACCTGGTCAACACACATACGGCCCACTCGACTGGCGAGACAACATCAGAACGAGGAAATTTCAGCTTTACCGGACGAGCAAAGTGTACATTGACTGGGTCCAAAGTCCAGTGCATGGGAATAGATGATTTTGACCTACTTCGAGGCGATCACCATGGAGACGAGGCACCGCCGATGACTCAGCTGGGCTACGAAGACCCGGAAGAAGCGATTTTGTTGCGACAGAAATTGGCGGAGTCCAGGCGAAAGAGATCAAAGGCCGGAAACGATGAGGACGAGCCCAACCCAGTGGCAGCACGACCAAAAATGGAACGCAAACTTCGGGACGATGTTCTTATTACGAGCGCTGGCTGGGGTGCGGGAAGGCGCACCAGACAAAAACAGAGAAGTCCTCAGGGTTGAAGGATTTTTGAATACAGTAACAATACGGCATGAACTCGTGCCAACTGGGACCCGTCACGGCTGTAAAGACCCCAGTTTGGTATAGAGAATTGACGAGGATATTTCTGTTTAGAGTGCTACCGCGCTCTGCCGGGTTGCTGAGACCGTCTGGTGCATGATCCGGCAACAGTAGAATAGTAAGTGGTACGTGTTTAGGCCGGGACATCTAGGACAAGGGCATTTCGTACGGTCTAGAATTCGAACAAAGGAATGCGTGTAATCAATCTACCTAGGTAGCAGACAGTAGGCATGGTTTGCTGCGATTATTATGTGTACCTAAAGCATGTTGTTGTGACGTGTGACCAGCTCAGTTCCCAGGTACCTAGGTTAATTGGAGCTAAATAGCACCTAGGTGGGCTTACCGAAACCCACCTGACCCCGTCCAAGAAAATAAGATTATATTATCTTACTCCAAAATTTTTGTATAAATTTCGGGTGTAAAATCCTGTCTATGCAGCCTCTATGGCGCAGTGGTAACGCGTCGCACTTGTACCACTGGAAGTCCCAAACTTCCTAATGCCATACATGCGAAGATCACAAGTTCAATTCTTGTTGGAGGCAATCTTGTCAATATTTTTTTGCCTCTTCCCAGGAGGAATACTATCTCCCCGATATTTAGTGACATTCTCATAAATTGCATCCCGAGCCTAAGAACATCCCAGGTCCTGAATTGCCCCAGCTCTAATGTATCACGCAAATGCCCCAATGCCGGGGCAGGGGTTTTGAACTTCCCCCTAGGTGCCCCCATATTCTTATATACTAAGTCTATCATTGAAAGCCATCTATTATAAAAAGTCTCTACTTTTTATCCCCTATATTTAGGGTGACTGTTCTAACACTTCTATCACCACCCCGTGTAACTGCCAGGTTACCAAGATGAATTTTGTTGTCGGAGTGGAGGGCACCCAGGTGGAGGGGAAGGGCCAATACCTCGAGAGCATACGGAGTACTAACGGAGTACGGAGTAATCCGCAGGCAGTTCAAGATGTCACTCACAGCCTAACATGTACCTAAGGCACCTTTACCCGAACCTGTCTATGCTCTCCATCCGTTTCCATTTTAGAGAATGGAAGTACTCGGGTCCGAACAGGTCTTCGGCAGACGAATTGGGCGGCCGTACTCCGTAGACTCGTCGCTTCTATATTACTCCGTAAGTAGTCATGAACCCGTGGACCAAGATCGACAGCTAAATGACTAGGCCGAGGCGTCACTGGTGTTTTCAGGGGGCTCTGGAGGACTAACAGACACCCTTAAGCTTGGGTCCCGGCGGTATAGGCTGAGAATAGGCGCTGGTTTCCGACACAGCGTCCCCGAGAACGAACTCCGACAACCTAATCGCAGCGGTAGCTCCCTGTAAGGTTTAGCCTGTCACGCTTATGTGCAGAGCCTAAGGCCCCTAAGCCTGGTGCAGCCTGATGATCCGTTGCCCATTGCCCATTCATTGCCTGCGTCTAGGCCTGCCACGGACAAGCACAAGTGACGCCCTCATTGCTGTCGACTGTTCTCCGGTCACTACTGTAGGTATCGGGCTCTACGCTTCCCTCTGTCTACTCTGACGCAGCAGCTTCGAATCCAGGGACGATGTACGGCGTACGGATCCGTATGGCTGCCATCCACATGTCGTCTTGTCTTCGAGCCTCGTAACGCGAGTGATCGACCGCCCGTGCCCCCCTTGACCAGGGGCTTAGGGCCGCGTTTCAAGCTATTCCTCCTCGGTCAATCTCGCGACATTTTCTCACTCTTCCAAAACCCGCTGTCAGTCACTGTCACCCGCCCCAGCACACAGTGTGATCGGCCTCTGACCCATCCCACCAGGCTTACCCGCCATTTATTGGCATCGACATGACCTAACAAGCCTTGAAACCGCCTTTTCGTCCCTATGTCACCGAGCCGACTGGCCCCAGCAGCAATTTTTACCCGCCTCACTTCCTAAGGGGCTTTAACCTTGCGCCAGCCGCCGATTGGTCTCCCCAGGGCGCGGGAAACATACATAACATTCATGGCTGACCTCGCTCAAGAAGAAGCTGACCGCTACTTCTCTTCCCGGGACCACACGACTTCACATCCCGAAGACCAGGACGATCGCTCGACAGGTTCTTCTGACCACCAAGCTGAACCGGCTTTTGACGAGGATCGCTCAGATCAGGGCACCGACGACGACGATGATTACATGGCTACCATGACCGCTACTAGGAGTACATACCACATTCCCACGCAGGCGCACTATGCCAACACTGGGCCAAAAGGCGTCATTGCAGACGCCCAGTCCTTTGCTCGTGCTAAACAATCCACCTTCCGCCAACGCCTCGCCAGTTTCGCGGGCAACTTCACTTCAAACACGGAAAAGGCCGAGAAAGGGAAAGCCAGCTCAGGGTCGCCCAAATCTACATCCTCTGACTCCAACAATGCCCACCTCTCGGATGACGAAGCAGACTCGGAGTTCATGATGACGTGGCGAGCAAACCGCCTACAAGAGCTGGCGTCTCAATCGCAAGCCGGCCATGCCTCACAAAGGAGGCAATCTCCCAGTCGACGGACTTGGGGTACCTTCGTCGAAGTCGACGCTGACGGCTACCTTGACGCCATAGAAAAAGTGCCTGACGACACTGTTGTGGTGGTGATGATCTACGACCCTTCTTCGTCGACCAGTTCGGAGATCGAAGACGAGCTCTCTATGTTGGCATACAAACACAACAAAACCCGCTTCGTGCGGATGAATTATGAGATTGCAGAGATGCAGTCGATCGAGGTTCCAGCGCTCTTGGCTTACAAGGCTGGGGATGTCTTCGCCACAATATCAGGTGCACGGGCTGAGGGCTTAGAAGGTGTCTTGCTAAAGTAATTGTCCCCGTCCTTCCTTATGACAGGATTGCAACTAAAAAGATTTCCAGGAACGGCATCCTCCGATGAGATATGAACGGCTATGAATTACAGGCAGTTAAACACACTCATCTAGGACTGCTAGTCTCTTCCAACAATTCTAATATACCCAAACAGCGTCTCTACTTTTGGATCCGGACCATACCCTCTCCTTCAACAAGCACAGCTTATATTCCTGCTTTCGCTCTCTGCCAACCACGTCGCTCGATCAACAATGGACCTTGCCATTCTGCACAGATGAGGAGGTTTGCTTTATGGGTTGAGTCGTATATAGGCGGCTCGAACGACTACAATCCCCTTTGAGTAGGTTCTCATCACTACGACGCTTCTTCTCCGAGATACTACTATGGCACCACGCTTTGCCCCACGACAATAGTGTGGATATGAAACACTTGGACAAGGCAACGGTGAAACGATCTGCCCAGCTTCCAGTCAACAAGGCCAGAGACGCCCAGCACGTGCTGCGAACCAATGAAGCCGGGCTTATCTGCTCCGTGCTGCTTGCTCTCATGGACTTGATGGCAATACTCTCGGGCTGACATACTTGTGGATGTACGGAATAATTGGACGAGGACTCGCTTTGACAACTTGCAAGCTCTCATGCTATGGCTTGTAGCTTGTTCGGTAATAGTCGTGTGTCTGCTTTCGCCTCCTGCTCCTATTGCAAATGCCAGACCAACGTCGCCAGAGATATGGACCTCGTTTCTGCTGCCTTTATGTAGCTCGCTCAGTCACTCTTCATTTCCGCGACTGCAAGTGAGGAACCCAAACCCGTCGAAATGCAACCGCGTCTAAAATTTGCCCTTGTTCCCCTTCCTTGTGAGACTGTTCATTGGAGATTCGGCGCTGAAATGCGTATGGGAGCAAGGCCAGGAATGCAGTACTGCGGCTACGTTGTACATCTATTATTTACTAATCCTGTTGCCACAAGCTCCCCGCAACGGAGATAGCTATCCTGGACAAGGGCTACATTACATTGGTCTCCCCCTGGCCGCAGTCCCGAAGATTCGGGCGACAATGTAATTCATATCACTGTAGATCTGGGGTGGGAACCCGAGTATATATACTGCGCATCGCTGGTGGTGGCTGCTTCTACGAAGAGTCAGTCATGTTTCTGGCCGGCTGGGCGAATGCCCAGATCTTTCTGATGTTGTGTAAAAAGCAAGCACTGGCAGAGCTATGAGACGGGCTTCAGGGCAATGGCAGGCAAAATATCTCAATACTTCATGACTAGGGTTAGGCATTAGAAGTCTTGCCTCGTGACTTCGTCCATGTGAGTGGCAACCGGCGAGGACAATGTGCGACGCAAGATTGGAGGGCTGGAGACAAGAGAGACCGCCGGAACCAGGGTCCTTTCAAAGCCAGCCAGCCAGGGAAACATCGAATGCTTCGAGTTTCGGCCGCCACCTGTCTCACTTTCTTGCTCGCTTTGCCATCCGGGCATACCACCATAGATGACATCCGCTTTGTATGCAAGCTGTTCGTTGTTAAGCAACCTATCTGCTTGCGCCGTGCCCACCGCGCACGCTCCCAACCAATACTGCCTCCCGTGGGCCACACGACTGATTGCGCTGCGAGCAAACTCAACGTATGTCTTCTTGCCTCAGACCAGACGACAACAAACGCCAAGGTGGACGACCTTGGCGATGGTTGGATCATGTGTATCAAATATCCTTTCCACTGATCAGATGGCGGTTTCATTGTGCGGAGCTCAGAAAAGTGCAGACTGGTTTAGTCGAATATGGCGAAATGGTGCGGTCCCAGTGAGGATGTTGAGGTTAGGTAGCAGTTGCAGAGTAAATAAAAGATCAAGGACAATGGGCTTCGCGGAGGTGTGATGCATAGATCCATAAGCTCCCCATTTTGAGACGTGATGCGACACGACATGACGGAGGAGCGCTACCGAATCGGAAGAAGGTGGTGGATAGATAGCACTTCAAGTGATAAAGGTCAATGACCCGTCTCTGCCCTTTCCTCAGCATACGTTTTTCAGCAACTCTGGCTATGCGGGGATGGCATTCTTCTCGGAGGCGAAGTCCCACAACATCTTGATGAGATTCTCCGGTAGGGTGTAGAGATCAACGCGGAACTCGCCCTCTGAAACACGTTTGTTAGCCGTCCATCAGTTTCTGTACAAAGACGACTTTGCACTTACGTTCGACATCGTTGCTGATCCACGAATCCTCGCTCTTGTTGTCATGAACCATCTGTACTACCTGAAGGAGATCGTCTTCATCAAGATTCTGAAGGCCCTCGGCCAGCTTGTCCATGTCGATACCCTTCTCAGCCCCCTTCTTCTTTCTCAGTACACCACCAGCACCAACCTCACTGCTGCGCTTTTTGCCAGTAGCATCTGCTCCGTTTGTGGCAGTGTCGCCTGGAATAGGGCCCGAGTTTCGAAGCGCGTCAAGAAGGGCACCCTTGGGATTCTTGAAGGTAATGATTTGCTTGGTCTCGTAGCGAGCATTGGAGAAGTTGAGATCGTGGACAATGTGGTGTGCCTTCCCGCTAAGATCCTTCAGCTCGATCGCCAGTTCGAACTCTCCCCATCCATCCTCGGCGACCCGAAATGGTGGCTTCTTGAAGACTACCAGAAACGTTAGTTGGGTCGTGACTTCATGGTGAGAAAGTTGTGAGTCGCAAATGTTATGCATACCTTGTTTCGCCTTGTCACCAAAAGATTCGTGAAGATGGTATGTGACCGACTCGAAGATGTCCGCATCGATCTCCTGCTTCGTGTCTGCATGAAGGAGAACGATTCTCATCGCCCAATGTCGCAAGGGAAAACCAGCAACCCCGCTGTCTGCACCGGGACTGTAGCGCAGAAGTCAGAATCTTGAATCTATCAATTCGTAGTCCTTCGAGGAGGTTTGAGGTCGACGGAGGATGAAGATACATTGCGTGGGGTAGGGGTATGGGCTGGATCGTTTGTGGCCGACGTACATGACCTTCTGTTCCGTGATGATTTTGATCGATCGCTTAACCTGGAAAGTGAATGAGTATGCGCAGAATCAGCGTCGAATGCGCGATTATGACTTACGTCCGGCATGGTGGGCAGAGCGCGACAAATTGCACTAAAAGGTTCACGGAGGTGTCGAGGACTAGGGGCGAGCGTTGACTAGGGGCGAGCGTTGCGCAACAGGAACAGGATGGCGTAACGAGAAAGGAAAGAAAACAACGGAAATAAAGAAAAGCACAGGTGACGTGAAAGTGTCGTAAAGAGTCCCGGTTGGTCGTGTCGAGGGGAGACGGGTTTCCAGAAGAGCAAGGGACACAGGTCGTGAGAGAGAAATGAGCCCCAGAGTGTACCACTATCCACTGCACGGATGGTCTGCTGGCTAAGTCAGCACCCGCTTTAGTTGTGGGGGGTCGGATAGGAAACTCAGCCGAACAGACGTTGGGAGGGCTTGAGTCATAGTACGCTGTTTACGGCCAGATCAGGCTAGTTGCAGATCGGGACTAAAGTCCCCCATTTCAGTCAAAACTAGGTATCCCGTACATGGATAGCAACAAAGCCTTTTATGGTTCATTCTGTAATTCACTCGTTGCTGAGAGCGACTGCTAATGCATCTCTATCTAGGGTAGAAGGAGCAGGTAGGTATGGGCAGAGAGGGCAGGGGGGAGAGGGCGGCAATCCAGGAAAACCGACACAAATGCTGTGGTCTGTCCGATTTATGAAGTGCATTCTTGGGGGTTGGAAGATGCAATGCTGATGCTTTCAAGCAATGCTCGCTGGACGCAGAACCGATCATTTCTCGAATAGTGTCTCGTTCTCCTGCTGCGCCTTGATAAATGCTTCCTTGAAGAGATTGGCATCTGTGACCTGTCAGTACTGTCGTCATCAGAGCAGCTTGGAAGGCCGCAACATACTCTCGCTGTTTCCGAACCGTATTGCCAGTGTCTGGGCCTCGGGCTCGCCTTCGCTGACATCTGCTGCGACGTTCCACACCCAACTGCGATCGCTGCCAACGTTGGGGGAGAGTTTCATCTCAGGTGTGACTGACGAGCGATTAGCATTACCATGTATGCTGCCTATCTGGCTCGAAAACTCACCATAGTGGTTTGCGCAGACCTTGAGAGTCTTGTCACGTCGCATGACCAATCTCGACTTGCCGTTTTCCTTATGCTTAAGGAGTCGGACATCCCCCGTGCCTCGTTCCTTCCACTCTCTCGATTCTCGATCGAACTTGAAGAGCTTGGCTCGCATCTTGAACATTTGTTCCTCCATCTCTTCGTTGGTCTTTGTTTCGATCTTCTCAGTGAGGCGGACGACAGGCTCAAACTCGACATCGACCTCTTCCTCATCGGGTTTATCCTGTTGCAAGATCTGAATCAGCTCGAGCTCGGCCCCCAATACGGGTGCGAAGGTTCCTTACATCATCTTCCTCCTTCTTTGCTTTCGAACTGCCACTGGGCTCATCCTTCGCATCGTCATCTTCCTCGGCTTTCCTCTCCTTTTTGGCGCCACCACCGAACATGGAGAAGACAGAATCCTTGACACCTGATGCGGCCGCGGTGGCGGTGCTGGCTGCACTGCTGGCAACATTGGCTGCGGTTTCGGTGTAGGAAGGTGATTTGGCATCACTTGCAGGAGCCTCCGTTGAGGGATCTCCCAACGGGTTCTTGACTAGATTGGTCTCATGCTCAGCGAGTCTCGGTTCGGACGAGGCCGTCTGGGTCGCGGAAGTGGGCTCGGTTGCGTCCGACATGGTTGCGGGATGGTCGACTGGTGGGCAACAGAATCAGAATGGGAGGTGTAGAGTGGCGCTGGAGATAGATGGCAGAGAGTAAGAGTGACAAGAGTAATTGAAAAGAGTTGTGTCGTTTGTTGGCAGACCCCACACTAAATGTTTGTTGTAGAAGAATGGGCACAGGTGAAGAAACACACAGACTCGTCTACTTTGTCGTGCTAACCAGGATGAGATATGGGCCGTTGGAAGTCCACCCTATCTCCCTCTACTAACGGAGGATTCTCCTCGTATTGCACTGCGGCCGGTGCGTGACGTGCCAAGCCTCGTGATCCCCTCAGTCTGGCATCGCCCCTTTTCTGCCTTTCTGCCTACAGTGACATCATCTCCTCTCATTTAGCCATAAACTGTCACCTGCTGTGAAGCAGTCCAACTCACTGGGTGCATCGTCTCAACTCAATCGCCGCCAGACATCTCTTGACGATGCTGCTCGTGCACTTCGATCTCTCATAAAGCTTGCTAGACAATCCCTGCGTTTGGACGCATTGGCAGCATGCCGCTCCTAGACTTGCCTCCAGACATCCTCTCCGTCGTCCTTGCTTGCCTGGAAGCCAAAGACTACCTTGCATTCTGCCAGTCTTCCAAATCGGTTTACTCAGAATGGCGACAAGATCCTTTTTACTGGCGTACAGAAACCCACCATACCTTCCGCCTGCCTATCAGTCCTCTGCTTGCCGCCGACGGACCACGGTGGTATTGGCTTTATAAACGCCTGAAAACACAAACCCAACTCTACACCTGGGGTCAGGGACTGGCAGGCAATCTAGGGCCAATGCGAAGTCGGTCTGGTCCTCGTCGGCCACGACTTCCTATGACCCCTCGAGTGATTCCTCGTGCTCCTGCCCGGCCTACCTTCTCCAGAGTTACGTCTAGCTGGCCAACTGAAACCGACGTTCCTGCCGAAGTCGGCCCAATTGCAGACCTTCAGTGTGGAGGGTGGTCCACCACGATTTTAACTTCTGATGGGAAGCTATATGCCGTCGGCTCCATTAATCCACGGGGTCAGTCTGCTGAGCACCTCACACAGCTTGAATACCTCACTCAAAGCACATCGGCTGTCCGTCAATTCTCATCAGGAAGAGCCCATGTACTAGGACTTACTGACCACGGAGACATAATTTCCTGGGACAGAATCAACACCAAAGGGTTAAAGGTTATCTCCAGAAATGGTTCTTTCGGAGGGAGGCCGGTAAGGGTTGCCGCAGGCTGGGGGGAAAGTTCCGCCTACATACCTGAGACTGGAATCATTTATTGGAATCCTATCGAGAACAGTGGAAGTGATGATATGCTAGATGCAATGTCGGTGAGAGAAAAGGTCATCCCAGGAACTAATCGCTCCAAGACCGACACGGGCTACGTCGAAGTTACAAAGCATATCGTCCTGGAGGACTTCATTGTTTGGATCACTAGTGATTCCAGACTCTACGCATGCTGTCTCAGTCCTTCGAGTACAGACCAGTTAGGGCCTATCCAGGCTCCCTTTGCAGTGCCAGGTTTCAGCGCACCTGACCGTGAATTGAAGGACATTCAAGGACAATTCCGAAGGTTCGGGGTCTTCACAGCGGCAGGGGAGGTCCTTGCCGGCGACACCGACTATTTGAGACGATGGGCGGAGGCCATCGAGACCCAGCCCGGTCTTCTCGATACGGACGACCGGTCCACCATCGCGAGCTTACTGGCTTCTCGACCCGGAGATGTTCCAGCTTTGCAGCATAGCAACGTCATCGCCCTTGCATTTGGAGATTATCACTACCACGCTCTCCACTCCGACGGGGCGATCACCTCCTATGGAGTAGAACCTCAAAGCTGCGGCTCACTCGGCCTCTCAGGACTAGGGACAGGGGGTAGGTTCCGTGGCCTCCATAGAGTCGGACCTGGCCATGGAAGAGACGCCGGCTTACTCCCCATTGCCAACTCACGAGGACGACGAGTCTGGTTCGAGCCGGAGAAGAAGGACTGGTTACAATGGATGGAGGACCAGCTTCAGCAGCCGCACCTCAGCATTGATGGTCGGCCAGCCTATCATATCTGGGAGGATGATTCAAGCAAGCAAGCAGCATTCAGCGAATGGATTGAACAAGAAGGTAGTCATTGGGATGAAGGACCTGCGACAAGTTCATGCACGACTTTGTCATTTGACAAGCCGGCACAAAATTTAGACGACTATGCGAATCTCGGGGCATATTTTCCTATTGCCATTGCTGCTGCAGGCTGGCACAGTGGAGCCCTGGTGCTGGTTGATGAAGAGAAAGAACACGAGGTCCGGAGCAGGTGGGTCGCCGACAGGCAGAAAGGGGAGGAGACAACGCACTCAATGCCCGGCGCATTCGAACGTCTGAGCACAGAAGAAGTCTATGTCTGGAAGAAAGATGGATTCCCAAAGGTCCGATTACCCAATGGGTACGAGATGCCTGGAGAAGGCGAGCCAAGGCCCTGGAGGGCTGGAATGCCGACGATGCAGGAACTAGGACTTGAAGGGTAGGAATTGTTTGACTCGGATTGCTGGAGGCACTACACAAGACACTTGTGCAAAGTGGCTGGTCTAGAATTGCTCCTCAGAAGTGCTACGACTTCATGATGCCGACGACGTACAGGTCGTCTAAACCGAAGAAAGACCAGTTTCGATATGAGTTCTAAACTTATTCAGAAGACATGCCATTGACAGTGAGCGATGTTAGTCTTAAAAAGCACATCTTGCAGTTTCAATTGATTGAAGCTCGTTTCATGATTTCTGAGACACATTCGCACAGCTGGTATAAACAAAATGAAGTGCGACCCTACGTCCTGGGGCTCTAGAACGTCAATTTCCATCACAGTAAAAATCCTATGCGATATGCGGGAGTTCTTTGAATGGGACAAGCGATGCTGGTTCTGCCCACAGTATGTAGAACTTACTCGATACACAAGAGTTTCAGGCGCATCTAAACAACATGCACACCAACATGATCCTCTCCCAAGCAAATGAACTGCCCCTCGGCCAAGCTAGACTGTCTTGAGGGTTTAGGGCTTCAATCAATCTATATCTCGACGATTCACAAAGTCCTCATCAGCACCAGACGCCCGGCGGTCGCCGTCCCCTGATCGGAACATGTCCCAAAAGTTTCTTCGGCCTTGCTTTCTCTGTCCTCCAGACGACTGTAGGCGAGTAAGTTGGCCATCAGAGGACATCCTGAGCGTCGCTCCATCGCTTGCAGAGGCGATATTCGCATGCTGTGTTCGAAGTGTATGATCCCCGCTGTCGTCGTCGTCGTCCTGCAAGGGAAGCGCTGGTCCAATTGCACCTTCTGCCTCCTCTTCTCTCTCCTCGTGGTCAACAAACAGGAAACTCCCGACCACAACCAACGCTCCAACCCAATAAAGCCAGCCTTCATAGTGTCCCTGTAGTACCATCTCCCCGACCAGGCTGAGCGGGATCGTCAGACTCAGCCCAACCGTGACCAGTAGAGGACTCGTGAGCACCATAGCATAAGCCCAGCAAATGTCGCTAAACAGACTGCTGATGCTGTTTGTCAACAGTATGGTCCAAATCCAACGCGAAGGCGGCAGTTCAAACCGCTCTAACCCCGTATAATGAAGGACGAGGAACATAGGAAACAGCAAGACCAAGTTGAACGTTCCGACCAGACCGAAAAACAAAGGCATGTTAAGAGAGCGTGGCGACGCCTTCATGGTTGACTTTTTTAGTGTGATGGTATACACGCCGTAGATGATGGCGGATAAAAGAGCCAGGGCATCGCCCAGGGCAAGCTCTGATGGCGGTTTGTCGGGAAACTGGTCATCTGGCGGAAGGGGAATTTCGTCGTCCGCGCTCTTGGTAAGGTCGACGCGTGAGATGAGCATGATGCCTACCAAAGATCCTAGGACGCCACAGAATTTCCGCCACGTGAACTTCTCCGTGCCGGTAAGGGCGCCGATAAGTAAAGTCCAGAAACTGGACGTCGAGGTTAGAATGGTGGTCGACGCCACCGTTGTATATTGCAGGCACGCCATGGCGAAGTAGTTTGCACCAAACCAAAGGAAGCAGAAAGCAAGAGAGAGGCGAGCGGTCGCAATTATCCCCAGGTGTTTATCCTTTTCGGCCACCTCTGGCTCTTGATCTGTGACTGACTTAATCGGTTCAATAAACCTCTCCGACTCTGAGTCTTCCGGGTCTGGTGTGCCGCTGTTGAACAAAGGTCTATAGCTCTCTCTTCTAGTAAGCGCCGATCGAATGGTACTGTACAGGTGCCGATGCCTTTGTCGGCTTCGGTTTGCGGATCGCAGGAGCGTGGGTATCATGGCCAGCATGAACATGGATGTATTGAGATAGGTCAAGAAGAAAGGTTTCGCGTATGTGTTGTCGGCGAATATGCTCTGCATGTAGTAGCTCTTGTCAGCGGCGCGGACTTGGAAGGGGCGTCGATTGTACATACACTTCCCAAGAAGTTGGACAGAGTCCAGAGAAACACGACACAGAGGAGGAGAATCAATCCCAGAGTGTGCCGGGCCATGCCGACGAGTCTTGCTGGAGAGTCCTCTTGCTGAGACTCCAGCAGCCTCTGCCTCGAGGACGTCCTTGTACTGTCCGAGTCGCCCATCTCGATGTGCTCGCGAGTGACGCGAGGTTGGAGTGAAGTGTGACTGTCGACCATGTTCGCAGCCCACACGACATCGCTCTCCAGCACAGGGATGGTCGGGTGGTCTCAGAACGTGGTCACGGGGGTACGCTGCTGTCGTGACCCGTAAGGATCAGGAGTGTGCAACCATAAGTGCCCAGTCCTGTTGTTTCGTATGCCTTCTCTCCTCTCTCGTAACTCGATTGCGCTTCACTGCTCTTAGGCGGTGGTGTGGCGTTCCGAGGCTAACAGGAGATGGTGTCAGACATATTCAAATGAGCAATCAAGCAAAGCGAACGCGTGAGAGGACGTCGGGCTTGTCCGAGGAGTCAGGGAGGGATGCCGCAATAGTATTAACTGGGACTGCGGAACTCCGACGCCCTCAATGCTCGAGGGCACCTATTCTCTAACCATCAGCACCTACAGCATGCTGTCGGATTGGAAATTAAGGAGGCCGTCATTCGCCACAAATGTTACTTCATTGATCGTATGGCAGCCATCACAATGGCTAGATTCATCTTCGGCGGATTTGGCTCACCAGGCCTACAGTGTCTACTTCGAGCTGAGTGACTATTGTTCTTCTGTCCAGCGGTCTCTACGTCGACATGTAGAGTCTCGCTGGAGATGAATCAGCGCAGTCTTCCATTCGTTCCTCCATTGCTAGAAGCATGGCTGGTAACATTCCCACGTCGTCCCATCGCCATCGACTTTCAAGGCCTTTGCCAGCGTAGATATTGAGGTTTGGTGTGCAGAATTATTGACTGCTGTGTTGGTGTTTGCTTTGCATCGTCCATATATGCTCAAGCTGAGATGGCAGATGAACTCCAGATTTGTCTAACCCGCTGTCTTAGCATAGACATCTGTTCCCGTGCTTCATCTAGCATGTTGACAGCCTCAACGCCGGGCAGACAGCCAGTCGTTGGCTTCTGCGAACAGCTTGGCTTCTTTGACTTCTGTGCCAGGCGCCTGACTCGCAGCGAAAATCTGTGGACAATTAATACTTGTCCTAGCTCCCTTGTCGGTGCGACTTACGGTATCCCAGATTCTCCAGGCTTGGTCGAGACTCTTTGTCAGGTTTCCACCTTTGAGTTGTCCGAACCAACTATATTTCCCTTCTTGTTGCTTGATCTTGCTTTTCAGGACGTCCGTAATCTCAGGCTCCTCGTTAACCGCGTCCAAGTAAGTCTTAACGGCAATTCCTAAGCCAGAGCCGTTATCACTGGCGAAGGGTAGTCTGACGATGACGAGGTTAGCTATATGTATCGGTCCACAAAGTTGCTCAGACTTGCCTCTGAGCAAGGGCAACCCAATCTTCCCGATTCCTCTCGACGTCCCCGTTCAAGAACATGCTGGTCATGACGGTTTCTAGCAGGTCTCGTAGCGAGCTGCGAACCGCTGTGATCTTCCATGCAAAGGTCAATAGCTGCCGATCAAGAGGTCCAACGAATCCCATTGGCTTATGCCGGATTCTACCCAGGCAAGCAGTTTTGGAAATGAGGTTCGTGTAAACCTTTCGATCATATTCTTTGTCTGAAACCACGTCAGCAATCTTCGGTAACAAAGCAGGACCCAGCTGACCAGTTCGTGCGACGGGTGTTCCCGTGGCAAAATTGCCAGTGAACAATCCTAGTCTTAGCATTTCCACACCCACAATCGTGCTCTCATCATCGGAAACTGCTAAAGCTGATTCTAGAGCCTTGCCCCATGAAGTGAGGGTGTGGTTGTCGTCAATGTAACCACGAACGTGCAGGAATCGAAACACCGTGTTCAGATAAATCTCCTCGGGCGTTCGAAGAGCTGGATATTCCAGTTTGCCCCTGGTGATCGTCTTCTCCGCAAAGGAGGCGTCTCTGAGGGACCGCAATGAAGGCAGGAAAAGGCCAACATTCTATTCCTGTCAGCCACTGGGACCCAAGTTGGGATACGGAACGGCATTACCCCTAAATTTCCAACCACAGCCTCGATGTCAGGCCCACGAATCCTCCATTGCGTTAACTTCCCTTTCCAGGATGGTGTGTTTCTGATCTCGATTGTCAGGTTGGTCGTGTCTTGGGGTATCCATGGATCCACTTTGATGATTCTGGATTGATAGTAATAATGTAAAGACTCGGCGAGAATCTTGAGGGCCTCAGTTCGGAGGGGATTGAGCAGTTCTATTACAAGACGCCGGTATGGCTCCGAGTCCAAGACACCCCCGGGAAGAGACAGAACGATTTCACCGGATGTCAGCCAGTTTGGAATTCGAGGCCCTACTAAACCTCTGGAGATGTAGAAGAATAACTCCTCTGGAAGTCTCTGGCCAACGAATTCGTGGACATCGCCAGGGGCTTCGTCAAAATTCAACGGAGCAACAACTCCGTTCTTCTCCATGATCACATGGTGTTTGATGGTCATGAACGCCTTTTTATATCGGTCGGCATATTTGAGAGCTTGAACCTGGGGATGATCTCGGTGGTAATTGCACAACTGAATTACGGATTTTCCAGCACCGTTGACCAAAGAGATCGCGTCAACGATCCCTGTTGACTTGGTTGTCGCCATAGCTTCGAGAACTGGAAAGGTTGGTGTGAAAGATGTGCCAAGTAGGAGTTGGGCATCTCGCAGAGTGTCGGTGTTGACTTTCAGGATGTCTTCGCATACTGCCCTGTTGACCAAGCTTAAGGATGGTTTCTGGAGGTTGAAGTCTGTCACCACTCTGTCCACACCAAAAAGAAAACATTCCGTTGTGCCCATGACGACGTCGATGAATTGATCTTCCAGCTTGAGAAGGTAGGCCAACTGTCCCTTGTTAGTCTCTAGGATGACGAGTGCGAAGCATGTCAAGTCACCTGCGCAGTAGCACTGTATGGAGCGACCATGTATTGCACTTTGTTCTCCGTCAGCAACTTCTGGAGAGATCTAGTCATGACATCGACGGGATATTTGGCCTTTCCAAAGTCCGTAACTGTGCGCTTGCCGTCCCCGCTCAAATAGTGGTGCCATGCTTCATCTTGAACTCTTTTGCTATCGGCAGACTGCGAATCAGGAAGGCTTTTGTTCACATAATCAAGGCCGCTAAAGACAAAGACAAGGGTGATGCCATGCTGCCGTAGAACGTTGATGTCTTCTTCTATCGCTTTCTTGTAGCAAAAGGGCAAGCCACCGAGGGCATGCTTGAGGGGTTCTTCGTTGGTCCCGTTGAGGCGCAGGTCGAGATAGTAGGAGGCGTCAACGCCGATGACGGCGTCTCTCAAAGGCTGTAATTGACAAGAGTCGACATGTTTGCTTGCCCACAAGTCGAATTTCTGGACTGCGGGAAATTGTGAGAGGAGAAGAGAGGACACAGCGGACTGGGGACGCTTCGTACCTGACATTCTGGAGAATTCAAAGACAGAGGGGAGGAAAACGAAGAATCAGACGCTATGCTATGCAAAGGAGAAAGGACTCGAGAAAAATCAACAGCTTGAAGATCAGCTGCGCAAACAGTCCGTTTGTCTCTCACGGAGTCTCCAGAACTTTGTAGGAAGATGAGGTGCACCGGTGGATGCGACCGGGGGCGCGACGGGTAACAACTGGCGCCAAGGGCGCTGGAGATGCAGGGGATGCGGGCACCATCTGCCGCAGAAGATCAGGTCCTCTTAGCACCTTGCTATGCTATTGCCCTATATCCGTACCTATCTTTTGTCTCTGATCGCCTACCTACTAGGTGCCTACGGGTGGAGTACACTACTCTGTACCCGTACATTGTGATTGATGAATGACACGAGGCTGAAGCCTTGCTGACAGTGATCGGCTCTCTAGCAGTTCAGTCTTCCAGTCTCCATCTACTCCGTACTTCATACTTTGGCCGTCGGAACTGAGAGATGCGACTACATCTTCACCACCGCGCCTAGAACTATAACTGAAGCCTCCAGAGCCACAGTCCTCTCCTCATGCAGCAGGGCCATCCTCACTCGTCTTCTGTATCCGAAATTCATACGTTGCCTGCAGCCGGTTGTTCAGATGTTCCTTCGCCGTGATTGCACGCTTGGTCGCCGCACCTCCTCCATATCCGACCTGCGTCCCATCTTCCAGCACATGTGCGGCGACCAGCTTACTCGGCACCGGCACTAGCTCCACATCATTTCCTGGGTGGCAGAAGTATACAATAGAGTAACGATCCCCGCCACCTGGCCCAGAATCCTGAGGAAAGATGACGCGATGGATGGTGCTTTTTAGAAGGCCGTTGGTCCAATATGACAGCAGGTCGGCAATATTCACGAGGATTGGCGGGAAAGTTGCAGAGGTATAACCGTCGGGAATAACGGGAACAGGAGCCCACATTTGGTCTGAAGTCATGATCTGCAGTCCAGGTTGCGAGGGGCGTTGAAATAGAAGAGTAATGCTCCCATAGTCTGAGTGAGCGCCAGCCCGAATATCTACTTCTGGGTGGTAATCCACGTCCGCAGAAATGGAAGGGTAATGCAAGAAGCGAACGGTACATCCGCTAGGCTGTGTATGTCGTGATGAGAAGAAGTCAGGTTCGTCAACTTCTAGGCCCAGTCCGAGCAGATCCAGGATCCGATCAGAGACCTTCTTGCAAGTCCTCTCGAAATCAGCCAGCTCCTTAATGTGAGGTTCGAGGGCTTGGGGCATTGGTTGCCGGGGCTCTCCGTTTAGAAACTCCCCCATGTTGAATGCCTCTTTGAAGTCGCCCTTTCGTTGCGTCTTTGGGTCGAGTATCTCTCCATGCATACCTGTCCAGCCCCGGTTTGTTTCATCGATCAGGCACTTTTTCTTTTGTGCCTCTGGCAATGCGAAGAAATTGCGCGAGAGTTCGAATTCCCGGTCGACCATACTCTCGGTGAAGCCAGTTCCATCGGTATCGATGTAGAGAAATCCATATCTGATGGCGGCGTCAAGTAGTTGCTTGCCAACCCCAACAGAGAATTCTGAAATATTGATCACGGGCAGGCGAACGGCATTGTTCCCTTCTTGGACCGATCCCATTTTTATGCGGGCAGACCGTTGAAGGTACTGCGAAGGGAGCAAAAGGACCTCGGGGCAATTTGCAAGATGAGAAGGGCGCTGTTGACCTCTGCAGAACTGGGCAAGCGCTGCTTCAATGTACGGTGGAAATGCTTCGTGAAGAGAAGCAATCAGGGCATAACCTAATGTCTATCTTATCAGTCTGGAAGCTTTGCCACACAGGCGGCGACCTCCGGTTGTGACTACGATGGTAAGCCTCCTCCAGCTGATATGATACTCCAATCACAATCATCATTCCGGGTTTGATACTGTCGGCAAAAAGGGTATCATGGATAACAATAGTTACGAGCCTGTATGCACACATCGCACGAGCCGAGTTTGATCGAGATCACAGTGCTAGAAAGAGGCTAGCAGAAAGAGCTTTCAGATGCAGAAGAACATAATAGTCATAATTTGTGCACTAGTCAAGGTCGTCATATTACACATTTGTGTCAGTAACAATTCGTAGAGCATTAGCAGGTGCCGCAGATAACGGATGCAGGCTCAAAAGGTCGACAATCCAAAACCATCTTTGCTGCGTATGTGCTGCGTGACCTGGCGCTCTCCTTGGGGTCCGTCGCATCCTCCTGTGGTCTGGCAATGAGTATGTGGCCGAAGGTGCCCTCTGTTTCGACCATGAACACCACTTCGCTATACATCAATAGGACCGATCGCTGGAAACCATCATATTCCGAACCTGGATCCGGGCCCTCGACGCTAAAAAAGCAGAAAAGGCCCGGTAACGCCGACCAATACTTCATAATACTCCATGGCTATGCAGTTTTCTCAAGAACAGGTCATGTGTTCGATCGCCTGCTTAAATAGACATTTTCAAGGTGACACCAGTGCCTATGCATGCTCCATGATTCGCGTTGGCATTCCTGTCAAAAGCAATCAGCGTCACATCGAAGCAGGGGAAGTAAGGATGGAGATATACCTTGCTGCAATACTTAGTCCGCCGGCAACGCCTGCATTTCGCGAATTGTCGCGTATACTCCTCCCATTTTCCACATTGGTAATTGGCACACTGGCGTATGCCTCCCCTAGCGTCGTCTTTCCTGCACAAATTGCGCATAACAACGCACGCCCAGTACTGCATGTCCTTTGAGTGGTGTCGGATAGTGAATTTTTCCACCAAAGGGAATATGTTATAGTCGTCGGGTTGCAAGAACTCTTCGTCTTCATCTTCAGTGGGCTCTGGAAGTGGTGCGCCCCTTATCGGCCCATAAATACGCTCAACCTCGCGATCGATACGTAGCCTTGGGACCAAATGGGTTTTCTGGAAATATTGGCGAAGGTAGCAGTACTTCGAAATGTATGCTAGCAACTGCAGACCCATCAAGACATCCTCGTCTCGGGGCATCAAAGCAGTCGTCGAGGCTGTCGAGGTTGCGTTTCGGAGGAAAAAATTAGGATATGCATTCAGGGGGATGGCAGGGGAAGCCGCGGTTGCAGGTGCGTTAGGGATAGGAGACACTCCCAAGGCTTCATGTGCCGTAGGTCCCAAGGGATTGGCCATACCAGCGACGATTGGCGTCTGCTGGGCGATACTAACATCGTCAATCTCTCGGCCTTGCGGGGGAGGGATGGTTAGTGTGAGCGGTTGGCGCCCATCGACGCTGTTCGGATCATGGGGACTGGGATCTCGGGTCTGTACCCTGCTTTGACCTTCGGCCGCGCCTTCGGGGTCAACAATGTCTTCTTCGGGACCGGTGATATCTTCCAATACAACATCGTCGGGGTCATCACCGGTCGAGTTCTGGTGACGTATGGACGGCCTCCTGAGGCGACGACCAATGGGCGAAAGTAGTTCTCGAGAAATTGGCGCAGAAGGCGTGGTGGGTGAGTCAGGATGGGATGTGACGCCCGTATTCAGAGATGGTAACATCGACGGCAGTCTGTCCACTTCACGTACTGGTCGCAGCGAAAAGCCGTCAGGAGTATCTATCGAAGGGACAGCAGTCGCGGGAGGTTGCATGTTCCCGGATCTGTGGAGGGATCCCCTGCTTTCATGACCCCTGCTATGATGGCGCAAGTCACGTCGAGGGAATATAGTTCGTTCCGGAGGGGATGTGAAAACTGTGGAAGGAGCGCCGCCTTCGGTAGGACCAGAATCCATGGCACCAAACGTCTGTGAGAAGGATTGAGGCAGGTCGAGCGATGGGGGAGGAGCTTGTCGACGAGTTGAACGCTGATCTGCGGTGGCGTTCAGGTGCTCGAAGAATGAAGTTCGGGAGGCAGTATCCTGTGTCACGTCCCGCGAGAGTCTCGAAGCCTTGGAGCTACCAGAGTGCTTCGAACCGTTGCGCTTTTCCTGTTCGGCGTCGACCTTGGCCTTCTCCATTTCGACCACTAGAATATAATCCCATAGAATGGTTGCGATCACCGGGACCATGTCTGCTTCCACTACACGAGTACGGACATTTTCAGACCCTCGAACGCCTATGTTGACAATGCATTGAAAGGCAAGATTCCACTTCCACATATGCATCTCATCCTTGCTTCTGCCTTCTTTCAATATGCACACCAGGCGTTCAATGCCACCGTCGACGGTGAGTATGTCTCGTATGCGGGCGGAGGAAGTGGTCAAATAAGCTAGATGATTCAGAGAGTTGATGAGAGGCAGTGTCGAGGTGCAGTCTAAAGCCCGGCGGTCATAAAGGGTAGTGGTGATATGGACCGAGGCCTTGTTGACATTGGGAATGCTGAAGTTGACCTCTCTCATATTGCCTGTATGAAGCAGTCCTGGGCTTGATGGTGCAGTTGTTCGAGCAGTCCAGCTTGGTGCGTCTCGTCTTGAAACTACTCGTTGCGAGAGCCCGGTCGCTGTGCCGATTTTCGACGATTTCGATACGGCCCTGTTGTAGCTCGAGATAGATGTGCTGATGATTTTGACGGACTGATTTTGTCCCTGCTTGCTAGAGTATATAATATGCGGAGGTCAAGCGGCCATGAAGTAACTGCGTCGAATATTGTAGAAGTAAATTCCGCAAGGACAGGAGTAGCCAAGAGTGATCCAGGAGGAGGTAAGTGCACCTCCTGACCGAGCGCTGTCAAACGGACAGTGAGGGGGGTCAAGGATAGGTATGTACGATGCCCGCAGGACTCGATGAATCGTTGGACTTGATGAGAAGAACAAGGGACAGGAACGCTTTGTAAGGAGTGGTGGCGGTTCGAATCGAGCACGCGCTACAGCTTAGGCTGCGGAGATGGCTGGCGGAGTTGAGAGGCGATGGATCGGGGACTCGAAAGCTGCGGCAGAAGCGATGACTCGACAAACTGGCGACAACAAAAAAGCAGGCCGTGCGAGAAGAATGCAGATACCGGTCGATTGAAGAAGGACAGTCGATGGAAGAGGTGGGTTGCCGGTGTTGAATAATGAAGTGGAGAGAAGATGATGGTACCATGGGAAAAGAGTGAGGAGGTGTGGTGTTTGGCACTGGTGGTGGAAGTTTTAGTATGTTAGCAGCCGTATGGTGTTTTGGCTTGTCTCAAGATTGGGTTGGTAATGCGTGGTATTTGGTGCAGCGGCGGCGCGGGCCTAAGGGGCCTAAGAGTGCGCTTTCGGGGGGTTCGTGGGCGCTCAAGACCACTTAAGGCACCTACTTACAAGGTACATAAGATACCTTATCTACCTCCCTACCTGGTACCTTACCAGAGTATCTGCACAGTAATCCGAACAAAATCTAAAATACGGAGTTTGTTCATGGCAGTTGGCTAATGTTGTGTAAGAATCCTTTCCCCTACATCTCAACCCGACGCGCAGGTTAAGTTCAGAAACCCTCCGTACCTACCTACATTGTTAGGTATGTACAGTTGGGGTGTCCACTGCCCGAGTCTAGGTACCTACCTTAGGTATGACTGACGACCCAGCCCTCCTGAAAGACCTGTAATCCTATCCAGCCAAGGCCCGAAGCCTCGAGTATGCGGCTCGCAATTGGATGACATATCCCTAATCGCCTGCCTGTGGCCGGCCATCTGTCCCTGGCTGCTGAGAGTCAGAGGGGCTCAGCAGTCTGAACGCTCTGGACCCGATCTACATACTCCGTACATACCAGTCTCGACCGTCACCGTCTCGCCGTCTCGCCACTTGAGAGTGACCGCTACGACAAGACAGTGTGTTGGACACCGGCGAACGGATTTTGCATTGAATGCACTTATCTCTTTCACCTTCTATTTAGATGTTCAAAGACTGACCTGGTGGTGAAATTAATTAGTAATTAATCACCTCGGTATGGAGGGTTAGCAAGGTGCTCCGAGAGTCTCTAAACCCCCTGCATACCTGTTACCTATCCAATTATTGAGTGCGGCCACAGCCTAGACTTTGTACTCCGTACTGCGTACGGAGTAAATTCGACAGACAGTCCTTGACGAGCGATTTTGTGTAGGCTCTATGGTGTGTGACTAATATCACGAGATTCACTTTCTAAAGTTGTCAGAGGTCCTCAGCGTACTCTCATGAGCAACGACGAGAGATACCATCTCCTGGTTCTTAGACTACCCTATCGATATACCCCTGCTCAAGCCTAATCTGCTTGAACATCGGCCATTATTCCCGTGCCTTTCGGGCCGTACTGAGAAGGCGGTTATTGAACCAACGGATAGCACTTGACAGGTATTATTTATGATGTTGCGATTTCTGCACGATATCACAAAAATACTTGAGAGAATCTATTTCTGGAATCCGCTTTCCGCGTTGCTGAATCCTTGAATCCCTGTCGGCATGCGTTAGATGGCATTGTTCCAGGTGCTACTCCGATCGCACCCAGTCATAGTAGTAGTTATTCAATGCCGGCATTATGGCCTGCATACTTCATACTCAATCACGTACCGAGCCTGCGGATGGTGGTCAACCCGAGAGAAAGCCCGCATACTGTACGGAGTACTGTAGACTGCCACGTCTTGAAGCAGAGTGCAAACTGCACACCCATCGTACAACCAATTCGAAGGGAGAGGGGATTGCTGAAGAGTTGAAATAGTAATAATTGATCATGTTATCCGTACATCGAAATTGTCTCCACCTTTGTTGTTCCCCTAAACTAGCTTTCCCTTACTTCCCAGTGCAAGAGCACCCCATCCAGCAATCAAACACAACCCTCCCAAGGGGGTTACCGGACCCAAGGCTTTGAAACGTTGAGGATCAAGGATCAGCAGATACAGACTACCACTGAACATCGTGATGCCGGCAGTGAATAATATGGCAGCAGCTTTGTTCTTTGGCGCCACAGAAGAAGCGAGCAGAAGGACGCCGCTGTGAACCAACTGTAAGAAAGGCAGACTGGTCAGACATCCCAATGCGCCACAGACTCATCGTAGGAAGGGAAACGCGGGATCGTGTCTGTTTACCTGATAGTGAGCTGCGGTCGACCAGTTTGCGAGTTTGGAAGGGTCAGCAATGTGTTTCTTCAATCCATGAGCTCCAAAAGCACCCAACGCCACGGAAGAGGCACCGTAAATGCAACCGATGGTCCAGAACATGCTGAGCAACGTGGTGATTAACTTCTCTGGATACGGAGTAGAAGAATTGACCGAGGGGGGTATTTGTATGATTGAAAGAGAGAGTGTGTCCTTTTTAAGCCTTTCTGGGTGCTCGGAGTGGTACGGGTATACTAGAGCTGGAAGCATGAGATTGTTTGTCTGGTTTGCTCTAGCTGTATCCGGCCTTGGCATGTTTGTCACCTGACAACTGCACATATCAGGTAGGTTAGGTAGTTAGTACTACTAGTACGGATCCTATAGTACTAATACCTCGGGTCGAGTTCCGAGTTCGCGAAATTCGAATGGGCTCGCGGGGAAGTAACTGATGAGTAACGTGCGTGAAATGCCTCATTAACTTACCAACCTCTTTCTAAGGATTCTGGGGTGGTTATAGCGGTAAGAGCGCATATTGTCATTATTTGGTGTCTTGTGGTCGAGGATGTTCTTTTGCAAGTCGCATGTCTGCGTGTTCACTCGAATCAGCCTAGAACAGTCGCAGCCTCAGTCCATACCCGCCTGGAAACGCCCGTGATTTGTCGACACGGTGTTGAAAGCGGGGGTATGACAGCGCTGAGCACTCCATCAGTCCGCCGGGATGGTGGGCGCCCCCGGGAAGCATGTCCATTCTCCCCCGAACCCACCCCAATTCTACAGAAGATTGGAACACCGAGAGCAGGGTCTTTAAACCCCCTGAAACCGAAGCGAGAGAAAAGAGATAATCATAATCATAATGAGATGAGCATGGGCTCCCACGTGTGCCGATCCAGGCCTAGCGGGCAGCCATTTGCAAGCTGGAAAAGGAATTCGACTATTCTCTATTATGTGTACTATTATGAAGTTAAGGACAACGTTAATTACTGCGAATGCTCGTCAAAGATCTGAGGCCTGCGGTGGGTGTCAGAATCGATAGTGGTTTGACAGAATACCTTACTTCGACAGCAAGACCGGGCATAAATGATCTGGAGCCCGTCTGCCCAGATATTTGAACTTTTTGGCAGAACACCAGAAAATGATTAGCAGTTGCCGGATAATGGGAGAGGACCGTTCGTAAGCGGCCATTAATTTTGACATCCACCTCAGGCCAAAGCAGTGTCCGGGCTTTTTGCGCCGTCGAAGGAAGTCAATGCCCCGTCAAGGTCCCTGTGGGAGAGTGGAATGATAGGTGGATGCATACGGGAGGATCGGGTCCATTACAGAGTTTTGCTCCACGGAGATCATATATCAAGTTGCGAGCTCAAATGCCAAAGGAAGAGAATGGCCATGGCTAGTAATAGTAGTCCCCAAGTTGAAGATTTCGCCAAAGGTTGGGAAATCTCTTTGACACCCCTTTTCTACCAGGTGGAATCATCGTGCCTTTGCGATTCTCACCCATGCCTCCACGACGGTGGATGCAGATGGGGGGCGTAACACTCGCTTCTCGCTAGCCATGATTAGACGCGACTGGGCAGTATCTCCTGGCGCTCCCTTGCCCACTATTCAGCCGTTTGGGGATGAAGCCGCCGGTGGACCACCAACTCGAGAATCCCTGGCAAGCCCAAGGGCTTAAGCTTAGGAGACCCCCCCCCCCCAACCCCCAACTGGCAACGGGCAGGAACCATCCCCCCCGGCATTTATCCAACTCTCTCTTCCGTGTCTATTTTGACACACTTGCCCATCAATTCTGGGAGACCGTCTGACTGGTCGAGGCTGATGGTGTTGACGCGCGACCTCGTCATCTCCTCCAACTGCTATGATTTGGCATTTGCTGTGCGACATCCTGAACAGTGAGCTCTAGCCTAGGGAAGGACCGTCGGGCTCGGTAATAATAAAGTGGTGCGGGTTCAAAGAGCACAGCTGCGATCTGCCTCCGCGACTTGCCGTTTGGCCATGGTTTGTGGTAGCGATAGACGTTGGAGTGATGAATTTGAATGGGGCACTGCAATGCAAGCAAGCGTATTATTAGAGTCGGTGATATACAGCAGAGAGTCTGGGATTCCCTCGGATTCTCTGTCACCAAGACCTGCGGCGCACTTTGCGACGTTGACACTTCGCTCGCCATCGGCTAGTAGCAGCTGGGAATAAAACAGAGTCTAAAAAGCTGCCGGGGCGATCTCCTTGCGGCTTCCGCACCCAAGCAGCCCCGCCTAGCCTCTGAACCCCAGCACTGGAGCTACCTAAAGGCTACCACTGGCATAGAATGACTAACCTGAGTTAACCAAACAGCAACCAACACGGTCCACCAGCCCAAGGTCCAACCGGCTAGCAGAAGCACCACTCTGGCTCTGGCCCAGGCTCCGACCAGGCCAGTCAGTTGTGCCCTCTAGGTGCCCTCTATCCGTACACTGTCTACACTTCTCAAGTGCCTTTCTTGATCCAACCTCACCCACAGCCACCATTCCATCTCTCCACGCCTCTCAACCCTGCCGTCTAGCGGTGATTCACTTCGCTTGCCTTTCCTCCGTCTCACTGAGGCTCAGCTTCTCCATTTCCCTCGTCCCTCGCTTCGCGCGCCTCGACATTGTCATTCGACATTGTGGAACCAGGCAATTTGGCCCATCCCTGATACCCGCTCGGGTTGAGCTCCTGCGCCTTGCCAGCACTGACGGCGTCGCACCCCTCACAATCAAAGCAACTCCTTCCCGAGCATATTTTTACTCGAACTACCTGACAGGGCTCTCATATTGCATACCTGCCTCTGAGTCAGTCCGAAGGGGACTGCAGTCGCCAAAATGTCGAACGATATGACGGGCGAGCAGATGCAGGCCAAGATCACGGCGGCGAGAAGAGAAGCAGAAGCACTCAAAGACAGAATCAAGCGGAAGAAGGATGAACTGGCCGACACGAGCTGTAAGTCCTTTACTTTCTCGCGCCGTCGAGGGATCAATCAGGCGCTTCCTTCCTGCGGATGGCTAACCTCCGACACCCTGAAGTACGTCAAGTTGCGCTCCAACACACCGAACCACTGCCGCGGATAGGAATGAAACCTCGAAGGAACCTGAAAGGCCATCTCGCCAAAATTTATGCCATGCATTGGTCAACAGATCGACGGCATCTGGTTTCTGCCTCACAGGATGGAAAGCTGATTATCTGGGATGCTTACACCACCAACAAGGTCCATGCTATTCCTCTTCGCTCATCGTGGGTTATGACCTGCGCCTACGCCCCTAGTGGTAATTATGTTGCATGTGGCGGTCTTGACAACATTTGCTCAATTTACAATCTTTCCACGAGGGAAGGGCCAACCCGTGTTGCTCGCGAACTCTCTGGACATTCTGGGTATTTGTCATGCTGTCGCTTCGTCAACGATCGAAAAATCATCACCTCCTCTGGCGATATGACGTGTATGTTATGGGATATTGAGACAGGATCCAAAGTCACCGAGTTTGCAGACCACCTGGGCGACGTCATGAGCATCAGCATAAATCCGACCAACGCCAATGTGTTTGTCTCTGGAGCCTGCGATGCTTTTGCGAAACTATGGGACGTGCGCACTGGAAAAGCAGTGCAAACATTCGCAGGCCACGAGTCTGATATCAATGCCATCCAATTCTTCCCAGACGGAAACGCCTTCGGCACTGGGTCTGACGATGCCTCCTGCAGACTATTTGATATCAGAGCAGATCGGGAGTTGATGGCTTATCAGGTGCGTGTGCACATCTCCAAGCAACGTTGTCTCGCCACTGACCTATTTCGCAGAATGAACAAGTACTCTGCGGCATCACTTCTGTTGCCTTTTCGGTTTCTGGCCGACTTCTTTTCGCGGGCTATGATGATTTTGAATGCAAGGTTCGTACCTCCTATAACTGACCAGTCACATGCAGGACTGACTCTGATCTAGGTTTGGGACACTCTCCGCGGTGACAAAGTGGGCTCCCTTAGTGGCCATGAGAACCGAGTCAGCTGTCTTGGTGTTAGCAATGATGGCATCAGTTTATGTACCGGATCATGGGACTCTCTAGTAAGTCACTTCATTCTGTCAATCGCTAAATACATATTGCGAGTATACTAACAACTTCCAGCTCAAAATCTGGGCATGGTAAAACTAGGGCTTTTGGGCAGGTTATATTGCTTCACTGGCGGCAGACGGCCTCACTACTTCGACAGTCAGCGGAAATCAGCGAGTAAACAGCACCATCGGCGTCAACGCCGCCTTTTCCCAATTCACTGTCCTCTTATCAACCTGCTTCAACGACTTCTCGAGCCCTTACCGCCGCAGGATTGGACCAGTGAAAGAAAGGAAAGAAACTGATTCCTGAATCTTATCTGCACCTCGAAATTTATTACTGGACGGACACCTCTGACTGGGTTTCCTGGGACGGATAAAGCTATTGTGGGCCCTCGATTTTGTTCTCTTTCTGTCAATGAGGCGCTCGCTGCCTGCAAGTGCTTGCAGGCAAAGCACCTATTTTAACCTCAACGACTATGATGACCGGACCTGGTGTGAATGGAGTTCGATTCAAGTGCCACAAGAAGCCTGCTGTGGCCCTGAGTGTTGACTGTCTCCATGAGACCTTCGTCCTCACCTTATTTTTTTGAGTACTCGCCCGGAAAAAAATTGCCCGCTTTCTTCCTTCACATAGCGTGTCTACAGCAGCGCGAAATCTTAGACAAAACCAAAACATCTTATCGAACGATCGCTTTTCTCGTTCTGCTTCTTTCCTTGGTCTATCATTCTCTATTTCGTGTCAGTTTCGGTGCAGCGCTCCGTGAACGACAAGGCCGGCAGAAATGTCAAGATAGTACCTTGACAAGGGTGGAAGTCTGGATGTGATCTCTCTGGATTTGATTGAACGAAGAAAAGAGGAACTGGTTCCAAAGGTGCCACACTTATTGGATTTCCAGTCACAGGCATCGGGACAGACGATTGAGGCCGAGTCAGTCTACTCTGTTGCTTCATTTGCTGCTTCGCACACCTTCTGTCGACAAGCCGGGCCGATCTCCAGGATGTCGTGTCTTGATTCGGAGTGTGTCGATCCCCGGGTAGTGGCTCAATACAAGCAATTTGGGAGGACAGAGAGAGATACTACCATCCTTGAGACGGAGGCTTACAGTGACAAACCTGCTCGAATTGGGTTTGCAGAAAGCCTGGTAGGGCATCCATGAGGCTTGAAGCTCGCCACGCTGGACAACGGAAGACAACGGAAGACGGATAGTTTGGGACTGTTAATTTGTCTGTATATGTTGTCTGTACCCCTGCTTAGGCTCCGCCTTGCATTGTTTGCGCCTCAATCCCGAGCCAGAGAGAGACGCCTGTAGAAACATGGGAATACAAACATGCCAAAGAATCACCTACAATGCGCTGACCATGCCGTAGCAGCGTGTGGTTGGCTTCTTGCTGCAACCAGAGCGGGACACATGCCACCCAGTCAATCCCCAGCAGAGATCCCCAAAACCCAATTGTAACAACAACAGCGCATGTTGGCCTCTCCAGGACCTTAACAAGCACATCCGTCCCGCTCCTGATCAAGATTGATGTTGATCGGGTCTGAGAAGTCGCCGCCGTACTCCTCACTCTCTTCCTGTGCCAATGCATTCCTTGCAATCACCTCGAACGCCTGCTCAACATTGATGCTCTCCTTGGCGCTAGTCTCGAAGTAAGGCATCTGGCCACGCTGCTGGCAGTAGGCGAGGGCCCTTTTCTGCGATATCATTCTCCGCTCCTCGCCTAAGTCGATCTTGTTCCCTAACACTACGAAGGGGAAGCTCTCCGGGTCGCGGGGACTGGCTTGGATGAGGAACTCGTCGCGCCACGAGTCGAGCGTCTCAAATGACTTCGCCGAGTTGACGTCGTACACCAGCACGCAGCAGTCGGCGCCCCGGTAGAAAGCCACTCCAAGGGACTGGAAACGCTCTTGGCCTGCTGTGTCCCAGAGCTGAAGTGTGACGATTCTATCATCGACCGTGACTTCTTTGGTAAGGAAATCGGCGCCGATGGTGGCTTTGTAGGAGGTGGAGAACTTCTTGTTCACCTAGAGTACGATTGGGTTAATTATGTGTTCATCGGCACAGAGGAGGCCAGCACACTCACATATTGATTCATCAAACTCGTCTTGCCCACGCCGCTGTCACCGAGGATAATAACCTGCGCAGCCAATATGGTCAGGATGTTTCTCGCTGCAAAGGAGCTGAAATGCACCGTTATACCTTCAACAACACCTTCTTCCGCGGCGACATGACTGCTACGTCTATTCTCTGACCGCACGAGTCCTTTCCGGAGGGCAAGATGCCTTGCCTTGTCTCTGCCACCGATTGGCTGCTCGCGGTTTGGAGCTCGACCTGACTGTGTCTTCGAAGTGGTTAGGCGTGATGAGTAGGTAGTCGAAAGAGACGGAACTGGGAATCTTGCGCGGTGTTTGCGCTGCGATGATGGCTTGGTTGCAGATGAGGAGGAGGGATGATGGCGTTGAGTAAACCAAAGGGTTAGGAGCTGGTAAGTCGACTTGTACAGGAATGTCTGGATCATGCGTTCCTTAGATCGTCATGTATTCCGCGTACTACGTACTAGCAGTAGCAGCTGGGTGACTAGCCGCTGGGCAAGGAAACACCAGCCACTGGTGCTGCACCGCAGCCTCCAAAGCAACCAGTGAAGCGAGAGGTAGCCCCTCGCTACTCATTTAGTGCATGTCGGTGCTAGTGCTTGACGGCTGCTTATCAGAACTAACGCCCGCTTGGATCATATCCGGCAGGTCAGCCGATGCCACCCTCTTCATCTAACCTCGAGTCCAGGAATGTCTTGGAGTATTTAAGAAACTACCTAGTATATTAAAACACCTCTTCTTCCTGCCCCTCGCTCTGGCCTGTTGCTTGCTGGGTCTTGGTGTCATTCTTACTTCTCGTTGATTATACGGTATGCCGATATAATGTATGCTCTGTGAAAGCATGGCAACCTGGACAGAACAGTATTTGGCAGCCTTGCGAGCCAGAGACCATGTGGAAAAGGCAAACCTTGATCTCTATAATTATTGTAAGTCCATAGGAAAAAGGTCACGAAACTTCTCATGCCAACATAGGCTTTGTTTTAGGCACCAAGCTTGCAGATCAAAGGGCCGAATTGCAGAAGAAGGCCGCTCTAGACGGCCAGGGCGAAGATGCAGAGCCTCCAACGTCCCCCCAGCCGTCCATTATAGGCATGGGCTTGAGGAGAGTCACATCTCCTGCTCTCCGTCCGGACTCGCCAACTGTGGTACAGATGCGGCTGGATTTGACCAAAGCACAACAAGAACGTGCTGATCTCCAAGCCCGTCACGACGCGGCGTCACGCGAACTGGAGGCTTTCAAAGCTAAGGCAAGGTCGGACAGCAAGAGGATCGCCCAACTAAACTCGAGTCTGTCGCAATTAACCATCAAGTTAAGAGATCGTGATGAAGAGCTGAGGGGCAAAGCCAAGTTGATTGAAAATGTTCAAGACGAGAATGTCACCTTGAACCTGCAACTGAACATGGCCGAGGAGCACTCTGAGAAGTTGAAAATCGAGAACAGAGAACTGGTCGACAGATGGATGGCAAGAATGGGAAAGGAGGCTGACAAGATGAATGAAGATAATAAGTTTGGCTGATCTCCAAGTCTCGCTTGTGAGATCTTGCTGTCAAAAGCTTCCAGTCCCAGGGATCCGCTTCACGAACACGTCAGGAAATGAGAACATTGCTGTTCTATTTGTCTGAAGTTGTGAACCAGCAGTCTGACCGACGTGTACCGCCGAACATGCTCAAGTCACGGCATGCGAATCTGGAACCCTGTTCCCCGGCCAAGACTATCGACCAGTCCACTTGTACGACCGAGCCTTGCATATGAGCATTTATGATCTCGGATTTTACCAGAAACCGCGAGATACCAACTCACCGTAGAGTCTAGGTATGCAGCCCCATTATTCGAACATCGGCTCTTTGGAGACGACTATGGGAGACTGCTAGGTCGAAATCTTGACGAACAGCAAGTGGTTGTGGCCACTGTGGAGATACAGATCACTCAAAGCCTTTGCACTCGAGGCCGTCGGGTGCTTCAAACGTCACATTTCAGGCCAGTCCACGCATTATCCAATCTCTATGGCAGCACCAGGCCGTTTTGGGCAATCAAACATGGGCAAATTACTTGGAGGAGTAATTCTCCGTGCAATTCTCGCTGGAGAACCAATGCTATGCGGTGTCATTCAATCATACCTCTCGTCCGATCACCGGCGCAGTTGTCTCGCTAGGCGTCAAGATCCCAAGTGTCAGCGGAAGGGCGGACTAGAACATTATCTGGGGTCTCCCATATTTCTGACAAAGGCCTCTAACTCCGTTGAGTCCTTGCGCTGGTGATACCACTTTCCGGGGTCATCCGTCCAGCTGACCATTCCACTCCAGCGGTCTTTCTCGACCACTGAGAGCACGTTGACGGGATCATTGACATTGGAGTCCTTGATCTTGTGCGTCGGGCTGCGAAAGGGTTTCAGGCTGACAATGTGCGCCCCTTCTTTCACGTCCAAAAACACATACTTCAGCTTGTCATTCAGCTCTGCTGTGAAGGCCTGGTTGTTAACGAGAATCACGTCTGCTCGCTTCAGAACTTGCCGAACTTCTTCGTCCTTCAGAAAGTCTCCGTGCATCAAGTGGATCTCACCAGCTTTTATGCCCCAAAGGTGACAACGAGCAGGAAACTCTTTTGCCTGAAGCTGTGCCAGCGCATTCGGGTTGTCCATGACCTCGCAACCCCAAGACTCACACCCCGTCTCTAAGGCTGCTTGGAGGACGCAGTTGCCAACACCAGATCCGAGATCAATGAAGACATGGTCCGACTTGAGGTTTGTCTCCTTGAAGATACGGCTCAGGAATTTTGGCAGGAGTTCGCCATAGACATTGTCCGAAAAGCTTTCGTAGTGTCTGACCAGGTTAACCTGCGGTGATACGGTGCGAGCGTAGACCTGGTTCTTGATTATGTGCTCGACCAGCTTCAGATCGACGCGGTTCATCTGATCGAGTTTCTTCGCGATCGTACCGTCCTTGCGCTTTTCCACCAACAGCACATTGTATCGCTCAACCACATCGATGTACCTAGATTGGGCCCCAACCCGTCCTTTAAGTCCGAGCATGGCCTGTCGATGTAGCATCTGCACAAGCCCCGAGCCGTCCTCTTCGCAAGTGATCCTGCTGGCCGAGTCCCTGTCGAGATAGTATTCAGCCACGATTTTCATGTTGGCCTCTATTTCATCAAGAGGCTTGAAATCGGACGAATCTGTCGGCTTCACCAGCTGATATTTCTCGCGTTGTACCGCACTTGGGTATTGGAGCTCGATCGTCGGACACTCGTCCTCGTCCCCTTCCAGAGCCGTAAAGAAAGGTTGATATTTGTCTCTGCCTTGTTCTATGATCGTGCTGTTTGCGATGTCCACCGCATGCACCATTGGCAAAGCCTCGCCGTCATCTTCGGAAAATGCCTTGGGGTCCCTAACCTGGCGTTTCTCGTCTATGCTCCCTTTGCGATCAACTCTTACCCGCTTCCTAGGCTGGGCTTCGTCTTCCTCATCTTCCTCATCTGAACTGGTCAGCCTTGGCGTTGAAACGGCCGGAGATGCTCGTTTCGTGCGATTATGATGCTCTTGCTTCACCCGTTCAAGCGGTTCTCGACTCGCTTGTCGCGAGGGAATGGAAGATGGCGTGGCTGATTTGCGAGGTGTTTGCGAACTCCGCGCTCTAACGTTGGCAAGTGGCTTCTGAGAAGGTGGTAGCGGCGGTCTCGTGGCCGACTTTGATGTTGCATTAACAGCGACAACCTTCGTAGTGATTTTGAGAGGAGCCTTCTTCGCTTTCAAGGCAGCAAATGACAAGGGTTGGCTTTGCGGCGACAAGGATCCCATTTCGTGGTGGCAGGGGTCTGGAAGGGGTTGATCGCAGCAAAGGTCAAGGGTAGATGTGCTTTAGATGGCGCAGACATAAAGAGATCGGAAACAATTGACTGGAAAATGCGAGGTGGACACAAGTATTGAGCGAGAGAAGATTACACGAGCCCAAGAGATGAAGAAGTTAAAATGAAGAAGTTAAGATGGACTGAAAAGGTGACGGGGCCTAATCCTAAGCCGGAGCAGTGTGGAGAGGTAAAGAGCCGCCTGAGCCCATTCCCGACGGCAAGGCACCTGCAAGGGACAACCTTAATCTACGTCATCGTGGGCATATCACTCGATCGCTCATGGTAGTGTGGTAGTATTGTCAGTATTATGTACAATATAGGTTACTCGGCCACCACAGCCTGTGTAGTATGTACGCCGTGTGGAAGCCGCTACGGCTACAAATCTGGAGACGAGCTGTTGCGCCGCTTAGAACCGCGGGACCTGTTGTCCTTTCGATCGTTCCACGACGTCTTCTGGCCTCCTCCACGCCCGCGAAATCCCCTGCCTCCCTTATTGGCGTTGTGCCCTCTCGGAAAGTCTCGATGATCGAAGTCCTTTTGGGCTGAAGTCTCTGGATGCTCTTCTACCCAACCTTCCAGCACCGATGAGAGTTTAGGACCCCACACATTTTCTCCTGCCTCCAGATCCTCATAGGTCAGTGTTGGAATGAAGCCCTCCGGAGCTGGCTGGACAGTGGTATAACTCCCTTGTTGACTGCGAACCAGAGCAGCCATCGACCCATATGAGCTGCAAGCAATTCCGAGGTCGTATGCAAAAGACCGGACGTAAAATCCGCTGCTGACAGTCAGGCGAATGCGCGCGGCCGGAGCATGGGCGGGGAACGGCTCTTGCTTAGCAGTGTGAATGTGCATAGCAGCTTTCTTCTCGTATGGGATCTCGTTGATATTGGTCTCTTTTGTTTGTGCGGTTGAGGATACTTCGGGTATGTCTGCTTTTACCTCGAGAGTGGTTGTCAGCTTGGCTGCTTCAACGCCTGCCATAAGTCTTGTAGCGATAGCCTTTTCCTCTTCAGGAGCCTGCTCGGCCGGCCAGCGAAAATCGTGCTCCCCTGGTGCATAAAACTCGAGAAGGGAACATTCGGAGACTTCGACATCACGGGTTTCGAGTTCTCGAGGGAGCTCCTTGCCGCCCCTTGCATATTCATATGCCTTCATGCCATTAATTTTGATTGCGCTAAACAGTGGCGGCATCTGCTTCTGTTTCCCACGGAGCTTCTCGATCTTTTCCTCCACCAGACCTTTTGTGATATGCTCCATGGGGCCCTCTGCAACAACTTTTCCTGTCACATCATACGTATCTGTACTTTTTCCAAACAAAACGACGGTCTCGTAGGTCTTCTTGCTACCCAGGAAATCTTGGAGGTACTTCGTGCCTCTGCCAATTCCAACAATCAAAATACCTGTCGCCATAGGATCTAGGGTGCCTCCGTGACCCATCTTGAAAATCTGGTCATTCCCGCGCTTTCGTCGCTTGGGCTGATGTCGCTCCTGCTCTTCCAAGACATTTTTGGTTCGCTGAAGTAATGGCGCAAAGGTGTTTGACTCGGCAAAATTACGTTGAAGATCTCGAAGGACTTGAGCGGAGGACAGGTTTGGGGGCTTGTTGACCGCTAAATCATATTTGGGACACGTCAGGGTCTGAGTTAGGATATATGCAAGGTCTCGGGAGAGGAATTGGCCTCACCAAAGACACCCTCTAGGACTTTCCCAGATGGCTGAGCCATCTTGAGTAAATGGCGCACTTTCATCCAATACGGGAAACAGTGTGGGAGCTGAAACAGTGCAAGCCCATCGAGGTTGAACTGGACACTGCGACATGACATACATTGTGCGCCGCAATCATAAACGATGATGACTCGACAAAACGAGACCACGTGACAGGTGCCGACTCATGGAAGATGCACGTGGTCAGCCTTTGTCGGAGCCAATAAGGCCAAAGAGTAGGAGTAGTAAAGCTTCGACGCCCAGCAACCTGGCGCGTTGCGGCCCAGGCACTGCACGTAGTGGGCTTTTCGGCCTCCCCCAGCCTTTACTCCTCTTTCCCAATAATGACTGTCTCTTCATCGAGCAATCTGCAGCCTACTCCTACTGCCCTGAAGCATTGTACCATCCCACCAACCGCTGTATCAGGAAACAGTGCCTGACAATCTCAATCTGATGGCCAGCCCGAGATGAACGCTGCCCTGTGGATTACGAATGATCTAGCGCGACTCGAGGTGGAAATCACAGCATGAACCAAAGACTATTCGCACCTGGATATGTCCACCTACCCTGAAGAACGTGTGCTCAAGCCTCTTGATCCTGTTCCCGATGATGTGAATGAATGGCCCGATTTTGCACTGCGGGAAGCCAAGATCTTCCATCAGGGAAAAGGCAGATATGCGGACCTGTTGCAGGCCTCCGAAGAGACACCATTGTGTGTCCTGGGCGAATTGATGCCGTTGGACGATGATCAGGAATACCTTGGTATGCTTGCAATGCAGACCATTTCTGGAGCTTCACTGACAGCTGGGCAAAGCATTAATTGACGACCCTCTCTATGTACGAATAAAGATTGAAAATGTTACAAATTACAGTTTTGGCCAAGATGATAATGGAAAACCGGTGATATGGGCTGCAGGAAAGGCCGGATGGTACGAAATTTCGCCCTCGGATCGCTACCTGAGCTATTACAATGATACAGTGGAGGCAATCGACTTGTTCTATTTTATGGTCGACAAGCAGCAGAAGCTGCCACGGAAACGACAGAAGTTTGGGTTCATGATAGATCCCTTCCTGACGGAATATCAAAAGCACACAGGTTATAGAATTGATGATGATGACGAGGCGATGGAAACGATCCACAAGCACCACAGATTCCTGCTCAGACAGATGATTGAGGAACGAGAAGGAATCGACTGGTCGCAGACATATCTCTGGAAGCACTTAGGTGAGACATACGCCGATGAGGTGGAACAACTCAGGGCGAGGCTGGCTCGAGCAAATCAGTCCAATGGGATGGATGAAGCAGATTCCACGGAAGAAGAGCAGGAAGAGTCAGAAAAGGAAGAGCAGGAAGCCGAGAACGCTTCCAGTGAATCTGACAAGGAATCCCAAGCCCCTTCAGATGCTGCCTCAAGCCTCGAGTCTGAATCGAAACCGGAGGCTATTGATTGGACGAGAACGATTTGGGACCTGCTGAATGTCCTGCGTAAATCAGCAAACTTCAACATGCGCCATTGTGGCATCGAGGAGGCAGCAACTGAACTGCACAAGGTACCCTCTTTCGAGGGAACCCACGAGGATGCTGTCGCCGCGTTCGAGCGGTCCGCAGAATCGCTACTCAAACTGATGAATGAAGCTAAGCTCCGGAAGAAGTTCAATTGGTCTACCCGGAGAATATACGACGAGTTAGAAGCCACACTCGCAGAGGAAGTGGCTGAAGAAGTTCTGAAAACACCTGGCAAGCCCGGCAAACAGCGACACCGCATGAAATCCGTTCTTCGCCCGAGCGGTGCCAGCAAGGCCCACAAACGCGCGAGAGGTGCGGGAGACTCACTCGACGAGGACGAGGAAATGAGCGATCTCCCTATAACATCTCTAGTGGCCCGACAGCAAGGTCCTCCTCGTCCTGGTCGATTGATCGAAGCGGAAGCTGAGTCGGTGGAGAGTCGCGAAGACAGTCCGAGTCGACAGCTCAACGGCCATCTCGATCCCGACCCTGACGCATTGCCCGAACTGCCTCCAGGTCCAGAAGCGCAGGAGATGCTTGATCTGGTGGCCCAGGAGGCGAAACGAGTCGGGAGACAACACCAAACATCACACCTGCAGGCTTTCCTGGGCCAGTGGGTGATTTGATCACGTCATGGTCGTGGAATTTTTGACGACGGCGTACTGTGTGCTGGGCCCCTGATTTTATGTGTGTGAGATTGTGATACCCCTGGTGCTTTGATATAAGGTATTCGGCTTCTAGTGGCGTCGATGGGTATTTTCTCAGTAATGACGCTCACTGGACGCTCGCAGTGAGCCTTTTGTCTCGATCACCTAGCTGCCGCTCTCTTGCTCTTTCCCGGCCTCTTCGCTTTTGCTTTGCCCTTCATCTTCGCCGCCGAGAACCCGCGGATATCTGCACTGCTGACCGCGTCACCACTCTTCGAGAATCGTTTCTTTCCTCCAAACCCATATTTTTGGTCCCGTTTCTGTCTCTTGACATTAAGCCCTTCGCCTCGTTCCCGACCAGACTTATCTTTGGAAGGACCGTCTTCGACGTCAATACTCTGGAACAGGTTCTCATCATCCTCTTTAACTTTGCCAGTGTCTTGGCCTTTGCGTTCTATGGGCATAAAGTGTTAGCATCGACATAATGGCAGCGCATACTGTCCAAAGACAGTCGGTAGAAATGGGGGAGGCACATACTCCTCTTCAGCTCCTTGATCTTATCCAATGTATTCCTCTTTTCCTTTGCTCTTTCCTGCTCCTTAGCAACCTGCACGGCCTTGCCAAACTTCTTTGCATCTCGCAGTTTCCTGGCCTCCTCTGCTGCCTTCTTCCCCGCTGCATCGTCGTACATCTTTCTTTTGACCTTGCCCATATGCTCGTCGCTTTTGACCATCTCGGCAAAGTAGTCATGTGGCCTGGTGAAGGGGATTTTTTCTTTTTTCAGCAGTGTTCGTCCTTCCACCGCGGCCTCGCGAGCGATGCGGTAAAATTCCAGCTCTCTCGTCAAATCATCGTTCGGGTCTGGAATAGATTCCGAGACTGGTGGCAGGGAGGAAATAAGAGAGTTGTGATAGTGGAACGGTGTCTTGGAGGATTTAACCAGAGCAATTCGATTGCGGGAGGCGATGAGCGCAGGGCCATTGTTGATGGTCAGTCTCTGATGCGGGATCGTATCTTCGAGGTCCTCATCCTCAAGGTCGGAGAGCGGCACATCCGAGTCACCCTCCCCTTCCGAAGCAGATGCATCAGCAGGCTGAGGAGGTTGTGGTATTGTGCCATTGGTGTTAGTATTCTGGCTATTTGCCGAATAGTTCTCCTTGTTCTCATCACCTCCGTCAGAAAAGCTGGCAAAGTCGTTTCCAGTATTAGGGTTTTGCGTTTCTTTACTCGTAGAGGGAGCCACTTTGCCGGCTTCTTCAGGCTCGTCGCTTGCCTCGCCGCCTGCCTTTACGGACTTCTGTCGCTTCCGCTTCTCAGCTGCTTTTGCCTGGGCCTTCCTCTTCTCAGCCTCATAGTCTCGCCCCTTGTGAGCATCAAGTGCCGCAAGTAACTTGCTTTTCTTGGCCATGATGAATGTATGGGAATGGACAAGAGTAGTGTATGAATAATTGACCAGAGATCAACTCTCCAGGAAAAGGCAAAACTGCACCTGCACAATGGGGGGTTTGCTGCGAAAAATTTAGGCGCGCTCCACAGGCTTAAGCGCTTATTGCGGCAAAAGGTCGTGGCAGGCTATTATGGTGTGTACCAAAACGGAGCCTCTCCCGTGCCATCTAGGAACTGTCCAGGCGTACTCCGTACTCCGTAGTCTGCCACATGTTGTCCTTACTCTGTACGCTGCCACTCTCGACGACTTCAGTCTAGCGATTCGCTTGGAGAGCTAGGGGTTTGGAACTGCCTCGACATGTGTCTCGCATAAGTTCCTCCCTTGGTCTCTCAGATTGAGACGTGTCATCCCGGGTCTTGTAGCCGCCGTGACATCCTGCGCAGAACGCAGCAGACCAAAGGAGATGGTAGGTACCTGAACACGAACACCGCTCTACATGGCTGTGAGTGGTATACAACACCACCTGAACTCCGCGGCCGGCATGATTGTATATGATCTCTAACGGCACGTGTTTTCAGTCCACCCCCTCAGAGCCACCGACACATCCCTCAAGCGAGCCTCCTCTGTCTCGCGCCACGACTGCGACCGCTGCGGCGTCCGATGTTGCTGGGCCGAACGATGCCGCCACGAAACTAGCTGAAGCCATTGACGATTTCCTGGGCGATCTGGAGAAGAAGTTCAAGGGGATCAGTGACGAGATCTTGACAAAGCGTGAGCTAACTTCCGAGCCTCGTGACTTGCTCGTGGATCTCAGGGCAGAGTCCTTTAGCTGACGCGGCATGAACATGGACCTAGTCGACGATATGGCCGAGAGATGCGACCGACTGGAGCAAGAAATGCTTCTTAGAGATGCTAGCGCGATGGAGACGGTTGGAAAGATGCACACAGGGTCAACTACTGGCTCGACATGAGCAACTCGGCTATTTGGACATTCTCCATTTGCTCCGCCATCGAGAAAACGGCTCTAATGTGCCAGGTGGATGGGCCAAGTCCATTGTTCAGATCCTACTTCGCTCCCAGCCTGTAGGATAAGAGTACGCTATACGAGTCCTGATACAGGAATACAACGGCATCCAGGCTGGTGCCACAAACAAAAAAACTGAGACGGTAATGAAGTCTCGACGTGGTTGGAAGTAGATTCTGCTATTCCTTTTTCGAATCTTTTGGTGGTTTAGAAAACCGCCAGTAAATATCATTCCCAAACTCCGCCCTTTCCTGTTTCCACCATGGCTTACAATTCACTCTTGGAGTCATCCTGGACCAAGAACTTAGCAAGGACATTGCTGCGCCTCTGAAAGTCATCGATCTTCTCCGGGGCCAGCCCTCCCTTTTTCAATAGACCAGCCAGTCTGGTCTGTTCCTTCCTCGCATAGTCAGGGTTCTCGCCCAATTTGGAAAGAGCTCGCAGATAGTAGTCCACTGATTTGTCTTTCACACCTTTGACGGCCTTCTTGATTTCCACAGTCGCTTTCTCGACGTCCTTGATACCACCAGCGGTGATGTATTTGGCCAGGAGAGTGTCAACGGCTTCGACGGTCCCGGCTTTGGAGCTGAGTCCACCACCGGGGAGTCGATAGGTCCCAGCCTTAGTGTTAACGAAATCGACAAGAGCCTCTTCGCTGCGTGGGCCGCTATACTGTTCAGGCTCCGTGGAGCCCTTGGGAAAGAACTTAATGGTAGGATAGCCAGTAACTTCTTGTGCTCGGGCAGTGGCCTTGGAGTTCTCGGCTTCGGCATCAACCTTGGCGATGAGGACGTTGGACTCGGAGGCAAAGTCATCTGCAAGCTTTTCCCAGATTGGGGCGAGCGATTTGCAGTCTGTAAAAGGAAGGTTAGGAAACTGTCTGGCACTTAGAATTCCGGGGCCACTTACGTCCGCACCAAGGAGCGGTAAAGGCAACCAGCACGTCTTTGTCTCCGCCAACCTCCTCCTTGAACGTGGTATCGGTCAATATCTCGACGTGGCTCGGAGCCTTCTTGGGACCCTTGACCTTGACACCAGTTTTGTCGATAATGAACTTGGTCAGACTCTCAAGATCGCGGCCCCCATTGTAATCTTCTGGCTCGCTTCCTGGCTTGCCGTCAAACCATTTCAGCGTAGGAAATCCCTGGACCCCGAATCTCTTCCCCAGTTCTTTATGTTTATCGGCGTCGACATTTGCAACGGTAACCTTGTTGCCACTCGCGGCGAACGCTGAGGCCAGCTCTTCATAGGTGGGAGCAAGGTTCTTGCAGTGGCCGCACCATGGTGCGAAGAATTCGACTAGGGCAGGTTTATTGGACTCGAAGACGACCTTGTCGAAATTCGAAGGGATCAGGTTCACGACGTCTGAGGCGGCTGCCACGAGGGGCAGTGCAAGGGCTGCGACCGAGAGGAAAGACCTGAGTTGCACCATGGCGCCGCTTCAGGTGGAATCTGAGTATGAGAGGCAAATAACTAGACACAGCTAGCGACGATCCAACGTGGGTATAGGCCGGGCAGTGGAAGAGCAGGAAAGAAATGCGCAGTAACGTCGACTTTCATGTGGCGCGGTCATACTATTTATTTATGTCTTTAGGCGGGTCAGGGTCGAAGGGTCCTCCGGGCGGGTGCGTCAGGATTTCCAAGCAAGCGGAAAGGACACATCGGCCTGTTCTCCCCTGACTTCACATCAGCCTTGTCCACTACACGGCGCCCGGCGGGCCCAACTCCGAAAATCATGATTACTTAGACCAGAGGGCTTAAGCGGACGACGGACTACCGTGAACAAGTCTGCCTCAGCAATGCATTCTGTATCAACATAGAATTTACTTAAGAGGGCCTGAGGTACTCGGTGTAGAACCAGTACAACAGGAATGCGACCAAGTATGGCCCAAAATGACTTCCGACCGCTCCTCAAAGCGCAGTGTTGGTTGCTCGTCATTCGTGAACCAGGAGGTATGTCAAGGTTGCTTGCCGTGAATGTCGTTGCGCCTAGGACTGGTTTCCTGGACCACCAGCTACTTCCCATATAGCTGATGATAAGCATTATGAGCATCAACTAGCACTGATGAAAAGAGTCAGCCGCGAACCCAAAGCCGTCCAATGTCCACTTACTTCGTAACACTTGTTCTTGGGCATATCTGCCCTCGCAAGCACACTGTATACACCGGCCATCTTTGAGGTCAAGCAGGACGCTCCAGGCAATTTCCTCTCGCTCCAAATCAGGTAGCGATGGCCGGTCGAACTCGCTGAGATGGTACTTGCGACTGACACTTTTCATGTTGGCATCTGTTATAGGAGGAGAGAAGATAAGATATCCCTGATCATCGACCCTCACAAAGCGCCGTTTCCACAGCAGGGATTCGGGAAACTGTACATTGACGTCCCCGATGTCGACTACGTGCATTAGAGATTCCGATGTCGAATTGTGCCGTGTCAGCTCGGACTGTTCTTGGATTGTGCTAGGGTGTGCCGGCTCCTTCGACGAATGACTTTTTCGCGGCGATGTCAGATTGGACATTCGCTTCATTAATCTACTAGTCCTCGATCCTTTAGTCTTCTCCTCGTAAGAAGATGCAGCATCACTGGCCGACCGAGGACCGTGCTTTTTGTGAGGGCTCGAATGTGAAAATTTGGAACTGTTGGATTCGAAGTGTGGCAAATTAGTTTGAGAAGCAGATCGATGGGAAGAAAAGGAGAATCTGCCCCTATCAGTCTTGTTCGGGCTCTTGGTGATAGATTGTATAGACGAGAAAGACTTCTCTCGAGGGAGTTCTTCGTGTTTCTCATGCTCCACAATCAAAGGGCTCCGGAAGAGGTTGAGAGGCGTATGATAACCCGAACTAGGTGACATGGGAGGTCGTTTACTGCTGGTATCCCGAACGATCCTTGCTGTAACAGAGATCGTATCGCCCTTTTGCAGGGACCCGTGGACCTCATTTGAAGGACGTCTAAATACCGTTGACGCCATGTTGGAAGTATCGGAACCATACTGAGGCGCTGACAAAGGCAGGTTCCTCGGCGGAGATGTCTCAGTGGACGCATTAGGAGTTTGCTGAGTCGGCAGAAATGCTGAACGCTTCAAGAAGGCGGAGAATCCTGCTCGCCCGCCGCTAACCTCCCGAACTGGTGTTGGAGGAGGTTGAGGATTTATATCTTTTGTGGTTAGCACCTCCAGGGCTTTGATGCGTCTGGAAATGCCACTTCCTAGAGTAGGCTTCTTGCTGAGAGGCACAAGAGCTGGTTCTGCCTGCACAGGTGGCCACTGTGGAAGGGCTGTGGAAACGCTGCGTATACTACCAGATGATCTCGTGCGGTCAGGCGTGCTGCCTGCACTCCGTCGTGCATGGTAGCTAGGAGGCGAATTTTTGCTGACCATCTCACGTAACTTGTCCGAAGTTCCCATCGACATTATCGGAGTCACAGGCGATCGTGCCACGGAAACCGGTTTTGCCTCATGTACTGTGGCATTCTGAAGCTCCTCCAACAGTGACTCGTCCTCGGATGCATCTGACGCCGAAGTATCACCGTTCGGTAGGATTCTCAAAGGCTGCGTTGATGCAAGGTGTCTTACTTGGGAGGTAGATTCTGACTTCGGCAACGACGCAGCAATACCGGCGTTTATAGACTCCGAAGACTGTTGCGATGTGTCGCTGCCTGTTACATACTCGCAATTAAGCAGAGCGGGATCGCTTTCACTGGAGACAGCAGATGGCCCGTCTTGATCCAGGGGCTTTTCAACCTCTGCTGATGCCGCTCTAGTGACAGTTCGATGCTGTTGATCATCTGTAGTGCTGAGCATCTCCAACCCTGCCACGCTTGCAGAACCATCGTGTTCCAACGCTTCGGTCGATTTCGTTTGATTCTCAACGGGTTTGGGAGTAATTGACGAGCTTGTCGCCGAGGACAATGACCGACGCTTGCGAGAGACATCGTCGTGTTCCATAAATGAAGATGCCTCCGTTGACGGCTCTTCCGAAATGTTCGTCATGAATGTTGGCGACGTGGTGGTTGGTGAGTGAGCCGTTTTGGATTCCTCGTTGATATTCAAGAGTTGTTCCTGGCTTGGGATGGACGTCAATTGGCTGCTTGTAGCATATGTGCTGACGCTTGAGTCAGACCGGTTGTGAGTATGTGCATTTGAGGGGGCCGGGGACGCTACTGATGAGGCTCTTTGCGCCAACAGCATGTTTCGTTTCCGCAACTGCAGGGCTTTCATCAACCTCAGCTTTTCCGGAGTCGCTGCTGACACTTCTGTTGTCACAGAGGCAGGTCGAGACAGCGTAGGCCGGGTCTCACTCGCTAAGTGTAAAGGCTCGAGGTATGTGGAAGAGGGCAAACGTGGATAGCCCTTGATTGAGTGGCTGGAGGGCGCGAAGCGTCCAGGAACACTTCGGGTGGACTGTTGAGAGCCGGGCCGTAGTGAAGTGCCCACGGCAGATCTGGTGTTCACACGAACAGTGTTTGGCAAATTGGCGACCGGCCGCACGTTCACAATGCCCTCAGTAGTGCCGGATGTTTTGGGGCGATGGTCAGCTTCGGCGTGCGGCCGGGGACCCAGCTTCTTCTTCTTCGGCTTGACAGCCGCGTATGAGGCAACGTTGTTACTCCATTGGCTGATGCTGTCCGACTCGGCTACGGAGAGATGATGGATGTGAAGGTGAGCTGTGCGTGTCTGGCCGGGGGCTATCGTTGCGGTAGCACCTAGTAAGATGTTGCTTGTAACCTCGAAGTCGGGGGCTGCGGTAGGCTTGCTGTCGCTCGTCGCGGGCGGTGTTGATTCAGGAGTAGCGGGCAAGGACTTGTCCAGAGACGGAGGCTCCGATACCAAAGCTCTCGGAGCGAGGCTGTCCTTCCTTGGAAGTCGAGGTATCTCCTGTTCTAAAAAATCACGCTGTGTGTCTGCTGCAGTGGCCACGGCCTCTTCCTTTCTCTTCGCCAAAAGCGCCTTTGCCAGGACGGCACTGGCAGGCAATTCATCGAGTTCGCGCCTTCCGTAGGCTGGTGTAAGTGGCTCCTCCGAGGTAGCAGGCCCTGTGACCGTGTCATCAGCTGGCGGCGTCGTCTCCTCTGCATCTTCGGTGATTTCGTCCAGCCTGCGCCGTCGTAACGATGAGCTTGATGAGGTTAGCGACGCGGCGGAGGGTAGCAGCATTGTGCTTAGGCCCAGTGCAGAGTCGGTCAGCTCGGAGGCTGCAGTGAGGGAGAAGACGGTGTCATGCGGTGAGAAGGCTTCCAGGACTGATTGAAATTGCACGGTCAGCCGCACTACGAAGGAAGTTAGCAATGCAGGGGGACGTGAGGTTTCAGTTGTGCTTGACCTTGCAGCAGACGCGAAGTTCCCTCTGGCACATATTTGAGGATGACCCTCTTGCGGCGATATTGCAGCAGGCCATACAACGGTGACTTTTCTTCATACTGTTCTATCACGCTCTTCACTTCTTGGATCCCTCCGGTGCCCTTCTTCAACAACTCCACCGTGTCGCGATTGATGTATCTCAGCAAAAACCTGGGTCGAGCGAGTCAGTCTCGAGCTATCCAGCAAGTCTAACCCCCACGAAAACATACCAGCCTCCAGCTTCTGCCAACGCAGTCTGGTGCGCTTCGGCAACCGCGACTTCATCAAGGCCATTCAAGGACATCGCTCGGCCTCATCAGGGGGAGGCCCAAAGCCCTGATGCTGTTCGAGAGGGTTCACATACAATCGAGAGGGCGGTCACCTGCTGAGGAGCGAAGGCTCAGGGAATCGCGACAATCACGGTGACCAGGACTAGAAACCTGAAAGTGCGCCGTCCAGCTGTCGCAACGTAAAGGCATTGCTTTCGACGGCTCAGCCGCAGGACGCCATCCGCAGTTTCAGGGGGTCACTGCACTGTTACAAGCCACACCCACAGGTGAGCCAGCTAAGAAGCGAGACTAGACAGGGGTGGAACAGTCCGTGGCAGACAGCGACAGTGGGACCTGTTGGACTTCAAACCGCCCTGAAAGGAGGTCCGTGTCCGGAGCTTCATTCGACCACCGTCCCGTGAGCCATGGGCTAATTTCCCGAGCCTGTTGTTTGCTCAGTCCCGGACCTGACAGGCAAATGCCTGGATCGGCAACACCAACACTCTTCAGGCTTTCTGAGGGCTTAGGAGGCCCCTGGACTCTACTACGGAGCACACATATACGTTACAAGACCATCCCTTGTGACGACCGTTGAACCCCGAGAGATCCGGCACTTTCCTCGTCTGACTCTCAGCGCGTACGAAGTAGGACACCGAACTCGTTGCCATCGATGAACGAACATACATGAAGCAAAGAGAGCAATGATTGGCAGATTCGTGGGACTTGCTCTCCAGTGTTGTCCCATGTCTAAAGACGATCAGGATGCTTGTTTGGACTTCGGACATCCGTCACTGTCACCCTTCTTGGACTTAGCCTTGTTGGCGGTGGTGGCGGCCTAAGGCTTGCTTGCTCATCTGGCACGATCTACGCAGTATCTCCGTACTAAGTATCCATACTAGTAAGTATCCGTACTAAGTACGGAGTATACATACCTATAATCTGCACTTATGTGTACGGATACTTCCACAAGAAAGACCTTGGCTAGTCACTGTTCGCTGTTGTTGTCAAGCAACATTCTCTCGCTAACATCTTGGGCGGACTCAGCCTCCACCACAAACACGTCCGCCACTTTCCTCACGCGGTCGACATGGAAGATATGGTCAGCAACAGATTCATGGGGTCGAGGCATTTCGGTGTTTCGTATGGACTCCCGTACTCGGCGAGACACGAAACGCCAAGCCACGTGACCGGTGTCTCCAGTGGTATCGGCAACCACCGATACTCTGCCTACCACACATGCTTAGATGCGACCGTTGACGTCGATAGTGGTGGGTTTGTTGTTCATCTTCAACGGAGGTCGAGTTTTGACGAGCCATACCAAAATTTCCCTCCACTGTATCCTCAAATATATCGCCGCTGTTATAATCATCTCAGGCTTTCAAATCGTCATTCGCCGTACATCTAATTTAATGCCTTCACTTCCGCCCATTTCAGGCCTTCCGTCACTGGATGCCGAACAGCGAGCGGAGGTGTTAGACACGCTGTTCGAACCATGTCAGCAACTTCATACCTTGTCTGTGAGCTTACTGCGAGAAAAGACCTTCTCCTCATACGACGAGCTCATCGGCGCCGTGGGTAGCCAATTGAAGGAGCTGTACGAGTCGGACTTGGAAAGCGACACGCGATGGCTCGACTCCATCCTTTCTGCACATCCTCGTCTGGGCGAGAAGAAGGTGGACAGCGAACAGAGCCGCAAGGAGCAGGCTCAACTGAACCAAGGTGGGCCTGAGGAGGCACAGAAGTTGGCCGAGATGAACAGGAAGTACGAGGAGACGTTTCCGGGACTGAGATATGTGTATGTCCCCGTTTGCCTACGTGCCTACATGCCTACACGCCCCATTGACCCACGCTCACTCTCGCTTTGCCCCTTTGCCGTCGCCGTCAAGTCGAGTGTGGTGAGGTGTACTGACGTGGAGGAAAATAGAGTCTTTGTCAACGGACGCAGTCGTCCCGTCATCATGGAAGACATGCAGAGACGGATCAATCGCGGCGACGGGAAACAGGAGAAGCAGGATGCCATCCAAGTGAGGATCATATCTTATTCAACATGCTCGTAGTGACACCCTGGATCTGGAGCGTGCTGACTCTTTCTTCACTCAGGCCATGTGCGATATTGCGTCTGATCGAGTAAAGAAACTCGGTGGTTGAAGTTTTTCAGGCTGTGTTTCCAGCCTGTGCAGACAGACATCTCGAGGATACTCATACATGTCCACAATTGCTGCTCTTAACTCACCCGATTTCCTTGATAGTAAAGATACAGCAATTCGTATCGGGGTCCATTTTTCCGGCCCTACACATGACATGCATATGTAGATAGCACAGAAAGGCACCTTGTAGTAAAGCGTGAAACCCTTCGGCGAAAAGGGCTATATTGCTTCCAGTCCGTTTTGTGTCCATCTTCACACTGCTAATCATGGCAGATAGCCGAGTCCGCAGCTAGTTGTAGGTCGAAGCCCAGAGTATTCAGTTTCCTTAGTAAAGCTCAAACCGCCTGCCGCTCCAGTTTATTTGCCCGTCAACTTTTTCCGTTCGTCACCACTCTCTTCCTCGCCTTCACTCCACTCGATCCCATCATCTCCCACAGCGAATATGGTCTCCCCGTCCAGTGATTCCCGGAGTCGCGGGGGATCAGGCGGAGCTTTACTGCTATTCTGCCCTGCCGGGGCAGGAGGGACATTGGTTGAGTCTGTGTGCGATGTCGATGCTCCACCAGAGGGACTTGCTGCCCCTTCGTGGTCTTTTCGAGCGGCTTCTTCATCGTCTGAAAATGAGTCGCGAATGCTTCGGATCTCGAAGCCGTCGTCCTCCTGTGCTAACTGTATGCCGGGTTATCAGTCAGTGTGCTCTTCCCGCGGCAATGAAATCCAAAAGAGGAACTTACCTCGTCGCTCATGGCAAAGCGCCTGTTGTTCGCGGTCGGCCGCCATAGATACGCCACAAATGCGATGTCGAACAAGTAAACCAGGTTTAGCCAACCATCAAGGACGAACCATCTCGTCTGCCAGTGCTTCGGAATGAAATCGGCCTCGCTACTTCCGGCGAACGCGAAGCTGTTCACGAAGAAGAAAGCAAAGATGACCAGGATAGAGCCGAGAATGCACCATGACAGTTTCTTGTACATCATGGCTTTGGTCTTCTGCCTCCGTTCGACAAGGTCCTTGATGGTCACATTGAGCGATGACAGTGTCCAAACATAGAATGCCGTCAGAGTTCCGGATAATGGAAGAATGACGAATAGAATGAGAGGGCCGACCGACTCGGGAGTGACAGCCATGGAGGTTGTAGCATAGAGGACGCCAAAGATGAAGTGAGCCGCAGCAAGGACCCGGACATAGATCATCGTCCTGCCTAGAGATGGTTTGACCACACCGTAGCCCATGCAGACTATCAGCAGGAGAAAGAAGGAGAGGGAATTCCGGGCGGCGTTGAGGATCGACACAATGACCATGAAGACTTTGTTCAACGTGTTGTTCCCGTGTCGGTTCTGGTAATCGTAAAACCCCCAGGTCATGAGCTGTTCGACAATCAAGAAGATGATAGTCGCCGTGATATAATTCTGGACCGGGAGAATGTCGGAGCGATTCTGTACATAAAGAAATGCCCAGAAGGCACCTAAGACTGCATATACGATGGTTAGGCCGCCGTAAAAAGGAAGCTTTGCTATTTGAGCCGCAGGAAGTTCGCCGTAAGCGTTCCGGAATTCCACCACCGCGTCGTACTCATGGTTTGAAAATGCAAAGGTCGAGACGCAATAGTAACCTGTTCGCCGGATCGGATAATTGATCGCCTTGGGGTCTTTGAGGTGGATGGCTTCGTCATAGATAGGATTTTTCGTCAAATCCGTTGCATTTGGCGCCAGTATGAAAGCGCCAATGTCCTTCTCTTCACATAGGCCTTTGGCCACGGTGTCTGCAGAGCATATTGTTTCGATGTCACGGTAGCTTTGCCCACCAGGCGGCATCCGTCCTATGAGCTCTTCATCTTGCCATTCAAATATGATCAGGCTCACGATCGGGTCGGTGTTGTCTTCGGTATGATCCGGGAGGAACTTGACGAGGATGAAAGGTTCTATTGAACCACCCCAGGACTTTCGGCTATACATCCCTGAACACCGCTGTCGATGGGCGTCATCTTGCTTCTGCTTTGGTCAGTTTTATTGTTCGCACCTCAGTGTGCATTTCACTGCTTACAAGCTGCACCTCGTTCCCCGCAACCAAAGCTGCCAGGTATCCCAACAGGCCGAGGGATGGCACCCAGTTCCTCATAGCTGCTGCCGCGATAGAATGGGAGGAATTTGGGAGGAATTGTTTGGCAACAGCACTGCGAGGCGGTAGGGTAGGTTTGCGGAGATGTCAATGTCTCGAGTCAGTGACGCATGCTAGTGCAGGGGAATCAAGCTTTGGTTATGAGCAAATTAAAAGACAATACAAAGAGTACTGGGCCTGGTTCTTTGGAAGCTCGTAAAGAAATTGACGAGGGATGAATGATTAACAGATAGACGGTTGACGTTGGTGTTGGAGGTTTGAACTCCGCGATTACAAGTGACAACCGTGACCTATTTGGGTGGTTGCGGTGCAGCCGCGTCACTCTTGACCAGATTGGCGCGTCTCGATTTCTCCTATGTCTTCTCTTCCCCACCACCATTATGGGTCGGTATAGAGACACTGTCCTACATACAATTCAGGCGGGAAGCAAATTGCACATTTTCAAGCACTCAACTCATGGATTAGTATTCTCGGCCTGCTGGAGTTGAACTAGGGCGTTTTATCATGACTGGGATACGTCTGTTATGATAATAGAAGGACAGGGTCTGGATTGAACATCCTCAGGTAGCCGCTGAGCACTGACGTCTTGAGTCATTCTGAAAGACTGACCACAAAGCTTTGCCGCCTCAGTAGGTGCGCTCTTAAATTGGAACGGGTGCCGGAAGAGGGTGCTTAATCGGTGCGACCTCCTCTCCTTTGCTTCTGACCTTTCCGAGCAAGCTTCTTGCAGTCTTGCAGATATATATCTGTGGCCCGATGAAGCTTGTATCAGCTCCGTCTCCATCGAGCTCGTCGTGCTCGCTCTGGTCTAGTATCTCATTGATCGTCCTCAAAAGCCCTGTTGCCGCAACGCGATTGCTGGTGAGGGTGACAATCCGCCTAGCCCAGCCGTACAGGAAGACAGAAACATTGATCGGGGACATACCCATGATCTGAGTAGCTCGGTCGGCGATCGAGGAAGGAAACAATCCACTGTCTTCGGAACGGGACAAAATTCGGCTTGAAGAAGATAGAAGCTCTTGCGCGTTAAAATCCACGATTTTGATGGGGAACCGAATCTCTGAAGGCACAGCATGGGTTGTGTGTTCACTCCAGGCCTGCCTGAGCTTCGATGCGGACTGACCTTTGTACACGCCCTCTCCGAGGATGAGATCGGCGCGGATTCGTTCACTGGACGTCCCCATACATTGGGCAATCTCTCGCATTCGTAGCGCGGCTTGAGCGGTGCACTCCAGCGAACGCCCGCTGAGGATGGGGTAAATCTCTGTCGGGACGAGAGGAGACAGCTCTTCAGTATTGATTTGTCGAAGAATTGCCTTGTTGTAAGTGTTGTCCGCAAAAATCCGAGTCAAATGCTGACGTGGCAAGTGCGAGATATCAGATATGAGAGCCAGGAGTATTGTACAATCAATGTTGATTGTATCTGTCAAATAGGGAGTCACCGGTGCTGGCAACAGCCTATCAAAGTCAATATCCACCTTCATATTCTCGCGAGGCTGCGCAGTCATGCCACACTGAACCACGGCACCAGTTGCCCGCAAGTCTGCAATGAACGCATCCACATCGGGAAGGACACCCTCGCGGACGTTCGGCAAGACGAAGCGGATATGCGGATGCTGGAACTGAACTCTGACACCATGTGACGCAAGTCTGAGATCTTCAGCTACTCGAACAAGTTCAAGTTTACCGATTCTACCAGCTTCGCCAATGTCATTGTCATCCATACCGTCCTCGTCGCTAGAATTGGTATACGACTCCCAGCCTTCTTTGGCCATCTCAAAAAGCAGACGTCTCTCAGTGACTGTGGAAATTTTGATCCATTCCAGGCCGTTCTCAGCTATGACGTCCACGAGAACTCCCTTCTTTGCCAATCGCTTTATTTCAAGCGGCTCGTTGTTCTGGGCTTGATTGTTGTGTTCCATGTCCTGCGTTATACGACCTTTTGGTCTGGCATAGATCCTCTTGCTCAGGGCAGTCACCCCCTGGCTCGACTTCGCAATGCCCCAGACAGCTTCATAAAACGGCAGATTGGAACTTCTCAGAGCATGAAGCTGCGGGGTTGCTTCATCTTCCCTGGCTCTCAAGTGATCTGGGTTGTGTCCATCACCACCAGAAAAGGCAACGGTTTGTTTGATTCTTTCCAAGCTCTTCACCTCTGATTCGACTCCCCGTTTGAACACTCTCAATTCAACTTCCTGGAATATGTTTCGTGATCGGAGACATGCATGGTAGGCTTCGAGTTCATCGAGCAGCGTAAGTGCGCGCCTTTGCAGGCAGTCCAATAGATCAGCGGAACCAATGACACGGTTCACCGCAACGCTCTTCTCACAGCTCAACATTTGGAACTTGGGGATAAGCCCGAGTCAACGCAACGCGTCGGTATCTAGGTAGTTCGGGCGTACTTACCTAAGGTGCCTAGATACCTACTCTCGTGCTCTTAAGAATATTGACCTGCTAGCCGCTAAGCATAAACTAGTTAGAAAAGTGGGAAGATATTACAGCTTTATTACCAATAAAGTCTAGTGCCTAGGAGGTCGTAAATACCACCCCTTGCTAGGCACCTACTAGGTAGTGAGACTGTAGCAGTCAGTGGTACTAAATAACTAACGATGGTGTGTCGGGCTTGAAGATTCCCGAGGGTCGCACTGCACTGCATCCCATGCGGAGCAGAGACTTCTCTAATTGGCGGGTAGGAAAATGATGCCAAGCATAGGCGAAATGGAAACAATTAAATGGAAAATGCCAACGAGAAAGCGGCCAGTCCAGTAGGTAAAGAGATGTATGTCGTGCGAAAGAGATCAGAGTACACTGGACATAGTGCACTTCTTGCCGTCTGACCTTCATGATCTCTTAGAGATCTGGATTTTTGATTTGGTCTCCTGGGAGCCACATGCAGACTTTTGTGTCTGCCGTTGCAAGCATGTTGTAGCGTGGATTGCATTGTACAATGGCACTCTTGATGCCGCGACTTGTCAACTTCGTGGTAGGTTCCTGCCGACCGCCGGTAGCGACTTGAGTGTCCCAGACAAGGAGGTCTTGGTCTCCTGTCCCGCCGATGATATACCTCCCATCTTGTGTAAAGCATGCATCGCCTTGACCCAAAGGCTTTCCTGATGTTGACACGGGCGCGGCTCGTCCTGTTCCGTTCGTTTTACCCACGAGGAATGACTTGACCGCTCCATCAAACGCATCCAATACAAAGTGACCATGATAATCCGTTCCTACAAGCATACTCTTTCCATCATTTGAGAACTCCAGTTTTGTCCATGCACGCCCTTTAGTAGTCGGAGTGTATTTATCTTCCGCTTCGGACATGTCGAATGTTGCAAAAGGGGCTTTATCGAAATTTCGAACATCGTACATGAGGACGGATGAGGTGGATTGCGATGCTATCGCCATCACATTCGCCGAAGGATCGTAGGCAGCAAGGTAGGGCGTGACGAGTTTCAGTTTCCCCTGAGGACTTCTCGAATTTAGATCCCACAGGCAAACCATGTCGTCACTCCCGCATGAGAGGAACTGATCGCTTCCAGGTGACAAGGCGATACAGGTTACTTGGGCAGTGTGAGCGGTGAAGTAACGAACAAAACTCTCGTTATGCAGTTCGAGTAAGCGGAGTGAGTCGTCTTGTTTCGTACTGGCAAACAGGACATTGCGCGGATGATGAGTAAACCGAGCGAGGTGAATTCCATACTTCTTGCTGGGTATCATTTTGGTTCTCTTTCCCTCTTTGATATCGTATACTTGCATTGTCTCGTCATCGCAGGCCGCGACCAAAAAATCGCCCATGTCATCGAAGTCCAGTGAGGTGATACGACTTTCCGCTCCATCCGAGCGCACAGAGCCGGGGAATTGCTACTGCGCGTGAGCCAGCGATAATTGTGCTTGTAAGACAAACTCACTCTAGCAGGACGATAATGTTTGATTACATCGTGTACCTTCTGCTGCGGCACGGCAGCCATGTCGGGCAGTCAAGCCAAAGGCTCGGTGCGCGTCAGATCAGGAGCATTGGCAACAGATAGATATTTTGATGCCTCGGACACCAAGAGTGAGGATGCGAAGTCGTCAAGCACCTGGTAACAAGGAGATGAGGCGGGCTGTTCGAGTTACGTATATGTTTGTTACTACAAGACGCAGTACAGTGCCAAAAATTAAACCTGGGCTTGCGGAGCAATCATCTAGGAACGCGCGCGTGGCGGCAGATCCCCGGGCGGCAGATTGCTAGTTACTACTAACTACTAGGACTTGGGCTCCTAGGGCCTCTCCAGTCTCCAGTCCCTAAGGGGTCCTAAGAATATCCCAGTCGCCGGCACTCGTCGGTGCCTACTACATGTACTATAGCTTTCAGCTATCACCAGCTCTCCGGTTACTACGGCGCACTCTCTTCCGCCAATGCGCAATAATAATAATATAAGTATTTTTGTGCCCCACGGTTACCCTCGGTTTCCATCGACTATTTCCGATTACGCTCGGGCTCTGCAGTCTATATCCGAGCATTTCTTTCTAACGTCTTCATCCGAGTTGAGTTGGTGTTGCGAACACAGCGTTGTCTGACAGATGCTGACCCGCCACTACTTATCCATTCTTAGAACACTTCCTGCTGCGATATAATGGTACTTCTTATTTCACAATCCTCAGAGTGCTAGGGAAGGTCGGTCAGATTACCAAGGACGAACGGTTCTATTACCCCGACGATGGCTACGACAACTGGCGCATTCATTGCCGGCGGCATTGCAGCTTGCGGCGCCGTGACCGCAACCCATCCTTTCGAGACGGTCAAGATCAGATTACAGTTGCAAGGAGAATTGCAAGCTAAAGAAGTGGCAGTAAAGAACTACAAAGGGGTGTTCCATGGCGTTGGAGTCATCTTGAGGAATGAAGGATTGAAAGGCATCTATCGAGGAATCGGCAGCGCATACATCTACCAGATTCTCCTAAATGGCTGCCGTTTAGGATTTTATGAGCCGCTAAGAGCTGCCTGCAGCAATCTGGTTTTCAAAGATCCCAATGTCCAGGCACTCTCAGTCAACATTTTCTCCGGAGCGACCTCAGGAATTCTCGGAGCAATGGCTGGCTCTCCCTTCTTCCTTGCCAAAACTCGGTTGCAATCTTATTCACCTTTCTTTCCAGTTGGGACTCAGCATAAGTATCGCAACGCGCTCGACGGCTTGACCCAAATCTACAAGGCAGAGGGCGTGAAAGGTCTCTACCGCGGTATGGGTGCTTCGATGGTCAGGACCGGTGCTGGAAGCTCCGTCCAGCTGCCCACATATTTCTTTGCAAAGAGAAGGTTGATACGGCACGCGGGTATGGAAGATGGGCTGGCATTGCACCTCCTGAGTTCGACGGCAAGCGGCTTTGTGGTTTGCTGCGTGATGCATCCTCCGGTATTGTGCTGCGCGTCTTTCTTTCTATTCAAGTGCTGACCGATGACACAGGACACTGTTATGGCCAGATTGTACAACCAGCACGGCAATCTTTATAGCGGCATTTTTGATTGTCTATGGAAGACCATCTCGACTGAGGGTGTGCTTAGCGTCTACAAAGGATTTACTGCGCATCTTGCTCGAATCTTACCCCACACCATCCTTACCCTCACCTTAGCAGAGCAGACGAACAAACTGGTACGGGGGATTGAGACGAGAATTTTGCCAAAATCCCTGGAAGAAAAGTTATGAAATGGATTTGCCTCTGGAGGTCTAGATACTTGATCTTACACATTGCATGGAGTTGCATGGAGCAAGCTCGTCTCGCCTAACGAGCAAATTGAGCCACTGATCTGGAATAAAGCAAGACAACTGGGCTGGCCGTCATTTGGGATGCCGATCTATCTATTGCTGACGGGAGACTGGTTGAAATATTGCATTCATGATGGAGACGCCAAAAGCCCCGTCAGAGATAACTTCCCATCCCTAATTGGCAACAAGCTAGAGGCAGTTCTGCAGAGGTTGCATCTTCCTGGCTTGGACGGGGGCTTCTCTTTACGTTGCCTGATAGACAATTAGAGGCTTAACCGTTACAACGTCTATATAAGCGACCAATGTACAATTCTCTGGCTCTATTGCTTGCGAAATGGCGGAAGAGGCTTCTTGCTTTCAGGAGTTTGCAGCGAACCAATGGATTTCAGACGTCGCTTAGAGACGGATGTGTACATGGTAGCTTCGGGACCGATGGTTAAATCCTTCGGATCGTTGTAAATGAAACCCCGGTAACAGGTCACTCCATGCAAATCAGGCGAAGATACGGTATTGGAGTCCCCAATCACGGGAGCGGCAGGTCTCATGCGGGGAGTTTGACCTACCTAGTACTATACAGTATACACTGGCACCTAACTGGTGTATTGAAGGTTCTCTGCACCGAATGACCGGATCTAGACAAGAATCAGAACTCTCTAAATAACTCCCCTAAGCCTCGAGAGCTTCAATAGGAAGTAATGTCGAAGTAACGGGCGCTGAAGTTAGGATTATACAAGACAGCAAGGCCTTGATGGCAAGAACAACTGCTTTTCGGGGCGATACGGTGAACGATACCATAGCTGTAGCTGTAAGATCTAGGTAGGCTCGCGATAGGATCTCAGTAGCATGGTCGAGGTTTTAACTCCGTCAGGTCCACGTTGACTGGTCCCGGGGTCTCACAACATGTGAGCTATTGGAGAGCTGAAAGAAAGCACTCATAAAACCATCGAGATTCAGACCTAGAGGGATACCGGCTTCAATTTTTCTGTCCTTCAGACGTACCTAGTCATCGGAAAGAAGCAGCGTTTCTTCCAAGAATTCAGATTGCAGTCCGTCCTACCCTTTGACGTGGGAGTGCAAAGAAGTCTTTTTGGGTGCATGAAGCCTTGATGAGATGACCTGAGCAGCCCGTCCATGTTTTGAACAGCCTGTAAGGTAAGGTACCTAGGTACCATAGGAAGAGAATAGTTTCTGGCTGGAACAATAATAATACTGCGGCGCGTGTTCCCCTGTTCGCGTGTCCAGATGAGATCATAGAAATTCCATCTTGATCTGATAAAATTAGATTAGATAAAAGGGGATGGGGGACTGCATGTCATTCGTCTGGCTTTGACACACTTCAGCAGCCACCGTGTGAACACCAGAGCCGAGTCTCGTCGTCCTGGTGGACGTCAGCATCCGGTTTGTTAAAGAGGAATCCACCGACTCCTTACTGTCTGACGGTTCTGGATCCAGAGTCGCGGTGGTCTGTTGATGTGAAGTGGATCGACAACTGAGAGATGCCAGCTTAAAGTGGTGCAGTGGCCAGCCCGCGAGCGTCACTAGCTTAGATCTACGCGCACCGCGTTAGCGTGTCGTGCCCGTGGTGCCTTGCATAAAATGCTGCCAGCATCCGCGAGTTTTCCCATTGACTCCTCTCTCAACCTCGCGTCTGTCAACAAACCGACTCTGTACCTGTTGTTGCCCATTTGCACGCTTTCTTTGTTCAACTATTACATCCTTACTACCATTGAACAATGGCCACTCAGATCACACCGTCCAAACAGGTTCGTTTTGCCACTTGCATCATCACTAAAACTCGTCAAGGTGCATATGACTGACAACACGCGCAGGCGGCCGCAAGTCTCGAGACTCTCAAGATGAAGGACAGCCCGGTCAAGAAACTTGACTTCAACGTCGAGAACAAAGAAAACCTGCCCTCTACCACCAGTTTCACCGCGAAGACCGAGCCAGAAGTCGAGAAGCCTACCGTCACAGAGGTCAAAGCACCGGTTGAAGCACCCAAGGTTGCGCCAACTATGAAAGAACTGGAGGCTGATGAGCCGATCCTACAAGAGAACCCTCATCGCTTTGTGCTGTTCCCTATCAAGTATCATGAGATTGTAAGTGGATCTAGGGAACGCGTCCGCGTCCGGGACCTGGCAGGGTCTTCCACCACGGGGTCTTGACATGATGGCTAACGCTCTTTCTACATAGTGGAACGTGTATAAGAAGGCCGAAGCTAGTTTCTGGACAGCAGAAGAAGTCGACCTGTCAAAAGATCTTCACGACTGGCACAACCGTCTGAATGACGATGAGCGATACTTCATATCTCACGTTTTGGCTTTCTTCGCTGCCTCGGATGGCATTGTCAACGAGAACCTACTTGAGCGCTTCAGCGGCGAAGTACAAATTCCAGAAGCTCGCTGTTTCTATGGGTAAGTCATCCCTAGACCTCCCAATCACTAATCTAACAATCAACCAGATTTCAAATCATGATCGAGAACATTCACTCCGAAATGTATTCTCTACTCATTGACACTTATATCAAAGACAACAAGCAGAAGGCGTATCTGTTTGACGCAATAGACACCATTCCTTGCATCCGCAAGAAAGCCGATTGGGCCTTGAAATGGATCTCTGATAAGGAGTCGACCTTTGCTCAGCGACTTGTCGCCTTTGCTGCTGTTGAGGGCATCTTCTTCTCAGGTTCATTCGCTTCGATCTTCTGGCTTAAGAGCAAGGGTGAGCACCTGTACCAGTCTGTTATCAATATTGACGCTGACTGTATCAAGGTCTTATGCCTGGTTTGACCTTTTCGAACGAGCTCATCTCACGTGACGAAGGCATGCACACAGACTTTGCTTGTCTCCTCATCCAGCATCTCAAGCACAAGCCAGACCCCAAGCTCATTGAGAAGATCATCACTGAGGCTGTCGAAATCGAAAAGGAGTTCTTGACTGACGCGCTGCCTGTCGGTCTGCTGGGCATGAATGCCAAGCTTATGCAACAATACATTGAATTCGTTGCTGATCGCTTATTGGTGGCGCTCGGAAACAAGAAGTTCTACAATGCTCAACAGCCATTCGGCTTCATGGAGAATATCTCTCTCGGTGGAAAGACAAACTTCTTCGAGAAGCGCGTTGGTGATTACCAGAAGGCTGGCGTGGTAGGCTCAAGCAAGAAACAGGAAAAGGGAACATCTTCGAGTGATGAAAAGGCCGAAGACGACAGTAACGGCATCAATTTTGACGAGGACTTCTAGATGACGGAGGGTTTTACTGGTGTTTGTCGGCGTTGTTGGGATCGCTTGTCGGGAACAGAATGGTCCAAAGCACAACTCTACTTTTGTTATACCCCATTCACACCATCAACACATCATCAGCATGGCAGGTTCAGAGGTGCTCGGCTACGTTGTGTTATTATGGACCGTTTTGAGAACGGTTAGGTCGCAGGATGCATAGCTCTGATAGAAGGAGTTTGCATATTTGGGTAGTTACGAGTGTTCAGACAGGGTTTCTGGCTAATGTGCATTCAAAATATGGAGATGGTGGCTTATGTACTTCTGACCAGGAGAATCCTGGTTCTTCCAAAATTGCTCGTCGGTGAAGACGGTCTTGCCTCTTTAGTTGTGACACCCCCTTTCCATGAGAGCTTTATCGGGTGCGGTTGCCATGCTAATCCGTCACTCTCACGCTATCCAGGGCTGCATTCCATATGTAGAGGCTCTTTCCTATCTACCACTCGCGCCCGACTCCGCCCACGCGTTGGGTTAAAATCAATGTGACGAGTACAAATCGCATTCCTGATGTTCACTTCTTGATGACCTTGACACAGATAGATTGGCTCTCGGCCGGAGCACTTTGCACTGCAGTCTCGAACTCTATGTACCAAGCTAGCCCAACAACAGGAAACATCTTCCAAGCTTGGACAGAGTTGCTCGCCTGCTTTTATTAAGCATGAGATCTGCTCTGCGGCGTGGGAAGGCCGATTCTCTCAACATGCTATCGCTCTTCAGGGAGATCCTCCAGGTGCAGATGCCACCATTTGGAGAAGTTGGGTCGATGCTCGTCGTATCTTCATGTCGATGTTTTAACTGTACCTACCCATGTGTGACCGTTTTGATCACCGAACCAAGTGTGACGTAGTCGATGGCAAATAGCGAAGTGCTGGAGGCAATGTTTTTGGTTCGCCTTCGATCATCCATTTGGGAGACTTCATTTCTTTCCTTTCTTCTTCTTTCCCTTGCCCCCGCCTCCGCCGCCAGTCTGGACCACTGCGGGCGGTGCCGTCACTACTTTGTCCTCAACCTTGGGCGCAGACACCCCGCTGTCTATTTCCATCTTGTCACCCTCGGCAGCTCGTCCAGATTCGATCTGAGCCGTGGCCGCTGTGGGTATCTCTATGACTTCTCTTTTTGCCAATCTTCCGAGCCCGGTCAATAGTCTTCCCACCTCAGCCGCCTTGTCTGTTCGATATTTTAGGCAGATGCCAGACTCCGGGTGGTATGTTTTAAGTGTAAGGACCGCCGACGGTTCACGCTTGGGCTGCGACGCAACCGCCGTTGTATCTGCCGTCGGTGCAGGTCCGTCACTCGGCTTGGACATGGCCTTCGTATTGGGTTTTCGAGGGAGCGAGTACTTTGTCGTTATTCGTGTGGAGGGATACGCTTGGATGAGTAGTGAGGACTGATGTAGGTACGAATGAAGGTCGGCAAGGTAAGTCATTTTTGCTGGGTTCTGTAGTCGCACGCGTTCTCGCGTTTGTCGGTGTCGTGACCTCCTCTCGAAAATAACCCTGTGCAAGCCACCAACCCTCCTTGATATCCTGGTCTTGTTTGTCCCTAAGACTTGACGCTCCCTTTGTGTTCTTCGTTGAGGTCGCTTGAAAGGGCCAGTCACAGTGCTCTTTGGACAGCTGATTGGGGTAGCTGATCGACCTGGATTTTACCAGTTCTACTGTAGACTGATTAGATACCTAGAGGGGAGAATGCGCCGTAGCTAAAGCAGGAGCCTCTCGATGCGGAGCGGAATATTCAGACGGGGCTGAACATGATGCGGGTGACGGTGATCCTTGGCGGCCGAGCCACTGCAAACCGTGCCGCTTTAAAAACCACTACTCAGCTTCACCTCTATTAATCACCTCTTGATGGTCCCTCCCAAACCAGGATCGAAGATTGGCAACCCTCGGTCGAACTATTTCTAGGACCTTTACGATCGACTGTTAGCTTGCGTTGCCCGCCCTTCTGAATTCCCCTCGACTTGATCTCCCACGGTGTGTAGTATAAAATAGAGTCTAATCTGGATCTCAGATCTCAGCCTACTCGCTGCGTTCCGCTCTCTTCCGTACACCGTACGCTGTCTCCTTCTGCCGGTGGTCTCTCCTCTCTTAGTAAGTTCTTAGTAAGAAACCCTCTCCGGGCCGCGTCACTTACGAAGAAGAGAAAGTCCTCAAATAGATTAAGCAACAGGAACGCGTCACGCAGGCTGCAGGAACAATCTACTCCGTACTCCGTATTTCGTACGAGTGTCGACCATCTAGTATCCACCTGGAGATCCACGCTGCCACCCTAAGCCGCAGTAGCAACGCCACCTCTATTTTCCCTCTATACAAAGATGCCAGTCCTACAATCCGCAAACGAAGGCCTAAAAACAGGGTATTAAGATGCACTCCATTCCCGATATCATCATAACCTAGTCGGTAGAAAACTCCTCTCGAATACAGAATGCCAGATATGGGAAGCCTCTCACAGTAAGACGGTGCACAGGCATAAATTGCCATCCCGAAGATCCGGTCGTGCTCGTGGAGTGCGTCGAGACTCCGCGTCAGCAATACTACACCGTCGAAACTGTCCAACGCTCTCGGGAGCAAATATCAAAGTCTACATTGGGCTTTTCGTGTGTTACAGTGATGGTGGGCGTGGCGGGAAAGTCCAAGGGTTGCAATACCTGCAGGAAGCGAAAGGTCCACGTATGTATCGAGATTCGTGTTGCTGTCTACTTTCAAACCGTGGGAAAGGGGCTAACTCCGTGGTAGTGTGATGGAGAAAAGCCGTCCTGCGCTCGCTGTCAGAAGGGCAATCGGGTATGCGGAGGATATCAGCGTGAACGACATTTCAAGAATCTGAGTGCCTTGGATCGGGATGCCTTATTGACCCGAACTCAGCCTTTGGCTTCGCTCACAGACCTGCGCACGATTACTACCGGCTCAGCTTACGATATTACGCCTTGCAGAACCCCCGAAACCGACGACAGCGTAACTTCCAAAAGCCAGAAGCTTCAGTGTACAAGACGCGCGCTCAGCCTCTCGGAATTGTTCGATAACTTCCTCGACAATTACATACCCACAGAAGCCGAGCTTCAGAATGGGCACAAGGTCCAAGTTTCCTGGCTCCAAGCCATCGACCCCTCACAAGTACCATTAAATGACGCCTCTCTTGATCTCGCAATCTTGGCGTTGAGTCTGGTCTGTTTAGGTCGCAAATATGGCGACGAGAGGCTCCGATATGAAGGCACGGCAAACTACGGCAGAGTTTTGCATCGACTACAAGACATTCTCTCACATCACAGCCTGCTTTTAGAGGAGCAGACTCTTGCCAGCTGTATGGTGTTATCTACTTTTGAGGCAAGCACCCCTCAGAGCACGAATAAGACTGTCGTTGACCGAATAAGCAGCTACTAGAAGTTTCAGGGGAGAATACCGGCGGATGGGCCAGCCATGTGGAAGGTGTCGCAAGGTTGATCCAGTTTCGAGGTCCGGATTTACATGTGGCTGGATTAAGCCATCGTCTCTTCTTGGACTTTAGATCTACTGGTGTGAGTGTAGAATCTCTATACTTGCCTGAACAGCAGCTCACCTCTAGCAGATCACACACGCCTTGGCCACCCGGAAATCGACCTACCTTGCACAACAGGACTGGCTGACAGTGCCGTGGAAGATACAGCCGAAGTCGGACCTTGACCAACTGCTCGACATCATGGCTCAAATTGCAACCCTAATCGAGAAGGCGGCACGACTCACCACCGCGTTCGATGATCTCCATGCACAGAGAATAGCACTTGTACAGCAGGGGTGGGAATTTCATTCCCAACTTAAGAACTGGTACCAGGGATTCCTACAAAAGCAAGCCGGGCCGCTCTACTACGAGCGGCCTTCGTCATCACGTTTTCTTTCTCAACCTGCATCCGTCTTCCCGAAGTCCCTACACTTTCAGAATTTCAAAATTGCACGACTTCATCTCTCCTACTGGACCGTTCTCCTCTTGCTCTACAGTAGCATCCTCGCCATCCCCTTCTCGTCTCTGAGTGACGTGAATCCGACTTCTAACCTCATCACGTCCGTGGAAAATGAATTCACCCACAGACAAGCGCTAGAGCTAGCGAGAATGATCGCCCAATCAATGGAGTATCTACTCTCGGAAGATATGCATATTCTTGGACCGCAGAAGGTGTTTTTCGCCTTGCGCGCAGCAATGCACGTATTTGCGAGCACGGAAGCGGAAGACGGGCAGGAGATGGACTGGTGTAAGGAGATTTTTGAGGAGCTTGATCGCCGAGGATATCCTTTTGGCAAGATCTTGTGTAGGTGCGAGTGGGATGATATACCAGCGCTCTTGTCCGGTAAAATTTCTTTCGGGATAGACTCATAGAGACTGAGATGGAATTGTAATGGGAAGTGTCCTCGGTTTCAATCCTCATCCCACTAGAGCGGGTTTGTTTTCATCTCAGAGAGTGTACTGGAGGTCATTTCCATTGCAGCCGTTGCGACATTGATTCTCCCGTTCTCATCCTGCGGCGTGCCGGGATCGAGTTTCACAATACGCCTTCCTTTAGTCGTGCCATCCATCAAGGGTCCTGGGGGTGAGTCCCGGCTCCCGCTCACCAGGCTCGCGCAAGCAGGGGGTGATCACAGGGCGGCATCACCCTCGTCCCGATCGGGGTGAGCGGAGTACAGAGTACCGGAGTACCTCGTCTTCCAGCTCGTCAACGGCGACTCGATAACAATTGAGTCGATCAACACCAGACCCAACTCTCCCATTCCCATGATGACAGCAAAGTCCAGGTTATATGCGCTCAACCCACTGCTTTGTTCCAGGTGTCAGAGCGGAACTCAAGTCCATCTGAAATCGCACCGCCGGACCTTCGCAGCCTCCGCCGTTGGCTACGCCGCTGCGGCATCCCCGTCCAGTCCGAGGAAATATGTCCAGCTCACGAACCGCACCCTCATTCGTCTTGCAGGCCCTGATGCCGGAGTATTTCTATTCAATCTCGTCCCGGCCAAAATTCTAGATACCGGGAGCACCAAGCCTATTTATACAGCATTTCTCTCTTCAAATGGCCGAATCCTGAACGACGTATTCATCTACCCTCCCAGTGAGGGCAATGGAGAGGAGTGGTTCATCGAGGCCGACTCGCAAAGCGCAGGCGACCTACTGAAACATTTACGCAAGCACAAACTGAGGTCGAAGTTCCAGTTGGAGAAGGTAGACCCAGAGAAGGTGGGCATCTACTACACCTGGCCCGACGAGGGGGACCTGGTGGGATACTCGGGCACGAAGAGGCGGACTGGTGGACAAGATCCCAGGCCTGGCATGGGCTCACGATGGCTAGACGAGACGGGTTCCAAGGTCGAACTGTTGCAACACCTCGAGGAGCGCGGAGTTCAGCAGGCTACACTGCAAGATTACACGGTTCATCGCATGTTAAACGGGCTGGCGGAAGGGCAGACCGAACTCCTGGCCGGAAGTTCCTTGCCACAGGAGAGCAACATCGACTTCTTTGGCGGGATCGACTTCTTCAAGGGCTGCTACGTTGGCCAGGAGCTCACGATCCGCACTCATCACACCGGTGTCGTCCGAAAGAGGATATTGCCTTGCCAATTATACGATCCCGCTGACAACCCGCCTCCGGACGCTCAGTTCCTGCCAAAATATAAACCGGACGCGGTTCTCCCTCTCCCTCCACCGCAATCGAACATCTCCAAAGCGCATGCCCGAGGCCGCGGAAGGAGTAGTGGGAAGTGGCTCAGCGGAGTGGGGAACATCGGCCTTGCAATTTGCAGACTGGAGATGATGACCGATATTCAACTGACGGCGGATCGGACAAACTACGATCCTACGGAACAGTACAAAGTGCAGTGGGAGATCGAAGGGCAGGATGGTCAACGTGCAGTCATGCTCAAACCATTTGTACCCACTTGGCTGAGGGAGGGCGTAGAGCAGAGTTTACACAGAAAGGAGAAAAGGCCAAAGCCACGGCAGGATGATGACGAATATGATGAGGTTGATTGAGATCGTATGACATTGTGTTGCGAAACTGAAGGGTATAATACATCACTACGAACGCCCCAATCATTCTGAACAACGCTGCCATTTACCGCTCGCAACAGGAAGCACTTACGAGCTGCTACGGTTCTCGCCGTCGTCTCCAGCAAATAGCGTCAATGTCCGCTCACCGTGAAATATTGCTTGAGAGGAGGCGGCAACTCCCCACAACGTCCAGCATCAGATCTGCCTTGGCCCGAAGCCAAAATGAAGACTTCAAAGAGGCTTCCGTGCTAACCAATGATTTTTTACGGAGGGTTGGATGTTCATCTCCCGGAAGTGTGTTCAGCTGGTCCCAGTTGCAGTAGGATGAGTAGCAGGTATGCTCGCATTCAGCGATGTGTTGATGGGAGCTCAAAGCTGCAAGAGCAGATCGACACCCTGCCAGGTGTTGTTCAACACCTTGGACGTGCGGATTATCCGATATGCATGCTTCATTGCCGCCTTTATGTCGCCAGCACAGGTCGAGGCTGTGCCGTGGAGGCGTGGGGGTGGTTGGCGTAATACCTGTCGCAGGAGAATGGACTAGGATGTCCATGTTGAGAGTAGCGACGGGCATAAACATGGCGTCAGGTACCTTCAGATTCCTTCTCCGCGGCCCATTCCAAACTTTCGATACCGTCCCAAGGACCCTGGGCAACTACTTTTTTAGCGATAGACAAAGAGTTGAACACGATGACCGCGGTTCCCAGCACAACCTTTTTGTCCCGGCCTTCGACGCGGCGTTTCTTGTCCTTGAGAATCAGCACGTTTTCAACATGGCCTGCTGGGAAATTCTCTTCAAGAGCCTGTTGGTCGATATCAAGACCCTCACCTTCCTTGATCCAACGAACCTTGACAGAACGATCGATAGAATCGGAGGGTTGTTCTTGGGCCTGGGTTCTCGCCTGAGCCTCGTGGGTCCTTTGTGTCATGACCGCCTCTCTTTTCTTCCGGTTCTCTTCAGCGATTCTCTTGATCTCGAGCTCCCTGTCGCTCCATGTCCTCTTCACGCCGCCCACAGTGGTCGTAGTGCCTGCGAAATTGCCCTCCCTCTTTTCCAAGTCCTCCTTCATCTTACGCCTCCGGCTCTCCAGCGCAGCCGTCTCCGCCAGACGCCTTTGCTTGGCCTCTCGAGTTTGGTCATATTTGGCTTTCTCCGCGGCGTCCGTCAGGACACTTATGGCGGTCTGTAAAAGCTGGAACTTGTCCAAATTTTCTGGTGTCGGTTTGACTTTGTCCGGGTGGTACAGCAGGGACGTTTTTCGATATGCGCGCCGGATTTCAGACTCAGAAGAAGTCGCCGGAATGGCCAACAACTCATAATAATCGACAGAGCCATCGGTATCGCTGGTTGGCGCCATATTGACCGCTTCCTATACCGAAGCTGGTCGTGTGGACTGGCCCGTCTGCGAGTTCAGGCAAACATGAATGTTTGAGGCGGCAGAAAGGACGTCGACTAGTTTCAGTTCGCTGCTGCTACGGTGAGCCATGAGGTTGAGAGGTGCAATGCGGGCAGACCTCATTGGTTGGTACAGTAGCTACTTACCTGAGGTAGTCTGAGTACCTTCGCAGGTACTTAATCTTCATCCTAAAATCTTCCATCGCATACAGCGTCAACGTACTTTATTCTTTACTGTGGATAGTGTGTTGCCTTGGGATACAAGGACGTTTTTGGAATCAGAGGTGGAATGTCTGGGAAAGGTGGCGGGGAAGGCAGGTTCAGAATGGTTGAATATTTGTCACGTCAACTGCGACTTTGATGTAGGTAGTCGGAGGGAGGTCTGGGGCACCACCAAGTGATATGGAGCTCGACGGTGTTTCCCTGCTTTCCTGACAAGATGATGTCTCTCAAGCGAGCAGTAATCTTCCAGAGGACTCGAGAAATATTTGCCCTGCCCGGGAACGCAGACTGAGTGGCACCTTCCGCAGAAAGCCACCCCAAGTCTGCCTCCAGCTGTGATTTTGTCTGAACTGCATTCCTTCAACTTTGTTTTCTTTTAGTTGTCCATCTCGTACGCCTCAAATTTACTTGTTCCTGGGACGTTGGTGTCGATCCTGTGCCATTGATAAGGTCGCAGTGGCAGGCCCGGACATGGCCCGCTGTAGCAGCGGTGTCGACCATGAGCATTCGAGCAGCCTTCCCTCTCCCGCGCAGCTCGCTCTCGCATTTATAGTGGTACGATCAAAACCACCACATATGTCAATAGAAGGTCTACACACGCACACTATTGCACACCTGGCTTACTGACCTTGCAAAGGCCACATAGATACCCTCCGCAGGGCAGTTGAAGAGCGTACTCACAGCACCAACTCCTCGACTCATCACTTTGATGCCATCAACTACTGGAAAGAATGCTACGAGACATCTGAGTTTGAACGATTGAAACTTCTTGACGAGGTCTTGGAACTTAGGCAAGAAAGGGACGCATTCCATGCTCCCGGGAAGTCAACGCCCGCTAAAGCACGGCGAGCTTTAGGAAAACGGAAAAGAGATGTCACACCTGCCCCAGGGATTAAAATGCAATCAAGAAACGGGGGATCTACTGCAGAGGATGATTTAAGCCAGGATGGCATTGGCTTTGAGACTGAAAACCTCGACTGGCCTAACCCGAGTAAAATCCACATCTCCCGTTTAAGGAAGGTTGGATGAACCATTAACGAGGTTTAGATCGCCGAGCGCTCCTTCGAGGATTCAGATCTCTGCGTTACGCTCTTCGACTCAAGGAACCAGATCAAGGCCGCGCCGGCACGGCGATTCAGTCTATGATCAGTGCCATCTGCAGAAGCATGCAGCCCATCGAAGAGGGAGGCCAGCCCCAGGCGGAGGAGCAATCCATTGACTACCTTTGTCGGCTAATACGACACGTCTACCTGTCCATCTTGGAAGGATTGGATATCACTGGGCCCGAGAAAGGCCATGATGGTGAACAATATTTCCCAGAAGTGTCGGCAATTGTCAGGTTATTCCAAACCATTCTAGGGCGTCTGCATAAATGTGCTCTAGATGAGTTTGTCACACGGCATGATGAGGATAAGAACAGGAATAAGGGGCGACGCTCTGGCACGAAATCAATCGCTGGAACACCACACAACTCTTCCCCTGGCTTTGCTCGACAAGCCGAGTCTCTGACTAGGACGTTGGTTAGGATGATTACAGATCTCGATGCATCTAACACTAATCATTGTGAAATTTTGGAGGGGATTTTGTGCGCTTTTTTCGACCACGCCGGCTCTTCGTTGTCGCTTCTGATATTCGGGGATTCGAAGCAGAAGCATAAAAGCTCGACCGGAGTCCTTCCACCACGAGGCTTGTTGGATGTCGCTCACCTTGATTTGGAAGCTGCAATGGGCAGCGCGACACTTGAAGGCCCGTACCTAGTCTTTATTTTGCGAAAATCCATCGAGTTTCTGCATCACAGCACGAAGCGCATGTCCGAAGATTCGTTGTTACTTTTTTCAGTGCAGAAGCCGGATACGACACACCCTGGCCGACTTCGACGATTGGTTGAAGAAACGCTCCAGAACACTTTACTCAGGGGGGTGTATGGGGATGACGACGACACGTTTTATAATGCCTTGAGGCGTGATGAAGGTGCGGATGAAGATGGAGATGATGTGGCCAAGATGATGGAAGATATCAGGCCGGATGAGGATGGTGCAGAATGGTTTATTGGACAACTCTGGGAACATTTGGGCTGGGATATACTATCTGGCCAGAAAGGGCTATAAGACTTCGAAAAGATCAGAGGTGCAGAAGTCCTTTTTTAGTCTGTCTAAGCATCTCAATGCATGTCTTACTATGTACAATGTGGACACCACATCCAGGTACTCACTCGTATGTGTCCCAGCTAGAGGAAAGCTGAGAGAGAGGCAAGGTAGAGTTTCCCATACCTCGTCACAGGTCCAGGCCAAGGACCCTCACCGCATTTCCGCCCAAGATCTTTCGCTGCGCCTCTTCGTTCTGGGGAAAGCAGCCATCAATCGCGCTTATGTTACTTTCCACGCTCAGCCACTTGCTATTCTTGTCATCCCCTAGCGGGGGGAAGAAAGGGTGATCTGTGCCGAACATGACCCGATCTACACTTCCGGCCGCCTCGATCGCGGCTTTTAGCCCAGGTTGGCCGTAGATGACAGCGTCGAGATAGAGATTCGAGTGTAGGACCTCCCAGATTGACCGTTTCGGACCTTGCCTGTGACCCCCGTTGGCGATGAACTCCCGCTCGTGGGCCACACACGATTCTATTCGCCCGGCCAGAAAAGGCAGAGTTCCGCCTGAATGAGCGAGGAGAAACTGGAGCTGAGGGTGTCTGTCAAAGACGCCGGCCAGATACATTCTCGACACGGCGATGGTGGTTTCGAGAGGGAACCCCAAAGCGAGAGGTAGTACATGGCCTGACTTTGCAATGGTCTCCTGCCCGCCAAAGGCAGAGTCAGGAAGCCCGTAGTGCGGATGGAGGAAGACGAGAGTATTTGTTGCAGCCAACGCAGCGAAGATCTCGTCAAGGGCCGGGTCATCCAGACCTTGGCCCAGGCCGGTAGTTCCCATGATGACGCCTTTGACATTGGCCAGCGTCTTGAGGCGGTGGATCTCCTGGACAATGTCCTGCGAGGGCGCTGACAGAGGCAGGCAGCCAAAGGCATAGAGTTTCAAGCCTGACGGCTGAGCGTTGTTCTCGGCACAGGCTTTGTCGAGGTCGTCGTTGATCTCCTGGGCAGTGGGAAGGGCCGACTCTGGGTCCAAGAAGTCAAGCCACGGGTTGGCCAGGCTGATGACGCTGCAGGTGATGCCGTGAGCCTGCATGAACTGACGTTTCTGGTCGAAGGAACTGTATGTGCCGTCGACAGGCCGGCCGCGAGCGGACTTGGGCCGTGCAGGGTCGTCGTCGGACGCAAGGATGATCAGCCTTGGGTCGGCATTGGGGTCTTCGGAGGGTTGGTGGATGTAAGGCACGGTGCTGCGGGAGGAAAGCAGTCGGATGTAGGACGGCGGATACATGTGCGTGTGAATGTCGACGATGGGATAGGATGAAGACATGGCTGGTGGCGAGACTGGCTTGGTTCCTGGTTCTTGGTTGGTAGAGGGAGTGGTGGAGGGAGAAAGATAGGAAACCCAGGAGAGACGGCGAGGTCGAGGACGAGGTCGAGCCCGAGATCTCGAATGGTGGTCTGAATCTGTCTTGTCGTCGTCTGCCCATGCAAGGGTCTAGGGTCTAGGGTCTTGTGCGTCTTGGGTAGGTTCTGGAAGCTAGAAGGCGTTCGGTGTCCAGATAAAATGTCATGATATACGGGTCCGTACAAGAAGTCTGACGTTCCGTCCAGCGGCGTCCTCCGACACTATCAAGGCGCAGGCTACACTCGCGTTGATACAGATACTACATAATTAATTAATGTACGTAGTACTCCGTACAGATATTAATTACATATTTCCTGCTTGCACCCACGACCTCTCTTATCGCATCCCTGGTCCAATCAGCCGTCGGTCCCTGGTGTGGCCTGTTGCCGTCGACGAAGCCGCTCAGCTTTGGCCATTTAACCCTCTGGCTCCCTCCCCGCTGCGTCTGATGTGTTTCGTCAAAGTCACCACCGCAACCCAGGACATACCACACTCCGGCCGCAAGCCACAAACCGCAAGCCGCAAACCGCAGGGCAAGTGATTGAGGTTAGCAGAGGGGGTTGCGTGAGGTTACTACACATTGATCCTCCAAACCTCTACCCGCTCCTAGAGGCCCACTTCGGCCTCGTCACTCAGCTACAGCATGGGCTCGATAGAGAACGGGGTGCAGGCCCAGAAGGGTGTCGAGCAAGATGACTTGGTCATGCCGGTGAGTTGGACTGCAAAGGCTCCCGTCCACGTTTCTCATCCCCCGAGTCGACCGAACCTAGCCACTGACCCGCCGCTCTGTGCGTGCGCAGTTGATCGACTTCGGGGCGTTTCTGCACGGTGACAGGCCCACGAAAAAGGCGACGGCCGACCAGATCTTGCACGCCTTCACGACGTCCGGGTTCCTGTACCTCCAGAACCACGGGGTGCCGCAGGAGATGGTGTCGCAGGCGTTTTCGCAGTCGGCGCAGTTCTTCGCCCGGCCACAGGCGCAGAAGGACACGTTGGGCTGGACCACGCCGGACGCGAACCGCGGCTACGTGACATGGGGCCGGGAGAAGGTGACGCAGTCCAGCGACCCGGAGGAGATCGCGCGGCTGCGAGCCTCGAACCCCGACCTGAAGGAGTCGATGGAGATCGGGCGTGAAGGCGTCCCGGGCCTGCCAAACCGCTGGCCGACCGAGCTGGACGAGGCGGGCGCCCAATTCACCCGCGACATGCAGCGCTTTTTCCTGACGCTCAAGGACCTGCACGTCAACGTGATGCGCGCCATCGCCACGGGCATGGGCCTGGACGACGAGCACTTCTTCGACAGCTACACCGATGCCGGCGACAACACCCTGCGCCTGCTGCACTACCCGCCCGTCAAGCGGAGCGTGTGGCGCGACAACCCGTTCCAGGTCCGCGCCGGCGAGCATTCCGACTACGGCTCCATCACCCTACTGTTCCAGGACCACGTCGGCGGACTGGAAGTCAAGTCCCCGCACGGCACTTGGGTGCGCGCCACTCCGATCGACGGCACCATCGTCGTCAATGCCGGCGACCTGCTGGCCCGCTGGAGCAACGACCTCATCAAGTCCACCAACCACCGCGTCATCCAGCCTCCTCCGCCCAAGGATGTCGAAGCAGACAACGACCCGGAAGCCCTGATCCCCGCCCGCTACAGCATCGCTTACTTCTGCAATCCCAACTTCGACCGCCTAATCGAGGCCCTCCCCGGCACCTGGGAGAAGTCGGCCAAGAAGTACGAGCCCATCAACAGCGGCGACTATCTGGTCAGGAGACTCGCTGCCACGTACTGATGAGATTGCTCGAGCGAAGGGTTGAGTGGTCGCATAGGGGAAATCCCAACCCAGTAGATCAATTCCGACACTAGGAGGGGGTAACCGTAACGTGGGAGATCATGCCAGAACGAGCACGGGTGGGTTTGGCTGCGATGATGGATGACGGACGACGGACGACGAGATGATGAGATGATGGAGGTTAAGAGAGTGTCTTTCAGAACAGAAACAAAATGTGGCGTAGCGTGTGTTGAACAAGTCTTGAAGCTTTGATTTTCCATGTCCCGTATCATCGGCCATAGACCCAAAAATCAGAACGGGGAATCGTTTAAAGGGATATAACACCCCTTTGCTCGGTGAGGATCTTCACAGAGCAAGAGAATACTCGGAAAGAATCTATTGAACTGCCCATTGCCCACAAACGAAGTGAGAACCCTCTTGGTATCACGTACATACAGCAGAAAAAAGCATTACACCAACCCGGCCCCTGTTTCCGAACGCCTACGCTTCACCACCCATAAGCGAGTTCTGTCGTCTTGCTAACGTCGACGGGCCGGGGTCTCCTCCGCCCTCGCCTCTTCCACTCATCCCAATAAACGGCCTCGCTGTATCTGGCTCTGACTCTGGCCCTGTATACCTCGAAAACTCCGCCTCTCTGGCAGAGGGTTCGGGCCTGGCGTCGACACTCCTGTTCACGCTCCTGCTCCTGCTCCTCCCCCAACTTCTGCTTCTGCTTCGATTTCTGGACCGGCCGAAACGGGAATACTCGCCGCGCCCATCGCGGTCACCGCCCCGGACCATCATGAAATCACCGAACCCGGTACCTTGGGGTCTGCGCTCACCAAGTTCCCAATCTTGGTCGTCCGCGCCGTCGGCCCTGGCGCCCACGTCTACGCCGAAGCGGCGCCGTTTGCCCAGCGACTTCCGTTCACGCCACCAGCCCATGCTGTACCTCTTACCGCCAAACACCATCTCGAACTGCGCCCGGGGCATCCACTCTGCCCCGTCAGGGATGAGTTGTGCGCGCTGCATCTCGTCGGGCTCATCGTCACCACGGCCGTCATTCTCATCCAGTGGTATGCGTATACTTTCGAGACGGGTGCCGACAGCGGTATTGTCAGAGCCAATCGATCGTCGCCGCAGTTTGCCGCAGCACTCGCACAGGGCTTCGTCGACGCTGTAGCATAGATCGCTGCCGGCCAGGAGCGACATGGTCCCAGCCAGCGAGCACGGGTTGCAGGGTAAGACGCGCCGCATTTTGGTGCTAAGCCAGGACGCCGCCGACAGCGCCGTCATGACGCCCAGAAGTATTTGCAAAGTTAGCTTACTGTCTTTGTCTTGCACGAGGCGGGCTGTTGTAATTGTGGTGCTGATGGTACTAGTCGTCGTGGAGTCCTGTCGCGGGTGCAGTTGAGAAGAGGTGCTGCCCTTGTCTAGGGGCACGCGCATATTGATCGAGATCACCTGGGCCATGTAGACGCGGTAGAAATGGTTGACGGCGTTGACGAGGACGTCCTGGTTGTTCTCGCCCGCGAGAGACGCCGGGTCATGTTTCTCTGTACCGTTGAGAACGGCTTGGAAGTAAGCATCGAATTGATGGATGCCTGACGGGTCAGAGACTGGCGTGCCGCTGCCGTCGAACCCGGTCATTTCTTGAGCCAGGTTATTTTGAATGCGGAAGTCGAAGGATTTGGCGCCAGTGGTGCTCGCCGGGTTGTCATGGAGGACGATACTGCCGTCTTTCACCACAGGTGGATGGTCAGGATCAATTGTAGTACTATTTGGCTTCAACGTGACATGCACATCCAGACTTTGGAGCTCCTGATAGCAGATCATTGTGGTGACCTGGCTTTTGTCTGTGCTGCTCAGCCTGAAATGGCCAAATGTGAAGGCAAGACTCGGGCACCCTACGGCAGGATTGTCGCCAATGTACTGGCCCCGAGCCTCACCATAGTTACCGTAGAGTGTCGCGTTTTCCCCGAACAGCAAATCCAGCTGCGCGCCCGCATAGGTTCCCTGGCCGTCTTCAGCGAGCTCAAAGTTATTCTCGTAAGTAACGAAAGAGGCATTTCCCTGGTATCCACCAAGAAGGCACGAATCCGGCAGCATTGCCGTAGCCACCACGAAGGCTTGATCCGTCGCATATGCAGAATCAGGTCCTGCCTTTTCCGTGGTCACGTTGAAAGCAGTCTCCGGTAGGACTTCACACCTCAGGTTACCGCGCACAGCAGGGAACACGTGCTTCCAGGGGGCGTTGACTGTACTGGCCGTGTCGGCTGGAAGGGCCGAGTTGTCCAAGGAAAGCTTCGGAAAGACCAGTTCTTCATACGTGAATTGAGGGTAGCTGATATTCTGATGCATCATAAGATCCACCAAAGCGGCCGCCCCAGTGTCCGTGGCAAAGCTATTTGGCCATCTCAGGTCGAACGAGTCAAGTTGGTTGAGAGATACATCAGGCCCGTCGACCGTAAAAGTTTGCACGTAGAAGAGTCCCGAGGCGATTACTGTGAGGATACTTGCCAGCATTGCTGCTGTAATGCTAAGAAGAGCGCCTGGATACCGTGTCCTGAAAGCCTGTAAAAATGCAGATGGCGGCGATCTGCCCAAAATGTGGTTCAGGACGGAATTCCTGCTAGTTGCGTTGCCTCTGACGAGGCTGGCCCAAGGTCCAAACAGAGCGACGTTGAAGTCAAGCATGTTGGCTAATGTTGCGAGAAGCAGCATGACGATACTGGGAACATAGTGGCTGTAGACCTCCGTCCATTTGGTGTCAGTGACGGCGTAGAAACCATTGTGTGTGTCGGAGGACCGCTGGATGATTTCCAACATCACGATAATCACCAAGGGCAGGATTAGCGTTAAAATAGTGACAGGAATACTAGTTGTGATAGGCAGCCACCATTTCAGATCCATGTTTGGCTCCTTCTCTCGTTTGCCTGACTCTCCTTCAGAAGTGACAATCTTGAAACTAGTCTTTCCCGAATCTGTAGTTGCAATAGCCGTACCGAACTCGTAATTCGCCAGGGCGGATTTTTGATTTGCCTGGCTCGGGATACCCTGTCGTCGAAGAAGTCTGTTGAGTTCCGTGCTTCTTGTGAGAATCGTGGCAACCGTGGCAATCGAACTTGGATTTCGGGGAACAACAGCCCTTGGAGCGACGAAGATCAAAGCAATGCAGAAGAAGATAAGCAAACCAAAGACAGAAGCCATTGTCCATAACGAAACGTCGTTGACACGCAATCTTCGTTCTTTGCTGGTCACACTTCCCCCTTCCACAACACTGTTGCTGTTGGCCCTTAGTACTTGGTGCGCGTATTGCGATAGGATGCCTGTATAGGTATCTCGCGCGGCCGAGACCAACTTGTCCGCCTGCATCAGTGAGTCGATGGCTTGAGAGCCATGCGTCAGAGTCATAAGGGTGAACATGGCCTCGGAATCGGATCTAGTGTCGTCGTTGATGGTGTCTCCAAACAGCGCCTCGGCAGATATGGATGATTGTCGGAAGACATTGGTAGCATTCCATTGGGAAAACGGTGGCAATGTGCCGTTGGTGGCACCTTCACTTAATGTAACTGATATCGCCTGATTGCTGTCCGCTATGCGAGTATCATTGATGACGTTGACTTTCGTCATGGTGTATGAAGCTTCACAGAAGACATTTGTCATGTTGGTCAGGGTTCTGGAGACATTACTTGCAATTGTGAAAGCACCTCCTGCCAGACCAGTGGCATTGTCGAACAGTGTCTGCTGGTAATGAATATCGGTAATGGTGAACAGCAGCCCTAGAGGTTCTTTCGAGTCTGATTCACCGCTGTGGATAGACCCGCAATAAACCTCTTGTACGGTACCGTTGACCTGGTGGCTGGGAAGTATCTCGGTGTATGGATTGCCCGCAGCAACGCTGAGAGATGTGGACTGGTCACAAATGTCGCCTGCTTGGATGGTGAAAGAAATGTTGCTTGAAGTGGCGAAAGTGTCGGCGGCATTGGAGTCGTCCACAATGGTCGGCGTGTCGAGCTTGACGTCCAACCTCTGGCAGGTCATTGTTGGTATAAAGGCGTCTACGGCGCCCCATATGACGGAACCAGCGCTGATCGGAGAAGTGGAATTGACTGTCATCACTGCATAGGCCAGGTCGAACCTAACACCATTCTCCAAAGGCATCCCATGCGCCTTTGTTCCATAATATGCATACACGGGTGAAGCCGACAGAGTTGATGTATTGAGAGCAATGCTTGGGTCGAAACTATCGGCACTAAACCCTCTGGAAAGCACGGAACTGCCTGCAAGGGGGACGTGAGATGGAAGGAGAACAAGCAAGCCTGTTGCAAAAACAGTCGCAACTTTCAATAAGATGAACCCAGTAATGGTGCAGATGACGGCAAAGTGACTGTTTTCAAACGCTTCCAAAAGTGACACAAGTTGAAATTTGGAGATGTAGTCGACGAAAAGACTCTCTGATGGTTTGATGGGACCGTTCTGGAGGCTGTCGAATGGCATAGCCAGCTTCGAATGGAAATCGACCATCCTCCAAGCAGCTACGACGACGACGACGATGACGGTGGGAGCATACGCCCAAGCAAGATGGCTTGTAGCTTCATCCACTCGAAAACCATGATTGCGGTCGTCATAATGCCAAAGAAGAACTAGGCCGATCAAGAGCCCGGCGAAGACGAGGGCAAAAAGAGCCAGCACCCATTTCGTTAGCCAGATAGGGGTCCAGAGCTGTGGTATCGGTTCCGGGGAGGGAAGCAGATACGCCAAGTCTGCCTGGCGTTCTGAGGGTTCGCGGAGAGGGATGGAGTTGGGCTCGTCTTCTTCGTCGATGGGAGATATCGGGACATATTGGCGGCCTTCAATTCTCTGCGAGATGCTTGGGGGCGGTTGCCGGATCCCTGGCGCGGTATGTATTGAGGGAAATCGCAGAGGTGTCTGCTGATTCTGAAATCTCGATCGTGGTTCGGGCAACTGAACGGCAGAGCGTTCATGGTCATGTCGCCGTTGTCTGGCCCGAGCACGTTCAGCATCGGTCACCGGCACGTCGAGAAGGACAGCTGGTTGCACGTTGTCCATGGTTTGAGGGAGAGGTGTATGGCGACATGGCTCCTGTGGTTAGACAGGCTGTTTCATCTTCCTTTGCGCTCATCTGGGATCTGGGGATAGTCTGATGGATTTCTGTTCAAAGAGCAAATCAGTTACTTCACCATTCGAAGAAGATGCCCCGGTTAGCAGTAGGTTACAACAAGGCCAGCATGTTCGGCCCTAGCATACTGGGTTCACATTAGTCGTCTCAGCTGCAAATAGCACCGGTTGGACGGACAGGCATTGCAGGGCCAGGCCAAGTCAGGCGTCCGGGGGGGGCTGAGATGAGGATGGATCAGCCAGGATCATGGATGGTGCCCCCAAGAAACTCAGCCCAGATAGGTGCCTGAGGTCTGACAAGCAACCTGGTTCGATCCTTGTCGCCTCGGAAGAACTTGTCCTCGATGTGGCTTAGCAGCTTGGGTGAGACGAGGCGCCTCTGCCTTCTCAACCAGTCTCATGTTGTGCTGCGTTGTGGTCACTCGCCACAGCTTCTCTCGGCGTGAGGAAGACCGCACTAGCTTCTGCTGCGCCGCCATCGGCTTATATCAGTCATCCATGCCATGGACAGTCCGCTGGAAGAAACAATAAGAACATTACATATTGAGGATGCGGACACGGGGAAAGAGTATCCGCAGGTTGCAGGTTGCAGGTTGCAGATGTCGATGTCCGAGTGCAGGCCACAGCGTATGTGTTGGATCTTATGCAGGACTAGAGCTCCGGCAGCCGCCATGTTGGAGGGAGAAGTACGGAGTACAGAGTATAGTTATTATAATCCTGTTGACCGGATGCTTGCCTCTGGCGACCAGTCCCCGGCAGTAATGCCTACTACTACTCCGTACTGCTAAGATGCTCTCATCTTAGCCCCAGTCTTCTCATCTTTGGTCACATAACCATAATGGATTAGTTGAATGCAGTCTGCCCTCAGGGCGACGCTGCCCGCAGCTCCAAGTAACTATCCAGCTTCGTGCTGAAACCCGTCGGGTTTGTTCCGCTGGCGCTGTTTCCTCCATCGCAGGAAAGGCGCCTAACAGGCAATAACATATGTGTGGATCGTATCCCAACGTCGCGATCGATAGCCCTGTGCTATGGTCCCATGTAGCCAGAGTACACTGCTAAGAGTACATTGTCAAGTCACTTTTTGGGGGCTGTGGTAGGAAAAGAAGAACGAGGAGTCGAGATGGGAAGGCAGCCTCTTAAACGATCATCTGCGCCACTCCCTGTCCCCCAAGAGTCTTGCTCCCAACAAAATCTTGCTGTTTCAGTCCTGCCAGGGCATAGCACAACCCTGCCAGCGCCAGGAAAACGGCTGCCGCAATCAGGCTACTACTGTCCACTATGATGCTGAGCCATTGGACCAGCGACATGACCCCATAGATTGCCGCCCTCATGTAGTTGGTGGTGAACCGACGGATAAAGGCGTCGAACTTGGACGAGGTAGGGCAGATTCGCAGGAGGAGAGGGATTTCGATGAAGATCAGGATGAGTGCTGAGCAACTGCGGGACCGTCGATGTTAGCAAATCCAGCGAGAGGAGGACCAAACTACTGCGGCTTAGACTCACAGCAGTATGACGCTGAATATGATCAAGAGGTTAAAGTGAAAGATGTTGGCAATGCCCAACGCGAACCCCAGGATAATGCAAAGGACCCCGAGCCTGTGGGATCTTGTCAGTCCTGTCATTCAATGCTGTTGACCCTCCTGCGAGTCTACGCTCCAAGCGTGGTCCAGGTATTAGTGATAGGCACAAGAGCAGACTCGTCGTCTGGGAACTCTCGAGGGCGATCTCATGGCGACCGTGTTGCAGGTTGAGGGGTGCTTACCATTGCCCGTAGATACCTGCGCAGGTTGTTAGTTGGTTCCGAGGGCAGGCGTAGACCGCGACAAAAACCACTTACTGAAATTGCGCGACCTGAATTCTTCAGCCAGCGTCATTGTGAAGTGGTTGTTTCGCTCAAATGCTTCGCGTTTCGACCTGCGAGACCACAGCAGGGTAGGGTCAATGGGGACTGAATGTGAATCGCAGGGTCTTGGGGACGGCGCTAGCTAGACAATGTCAAGGATGCTGTGAAAGTAGCCGCTGGCAATCGATTGTATTTGAAGTGAGAGGTGTTGTAAAGGGGGTAGAGGCTTCAATTAATCAAAGTCGTCGTTGATGACAGTTGGACGGAGAAAGTTGTGGCAGGTGCAACAACCAAACACGGGCAAGGATGCGGCTGGCGTCTGTCTGTCTGTCTGTCTGGCGTCCGGCAAGATGTGGGATGGCCTGGCGCAGCACAGTCAGGACTGCACAGTGCTCGGATTCCACTTTACAGCAAGGTACACCGTACTCCGTACTGTTTCTTCACCACGGACGTACAGTTGGGTAGGAAATGTAGCAGCCTGCTCTCGGTGCCTTGAGAGAGAGGTGGCGCCACGACATAACCTGCGGCCACGCGTTGCGCGGTCACTCCGAGGTCTGACGATTTTCCTTTGTTCATGATTAGGTAAGAGCACTCCCGATGCCCCTACACGTCGCAACCGTTCAGCCTCGTCCACCACCATCGGGTTTCTGCAATCCGCTGGCCTTGAGCTTTCAGCCAACGTGCATGATTAGAGTCTGGTATGGAGATTGTATCTGACGAATGGGACTCGGGATTATGTCTCATGACTACCCACGCTAACCCATTGCTTCTGCTCACAGTAGCCTCCGAAGCATGGTCTTGCATTAGGACGTGGACTGAAGTGGAATCGGCCACGATGAATGGGTTCTCTATCATCGTATTCATTGTCTGCCGCTAGGTCGACGCTTCCTTTGCTTCTGCTACAAGCTGCCTGGTCCCAATTCTGCGCCCTGCGATATGCATATCACCTTGCAGACCTGGCTCGCGCCATAGCCAACCAGATCCTCCGAAGACTCGGCCTTTCGAGAGTTGGTCTCATCAGGCTGCAGCATACACCACTGTTTATTGTGTTAGCTTCCTCAACAAGCTTGAGATATCCCACGTACATCGAAAAACGTCGTTCTGCACGTAATAACTTCCGGCATCAGGTAGCAGGTTAAAGACTTGCACGTAGCTCATGGGCTGTGGTTGATCGTCCACCTGTTCAAACCATTTTTTTCCCTGTCAGCGCTGTATGTGGCAGCGAATCGCACCCATCGACGCGACAAGTCTCAGTATTATTGGCGACCACATACCATCAGAGCTCCAGTTACCATGACCAAAATTCCTCCAGTCTCGTTTGACGGCTGTGCGTCCGCTGTATCAACCCGGTGTTGGACTTTCTGGAACGGCAGATTCTGCGCAATCCCAATCAGTGCCTGCTTGCCCCAACATCCTGTAAATCCGCCTCAACCATAGTCAACCTACCGTCAACTTCTCCAGGATACTCTGAGTGCCTTGAAACGGATCTTTCTCGAACGTGAGCATGGAGTTGGGTCTCTGTATTTAATGTATCCCATCAGCATCGTTCCAAAAAAGGATTCGCGGGGTGCTTTCTCCAGGGAGCACGTACGTAGAGGGCAGCCAACTGTGCGCGGTCGCCGTCGAAGGTCTTGTAGTAGAAGTCAACAAATTGTTCTAAGGCATGTTAGACGCATGATCGCGTGAGTTGTTGTCAACGGAGGGACATACGAGCGATGGTCTGGAAGTCTGCATACACAATCTGTCAGCCATCTTTCCTCAAACATCTCTTGCACCTGGCCCCTCTGGGTGCAACCGGGACACCCACCTGCCATCTTGATGAAACGGTCGGTGGCCTCCCAGTCGGTGAATTGGCGAACCTCTCACAGACTTCAGAGTCGCGGGATGTATGGTCTGGTGCAAATTGTACTGGTAAGAAGACGGATATGGAGAGACAGCCCGCAGGCCGGTGTTTGTCTGGCGTCAGGTAGCAACAGCATCAAACCAGGTCACGTGCAAGGATGCTGCCAAGCACCTTTAATCACTGACTCTTGCTCTCTTTTTCTTCCCTTCAATACATTTAGCATATGGTGGCATATATAGATATTAAGCATGTATCTCCTTTTCGATGGCATCGATGAAGCCCTTGACTCAGGATTTAGCTCGTCAAATATATTATTCAAGAGAGCAGCTATGCGGTAAGCAGTCTCCCACTCCCTCCTTGTTTCCTCCGTCACATTTCCCTCAAGCTCCGATGATGTTCATTTATATCCTCAAGCGAGGCGGTGTTAAGCCGTCGCTGAGTATCAAAAATTATGTCAAAGCTCAACAGTCTGAGAAGCTTCAATTCATGGCCCTTCGTCCATCTGCTTGCCGACACCTGATGCAATCTTCTGCTGACTTTGTTCTTCTACCTAGAATCACCGCCGACTAGCTCTTTCAGGAACGGCACCACCAGACCTGTCCATGGCGAAGAACGGGGTTTCATGACAGTGCATCTATGCTCCTATTCCTGGAATTATTAGGCTGGTTTCAGATTTTCCTTTCTCTAACATGGACATTCAGCTCATCACCTGGATGGCATCGCTGTCCGTGTCATTGTCAAAATGTACTCCTTTCCCTGATCTTGGTTCCATCCGCGCCGCACATACCCAGCGGAGACTCATCATCTCCTTCCGCCTCTTGCACAGCCTGCGCGTTCGCCACGCTCGCCTTCCCTCTTATGCCAGGGATCACTTGGCCAAACCCAACCTCTTACAGTCCTTGCTTCTCTCTTCTCGCCCATCTGTGGTTCGGGAATCCACTTGTCTTTGCCGTCTTTGCCCAGTTCCTCGATATCGCCATCTTCGTCCAGCGTGATTGTGCTCTCACCGTTGCCTCCATCCCACACTCTCTGTCTTGTCAAAGCTCCTGGACCTCCGACATCCATGAAACTGGCTGGCTGGCCTGGTAGCGGCGTCGCCTTCGCCAACATGAGAAGGTAATACAAAGCTAAATTGACTGTCATGTCCACCTCCCCATCCCCGCTTCTCATGGAAGCACCAGAGGAATTGCGAACCGAGGTCTTTGTTTCTACCGCCTCTGCCACTTCGAGGAAGCCAAAGTAAGGCTGACCTCGTTCGTCACAGCCAGCCCGAACGCAGACGAGCTCGATCTCGGTGATGATAAACCCATACCGGCAGCTATGATCACGCATGCATTTCTGGAGGTGCGCCAGGGCCCGGAGGTATTCCACTTTGCGGGCGGGACCCTCACGACACATGCCTGTGTTCCAGCGATCGAAAGATCGTACAAGGCCGACAACTCGGCCTCGAGGAAGTCCTGAAAGGGTGCGATCATTATCGCTAGAATAGTTGGCGAGGAACGTGGGTATATTAGCTGGGTTCGCACTCACTCCTGAAGTGGCTGGAGCGGTAACGGGGTACAGCGAGATGGAGTTGTGACCAAGTGATAACCTTGTGGCAGCATTGACTTTGGGAAAGAATATCTTCGTGATGAGACTAGCAAGGTCGGCCTCCGATGCTGGTGTGACAGTAGTAGGATTGTTGATGGAAAGTGGGAGGCATGATGCGTCGTGTTGGAAATTAAGCAACGTGAAAAGATCCGGGATCGTTGACATTGTTTGCAGGGAAAAGGATTTCCAAGGTCGAATATTACGGACATCCCACCAAAAATGGTTGGTGAGGCCACGACCGGTCTGGAACGTAAGATGTCGGACTAGGTTGATAGGCTGTGTTGGCTGGGTCAAGTAGCTAAGCAAGCTGCTAGTAGAGATTGTTGCGTGCATAGGTGGTGGACTCATGGAACATGTACGTGAAATGGCTTCCAGATCGATCGGCATGTCAAAGGTTCCTTCTAGGTTGATGATTGGGGGCTCAGGCATAGGCGTGTTCGTGTAAGGCATGAGCGTCGTTGCAAACAAGTCGGGAGACGGGGTCTGCTGGTCGTGGGACATGTATATTGGTAACTGACGGTATGTTGGATAGCCAAACCGGGTCAGGACGCTGGTATCGATGCTAGAAGCTGACGTCGAGCGGGAATGTGTCCTATGCGGTATGCCGAGTTTCGCTCTGGAGATGGTCGGTGACGGAACGACCGAGTTTGACCGGGATTGAGGCGCATTTGAGACTGGGGAAATCATAGGAATACAATCCGCAGGCACAGTCGCGCTCCTGTACATGGCAGGCCGGACATTCTTGGTGAGGTTTGTACTTGACAAAGTCCGTCGATGAGTGGAAGAGCGAGCAGCCACTCGAGGCTCCTGCGAGGAATCCTGGGTTCGGATCTTGGGGAGCAAGGTTGGGCCATGTTGACGTAGAACTGGTGAGCGATTCGGGGTCGTATTAGCTGTAATTACCGACTCGGGCGAGGTGTCAACTGTGCAATATGACGAGCTTGACAGATTCCGAGCATGACTGTGCTGGCCAGCAGCACTGGTAGCCTCTGGAGGCGTAAGTGGCCTGTAATAGTAAGGTGCCAGGGACATTCTGAAGACAAACAGTCAGCGTCTTGAGGACTCTAGGCAGTAAGGCCAACACTCACATATTGCAATTATGGGATTGCGTCGCAAGATCACGGGTCGGTGAGAAGCCAGCTTCTCGGGAAGTTGACTGTGGTGTGAGACGAAGGAAAACACAAGAACAAAGGAAACGAAATACCAATCGTGAGTAGACCGAGTATTAAGACTTGCAACCTGGAAGAACCAAAGGCTGAGAGAGCTCGGAGGGAGGGAGGGATCAGGTATAAATGGGTTGCGTGTATGCGACCCAGACCGGGCTACCAAAAGCCCGGTCCAACGATGTCCTGGAGGTCATCCTACAGATGAAACGTGGAGCAGCCGACGAGATGGCAAAGAAACAAACACGTCGGAGGGGTCGTTCGAGAAGCGGAACACGGGTTGCCCAGAACCTCGAAGCTGACCCGACCGCGGAGCGCGGAGCGCGATGGAAGACGCGCGCCAGAGGGAGGTAGGTACACGAACGCAGCTATTTCAGGGTGGAACGACGGGTCGGGTACCTCAGGAGATGCTCAAGAATGGCCGGAGGAAGTGTAACCACGCTTTGGATCGTTTCCAGATGTCTTACGAGGCAATCTGCGTCGGCGCTTGGTACCTATTTCAAGACGAGGCTCTGGGCGGCGGTAGCGGTTGTTTGACGGCAATCTGAGATTTGAAGCGTGGCAACCAGCAACGCGAAGCGCGGTGCATCAGATGAGAAGTGAGTACCCGTACTCCGTACTCCGCACTGCGTCCGGCTGAGAAGGCTGGTCGTTCAGCATCCGAGATAGGCGCTGAACCACTCGCAGCTTGTTTCACGCGCAGACCTTGTTTCAAGGCTCTGGCAATGTATGCATTGTGATTGGCAGCCACAGTAGGCGCCGCCGTGGGAAGGTTGAAGTTACAAGTTTATTCCAAGATCATGAGAGAGGGTGGCGCAGTTGATGCTCTCACCACTGCCACTGGCAGGTGACCGAGAAGGTCTGCCGAGAGGTGGCCCGCGAAACCTGCCTCCTTTGCTCGGATCACGTGCGCATGTCCCTCGCTTCGTCGTCTTCACGCGCCAAACTCGCGCGCTGCCCCGTGACTCATCCTCCTGCAGCTGCTCACGACTTATCCACGAAATACGCACGAGAGCTCACCCAACAGCTTCGCTTACATGCACTGTGTCCTACCGTGCAGCTCTAGATTGTCATCCTGCATCACTTCGTGTCCTGTTGATGCATGGTCACTGACTCGGCACCATGCAAATGCAAGATGTGTTTCATCGTGCTGCCCTTGAACCCGAAACAGGCCGCTCACTGGTCCAACCTCAGCCTGACCGACAACCCACCTCGCTGGAGGTGCATCTTTGAGCGTGTCGATCACTCAGGTTGAGGCATGCGTAGACTTCTGAATCCTGTCAAACCTCTGCGGATGCACCTCTGCATTTCATCCAGTGTTATCGTGCAGATCAATGACTGTGTATTGCTCAAGAGCACTCCTGTTTAGCTCTAGCAAGGACTCGACCACGAGCCTAATGCAGACTTGTACAAGCTCGGGCAAGCTGCAACTCGCCCTCCATGGCTATAAGCCGATGCAAATTCGTCGCCATACCTGGCTGCCTCTATCGGAAAACCGTCTAGCTCGCCCACCAATCCGTTTTCAACGCCGGCTTCTGAAACACAACAGCTGCTGCAAGAATGATTCACCTCGCCTGTGCTGCAGTTTCAATTACGCCTTAATCTCATACTTTCTGCGGAACATGTCATCAACCTCGGTCAGGTAGTATGTTCCCGGAACCAGGTTCTCCACGTTGCCCACCGGTTTGAAGTCTTTCTTGAGATGAGCCTTCTCTCGCAGCAAGCACATCTCGTCATACACCTCCGGGGAAACGACCCGGCGATCGTCCAGTCTTTTCTGTAGATTGAGCTTCTCGAGCATTTCCGTAGTGTCACCCACAACCTTCAAGCTGAACATGGAGCTGGCCAAACCGCTACCGTAGCTGAAGACACCGATCCGCTTGCCGTGCAATGTTTTTGGAGGTATGCTGGCGAGGAGCCCGACGAGGCCTCCGTAGACGCTGCCACAGTACATGTTTCCGCACAAGGTGGCGACCTGAATGGAAGGGTGGACTCGTTCAGCGAGACGCTTTTTAGTCAGCGCCATGAAGGTTTTTTCGATGTTCTTGTCGGTCAGAGAGGCCTGATAGTCGATATCTCGGAGTTCTGGCGCAACCTCTTTGAACTGAGGGTGACTGGGGTCTTGGAGGAAGTCGTTGTACAACAGACGAGCGTATGACTTAGAGACGAGTTTGCAAGTTGGTGCGTGGAAGGCCATGTAGTCGAATCTGTCCAGAGGAGCTTCCTCGTCTTCTCCCCTGGCCACTCCGTTTCCGTTCGCGTGGCCATTGGTTGCCGCGCCGTTCGCCAGGGCTTTCAGTGTGTTCTCTCGAGCATTGTATGCTTTGTAGCACGCATCGATAGCTTCGGTGTAACATCTCAGCGAGAAGTGTCCATCAACGTAAGGATACTCGCTGGTCAGGTCAGGCTTGTAGAAGTCGTAGGCGTGAGTAATGTACGATCCTCGGAGTCCTGCTTCGAAGGCAACAGGTGCGTCAGGCCCAATCAACATAGCTACGCAGCCAGCACCGCCAGTAGGACGAGCATTGCCTTTCTTGTAGAGAGCAATGTCGCCCGCAACCACAATGGCATCCCGTCCGTCCCAAGCTGACGACTCAATCCAGTTCAAGCTGTTGAAAACTGCATTTGTGCCACCACTGTCTTCAGTCAGAACGTGTTTTCTCCGGGGTTGGGGTTCCAGTTCAGCGACACTCACTAGCAAGCATTGTAAGAGTCCACGCCCTCAACGTTGAAGTTGCCCGACTCTTCAAATAACTGCATCAAGACTGATTTCACACTCTTGCTCTTGTCGAGCATGGTCTCAGTGCCCACTTCTAATCTGCCGATGGTTTTCAGATCGATGGAGTACGCAGAGATGAGTCTCGCGAGGGTGGTGAGGGCAATCGAGTAGATGTCTGCTCAATCCTCGTTAGCAATGATAGTGACACGTGCGCATAGAAACGCCACCCACCTTCTCGGTCGTCACAGAAGGCCATTTTGGTCTGGCCGAGGCCAATTGTGTATTTTCCAGTTGAGACGCCATCGAATTTCTCCAGTTCAGCTTGATCAACGCACTAGGACTCGTGAGCACATGCCACTCGCATTGGACCTGAATTCTCGGCAGCCACACACCTGATTGGGGATGTAAATTTCGATGGCTTTAATGCCAATGTTCTGAGGTCGTGCAGCCATGGTTGGAGTGTGAATAGAAATAAACAGTAGTCTGTCTTAGGTCCAAGGAAATGGTCGAGTACTTTTATCGCAGGTTGAGAAGGCGGTGAAGTGGGGAGATGTCTAGTGTCGACAATTCTGGTGTGGAGGCAGAAACGAGAATTAATGTAGGCCTGTCGAACACCAACTGGAGAGCACACGAATCTAGCGAGAAGGAAAACGAGTCTTTCTTTTTCTCCGTAGTAGAGAATGTGTATTATGTATGGACGAGCAGAGGAAGAGAAGGACAGGGAGATATACCCCCGAAAACTCGAATGAATCTGTTGAACGGGGAAGCAAGGATCTGGCTGGCCGCGCCGACGTCGCAGGGAACTAACGTCCGTGACAGAGCTAAAGCTTCGAGGTCCAAAGTGGCCTAGTCGGAACCCTTGTGAGTATAGAGCCGACCAATGGTATTGGCCAAGCCTGGGCGGTGGGTTGCGGCAGGTGGGCAGCTCGCGCAGTGGCATCATTCGGTTCTGGTGGTTCCTGCATCGTGGGTCGTCACTCACAGACCCTAGGCGACTGGGAGGGGGCAACACCACACTGACAAGCGTCAAGGGGCCTTAGGCCAACATTCGGCATTCCTGGTTCCCTATCGTACTACTATGGCCTCATCATCAAATGGCCAACACACACAGTAGAAGACTGAGCTTGTGCTTGTCCTCTCCTCTCTACCATCGAATCTCCCTGGCCTGCTCGTCTCATCTCGGCTCTCTGTGACCCATGGTCACGCCACTGCTTCAACCCGAATTCTCAGCCATGGGAAGTCGAACTGTGACACTGGACACAACACTTCATCAAATAAACAACCCAGGAATAAAAAATAGATACTTCACACTTTGGTGGTGTAACGGCTCTCCTGTTTCTGTATCGTTCTACGCTAGCCATATTTCTAGACCTCTATATCTTGAGTCTATCGCTCACAGTGCCATGAAAGACAAGCCTTGCCTAGGAAATCGTTCAGTAAGAAGATGGCAGAACTCCAAGCCGACCGCCGTCAGTCACCACAGTGCATCCGTTAATGTAGGCTCCGGCCCTGGAGCACAGCCATAGAATCACTCCGGCCATGTCTTGTTCATCTCCGCTCCTGGTGGCAGGGATAATATCTTTGGGGAAGGTGCCTTCGACATTGTGACCTTCCGCTCTCCCTTGATTTTTGTACATGGTCTCTGTCATCTCGGAATAGTAGAGTCCGGGAGCAATGATATTGGCCCTGATATCGTACGGAACTAGGACTGTGGCCAGCTGTTTGGTGAGATGAATCACTCCAGCCTTGCTCGGGCCGTAAGAGAGGCTTGACAGTGGTTGCCTATTATACCCACCAATTGAACCCGTAGTGATGATCTGAGGCCGGGGCCTGAAGTTCTCTGCTGTTGGTGGTTGTGGCCGCTTCTTGTTCGCCTCATGGAGGAATGGCAGAAATGCCGCAACAGTGAAATGGATGCCTGTCAAATTGACGGCGTAGGTCGAGTTCACTGCCTCCGGTTCAGGCGCCCACATGTTGTCTACCAGCTTGTCGATGGACAGGGGCTGTCGATTTGCATCTAGCGTCGGGACAGAAGGACCAGATATGCCCGAATTTGCGACGAGGACGTCAATTGCGTCAACTTCTGCTCGGACTCTCTCGACGCATTTCTGTAAAGAGTCCTTAGACGTAACATCCCCCACCACCGGCACGATGGTATTTCCCGGGACAGAATTGGCCGTTTCGTTCAAGGAAGCCTCGCGACGTCCAATGATAAACACCTTGGAGGCTCCATTGGCCGCCAAAGCCCTAGCCATCATTCGTCCCAGGCCTTTATTAATTCAATCAGTATTGAGGACACGCACGGGGCAGGCAGGAGCTGGGGAAAAAGGAGTCACATCGTAGGAGAGGAAGAGAATAGTCCACAATTTGGGAAATCCGTACCTGAGCCACCGCCAGTCACAACGGCAACGAGGCCATTGACGTTGAAGAGGCTTCCTGCGTCGATCTTAGGAATATCTGCGACAGACATGTTTTCAGATAGTCTGTCAAGCTAAGGTTGCTGGAGACCCTCAAGATTTAGATGTCAAGGCAGCAACAAGTGACTATCAAGTTAATTCTGACAGTGCTTATGCAACCGCACATTAGTCAGACGATGAGTTGGGCGATGATGAGCTTTGCGAGATGTTGACGAACATGCAGTTATTATGTCGTGCCATTTGGGCGATCTCCGTTGGGCGCACCTACGGAGTACTCCGTACTACGCTGTGATATCCAACGGAAACTGAAGTGTTGAACACAATTGTTTTCGTTATTCCTTATCATATCACATACAGGCTCTCATGAGTACGCCAACCTCTGTCCAGCCCTGGTTTACACAGGAGGATTCGTGAACTACGTGCGTCTGCACACATTCTCAGTTCTCCTGTTTCAGTGTCTCCCAAATGACAGCTTGCCCTTCAGCTTACTCAACTTCCCAGGTTCGTAGTTCTCTCCACGATCCCCGCTGGTTGGTACATGTGAGCCATCAGCCAATGTGCCCGGACTCACGTCGCCCTCTTCCTGTCGGCGTCTTGGGGGGGCTTTCAACGGATCTCGTCCTCGGGTATCTTCGCCATCAACTGTGACCGGCTTGGATGCTGTGGAATTGCCTGAGGCAACGGTTGACTTGGCAGAGTCGTTCGTCGCTTGTGCGGGAGCGACAAGTGTTGGGCTATCGGATTTCGATGGGTTTTCTATACCCGGACTGATTCAGTATAGGACAGGAGCAGCATTACGACAACAAATCTCACCTGGTGCATTTCCTCCATCATATGGGTCTGTTGCTGTGCCTTTGCCTTGAATCCCTGATGGAGGTTCTTCTCCCGACTCCGCGGGTTGTTCGACATTTCCTTGGTCGTAGGGGTCGTCTGCGGTCCCTTCGCCTTGTATACCAGATAGCGGCTCTTCGCCTGACTGTGCGGGTCCCGTGCCCATGACTTTGTCAGTGAAATCGGTGACAGGTTGGTAGATGTTCTCGATAGCGCTCATGATGGTGGTGGTGTTGGCCGTATGGTGGTTATGGGCTTCTTCAAGGAATGAGCTGAATGCCAAAGGGAATGCGAGGAATGCGGGGAAATGCCAGCAATATGGTGTGCCGCGAGAGTGAGACTGCGGTTCAAAAAGGCCACAAGGTACAAAATGTAACTGAGGAAGCAGTCGGGTCATTCAACCCATCGATATTTGGGGTTCTTATCATGGGGGCGCAGCATCTAGGATGGATGCAGTCCTGGATCTTGCATCAATACAGGCATCAGAGCCGTACGAGTAGGATGCAGCTCTACTACGTCATATCATGGTTGATACCACCAATACCACCACATACCACCAATATCACCACATACCACCACATATCACCGCATACGTGTGGTTGACGCACCCGAGCTATTACCTAGCTATTACTAACCCCAGATAATCCTAGCGCAGACTGCTCTCTGGGAAGTTGCTTTTGGACGAGCCGACACCACAGTAGTGACCATACCCTCCTGGCCATTTCTCGTGGATATATATCCAGGGCAAATGTTCCTCCAGCTGTTAACCCGTGACAGGACATGTAGGACTGCCTGTCCACATACACACTACATCGCAATGGATCCAAAGACATCTGAGCAGATACGAGCAAAGAATGAGGAGATCTCTCCCGAGTCATGTTGCCAGCTAGCACGACAGTGTTACTACTAGCTATAGCAGCAGGGAGCTAGGCAATTTATACTGGTTACCTAGAGATGCTTGCAGGGGCAGAAAGCGCGACGTACGCTCAAGTCGACGACTCTTCCTTGTTGATGATGGGCAGCAGCTCTTCTCGTCCATGGCTCTTTCGGAACTCTAACAATCCGGCAAGCAGATGAGGACGATTCTTCAGGCACATGTGCTACACACGCTATCCTGTCACATCCGATACCTACTGCCTAATTGCCCAACTCTCAGCAACAGACCCGTCGAAGAGGCCAATGTCCGATCCCATCTGGACAGGTCATCCACGTTAGATGAAGACTGAATGTTCGGGCCGCAATCCGACAGATAGGTAGTTCATTCCTGGCATGGCTACCGTGTACCAAGTGCAGAGGCCTAGTTTGGATGTTGAATCCAAACCATTGGAAGCTGTCCCAGGTACTCTAAATCTTCGGAAGTTCACTCGCCTGACTCGCCTCCTATCCCCGACTATCAAGAAGAAAGCAGGCCATACCTAACATCGATCCATTTGCGATTGACCTTTCCCTGGTAAGCTTCAACTTCCCGATATCGGCGTCCACCAAGCCTCTCCCCTGAGGTTGTCACTCCTCCGACGGAGTCATGTGACCGAGGTCTATCGCACACGTGACGGCGTTGTTCATACTTTTGTAGAGAGGAATCATTGGTGTCTGTAATGTCGTTTTGCTGCCTGCAGTCTGATGGAAGATTTGATCATCACGCAATAGCCTCTCTTCTGATCCCTACCTTCAAGTCAAACCTGACAACTGGTCTGTCTACCTTCGGGTTCCGGACGGTTGTGTCTCAATCGAACCAATTTGGTACAGCCATCCAACTACACAACACGATTGAGCAGAATTCCTACTCATCAGTGGTGCCCTTATTGTCTTGTTGCGGGGCATAAGATATTTCTAAGGCATGATCCAAGGCATGCATAAGCCTGTGGCGGGCTAAGGAGGCCGAACGGGGGATCTGTGGCACCAGCCCCTTAGGCTTGGGAGCCTAAGCCTCGTCTAGTAGTTACTATGGAGTCTGGACTGTGCTTTTAATCGCCTAACCCTGAGCCTTGGTGCCGGCAGCGCGGGCGACTTTTGACTCGGACAATTTTCTGCGGCGCCTTGTTGACCTACAACCTCGGAGTCTTGGAGTGAAACCAACCGTCGGCGGCTTCAGCTATCGTTATTGCATTCCATAGCGCCCTCGATGCCTGCTATAATGGACGACCCTGCCACCACCGACCTCTGTGTCGACTGTCGCGAGCGAGACGCCAGTCTCTCCATCAGAAACCGGCGTTTATGTTCTGCCTGTTTCATGCGATATGTCACCTCCAAAGTGCTCAAACGCATGGAGTCCTTTCGGTTCAAAACTCTTTCTGGAGACGACCGGCGCCGGCTGCTGCTTCCAGTTTCTGGGGGAGTATCTTCCTTGGTCTTGTTGCACGTCCTTGATGCACAGCTCCAGAGACAGATTGCAAGTCGAAACCGGACGGCGTACGACCTCGTGGTGCTTCGTGTTGTCCTCCCGGAAGACGAAGGCTCGACGACGCTGAAGGGCGACTATGAGGAGCTGGCACGTAAATTCTCAGCGCACCGCATCCTTCCACTGCTCGACCTACAGGCTGTGTTCAAGTTAGACACCCACATCGAAAGAGACTTTGAACACCTCGGCCTTCGGAGGCATGGAAGCGAGTCAGATGAGAGCTTCCTGAACCGAATGCTCTCCTGTGCGACGTCTGTAACCGCCCGTGCAGACTTGCAGTCCATTCTACTCCAGCGTCTGATTGTGTCAGCGGCGCGACAGCACGGCTGTGAAAGTGTTGTCTGGGGCCACTCTGACAGCAGGCTGGCCGCGCTCGTACTGGCAGATGTTGCCAAAGGCCGAGGTGGGTCGGTCCCTTCCACGATCGCTGATGGTCCCTCACTGCATGGGATCAATTCCAACTATCCGATGCGTGACTTGTTTAAAACCGAGCTACAGAGCTATGCCCAACTGGTGCCCGATCCGTTACTGGCGAAAGTGGCGGACTCTGGTGAGACAACTGCGCCGCCTACTGCCATGCGACACACTTCAATCGACACCCTCCTGAGAACCTATATTCATTCGCAGGGGGAAAAGTATCCTGGTATCATGGCGAATGTCGTCCGGACAGCAAGCAAGCTCGACGGGAGGCAGGCGTCTACTATTACGGCTACCTGTCCAGTCTGTATCAGGCTAATCGTGCGAAGTCAAGGGCTTCTCAATCCGGACGGGAATCTGTGCTACGGATGCGACAGGATGAGGAATGACATCAAGTCCTAAGCTCTGGTATTCTACGGAAACGCCGTCCCTCACGGGTGTGCCATGGATAGGGAAGTTCTGCAGAGATTATCGCATTTCTGGGGACAACTCTGCTCCCAAAGACAAGGAAAAGAGGGAAGAAAAAGAGGGTCGTTCTTGTCGATTGACCCTACCGCTTGACAAGCAGTTTGATTAGTAGCTGCATTAACCCATCAAAGCCACTGGGTGTACCATCAACGCCACACATCAAGCAGCTCAAGTCCGGGCTGGTAATGCCGGCGGGATCTCCCTCCCCTGTTCGACATCATGATCTCTATCGCGGTCTCGACGAGATTTTCTAGATTGGCGTGTGGAGGTGTATCTTGGCGGTGGTCCATTTTGTTGGTTCAACAAATGTTCCTGGTTTTCATGATCGAACTCATGAGGCAGACTCGGATCTGCTAAGTTGGCTTGTGGAGTGCCCTTAATTCTCTTTTGGCCACGCTCACGCAGCTCTTTCTCGAGGAGGACCACGTTCCTGGTATTGCATTTATATGCCGCATCTGCAATGTCCCCAACAAACGGTACCAGACCAATTGCGAAGTCAATGGCCATGTTGATCTTCATACGCAGCTTGACAGAAGCGGGCAGATCTGGTTCAACCGAGCAGCAGGTCCTGTACACCATGAAAGCGAGGAGGAGATCAAGCACATCGCCTATGCTGAACCAAAGTCAGTACAATTGTACGGAAGTCTCCATAACTTGAGACATTTTGCATACCCAGGAATCAAGCCAATGACCGCACCCCATCCAAATCGTGTACCACAGAAATTGCCGAGGGAAAGATCGATGCGATAGGCTCTTCTCTTTGCCTTTGTGAGAAGTTTTTCTTCTTGCGCAGTCAGGCCGGGTGGGAGAGCTCTGCGCCGCTTCTTGGTGGTTTTGTAAATTCCTCCTAGCCTGGTCGCCGGGACGGTTTCGAAGTAGGGATCCTGCAACATGTGAGCCATGGTCAATGACGAGCTTCTACGAGAACATGTACCTCCTGCCCTTGTTTGTTGGCCGATGTCTCCTTGAACAGTCTTCTGGCCACGAATTTGGCTGCAAGGGAGGTCATGGTTGTGGTTGGGAGCAAGATGGATCGAGGTGGGAGGACAAGGAAAGCAAAAGATAGAGTCGGTAGGAAGAGTAAGTGTCACAAAGACTTATGAGTCGGACTTTATGTGAAGGCGGGTAAGGCAGGCTGTTCATACTTCAAACAAAGGAGACAAGGGATGGCTGTCACAGCCTGCGTGAAGTCAAGTGCTGCCAGCGAGTCAAGTTCGAGGTTGTGATGGCTGCTGAAATCCTGCTTGCGCTCTCGAAACACCCGCGCGCGCGGCTGCGTCATAAACAAGTATTGGGCGAGTCTGGCCAAACGCGGTTGGGTGCAATCCTCGACTGAGCCACACTGCACAGCCACGAGCGACGAGCCACACCTTTCGACCTTCAGCCACCGCTTCGCTTCTGTTTCGTGTTTCTTTCTCATACCTGGACTGTTGCTCCTCAAGAGACTAGCTAACCCCACAACTTCCAAAACTCATTATAGACACCCGGCCGCGACAGTTAGTCTTGAGGCAGTGCAATTCACGGTCGAGCGATCTGGCTAGCAGCTTCTCTCCCTAAGGACCTCGGAGGTCGTGGCAATGGTCGTACACCCTATCTCGGCCACGACGAACTCGAGAGATGCAGCTGGAGGACTGTAAGATCCCCCTCCCCCCGACATGACTGTGTGATTAATGCTAACACCGACCCTGTGTCAGGGCTGGATGACCTATGTGTCCGATTCATCATAAACTTGCCCCCGGAAGAGCTCCAATCCGTGGAGCGGATCTGCTTCCAAGTTGAAGAGGCACAATGGTTTTACGAGGACTTTATCCGTCCCCTTGACCCTTCGCTGCCATCCCTTTCTCTCCGCGCATTCAGTCTACGCATCTTTCAACATTGTCCGCTATTCTCACAATGGTCGGCTCAACACCATACTACGGCGTTTGCGGAGTTTCTGGCGTACAAATCGCGTGTCCCAGTCCGTGGTGCGATCATGCTAAATGAGGCCATGGACGAAGTTGTCCTCGTCAAGGGCTGGAAGAAGAGCGCGAATTGGAGCTTTCCCAGGGGCAAGATCAACAAAGATGAGAACGACCTGGACTGTGCTGTCCGCGAGGTCTACGAAGAGACAGGTTTTGACATTCGGGCAGCTGGGCTCGTGAAAGACGAAAACGAGATGAAGTATATCGAAGTCACGATGAGGGAACAGCATATGAGACTATACGTATTCAGAGGAGTACCTAAGGATACTCACTTTGAGCCAAAGACGCGCAAGGAAATCAGCAAAATTGAATGGTACAAATTGACAGATTTGCCGACATTGAAGAAGAGCCGTCAGCACGAAGGCAGTGGGACAGATCAACCTTCTCTCAACGCCAACAAGTTCTATATGGTCGCGCCTTTCTTAAATCCACTTAAGAAATGGATCGCCCAACAACGAAAGAAAGAAAATCGGTACAGCTCTCAGCTTGCAGCACCGCCCATGGTGCCTGAGGAGGTTAGTACTACAGACGATCGCGAGACCGACGGTGTGGGAGCGGAACTCGCAGGACCTAGAAAACAAGTCTCTAGTGACTTGCCAGAGGTCTCCGCGCCAACTGCGTTTGATCCTACATTGCATCTCAAAGAAATCCTCAACATCGGCTCTGCACAACCTTCGCAATTCTCACAGCCTGTGCAGCCTTCACAGCCCGCACCGCTTGAACCCACGCCGCAACCTAGTCACATGCCACAGGTGGATGCAGAGAAATCCCATGCACTTTTGGCATTATTACGATCTGGACCTCAAGGTCCTCCACGCATCCTACCTCCTCATACACCGTTCGAGCAGATATCAACATTACCCCAAGCACAGCAATCACCCCACAAGTCGCATGTGCGCCCGCCACAATTGGATCAAGGCCAGCCGCCACCAGAGTTTCACCCGCGGCCTGAAGACCAATTCCAGCCTTCCCCTCAGTACTTCAATGGTCTAAACCCAGATTCGCCTATTAAAAAACCTGCCAGACTGGAGTCATGGCATTCCGGGGCCCATGTTGCGCCTTATCAACAGAATGGGGACCCTCACTTCGTGCAGCAGGGAGCCGGCCAAAGGCTCCAGCCACGCGTGCCTCCGGCGAGCGCACTGCCTAAGCTGACGAACCATACGAAAGCATTGTTGGATGTGTTCAAGGGTGCAACAAGCCCACCTGCGCCGACGGCCGCTCCTGCAGACAAGCCGTCTTTCGATGATCAAGTACAACTACCGCAGGTCAATGGTCGGGCCACAGTTGGCGCAATCACAGCAATTGGTGAAAAGGGCCCGAGCCAGTACCGGGTGTCAGCGTCTTTACCGCGACCTGTTGATGCGCATAGGACTTCTCTCCTTGATTTGTTCAGTCAACCCCCCAGACCCAAGCCCGCTGAAGGACCTACGCCTCTCCAGGACCCCCCGGTTGAACTCGCAGCTACAAACCCTATCCAAACCCACCCGGAGCTACAAGCCAACAAGAATGGACTCCTCCTTAATCTGTTGAGACAAGATGGGAAAGCTCCGTCACATCACGAAGCTAGAGCTAAGCGTCCATCTCCCCGTGAGGGAGAGACAGCCGCGACTGTCAGCGGCCCTCTGAACCAGCCAGAATTTGATGTGGTGTCGAAGTCCACAAGGCAAATGACTAGTGAAATGCGGCGAAGCCCACTCCCTACGAACCGCACGCTCTATGATCCGAACCAACCTGCACCAGTCAAGATTTTGATAAGATCCGAAGAAGCGCGTTCGCAAGCTCCCCGATCCCCTAGAGGACAAAAAGGACCGCCGAAACGAACGGCACGAGAAAGAGCGACGTCCAAAACCCCGAGTAAGCCGTTTCAACCTCAGATACTTCGACGGCCACAAACAAGCGAAGCCGCCTCTGAAGCGACTCCACCGCCAGCAGTTGCAAGCGAATCTCTACCGACTCAGCGAGCCGTCAGGGAGAAAGCTGCACCATCTCCGTCAACTTCTGCTGTGACATCGGATGCAGGTGAAATGTTGACACCCCGTCGTCAGCCGTCTCAGATAGAAGACCAGAAGCAAAGATTGCTGTCTCTTTTCGGTAGAGGACCAGACACCACGCCCAGGGCTACGACTGGCCAGCCTGGTTCGGGCATAGTCTCACCATTGTCAGCAAGCCAGTTATACAATACTGACCTTGAGATGGCGTTGCCCGGCTCGGAGCCGATCTCGACTCGAACGTCCAGGGTGGGGAGTCTCGCGTCAATTGCTAGTGGACCTGGAACGACACGTGCAGCTGGTGAGAAACGACAGACGGGCGCTGAGAACAAGGCTTTTCTATTGGGCTACTTGGGCAGGATTGCCAACCAAGAGCACTGATAGTCGAGTCAAGAGTGTGCAGATGGCATGAAAACATTAGTTGGGTGTCAGAGAGCGCCCGTCGAACGGCGCTCGGGCGTGTTTTCGGTGCCTTTGGGGCCAAATTGACTCCGGATCCCGTATGGTGCTGTTGTCGTATGCATATCGTATTCGCTTCGGCCGAAGATTTAGTGACACTTCGGTGTCTTGGACAATTACCCGCCGACACAAAAAGTTATGCATACTCGTGTACCCATCCATCTTCGCTCCATCAGACAATAAGCAACAAGGGCGATCGACCGTTGGAAAGATACTGGGAGAAATCAGCCAGTCGCAACCAACACACAAATCGAGCGACGGCCGAGGCCAAGGCGCCCCGTTCTACCTTTGCACAACCTACGTACCACGATGTTGCACGCCTGAGGGCCCCGGCCCCAGATCAAACAAGAATAAGAATACGGAGGACACAAACAAGATGCAGAATGGGCCAAGGCGTGGACACGTAAAGTGGATAGCTTTAGGTAGCAAAAAGTTCAAGATGGGAGCAGTAGTAGGCACCTGTTCTGCCTGTGTTCTGCCTGATCTGGGTTTGCGTCTTCTCTGCCTCGAATGCATTGGTATATTGCTCTTGTTGAACGGTAATGTCCCTGGCAGCAAAGGTCGCGCCGCCGGCTGTGGTTGGGAGTCGAGGTGCTGGTGATCTTCCGGCGGCCGCCTCGGCAATGGCGCCCGCATCCTCTGCTGCTACAGGCGGTGCTGCGGGCGGTGCTGCGGGCGGTCCTGCTGCTAATACTGGTGACATGATTATGCTTGCGCAGGCAGAACGCACCTCAAAGACACCCACGCCAGCACCAGCACCAGCACCAGTATCGTCACCAACAACAACAGCAGTTCCTATACCAAACATTACCACCACCTCCACCAATGGCTCTCAAATCAGCTGTACGAGTACGTCCGTGGCATTGTTATATGATGCGCCTCAGCCTCTCTTCTGTTTAGGGTTCTGGCCGTGGTCATACTTCCGGGTTTGCGCTGACTGTACTTTATGTGCTCTAGATCCCTCCGCCGCATATACGAATGTTGCTCCTCCTATTGACGACGTCCACAACGCTGCCTTGAACTCAGCAAGTTCTCCCACGATGAATCCCGCCGTCAGCTCTTCGGAGGCCCAGGCCGGCACTGCTCAGCTGGCCCTGGACCCCATCTCAAGGGTGCGCTCCCGTCCCATACCCACATGTGACGAGGCGGTCTAGCTCATGCATTGGTAGCAAATTCTGGAGCGCACACAGTCGCAAAGCCGGCCACAGCAAATCTCCCAGAGCGGTGTGTCTTCCAAGGCTCTCCATGTGGAACCCGGTCCTGCCGAAGAGCAGCACTTGGCCAGGACGGGTTCCGATCCGACAGCCCTGCGAAGAGTTGACAGCGCTGCTAGTGGCAAACTGAGCAAGGACAAGAAGTGAGTTGTACCAGGGCTAGCAGAAGGGACAAAACACAGAAATTTGCAGCCGTGGTCTGAAATGCTCTTGTACATGAACGACTGTCGTCCTCCTGTCTTCTGGCTGCCAATCACAGCACGTGCCTCATGCAAGACCCTCGAGATCTCAAGGCTGACCTACATGTGTTGGCAGGAAAGGTGTATCCTTCCTGAGCCGGATAATGGGCACCAAGAAGCGCGATTCCTTCGACCTTCGCGACGACACTTCCTCAGAAATCTCCGAGAACCGATCTGGTGGTATCGAGGCCGAAGTCTTCTCTCAGCCTGTCGGCTTCATACCCAAATTCCCTGCTCCTCCTCGGTATATCAAGGTCAAGGCCCAATACAGAAAACGTAAGGACTTTGATAGGCTGTTTTTGGCCCAGGTTATCTTGGATGCACCGAAATCCAAAGGACGCAAGGCGTCAATAGATTCCAAGATTCACAGCATCAATGAACCGCCCTCCAGCAACCCTCCTCCACCGACGAACCCAGCGAGTAATGCAATATGGGCCATGGAGTTCTCAAAGGACGGGAAATACCTTGCCGCTGCGGGCCAGGACAGAAAGCTACGAGTCTGGGAGGTGATTTCCACAGCTGACGATCGTGAAGTAGAGGAGAAGCTGTCTGAGACTAACCGGGAGGGCGAACGGGTCAGGCTCAATGCACCTGTCTTCAAAAGCAAGCTGCTACGCGAATACGAGGGCCACACGTCCAGTATCTTGGACCTGAGCTGGAGCAAAAACAACTTCCTCCTATCTTCCTCCATGGATAAGACGGTCAGATTGTACCATGTCAGCCGAGCCGAATGCTTATGTGCTTTCAAACACAACGACTTCGTGACTTCAATCCAGTTTCACCCGCGGGACGACCGTTTCTTTCTAGCAGGCTCGCTGGATTCGAAGTTACGGCTATGGAGCATTCCTGACAAAACCGTGGCGTACTGGGCGCAAGTGCCGGACATGGTGACTGCCGTCGCATTTACGCCAGATGGCAGGACCGCTATTGCTGGATGTCTGAACGGGTTATGCATACTCTACGACACCGAAGGTCTCAAAGCACATTCGCAGATTCATGTGCGGTCGGCGCGAGGGAAAAATGCCAAAGGTAGCAAGATCACAGGGATTGACACGATTGCCCTTCCTCGAGAGAATGCACCGCCAGATGTCAAGCTCTTGATTACTAGCAACGACTCTCGAGTGCGAATGTACAACCTGAAGGACAGAACGCTTGAGGTGAAATTTCGCGGGAACGAGAATTCGTGCAGTCAAATCCATGCGTCATTTAGCGACGATGGTAAATATGTGATATGTGGGAGTGAGGATCGAAAGGTCTATCTATGGCCTACCTCTGTCAATGAGAGACCCGACAACGACAAGCGCCCGATGGAGGTATTTGAAGCTCACTCAGCAATCGTGACCGCGGCGCTTCTAGCTCCAGAGACGACGAGGCGCTGGCTTGCACAATCTGGAGACCCTCTCTACGACTTGTGCAACCCGCCACCTGTGACTCTGGTCAGTCGTGCCGATTCTGTCATCTCCTCCCGAGCGGCGACCAGCAACCACTCAGACGATAGGCATCTGATGCCAGACAAGCGAACATCACATTCGCCCAAACGCGCTCCTCAGACACCAGCATATCTAGCACGACACGCACATCCCGGCGGTCAGATTATCGTCACCGCCGACTATACCGGGCAAATCAAGATATTTCGACAGGATTGCGCATTTCAAAAGCGGCGTCAAGAATCATGGGACGCAAGCTCGACGTTCTCGAAAAAAGTCCTTGGGCGGAGCGGATCTGTGGCTACGCGGCATTCTGGCAGTACTTCCTTGCGTCGCAACTCTTTTGCCATGAGCTCCAAAAACCATTCGACCGATCGGATCCTGAATTGGAGAAACTCTGTGAGCGTCAATCACGCCGCTGTGAACGGGTCTACTGGCGCGCTCGAGGTTCGTCGCTCCTTGGGCTACGACGACCGGTCACGTAGCGCATCACCACATAAACTAATCTCGCCCCGTCTTTCTATGCAAAGGGCATCGCCCCCGTCCAAGGAGACGCTCACGTCCGTCAAATCTCCCGAATATCATTCACCCTTGCATCAGGTCCAACATAGACCGTCGATATCGGTCCAGTCCCCTCTGGCGGAATCAGCTTCCCAATCCAACCCCCCCGAGCCGACCCCGACAAGCGTGGAGCTAGTGAATTCCAATTCGGCTGCAGAAGGCCTCCCACACAACCCCGGCAATCCTCTTCTTCTAGTGGACCAACAGTCCTATCTGGCGTGGGACGTGAAGAACACATTAGTGCCAATGGCCAGGCACATACCTCGGAGCCCTGCCCATCTCAACACTGACGAAAATCCCCTTTCCCGGTCGGGCAGCTATGTGAGCCAGCTGTCCAGCGAGCTCACGGGTTCAGACCTTGAGGGGAACAGCGCCAGCGCCAGCGCTCAAGAGGGGGATGGCGACGGAGAGAGGATTAGGGACAGCACGCGCAGATTACGTGGCCGACGGAGAAAGAGTGCCGACAGCAAGAATGAGCTCCGTTGCAGAAAGTGTGGGAGCAACACCTTCAAGGCGACCATGACGGATAAGGGCCAGAGCTTTCGCTGTAAGGAGTGCGGAACTGTCGTCTAATACTACTAATAGGGTCAAAAGCTGTACAGTGTGACATCGATCCGAGATCTAGTGAGTGCAATCGGCCATACGGCCCTCAAAACAAAGGCACGGATGATGGATGTATCAATGCTAATCTTAAGGATGCCGCCGATCCTTGGGAGCCTGGGATGCACTTGAGCTACCCTCTAAATCCTTACGGTTCCGGCTCGACTCGACTCGACTCGGTCGAGCCAACGACGATTCTTGCTCACCACGAGGAAGAAGCACATGGCCCGCGCGTACGAGTATGATCGCAAAACGTACGTGCGAGGCCCCGATACGACTTGAATGACTTCTATGTACAAACCAGCCACTTGCTCGGGGTCACAATTTGGCTCCGGACTGCATAGAGGAGAACAGGCACTCTGTGGGCTTTTTTGTGTATCTAGTACTTATTCCACCCCTTGTACATCATAGCGATATCAATCACAAAGTAATGATCCTCCCTGCATCTTCACTGCCTCTTCACTGCCTCGCTCATAGATTCTCTGCTTCTCGGCCCGACTGACGACCGTCTCACCTGCATTCTTCTGTAAGGTGTCAAGTCGTCGAAGCGTCCCGTGCTTTAGGGACCACCATCATCATCATCCTCATCATGAGGCTCAGCGATCAGTAGTGCCGTCAACCTCGGCACAATGGCATATCACGGCCATTTTAGACTACTCGGACAGGGCATGTCGAAATAAACTGGGGAGGGCACCGCTTCGGCAAGGTTTCGAAGAGCGAACAGCATACGACTGACAACACTTGGGCAGACACGGGCCGAAACTCGATATAGTGGTGTACTGGATAGTCCGCCCTATTCTTCTTTGGCCGACACGGATCAGACTTAGGCATTCAGATAAGAGGAAGTCACAACAAATTCGGGAGCGGCAAAATCAACAGCAAACTCGTGAACTCTCGACTGTACTGTTTTTGGTCGATGCGGACCAATCGAATGCATTGAGCGTCTTCAATCCATCGATGCGCTCGCCTATTTGTGCTATGCCCTCTACATCCCATTTACGGCTGTTCCTAGCGACGCCACTGTGTCGAGAGACCACTTTCTTGTTCGTCATCCGGGTGCCTAACTAGTGCTCAATCCGATGATCCGCTGGCAACATCAGCCGGATGGTGTTTGATGCAGTGTAGAGAGAGGCTACTTCACAAGTTGGCTCTGATGGCCTGTTCAAGCGCCCTCTTGTTGGCACCGACGACCTCGCCGACCTTCTCGCCGCCCTTGAAGAGCATGAAGGTGGGCATGGCTCTGACACCCAACTCCTGGGCAACGTCAGGCAGCTCGTCGACGTCGATCTTGTAAAAATCGGCCTTGTCTTTGAACTCCTCGGACTCGCTGAATTTGACGAGCTCTGGAGCAATGACCTTGCAAGGGCCGCACCAGGTGGCGAAGCAGTCGAGAACGACCAGTCGGTCAGCGGGGGCTGAGAGGACTGAGGTGCTGAAGGAGGATTTGCTGTGGATTGGGTTAATACCGTATTTCTTGGCTGGTTGGGGGGCAGATGAGGCAGAAGTAGCAAAGGAGTTCCCAGCTTGTTCTTGACGCAGCTTGGCTTGATGGTAGGCTACGTACTCTCCAAGATTGTGGACGACCATTTTGTTCGGGGTAAGTGAAAAACGTGCCGGACTGGCGCTTGTAAAGAGACGCGTGTGTTGGTTTACAGTCGTTGTTCTTCGGACGGTAGTGGATTGCAAAAAGCGCTGAAGCTTGATGGCGGAGAAGCGGATTGATGCAGCCACGGCGAAGGTATTTATGTGGGAAGGACGGAGAGCGAAACCTGAGTGAGGCGATTGATGCTGGAAAGGGTGGACAAGGGGCGAGGATGGAAGGTGCTGGAGTGATGTTTGGAGCAAAACGATCGCCGACGAGAATGACAGTTGAGATGCCGTGCTTTTAAATGACGGGAGGCTTAGAAATCGAGACAGCTACCACCCGGTCTGTATGTGTAGGAACAGCGCAGGCGCAGGCAGACGGGGGGTAGAGGGGCGCAGGCCTGGCCAACACAAAAGCGGCAACAATGACGCCACGCTGCAGAGATGATTTGGAATCATGCTGACCACGTGACATGGCGCCGTCTCGCCGCTTTAAGAAGTACAAGGCTGCTTTGATATAAAGATACGTACGCAGTCACCTACCTACGCAGTAGTTCACTAATTACAGTACCTACAAGATAAGGTACCTAGGTACCTGGTACCTATTAGTTCCTACAGGTAAATAGCAGCTATTCAGGTGCCTATACCGAGACACAACAACAGCACCACCACTACCACCACTACCACATTGGTCAAAACGCCGTCACCTTTCTTTGCCACCTCGTCGCTTCTCTCCTGATCGGATCTCTAGTAATACGTATTATGGGACTGGGCACTGGAGTCCATCTTCATAGCTATCTTCACACAATTCATTCTCCCATTTAGTTTGTGCTACATGTCTCATTCCAGCTCCTCGATGCCAAATCGTCCAGGATGGGCTCGGGATTTCTGGCACACTATTACCTCTCTGTATTTGCAAATCCGCTTCAAAGCAACGCTTTCCTCGCAAATCAATTGCTGGATTATACCCTCTTGTCCCAAACTTGCTTTGCGCTCATGATCCAATTCAGTTGTCGCAACCCATCTTAAACCTCCAATTCTTGCCCGTAAGGAGTGGGCTGAGGTGTCTTTCGTGTCGTTAATCACGTCGTGGCTGACTGGCCGACGGGTAGTATTCCATGTGTGCTGTGCTTTGCAGCGAGGAAAACAGATGAGATACAAAGGAAAAGAGCACCCCACTTCAAAGTGATGCACAGTCTGCTCACGCCTTAGCAGGTGCTGATCGTTCCGTTTGAACGGGTGCCGCTCCTTGAGGAAGGCTCGGACTTCGCGGGGGAGCGTCCGACTGTGTCGACGATCGCCGGATGTCCAATAGTCTTGCACTTCCTGCACTGATATGCCTCGCGTGTCCTTTATACTCGACACTTTGGGCCCTTAAAAGTGGTGCATCCTGCAATTCCGTTTTGTGCGCCTCCCTTGCCGGCGAACCTCCATCCTCTTCGTCCAACTCGCCATCTGAGCTCGACCTTCGAGACCCCTCGGGCGTCTCTTTCCCAAATTCCCTCAAAATGCCTTCCGTCGATTTTGCCCGAGTAGGCTGACGAACCACAGTGGCGTGTCGTCCAAGACCTTCGTGCCACGTCTCATCGACCTCCTGTCTCGCGGGAACCGGAGGCATCTCGGGGACAGGACTGTGCTGCCTCTCCCTCTCGAGATCAATCACAGTGCTGCTTGCTTTTCGACCTATAGAGTGGTCTGAGTCGCGCCGCCGGCTAGGCCCTGGAGTCAGCCGGTTCAAATAGTCATCATCCGCAAGGCCGGCTTCCTCCGTCTCAAATGCCCCAGGCATGGTCTGCGGAAGAAGCGATGATTGACTATGTCGAATCGCATGGCCCATTCCACCGGACAATCTCTTGACTGGTTTTCCCGATAGCCAAGATCCCTCTGAATCAACCGATGCGAGCGACTGAGACAGCGCTATCCTCGACAGCGCCCCACTGCCGGTGTCAATGTCCATAGATTGTGCGTGTCGAGTCTCAGCGGGGCCTTTGTCTAGGGCAGGATTGCTCGAGCTCGTGGCCAGACTTCTTGCATCTAATGTCCCCGATAATGATTGCCTAGGCTGGTTCCCATGCCGCGGTCCTAAGCTAGCCTGGGGAATATTCATCGCTTCGGGCGACTGGACGCGAGAATCTGGCGGCGAGATGGGAAAGTCGGGTAAATCTTCACGGAATTTGGACATCGTCCTCTGTGGAACGGCGGAAGCTTCAGATCTCCGAAAAGTGCGAGGAACAACAACAGGCGGTGGTTGCTGCTTCCGGGCGAAGGATTCTCGAGAAGTGTTGGAGAATTCGGAGGGCGTGCTTCGGCCTCGATCAGTAGTACTGGCTTTTCGTCGACCGCCGCGCTTGAAAAAGCTCGTCCAGGAACTGAGCTGCTGACTGCTCTGGTCAGATGCACGGCGATCCGATTGACCATGTTCAGGAATGTCCGGCGTGATTTCACGAGCCAAACCGGAAGTCTGGGAGAGGCTCTGGCGATCTGCTGGGCGCTGTATGGGAGATGTAGGTGGCGACATTGTTGCTGCCTGCGATGGTTTCTGTTCTCTTCGAACTTCGACGGGCGACACCGTTCGCAAAGGCGATCTCACCGGCACCGGCGGTCCTTCGTCTTCTTCGAGGGTGAATGGATCCCGCATGATGTCGAAATCTTTTTCATCTTCAAAAGGGTTCCGTATGTGTTGAATTGGTTTGGTTTGGGAGCTCTCCGGATCAGCAAAAGGATCTCCCCCTTCGTTTTTGACGCTTAAGTTTCCTTGTCGTCCACGTTTTTCGATGCCGCCAGCCCCAAGGCTAGCAGAGCCCGCAGGTAGTCCATCACCTTGAGGTCCGCGGAGCTCCTCTTCTCGCTGCCTTTCAGCCTTGCGCTGAAGCTTCCTATGAAGGCGGTCTCGGTCGGCTGCTCTTTTCCTTTCATGTCGTCTCCTGTCCCTTTCCATTAGCTCCCTCAGACCCCCGGCATCAAGTTCGTCCGCTAACTCATCAATCCTCTTCTTTGAATAAACGTCTTCTTCCTCTATAGCTTGCTGGATTGAGGGCTTTATCCGGGCGGGCTGCTTCCCGACTGAGGTCCGAGGATTAGCGACGTATGTGAGCGTGGGTCGGGGACTCAGTGCAGCCAAGATCCCGATCTTGAATGAAGCCTGACTCGTCATGTCTTCAGATTCCTGGATGGTCTCAGGAAGGGGCAAAGATATCTCTGAAGCTGGTCGATGCAGTCGTCGATTGAGATCGCCAGGGACCTGTTTGGTGTCGCGACGCAATGGACCGGAACCAGAATATGAGACAGGGCGCTTCAAGCCAGGAACCGGTGAACTCATGGCGCGAATTTCTCTCTCTCGAGCATAGTCCTCTGCTTTTCTCTTGCTCGACTTCCTGCGTTGGAGAGACGGATCATGGCCTTTGCGTTTCGCCAGCAAGGTCGGGGCCTGGGGAAGAGCTGTGAATTCTTCAGGCCCAATGCTTGACTGTGATGCATGGGTGTGGGGATAGATTCCTGGCCCGTGGAAACCACCTGCTTCCACAGCCGAATTCCTTCTCTTTCCCCAAGGTTCAGATCCATGCCCACCGAGAGAGGTTGTCTGCGAATGGAAAGCAGTTGCGGGTTGACTTGCAACTCTCTGCTTGGACAGTCTCCGAGGCTTCTCGTCTTGTCCACGTTTGCTTTGGTTGCGCGCCATGGCCGCAAAGTCCCCAGAACCGCTAGATGTATATCGTGGTCTGATATCTGTCCGGAGCTTTTCTGAGGGCTTGTGCTGACGTTGGTCTTCACCTTGACTTGTACGGCGTTTCTTGCCTCCGCCGAATGGCCAAAATCCCATACTGGTTCCAACAACAGTGGATCAAACGTCCAGTGCTGCAGGAAGCTGCGGTCAAGGAAGTGGCTCTAGTCGAGGTGGACATTCACAAGGCTGAATGGGAGACATCAACGACGACGATTGTGGCGCTGGAGCACACTGTGGGTGTGGGTGAAGAAAAAGGCGCAGGCTGTCGAGCGGCGCGGGAAGTGTGAAGAAGCAATGTTTTGATTTAACCTGTGCGTTCTGTAGGGGAAGCCGCCCATGCGCCGTCTTGGTCGTAGGCACCGCAATGGTGGAAGATTTGACAGGTCCTAGACAGGCCAGACGTCGGATGACAGATACCGTGCGACAGAGGAGGGTCCAGAACAGGCGTGGAAGACGTGGAAAGAGCGATGATGAAGATGAAAAGAACCAAGCTTCTGGAAGAGCAGTAGAAACGAGAGTGAATGCAGAAAGGACAACAAAGGAGGACGAAGCGAGTTCGATGCAGGTTGTTGGACTGTGAGTGGCAGCGTGTGTGACGGAATGCTGGGTAGTCGCGATGATGTAGGCACCGTCGTTTAGGAGGATACAGTGGAAGCAGTAGTAGATGGCTCCAGAGGGAGGCGAGCGAGCGGCGGATGGGGTTGGGGAGCCCAAGAAGAACGGAAGAGACGGGCTTGAAGGGACTATGTAAAAGCCCCCCAATTGCGTGGGTGCCGAAGCGGCGGTGGAGTTGCGGTGCAGGAGGCGGCGTCCATACATAGTGCAGCCACCGAACTTCCAACCAAGAGGGGATTTTAGAGACTCAGCGGACGAGCCACTCTCGCCTGCCAGTGTTGCTGATGGCCAAACACTGAACAGCCTCTCAGCAACGGCAGCACCACTTGCCAGACAAGCCATCAATCGATGATGAGAATCACTGGCATCTCCGCCCAGCTCTGACAAGTTTCCCATCATCAACCCTGTCGGCACGAGGAGGATCACAGCAGATCTGGCTGCAGGCATTCGTCACCCGCCACCCGTCTAGAGGACATTCCTGACCATCCCAATCATCTGCGCCCTCCCCATCCGACCAGTCACGGCCCTCCCCGGCCGGTCCTCACGTCCGCCGCTCGACTAGAGCTTCCTCTCTCGCAGGCGACGTGACCAACAAGAGTCTGTCACGTACGTGTCCGCGTCTCGAATCATCCTGGAACTGAACGCAGGGTTCTCTGCAGTCCCTTCCATTTTTCCTTTTGCTTCGAGTGAGGGGTGCCCTCCAACACAAGTGCCAATGACGGGGGGCAGGGCGTGCTGCCATGGACAGACCCCATGAAACATCGGACATGCAAGGAACACAGCAGAGCAGCCACCACGTACAAGGGTCACAGTTGTCCACGGGCGGCACTGCTTAGGCATGACACGACAGCTATTCTTGTCTGGACTCTGCACAACTCAAAAAGTGCTCCGCGGGGCACAGAGATCAACCGGCGACTACCTGCATGAGGATGACTTTGTCGGTGGATTCCTCCAGTTGGGTGAAGCCGGCCTCTCAGTCTAACAGCTTTGGGGCGCCCATCTGCCATCTGCCATGACAGCTTTTGTGGCTTACCTTTGGTGACGTTCCTAACCAGATGCACCTATATGTGTAGCTTGCTGGGCCCAAGGCTCCTGGACAGTGGGCTACCCATGGTTCGACGGACTTCGAGAGGCTAATCAGGTACCCGAGCCAAGTACCATGCTACGTCGAAGCTACCTCCGAACCCCGGGTAGCGGACAGTGGCTAAGCTGGGAGCAGATTCAAGGATTGTGAGCGCAAAAAGACCGGTTCCTGCATTGATCGCTTCCTTTCCCAGCACATGTCTCAGACTCAATCCTGCTTCAAGTCTGCGCTGATCCTTTCCGACTGCAGCTTCTCCGGAATCCCTCACTCTTCCTCCTTCTCGAGCTTCGGCCGAGGAACAGTCCAATCTTTCGCAGGTGTCCATGCACAAATCAGAGGGATGAAGACACGCAGCCTAGGGATCTCGGCGCCGTGACATAGCTGACGGCTGTGGCGCTCTTACGGAGTATTTAACCGTCCGCGGCGTCGTTGTTGTCCCTGTCGGCAATCTCGCGATTGGCGAGTGAGGATCCCAACTCAGACACCTTCATCTCCCATACGCCTCCTGAAACAGTTACGAAAGCGGCAGGTTTGAACTTTTGATAGTGAGAGTTAGTAGGATGGGAAGCAGTCTTTGGCTAGGAGGAGCTCAACGTACGCCGTACATAGTCGCTAACAGACAAATTCATCTCAATACGATACTATCGCCTACAACAAAACTAACATCTAAAATTGCAATCCAGGAGGGCCCTTCGAATAGATCTGGTCTCGGGAGGGGTTTCCCGTTGCTCACGGTGTCTCCGACCTACAGTATCTTCACAGCTTTGCTCTTTCGGGGAAGGTTTCATCCACCAGTTTCACTGCTGCTTGGGAACAGCCATACGAGGATTGGTAACCTGGAACAAAGTCAGTTAGAGACGTTCATACAGATCCCGACCAAGATGCACAGGATGCACAGGGCTCGAGGGCCCTTAGGCCTCTAAGCCTTACCTGCACCCCCTGCGCCATAGTTATGCACTGTCCAGACACCATTGATCTTCTCTTTCTCGATGCGGGTTCCGCCTTCTCGGACAGGCCTCAAACCGACGCCGTGTCGTATGACGTCCAGATGCTCAATGCCTTTGCCTCCCGTCAATTCCGGGCATATCTCGACACACCTCTTCATGATTCTGATGGCAAGGTTCGGGTCTGGCTGTGACTCCCAATTTCCTTTCTGATAACAGCCTCCGAGGATTGTGCCTCCGCCGGCGGCCCGGGTCATTATCTAGCAAGCAGCAAGAATCAGTAACCGAATGTCAGAGGTTTGCAACAGAATGTCTAAATATGCAACACTGGTGCCACTCGATGGCCTTACGCCCGAGCAAGTGACTGAACCGTAGCCCAGGTCTGGCTGCACTATTTGACACTTGCACAGGACCAGGGCAACTCACATAGCACGCCTCGTCAGGGCCATCGTCGGTCCCTGAGATGGAAAACATGGCGGGTGCCACGTTTCTGACAATGACAATCTGGCCTCTTGCGGGAACGACCGATTTGTCTTCGACTCCGCCAAGCTTGGAGGCTGAGAGGCCAGTACAGTTAACAATCAGGTCAGCCGGCTTGCCTGAATGGTGCACACTGGGGGCGGCTGCATCTGCAATATGTTCAAATATGGCTCTCTTGAAGACAACGCCATTTTTCAGACATTGGGATACCAGCCAGGGCAAATATATGGCAGTATTGATGCAGACCGATGTAAAATAAGTGGCATTGTCTACTCCTGGCTTGAGCTCCGATTTGGGGATTTCGCGAAACTGGGACATGAGGGAGGTCGAGTCAGCCGGCGAGGGTTATGCGACGCGTCTTTGCCGTTGTATGAGGACTTACATCGTCGAAAAGGGTCTTGAACCAGGGCGTTGGACTCAAAAGCTCACTGAACCAAGCTGCGGTGGCAGACGAAACGTCCTTTCCACGATTATAGATGTTGGTTCCTTGAAAATGTACTCCGGCCTCAGGATGATTGCGGGCCAGATCTGCAAGGGGTTCCCACGTATTGCGATCCCACTCAGCCGCCTCGGTGCCTCTTACTGATACCCTGGGTGAAGGACATCAGCTCAAGTAGCGTCATGAGGATGGAGATTGGGATGGTTTGGCGCACGGCATGTAGTTTGCGCCAGCCCAAGGGGACGCATATTCGATATCGTAGTCTCCCGGCATGTGCTTAGCGGCAACGGTAATCTTGTACCGCGGGTTTCTCGAGAGCAGCAAGGCTGTGGTTAGGCCAGCAACGCCGGCCCTGGATTCGAGAACGAGTCAGGCTCCAATCATGACATATCAGGGCGTCGGGGCGTCAGGGGCGTTGAGTCTCTGAACCTACCCAACCACGACAATATTCTTCTCGCCCATTGTGCCCAACCGCGCTTAATATCGTGAATAAGTATTCTGCCGGTACCTAGATCGCGAGGTGTAGGTGAATGAATGCCTCGCCTCTTTTCTGCCGTACCCGTAGCCACACAATAGGATCCAGAGCACAATAGCCTCCCAAGGAAAGGAACACACGGTTGAAGAGCAGAACACCTAGATCGAAGACTCTTCCAAATTTTGGCATCTATTTCTACTATCTCACACCACTGTACGCCGTATCTTTTCGTCGCCCCGCTGCAGCTACAGCTTGATCGCAGATTTCCAGTCATCAAATACCTTATCCACTCGATCGCTTATCGGCTTCGCTGTTAGGTGCCTCAGGGCTCCTTAGGCCTTTCCGCCGCCTATCTTGCAACACCATTCGTCGGGTTTCCGGCTCAGGTCCAGTAGCTCAAGTCTGAGCGTTGTTGCTTGGGCCACGGAGGCCAGCAGGTGTGTTGTGTCCGCTCCACTACTGCAGTACGGCGTAGTGTCCAGCAGGTATGTGCAGTGGTCAGTAAGCCACAGACGTCCCTTCCCGGCAGGCGTTCCGGGGGGATGCCAGGGCGAAGGACCCCCCCGCGGGCCTTAGGAGCCTGCCGTTAGGCGGCTTAGGCATGCCTACAGGCTCTCCTAGCCACTCCTCAATCCCTGCACCCCCCTAACTGACTGCCCAACTCCACAGCCCAGGACATTGCAGCCGGGGTATTTGGCAAAGCACTGATTGAATCATTGCCCTATTCTTGCCATCGAAAACATCCTTAGGATCCCCTCCCCTGACCACCTGTCCATCTTGCCCTTCAACCCTGCAGCCCCGTCATGTCGTCCTAATCTTTGGGGCTCTCAGTTCTTCCTCCCCTTCTTCTTCTTCCTTTCCATATATCATCCCAGATGCTCTTGTCAATGGATCATTTGCGATCATGGCTGACCATGCATTGCCCACACAGCTCCCCAGCATGGTTCGCAAGCCCAAGGCTGTATGGCCTGGCCTGGTCAAGATGGGCATGTACCAGAAGCAAATAGCAGGGGATGGTATGCATTTCCCTCTCACAGTGGGAGTGATGAAAGTCTTGACTGACATCCTCCAGGTAATTGTCTCTTTGCATCTCTTTCTGACCAGCTCTACGGCACTCCGGTCAAACACCCCGAAATCCGTGCAAACATCATCGAACACATGCGCACATTTCGGCCTCTCTTCGAGCACTATGTCCATAAAGATGACGTGCAACAACGACGAACCCTCCGTTCTGCTAAACTGGCAGCCCCTCAAGACTCAGAAGACTCGTTCGAAGAATACCTGGCCCTCATGTCACGCAGCGGAACATATGGCGGAGAACCCGAATTGGTTGCCTTCTGTCAGGTCTACAATCAGGACGTCACGGTACACCTGCCACGCATCAAAAACTTTGAGCGAGACTCGATCTCGTACACCAACGAACACCGAGAAGCCACTGTCCTGATGCCACCGTTGCACATTTGCTACGGCGGGGACGAGGTCACCAGAGCACACTACGATTCAGCCCGGAGCAGAGATGGTTCTACCCCCAGAAGCCGGAATAGTCCCCTATTCAAGCCCCAAGAGACCACTCGCAACTCTCTTGCCAACTCCATCCCTGAACCTGACTTTATCCTCACCAACAGATCAATTCGAAGCAGCAGATCTGATCTGTCTTCGGAACTTATTCAAGATATCCTTCAGCGAAACAAGAAAGAAGTCGAGATCAACCTAGACCAGCTGAGTGACAAAAATCGTGTCAGGAGCCCTTCTGTGACTTCCTCGCAACGCAGCTCCAGCTCCAAGAGATCGTTGGATGACGATGGAGAGTCTCTTCGCTCCAGCAAGAGAGCTGACCGACGCAAGAGCACTCGACGACGAGCAGACATGACGGCGGCGATCTCAGATGCAGACAACGAGGTTTCTCCGCGTCTCTCCGTCGATTTGCGCTCCACAGATACGGCCCCAAGCACTCAAGATACGACAGCCTCATCAGACATTCCTCCCTCTGAATACAACAGCGATCCTATCAAGACGACGTGCATAACTCCAGAGGATCAAAGCAACGACTTTGAGCCTGCAGTTCGTGCCGCAAAGCCCCGTGCCAAACCTCAGACCCGGACTTCTCTTAACGTTGTCACCAATGGAGCACAAATTTCCGACCCATCCACTCCAAGGCACATGTCGGTTGCAGAGAGGCCGAAGTCAACATTACGAGCATAGCGTTCAAACGGAGTATAGGTTATGGACATTGGTCTATCTTGGCGAGGTGTTCTGCATACGATGGATTTGCATAGTGATACCCCAGCATAGCGTCGGCGGCATGTGGTTAGAATTCTAGGAACGACCATTCGGTACCTGACGGGAGGTTGGGTCACGCATGACTTATGATAAACGGTCGTATTATAGACTGACCGAAGCAAGACGAAAGTGAGGGAGCTCGTTGGATCTTGCCTTTGACTTAGTCTTCAGTATTTTGCTCTGCGATCCTGCAGCAGAGAGGACCAAAATGGGCCCTTCAATATTGAGCTCTGGCATACATATTCTCCGTACTTGACTATGAGTGTTTGGAGACAGAGTATCCGTACTACGTACTACTACTATGGAGTACGGATACTACTGGTACAGAATAAGTACCTAATTCGTAGCAACTGCTCTCGACGCGCCGTCGCGACACTCTTGGCTTACGTCGACCGCCAGTGTGGCAGTGTGGCCACCATGGCAGTACTAGGTGCTCCGTACTAGTAGGCTGCAGCTTAGTTGTTCCTAGCTCGCGAAATAATGTGGTCATGTAAAGAGCCGACCTTCCCCATGCTCCAAGTCTGCAACCGTGTTATAGGAAAGACTCCCCTTTTGTGTTCTACTGCCTGCGGAATTCCACGTGAACACTTTGGTCTTTCTGTCAAGGTCCTGAACCATCCAAGCCTCGCCTCTCCTCACACCAGACAGCCTGCAACAGCCTGACTCTCTCCTTTAACGCCCAACTCACCCTGTGATCCTGAGACCTCGTCGCACGCTGATTTTCAGTCTCGACACCATGGACTTTTCCAACATTTTGTACGTGTCCACGTCATGCTGCACACAGGCAGGACGAGTCGCCGAAGCAAGATGGAGCATGCTAGGCTAACGCTGCACAACAGTCGGCTAGTCAACCTAGTTGTCGGTGGGATTATGGTTCTTGGAGGTACGCGATAGTATGAATTGTCATTGACCTAGACTGATGATGCTTCTACACAGGAATCAGTCAATTCTTCCCCATAGGCTTGTCGGTCGCCCCCTCCCGATGCATTCTGCCTGGTTGCTGAGCTCAAAACAGTCGGAGTATCATTGTCGGCATCTTTGTGATCATATTTGGCCTTGGTATGAAGAGTGATTTCAAGAGCATATTTTCCGGAGGGCTGACATTCGGAAAAAGCTATTGCCGGTCTCGAACTACTACCCCAGGTTCCGCCATATGTCCCTCGATACGCAAGCTTCCTGTTCTCTTTCCTTGGGCGTGGCGTCTGTTAGTATACCTGTCCGACTAACGACCGAAAACACTAACGCGATACAGTCTATATCTTCATCGGTTGCATCATCCTTGAAGGCCATGTGTTGCGCATAATCGCCGGGACCATCATCGGGGTTGTTGGTGTCGCTTACTGCGGGCTCGAATTCACGCCTTCTATCGAGCCTCCCAACAACATGAGGGATGCAGACGCCGGATGGGGCGCCGAACAGGTTTAAGAAGCTTACCAGCCGCAGGCTCGTATGAAGCGCGCGGCAAATGACTGTTCGCTCCCAATCGCATTGGTTTCGTTGGAGCTCGGGAACGTGAAGAATGATTTGCCGGCACAAATCCACTTTGTCATTCTATCAGAGAGGCGTGGGGTTGCATCAGCAAGTAGGGTTGAGGGCCCGAATGCTGTTAAAGGAACGGGAGACATCGAGCTCCAGGGTTTAGCATTGCCAATGATACGTCCGGCCTTTTGGCCTCCACTCGAGAATCAGGAAAAAGCCACAGTACCAGGTATTTATTTGGCATTCGAGGTGAGCAGAGAGAGAAAATCAAGATAATTAATTCCATCCCGGCGGGACACATCTTTCACGCAAATAGGGTCCTCAAAAAACGTGGCCCTTGCCTAACAAGGCCGAGTTGTCCACGGCGTCTCGGCTCATCACGTGATGCCAGACACGTGACAGGTGGCCACGACAGCCAATCATAATTGAGCTGTTTGATATTACGCCGGGAGGCTGCCTGGCGCGATTCTTTTCTCCACTGACGCCTCTTCGTAGTATCTCCCGTGCCGTCATTCCCATCCCTCATAGGAGTTCACTGTCACTCGACCTCGACCAGGCTCGCCATTTCTATTCCTCCTGCCTGCCACCAAAAATCCCTCGAGGCATTCTCATCTTGCCCATCTCGCCGCCATTTCTTTCGCTACCTTTCTGGACGCGACATCCCCTACCGCAGAGCCATACTCTTGACGCGACTACCACTCAAGGACACCGTACCCTTATCCTCTCAACACTCGCCAAGACGATTCTACAGTGTACATACACCCGCCTGGCATCCTCGGTCTACAAGCTAGATCGTTGGCGCTTCCCGGGCACTTCACTCGAATTTTCATCATCTACGGCATCGATCTGCTGTTGCTGATTTAATTCTCCCGGGAGCCTGGATGGGGCTTGGGTTCAGCTGACAGGAAAGACCAAAGTTGAGCAGGCATGTTGGCCGTACGAAGTGCGATGGACGCTCTGCAACATTCCGCTTCATTCGGTTCGGAGAGAGACACTCTAATGCGTCAGCCATCTGCCGAAGACCTCGATGCCGCTCATCAACTTGTGTCCTCTGCTCGTGGAGAGCGTGCTGGGTCACATATTATCCATGATGGTCATGTGAGCGATAGCGCGGCTGACAGTGCTCGCCCGGATCGACTGAGTCCGAGGGCGGACGCGCACCCTCCGCGTTCATCAAGTGAACTGCCTGAGCAGAAAGAGGATGTCAGCGGTCTTGGGCAAATCTGCAGGTATGTATCCCGCCAGTTCCCCGATTTACCTGCCATGAAAAAGGATCTCCATTCTATGTCTCACTCCTCATCTCTCGCCCGGTCTTGAACGCCGCAACTGACCCCCTTTGCAGTAATTGTGGCACCACTAAGACTCCCCTGTGGCGACGGTCTCCGACTGGGACAACAATATGCAACGCTTGTGGGCTATACCTCAAGACGCGCAACGCTCCGAGACCCACGAATTTCAAACGTCCAAATCCAACCACTCCTGCTGAGAGTCCTCGGCAGACAAGCAGAACATCACCCGCAGCTACAACCTCTCCGACGCCAGTACAAACCCAGCAGCCGGGCATACCCTACCGAGTTCCAGAGCATACACCAGGTTCCTGTCCGGGTGGTGGAAACTGTAACGGGGCGGGTGGCGCTGAAGGGTGCGGAGGGTGTCCTGCATATAACAACAGAGTCGCAAGGTCTACCAACGCTTCTACTCTAGTCAACCCGCAAACGCCGTCCGAGGGCGATCGCCAGAACAATACAGATACCGCCGCCAGCCAGACTGCCTTTACCACTGCGCCTCCGCCTCAAGCGGCTACGGACAGTGTATCCTTAGTTGTCGCTTGTAAAAACTGCGGCACCACAGTGACTCCTCTCTGGCGACGGGACGAGCACGGGCATCCCATCTGCAACGCCTGCGGCTTATACCATAAGTTGCACGGGTCGCATCGGCCTGTGCAGATGAAAAAGTCCACCATCAAGAGACGGAAACGAGTTGTGCCTGCATATCCGGACGTCCTCCGATCGGATGGCAATGTGTCGCAGAAGACCGTGTCGACCTCCCCTGAGCCAGTGTCGCCTGGGTTAGACTACCGTGAAAGCTCTGGAGATCCGACACCTGCACCCAAGAGGAGACGAGCTCCACCACCTGTGGACTATACAGGGTATGTGCCAGGGCCATCTGCAGGTGGTGATGCTCCCCGTAGCACACAGCCACCTTCCGACGACTACACGGTGCAAGTACGCCTTGCAGCTGCAGCTGCGGAGGGCATGCAGCTAGACCCTTCATTGGTCGATACCGGCCGCCGATCACAAGAACCGGCACCACGACCGAGTGACGCTTCTGCTCCTGTCAGCGGCCCGATTGCTGAAACTGATCGCGAGCACTGGCGCCTAGAACGCCGGGCACAACTTATGCGAGAGGCAGAGGTAATGCGTGCGGCGCTGCGGGCAAAGGAGCGCGAGATTGATGACCTGACGTGATCAACACTTGATGGGAGTTAACGGGGATTTAACAGGAGTGTGGTCGCAGCTGTTGATTCTTTAACCACTACGCGTGGTCATCGGCGCAGGGCTGCATTCGAGATGTACGCATAGCGAGCGAGGCGTCGGGGTCAGCTTCTGGAGCCTTGACACAGGTCCATGTGAGGATTTGTCAAGCACGATTATAGTAGTACGTAGTGTCTTGCCAGAATTGCCATAACACTAGCTCAACTTCTCTATAAGCAAGCATTCTTTGGGCCTGATCTAACGCTCAGAAGATCTGTAATATGTCTATAAGTGGTGTTCTCTTGATGTCAACCCACCTGACACTCAGTATATTGTCTGACTACGTAGCTGGCAGACCGATTCACTTAAAGCATGGCTACCCTCTGCTTAATATGGATTTCATTTCCGATGACGGACTGACGAGCTCATTACGCTCGGACTTGTCGTCGGCCTCCTCCCGGCACATGAAAGTAGTACAGCATCTCCACGTCCTCTCATCGGAATTCTTCCGGCTGTTATGATACGGATTACTCTGTATGCACCTGGAGGAGGCCCATTCATTGCCTCTAGTCTCGAGTCTGTTCATTGCAGTGCTGGCCACTTTGGCCTGCGCGTTCTGAAAACAGAGGCACTTTGGCGATCGCTCATGCTGAGTATGTGGCAGACATCATCTGCACAGACTGAGAGAATAGTTTGCTCATGTCGGGCCGCAAACCATTCTCGTGTCGGGCCAAGCACTTTTGCAAGGCTGCTCCCAATGCTTTCTTTACAGAGTGCAGTGCGTAAGGCCAATCCAATACGCTGGAGATGACTCTATTGAGGATATAGCCTTGACGCGAGAGGCGTGCCCCCACCAGGACGTGACAGCGAGAGTGTCTGTCTCCGACTCAGAACCATAGCTTGATCAATTCCTCGCTCACGGCGTTGGGAGACATGATCCCGTTCTCCGTGATCAGGGCAGATATCAGATTTGGGGGCGTGATCTCAACCATCTCGGCTTCTGTCGTTAAGACCTTGCCCTCGTCTGCTGTGGCAGCCTCGGGTTTCGGGTCAGAGTTCGGAGTGCCGGTGCCGAATTGCAAAACGTTCTGCCTGACACCCAGTCGTGCCAGGTCGGTAGGTCCATAGCCCAGAGGGAAGTTGCGGACGAACTTGTATGATTCCACTGCAACGTGGAGCGGGACGGAAACGGATTTGGCGATCAGCGCCAGCTGGTGCATGCCAAGCTCGGTGATGATGGAGCCGTTTTCCAGGACGGCTGCGGCGCCTATGATGAATTGTGGCGGCGGTGCCGATGGGGCGAGTGAAGCCAATGCGTAGATCAAAGCCTGCATAGAGATAGTCGCAGTCGGGATAGAAAGATCATTAAGGGCCGCGATGAACTTCGACACCCGCTCACTCAGCCCCGTCGCGGGTAAGACATAGATGACATTGAAAGAGCGGTTCGATTCGGCCGCATGGGTAAGAAGGGCCTGCACGGCGCGACTGTAGCCGTAGGTGATAATGGTCGAGTCATCCTTGATGAAAGGGAGAGCGTGCTGTGCGATTTTGGGCCGGGCTTCGTTGGCGCGTTTGACGAACAGGGACGAGTTGCTGAGGATGTGGTGGCGGAGAGCGGTGAAGTCGGAGCTGGCAAGGGAGGACGGCCGCTGTTGAAACGAGCTTACTAGGTATCGCTGGAATAGCTCTGTGCCGGCGGATAGCGGGATCGGGTTGCGTTGGGACGCGAGGAGTTTGCTCGAATGCGTGGATAGTAAGGCCAGAGTTTCGGAGATGGTGGTCAGCGGTGTGCTGGCAAGCAACGAGGTGAGCGATTCGATCGCCGCGATAGGGGGCGTGATGGTCGGGTCGCGGCTGATCAAGTCATTGTAGAAGGCGACTATGTCGAAGTCCGTCGACGGGGACGTATCGGGCGTCGGCTTTGGGGTTGAGGGTGGTGTTGACAGCGATGCTGGATGGCGAAGGGATATGTCAGAAAAAAGCTGGAATGAAAAGGCCTTGACCATCCTCAGAGAAAGAAGTTGACCGATCTTAGTCCAGAGGCTTCTCCAGGTGAAGTCGTTCATGGCTCGAGGCTATAAGAGGGGCGGAGGTCTTTTGAGTCACGCAGAGAAAGAAGATGACATGACTTACTGGCTGCCATTTTTGAAGGTTCAGCCGGTCAGGCACGGTTGAGATCGCATCGACTAATGGACCTTGAACATATGGCTGGTTTGTATTGGCTGATGTGTCGGGCCCGATGGCTGTTGTTGGACAGGCTACAGGCCGGGGTGGAACGCAATTGATGGCAGATGAAGACTGATGTCGAGAGCCTCGTGGGACCTTGGCGTCGTGCAGAGCGGCACTGATGTCCGGCGGAGTACTTCTCACTAATATGGGAATAATGCTGTGCAGCATAAATCCGGGAGTGCAGTTTTGTATCACATGATTCACGTGACTGTGTCGGTCCCTGGTCCTGGTCCGTTTCCGGGGCGACATCAACAATGCCTCAGCAATGCCTGCCACTAGCACTACTAGACGTATCTCTAAACATACAGAGTACAGAATCCCTCCCCCGTCTGGTCGCAAGGGGAACTGAAACTGACTTGCGCTCACCGCTCCGACAGAGGTCACAATCATCTACGCAGCCTAATAGTCATCAACATGAGTCAACAATACCGCACTTCGCAGCAACAGCAGGGGCGCGTCAAGAAGAAGGAGGAGGATCCCGCTGATTTCATGCGACTGGTCTGTCGCACTCTGCCGAGGATTGCGAACGAAGTAGCTAACCGTTTTTACAGTCTGAAAGGGAGATCGCATCTTGTATCAGCGAGATGGGAATACCCTTCCAGCCCTCCGACCTCATGAAACCCAACCCTCAAGTCATTCAGATGGTGTTCGAGCACTTCGGCGAGCTGGTCATGAACGCGACTCGTCAATCCCTCGACCCCGCCATGCGCGCCGCAGCGGAAGACGTCTGCGCCGAATTCCCTGAGCTGGTACCGGTTGAAACGAGGCTTCTTATGGGTTTTTTTGTCCAACTGCGGACAATGCTGGAGCAGTGCGGGATCAACGATTTCTCCTTCAATGATCTGGTTCGGCCGACCCATGACCGCCTGGTCAAGATCTTCTCATATACCATCAACTTCATCCGATTTCGAGAGACGCATACGAGCATGATAGATGACAACTTCAACAAGGCGGAAACCACCAAGGCAAGAATTGAGACGCTGTACACGGAAAATCAAGACATGGAGCAACGACTGGAGGAGATGAAACACAACCGAAAAACCATGGAGGCCGCTGTCAAGGACAAGATCCGCCGAAATGACGAACTGAAGGCTCGTTTGCTGGAACTGCGTAAGGGCCAGGAAAGAGTTGCAGAACAGCTGGAACGAGCGAAGGCCGAGAAGACACGGGCGCAGGCCACTCTGGAAGAGAAAACGGAGAGACTGGTCAAAGCACGGCAAGAGAGCGAGAAACTAAGACCATATGTGCTACAGAGCCCGGCTGCGCTGCAGAACGCCTTGACCGAGCTGTCGGAAAACTTGATGCGCGAAAAGAGCCAAATTGACCTACTGGAGCGACGAGGTCGAGCGCTACAAACTTCTGGTGACAGTTTTGGCGTGGTGCAAAACGACATACAGGCGTGCGTGAAGATCCTGGAAGAGATTGCAGTTGAGCTACAGAAGGAGGAAGAGGAAGATGCAAGGGCAGCCAAGAACCGGGACGCATTGGCCGAACGGGGCAACAACGTGCGGGAGGTGGAGCAGAATGAGAAGATGTTGCAGCGGCAGCTCAAGAAATGGGAGGAACGTACAGAGGAGTTGCGGCGGAAGCACAAAGAACGAGACGAAGCGAACAAGACCAAGATGGACGAGCTGCGAGACATCCAAAAACAGCTCCGAGACGAGAGAGCTGACAAGGGGCGGGAGATGGAGAGAAGAAGAGTGCGGATTGAGCAGACCGAGAAGAAGGTAAGACTCGCGCCGTCCTAAGTTGCCTGGATGATGAAAGAATGCTAACCCCCGGCAGATGGCGGATCTCAAGGACAACATCGAAAACGAAGTCCATTCTGCTCACGAGGAGTATCTGAAACTCGAGTCGCACATCAAGCTGTACATCACGGAAATGGAGCAAAGTATATGAAGTTCACGAGGGTGCATCACGACAGATATGACGGAGTTGGCAGGTTTGATCAGAGATACCCCCGGCGTCCAGTCGATACAGGCGCTGCATTTCTAGATGTACATTGGACAGGTAACCCTGGTGACTTTTGCACTTCAAACAAGCATTTCATCTTCCGTCGCCGCCCCTTTGTCGAACAGTGACCCTGACCGGTCCTCCTTGTCTTCTCGACCCGGGTGTCGGATCTGGAACCATCGAGATGCGATCATCATGACGGAAATAGACCGTCGGCCCCAGCTGGCACCTCCCTCTCCTATCTTGACTGCTCCGCTGAGCAGCTGGACGTCGGCTTGCCACAAGGCTGGCCCACGGCTGGGGTTTGAAGGGTCGTGAATATCCCGGCACTCGACAAGTTCAAGTTGCCGTTTCGCCCCGTGCGCCGCAGAGACCGCAGTGGCAAGGGTTTGTGATAGCCCTTGCAAAGTAAATTCGGAGGTTCCGTGGTGTAGTGCCAGCAGGTTCAGAATCACTACTCGGCCCTCAAAGGAGGAAGTCGGCGCTGATGATTTCGAGACTGTTTGGAGGTAGTAGCTGGCGAGATACCCTCGGAGTACAGTGGTGGTTGGACAGAAGCGCAGGCTGCAGAACCGGCTGGCGCTCAACACTTGCAGTGTCGGTGCCAGAAGCGGATGGCTGCGTCCTGTGGGGGACACGTCGTCAGCCTCGCCGTTGCTCTCGTCCTGAGCAGGACTGGTGGCCGAGGGCCTCAGCTCATCATGGTGTCGGGCTAGCTGGGTCAGGAGTTGGTCATGAAAGTCCTCCCGAGTCGAGCATATGACCAAATCTGTCGGAAGAGGGTGGTCTGCCTTGACAATATCTTCGAGCAGGTCAAGCGCGTAGTCATACTTAGTGGTGATGAAGTTCATGAAGAGGATCGGATATGTGGCTGGGCTTAGACACCGAGCTCTCGGCAATCATTCATTGTCTAGTAGCGCTCGAGCAGAGGATATGCCGCCTTCTAGGAGGAATAATGATACTACATTGATGATGGTGGATGATGGTGGAGTGGGATCGTGGCCGCGGTCGCTGTCGTGACGGCCGCAGCCTGACATGTGACCCGCGCACTAGTATTGGTATCACGTGCTGGTCATGTGCAAGGCTGGATCTTGGCAAGGCGGGCCTGCCAGTCACGGTGTCAGCGACCTCAGGCTCCACGATACTCGCTCGACATCAGGAGAATCTAAAGCCGCTCGATCGTGGCTGTTACCACGGGTTGTCATCAAACGCAGGTATCTGTCTGACTCCGTCAGTACCGAGACATCTTCAAGCCCTGGGATGGTGCTCCACGTCACACATCCCACACCAGTATCTTGCGGGAGCACAACGTTGCGGGGGTCGCACGAGACTGGCGATCGAGCACCGAGATGGAATCAGTCTCCCGGATCTCGTCCTTGATGGACCCAGGTGAGTCGAGATGGATTCTTCCTGGCTCCAGCACGCTGACCCCAATCAAGCCCGAGACTTGACCGTGGAAGCCGCACAGGTTCTGGGCATCTCCAGAGGCCTCAAAGGAGGATCGTCCGGTCGCACCATCTCCTTTACCAAGCTCAAGGCTCTCCTGGACAGCCGGAGTGATCGTGAGCTCCTGGAAGGACTGAGGAGAGTGATCTCTGTACGGATACACATGCCAAGTTTCAAATGACCCCTGAGCCCGGGCTGATTGAACCTAGATGATGTATCAGAACAAGCCATGTCTGCCCTATTTCTCATCCGTCGTCAAGAATGTGGCCAATCCGAACCTCGAGGTCAAGAAGCTCGTCTACCTCTATCTCCTCCACTACGCCGAAGCCGACCCTGACCTGGCTCTTCTTTCCGTCAACGCCATCCAGAAATCTCTCACCGACCAAAACCCACAGGTGCGCGCGCTCGCCTTGCGCACCATGTCAGGGATGCGGGTTCCGGTCATTAGTCAGATCGTATCCCTTGCCATCAAGCGAGGAGTTGGTGATATGAGTCCTCATGTCCGCAAGGCAGCCGCCCTCGCCATTCCGAAGTGTTATAGCCTCGACCCAAACACGCTACCTCAACTACTCGACTATCTCTCCATACTACTTGGTGACCGACAATATTTTGTAGTCGGCCCTGCTGTTCAGGCCTTCTTGGAAATCTGCCCTGACCGTATCGATCTTATCCACAAGCATTATAGAAGCCTCGTCAAGAAACTTGTTGATATGGACGAGTGGAGCCAGTTGGCTACCTTGAGGCTTCTTCTCTTCTACAGCCGACGCTGCTTTCCTCGACGGACGCGTAGGGTCACCAAGGTCAACAAAAAGGGTTTCTACGAGGACGAGCGCGACGAGACAGTCGAGACAAACGAAGTCATCCAGGTCTTGGATCCCGACTTGGAGCTCTTCTTGAACGCCTGCAGACCTCTACTTCGCAGCCGAAGTTCAGCGGTCGTCACGTCTGTCACCAGCTGCTTTCTGTACCTGGGCACGCCCGAATACCTCGAAGAAGGTGTTGGCCCCCTCATCGGTCTCCTGCGCGGACCTCCGGAAGTGGAGGAAGTGGCATTGTGCAACATCGTATTGATCTCATTGTCGGCTCCAGATCTGTTCGTACCCTACGCCTCTCATTTCTTTCTCCGAGCGCACGATCGGCCTCAGGTATGGAGGTTGAAGGTTGAACTGCTGACCGTGATATTTCCGCATGCGGCATTGCATCTCAAATCCATCATTCTGAGCGAGCTTGAACACTTTGCTCACAGCTCCGACATTGAACTCATCCGGGAATCGGTACGGGCGATAGGGCGGTGTGCACAGTCGGATCCGCAGAATGCTCACCGGTGTTTCCGAGTTCTCCTAAATCAGATATCCAGCTTCGACAATATCCTGGTCTCCGAAGTGCTTACCGTCGTGCGCCATCTCATTCAGCAAGAACCCGCATCTCACCGGAAGACTGTGGTGCGACTGGCAAGAAACCTGGACCGGACCACCAGTCCAGAAGCCCGAGCCACAATCATCTGGTTAGTGGGAGAATTTGCGAGCCTCGACCCCGACAACAACATAGCTCCGGATGTTCTGCGGATCCTGGCCAAAGGGTTTGCGGACGAGAGCGAGACTGCTAAGCAACAGATTGTCCTACTGGCCGCCAAGGTGTATCTGCTGTTCTTGCAGCGAGAAGGCGCACATGCTTCAGATGAGAAGGACAACGCTGGAGAGTTGCAAGGTGGTGAGGCGCAAAGTGCTCAGACTTCGGCCATCCTCGACCACCGAATTTCCAAGCTGTGGAATTACATCCAACTCCTCGCTCGATATGATGTATCGTACGATCTCCGTGATCGGGCCCGGCTCTTCAAGGCGCTCCTCGCCGACCCGCAATCAACACAACTTGCAGCTCTTCTGCTCCTCGCGCCCAAACCAGTACCTCACTCGCCGTCGCCATCGGAGAGCCGAAAAGGCCTGGTACTCGGCAGCACTACCCTGGTCCTTGGGAAAGATGTGGTTGGCATTCTTGGGCTACCGGGATACCAGGAATTGCCGGCTTGGGTGGAAGATGGTCACGAGCCGGACCCGAAGCTGAGAGACGCGGCGGAGGGCGGAGAGAAAGAAGAATATGTGCCACTCAACGCGAGAAAAACGGCGACGGTGGCGGCCAGCCGAAGACTGGACGCGGCTGTCAAGGAGCAGGGTCTAGAGAAGGTGGTAGCGGCAGGGTCGACGAGGGCGCATGGAAAGCAGAGGACTTTGGACGACTGGCTGGCCGAGAGTGAAGAGGAAGAGGAGGGAAGCGATGAGGGAGAGACGGAAGAAGGCGAGAGTGAAGAAGAAGAGAGCGAGGAAGAAGATAGTGAAGAAGAGAGCGAAGAAGAGGAAGAGGAAGAGGAAGAGGAAGAGGAAGAGGAGAAGGCAATGAGAAAGGGACTGATGAGTTGAGCGTAGCACAATATCCGTGGAGTCACGTATACTATCCGTATATGCTTCGCTTCTGTTGTAGTATACTAGACACTGACAGTGTCTTTAGGATCGGGTCAGACGCTGAAACTGAAGTTGAAGCTGGAGGAGGTCTCGTGAACCATCCTGTCCCAGCCCACTTCAAGGCTACAGTCCCAGTACGTTGGATACATGTAGTTCGTCACAGCCACAGCCACAACGTGGAGGACGGGACATTCCATCTCACTGTTACTTGCAAGTACTCCGTACTGTAGGAGATTGTCGTAGATCCTAATTAGGAACTGGTTGGTATAGGAAACGCATCATCACCGGTGTACGGAATACGGAATACTCTGTACCTACCTATGTGGTCTGTCTCTGTAAGGTGTCATGAGTTCAGGCAAGGCACGTAATTACGGGGAGTAGTACGGAGTACTCGGTACAGTAGAAACAGACGGGAGGACTGACTCCAAGCCCAACCCAATACTGGTACTGGCAGGGGGGGCTGGACAATCATCATTCCTTAGCCTAAGGCCATGCCACTCCTCCCAGGACTGTCTAGGACGTCCATCCCTGCTCCCTGGTCATCTTTGCTCCGGGTCTGTCGCGGAGGAAGAGCGTAGAATAGGAAAAAGATCGACTTCCAAGGTGTCGACGGCTCTGTATAGTATAATACTACTACTAGTAACTAATTATCTACTACGTATGTGCTATATCCGTATCCGCCTCCGCCTCCGTTTCATCTGTTGATCCCTTCCTTGATTCTGAAATCCTCAATCCTGAAATCCTGATCGCCGGCTTAGGCAGTGGCACCCGGTTTCCGGGTTTCACCCACGCCCGGTCCGGTCCGTGGCTCAGGCCTAAGCCTGAGGGTTTTAGGCCTCTATCTGGTATCCGGATACTGGATATTACTAGATCCTAGACGGACACTAATAACTGTAGCTGTAGTACTGTCCATACTCGTACATACCAGATGGCAGACGGAGGTTCTGGGGATGGGGCCCCTAAGCCGACATCGTGGCAATTTCAGACCTCTCCTCTCACGCGAGTAGATCATACCTAATTACCTAGGTACTGTAGGTACTAGACTCACTCCGTACCTACCTAGGTAGGTGTGGTGGTGGTGTGGCAATCGCAGCTGCGTTACACTACAGTACAGTACGAAATGGCATAATTACCCGGCTACGGCTTCCAGACGGGCCGTGGCCCATCCCGCGGTGCTTACTCGAGGCACTACACTACGTAGGAGCTACGTACATAACAACCTGTTAGATTTGCACTGTCCAGTGTCCTCAGTATCCCTACTCTGTATCCGTACGGAGTACTCTGTACACGCCGACCTGACCCTGACCCTGACGGACGGAGCAACAGTCGGTTGTTTTGTGGTTCTTATTCCCATCAGGTGCCATCCATCCTGCCCTTGACAACCCGACCTTTTTTCCAAAACCAGACCACACCACACCCAACCATGCTGGCTGCTCTTCCCCACACACCGTCATCTCGCTTACAGAGTATCTCTCTGGATCTGGGTCTAGGTCTGGGTCTGGGTCCGGGTCTGGTGCCGTACGAGTACTGGCCGGAAATATACAGAGACCGAGGCTATTCCGAGTAATAGTGCAGCAATCACAACATAGAGCGGGACGGGTGGAGGGTGGAGGGTGGAGGCTCCAGGGTGGAGGGAGCGCATCTCTGGAACTGAAACGAGGGAAACACGCAACACAGACACACGAGTTCGAGTTTCTTCGCAGTAGCAGTACGGCTACGATACGGAGGACGGATACAGACTCCAGAGCATGGAGTCCCAGTGCCGTGTTCTTGGGGAATTGTGCCGCGTGGGCCGTACGAGTACACCGTACAGTGGCACAGTTATACAGTTATACAGTTACAAGAAGGTAGGTAGGATGGAGTACGGAGTACAGACTATACGGATATAGTACCGAGTCCTCCGTACTCCGTACTCGTACCCAATGCCTCAGGGCGCAGTATCTGTACGGACTAGACATACCTCTAGAGTACTCTGTATACCTATGTACAAAGTCGACGCCGACACTCCCTACGCAGTATTCGAGTCTTTACAGTCTTTCCAATACTATCATACCACCACCACCACCACCGTCATCAACCCCCAGCTGACCAGACGGACACGGACACGGTGACGGCCCTGAGGCTTAGGCGCCTTCTAGGAATCTTCAGGAAGCCGAAGCCTTTCTCCGACAACAAACAAACAGGCCACTTCCTACTTCCTGGCTTGTTGTATGTACTATGTCACCCCTTTCCCTCCTCCGTGCTCCCCCTTTGATTCTTTCCCTCCTTCGACTTTCTTCCTCCACGCTTCGTGGGTGTTTCTCCCCCTAATACGATCACACTCTCCCATCTACCGAAGGGAAGGGAAGGGGCGGATCCATGGAGATGGAGGTGGAGGTGGAGGTTTCGTCTATGATCTGGTCTCAGGTGACAGGTGACACACCCTGAACCTGAAAGGAAAGGCCGCTACACCCTCACCCTCACCCTCCTCCTCACAACCAAGTATGGAGTATCCGGACTGTGCACTCCATACCTATGTCCATTGTCATCTGATGCCCGGCGAGCATCGAGCAAGAACTGGACGGTAGGTCCCGTGTCTGTGCCCCTAAGCCTACGAGTACCTGAAGCCATCGGCTCCGGCTTCTCCGCGACTGTGACCCGGCTCTCCTGTTACTTTCCGCAAAGATCACCGTCTTCTACTCCTTGTTCTTGAGATCACAGATGGTCTTTGTTGCTGACAAGATATGTCTCTCCGTGGCCTTGTGGCGTGCTTCTTCAAGCACTGAACTATTCTTGCGATCCCCCCCCCCCCATATGCCACGAAGCCAGGACCATTGGGACGGCAAGCCGGATACAAATGGCCCTGCCAAGCTCATGCCGTACCGTTGCCATCTGTCTGCCTGTCCGAGCGGAAACGGCCCAGCAGAAGTCTCCAGAATTCATGTGTACATCTCAGCGGGAAAGTTTCACCGTCGGCATATGCCATGGAGATCCGCACCCAGCTGCCGTGGTTAGGTCAGTGAGCAGACCAATCCCCAACCGAGACAGGAACGGAGAGGTGGCACAGATATGGTCAGTCATTCAAGGCATCGACGACAAAGTTCCAGAAGTACTCTGTAAGCTGTCATAGCCAAAAGCGAAAGAGACACGCAGGACAAGGGATGAGTAGCGGATAGCCGTTGGAGTAGCGCAGTTTGTTTCATTGGTATCGTAGCCTCCTCACCTTGCAAGCTCGGCGCTGGAATGCCACGAGTGGGCACGAACGCGAGGCGTCATTTGTGGAACATATGCAGCCAAACAACCATCCAATCTGTTCCTATTGCTCTCCCTTTCATGCTGCAAATCCCCTCAGCACCGTCTGGTCTCTACAAACGCCTTTTTCCCATGGAGCTCCACCCCTTGCTCCAATATCCATCTCTTTCCCCCCTAAACCGCTTTCCAAGCCGGCTTCTAATCTTTGAAAAGGTCAAGACCAAGTGGCAAGACCAGGGGTCGTATCAATTCCCTAAACTCTGTTCGCTTTTGCTCGCTCGAATGGAGCCGTATCAGTATTTGAACCGAATACGACCTCAGAAATAAAACACCGTAACGCCAACCATGCGGAATTAGAACGAGAACGCTCAGATCCATAGTCAAGTCGTGAGAGTAGGGGGGAATTGTCGTCATCGCATCGTGGAAATGCTCAGAGTCAAATCCAAACAAGAAACACTTGATGAATCGTCGGCAGAATCAGTGAGCGCGAAATGCATAATCGATGCTGCCGCGTGGGAGATATTGCTGCTAGCCCGGAGCAGTGGTCCGTTCTTCGGCCGCCGTCGCTTCGACCGGATTCGCAGGAGGTTGGTCCAGAGGGATGGCGGCTTCTTGGAGGCATCTGTCACATATTTGGTGATGACAGTTGGGACATTCTTGGACACCCGGTTCCAATCCCGTCCTACACTCGTGGCATGCCCCTTGAGCACCGGCATGAGGTGGTGCGGCTAGATTCTGGGGAGGACCGGGTTGTGTCGGTCGTTCCCTCGGATGTTCCCTCGGTCGGTTTTTCTTGGGCGGATATCGGATACATTGGGCGCAGCGACGATGCTGACACCCTACGCAAACTCTGTCGTGTCCAAAGGTGGTTGCACAGTTATGACAGGTATATTTGACTCTCATTCTAATGTTCTTGGATACTCTTTCGTGCGGCTGTCTGGGCCTTATGCCCCAATCCGCCTGACTGAGCTCGAGATTGTATTTGGCAAAGATTGCCTGCGCTTTGCCGAATTGCATCGGTGCTTCGTCTTGCGGGTCCGGCGATACAGTGCTCAGCTGGCTCGGAAGTGCGTGAGGTGTCGCAGGTTCGAGGGTCACAGGAGATGTGCCCATGGTCGTGTCATCCACTTCAATAATCGGTGGCCGCACCGTGGCGGGCACGCTGTCTTAAGTATTAGTTGACCAAACTTCAGTTAGACATGACAGTAGATCCCGGTGCACTTACGACTTTGATGCCGGCGTAGACTCAGGCTGCGGGGGCGCCGAGCGTTCAGCTGGTACGGTTGATGGTATTGTATGTGTAGTAATTGTAGCTTCGGTGGGAGTTTTGGATTTATTTTTGAACACGGCTTTGACCCTTTTCCAGACCTGCCTCAAACCCTTCTTTTCCTTCTTTGATGGTTGGGTTTCCTCGCACCCCATTGGCGGGTGGAAATAGAGGGCCTGAACGGAAGTGTCATAGAAGGGAGAGTGCAATCAACGTGGCTGCAAGGTTGGGCGCGAAGAAAAGCCCAGATGGCTCTCTGGCGCGGCGATTGGTTCTCGGCTGACCCAAAGAATTGGGAGTGGTGAAGAATGTCAGGTGTCAGATTGGCGGTGGAATTCCGGGGGCGTGGTTACTTGTCGGATTGCAAGATCCCTGCTGCCGGCGTGGGCACCATTGGCTTTTTTTTTGTGAAGGCGGGCTGCGACTGAGGGCGAAGGCAGGAGAGCTCTGTTATGGAAGGCGAAGGTTTTCTTATGAAATGAGGCCAGACCGCCCAACGTTCAAGAGTGTCTGCACGAGAGCGTTCCAGGTGCGCCAATGGCTATCGTCGGTTTGGCCTGTCCCCTGCAACGGCCGCGGCCAGATGCTGGGAGCACGGGGCGACGAGGAGAATTTGGGCGATCGTCGACGCAGGGTGACGCCGGTGCCGGTAAGCTCCTCCCGTCGTCGACCACAGATCAAGTGGTGATGAGTAGCAGGAGAAGAGTGAAGGAGAGGATCGGCGAAGTGCTGCGAAGATCGTTTTGAGGTGGTTGAGGAGAGGAGGATGGTTGCGTGATGGGGTGGAGATAAGAGAGAGAAGAGTTGGACACGGCAGACTGTCTGACAACGAAGATGTTGGCAACGTTCTGCTCTCTGCTCGCAAGTCAGCGTGGTATGTACCTAGGCACCTAGGTAGGTAGAAGCCACAGTACTTATGATACAGTACAGTGATGGTGATAGAGAGTCGGACGAAGCAGCCACTGCAGCCAACAGAAGCTGGCCAAGAGACCGACCGCCTACTACTATACTAATATATGTACGGCCAGTGTACGGATACGTATCCACGGGTGAGGGGGGAGAAGATGTGCAGACTGCAGAGAGCTCAGAGCAGAAATGCCACCACAGACAGGGACCGTACAGTACTAGTTGTGCCTATGGTGCCTCTGGTGCCTCTGTCTACCAGCGAGATGGGATCAGTGGCCCAAGCCTAAGGGCCGCCCGGCAGCTGCAAGTGACGTGGGCACCCCAACAGCCAGCCAGCCAGCCGGATGGGATGGCACAGGCCTGCAGCTTCAGCAGTCCTGACTCTGAGTACTGGGAAGATGCTGCACTTATTAGCTGGTAGCTCCGTACGGATACCCTGCCCAGGTAGGCGGGCTGAGGCTTGCATCGCTAAATTCGTCCACTGTGCGGTAAGTGCTAGGTACGAGGTAGCCGCGAGTCAGGGAGCTCTCTTAGGGCATCCTAGGCACTTTGACTAGGCCTAAGCTTCCCAAGACTAAGGGCCCTAGGGAGCTTTGGGGCTGGCCCCATGCCGGGAATTCAGCTACAAGTCGGTTCGACCGTGCTGCCCCGTTCAGGATCCGGCTCCTGGGGACTGCGTGCCAGGTGTCTAGCATGGAGTCGTGGACAAACCGGATTTAGGTGCTCCATGCCTAGACTATAGTGGGAGGATGGCACCCACGCGGTCGTTTCCAGGTTGTCTTCTGTTACCGGCGGCTTCTGCGTTGGACCGCGTGTTTCGTGCGCCACGCCGCGCATCCCACTGCCACCTGCCATCACCATCACCATTAATTACCATTACCATTGTCATGGCCCTGGCCCTGGCCGTTTTTGTTGTTCTTGTTCTTCCGTCCTGCATTCCACATTGCCACCCTTTCGCCGTTGTGTTGGCAGCTGCTTTTCTGGCGGGCCACGGCTCACACGGCTTCAATCCCAATTTGTCCTCTGCTCCTCGTCCTTGCTCCAACTACCAGACGCCACCTTCACATCGCTCTGCACCCAGGCCGATGGATCGAGGAGCAAGCGAAGTCCGTCCCGGAAGCGCGGCTCACGCTGTCTTTTTAGCATTGCACCGGCTCCTCCCAGACCCCGCACCCTTTGCTTGAAGAACCAGGGTTTGAGACAGAGACCATTTTGACCGTTCTCCGGTGTTTTCGTTAGCTTGCAAGCTACAAGGTATCTACCCCCTGTCTGTGCCCTCGAGCTGACCCTCTTGGCTTCAGAAGTCCAGCCATTCAGTGCAGCGCCCATCTCTTCGCTGGCGCAAATCATCAACATGGCGTCCATGCCCGAGGGCCAGCAACCTCCACAGCTCCATCACTTTGGGCAACATGGTTACCTAAGTACGGATACGGATACTTGTATCGCTACCTCGTCAAAGCCCTAGATGGCAGACGTCCTGTACGAGTCTCCTAAGAGCTACCGAAACCCCAGGACAAGTCGGCGGAACAGCAGACTCGGAGACTAAGCCAGCTCATTTGGTATCGCGCCTCCCTGCGTACTGCTGTGCATGCGGATGAGGGGTTCACCTAGCCTGGCACTCTGAGAACCAATGGCGGGCAGTTTGCCATTGCACTGTTCATATTTGGAGAAATGGGAGAAACTGTGGGTGTACCCATGAACATGGCTCCTCCTTGTTGGCAGTTGCGGCTATTGAAGATCTACTATGTACGTCAACCGTCGCCTGAAAGAGTGAAGTCCCTCTGTATATGCTGGCGCATGGGCTGAAGAACGCCCAGTGCGTGAGCACGGCCCCTTTTGTTAACTCACCAGATGGAAAACGTACAGTACAGAGTCAGTCCAGTGCCTAATACTACCGCTAGCGTTCATCTCAGACCCTCCCTCCACTGTCCTCGTCTTCAAATTGTGCAAGCTGGAAGGATGCTTCGCTTACGGCAACCTGAAGCCGGACTCCTCACGTTGTCCGTAACAAAACTCCGAGCAGTTCTACTACTGTAGATCCCCTCGGAGCACCTCCCAAACCGGTCACCCTACGACCCTTGGCCTACATTTTCAGTCACCAGCTTTGCCGTATTGCCAACGTCCGGTACGGCTGGATCAGGAGAGGCAAGTCAGCCTTGGCAGATGACTTCGGATGACCTGACACTGGTGTATTTGAACTCCTCCAGTTGGACAACATGCTGAATCCTTTGGCTCTCTCAAGGAGACCGTCAGGATCCGCAATACAGACTCCCGGATGTTTCTCGAACGGGATTATACTGCCTCTGCTCTGCGACATCCAACTCTGGGTCGGCACCACGTTCCGGTAAGATGTCGACGCCGCGATGATCAGGCGAGAGGTCGGCCACACCGGGGCTGCAGGATGGCCACTGGAGAGAGATGACTGGGCCAGAACAAGGGCAACAGTAAAGATGGAGCGCATGAAATTTGCCTGCAGACTCTTTGGTGACTTTTGCTGCTTCCCAGTTCGCCAGAGTGCTCTCCCGCTCTCCAACCTTCCATCTCTTTAAGGTCACGGGTCCTTTCATCTCCTCCCCATCGTTGACTGTGGTTTGTGTTGTCTGGCCGCCACCGCCAGGCCTCCTGTAACATAGGATCCAGCGATACTCCTTCCACCAAATTGGATATATACTTGCCCATGACGGGTAGCATCTTGAAAGCGACTCCCAAATCTCCCGTGGCCACCACCAGGCGAGAATTATCCGGATGAACGTCCAGCAGCCAGTTGCAATCGGGTGTATCAGTGCACCAGCACACCTTCTCCGTTACAAAGGGACGGTCCTTGAACTGCGGCTCGGTCTTGGCCAGCAAGTCACTGATCTCCCTGCGTGACTGGTGTGGGATGGAATCTCCAGGGTTCTGGGCGTGAGAGCGTGATGGACGGTTCATGTCAGGGTGTGGGAGGACTTGCCGGGGCTGAGAGCAGACTCACCTTCCTCTAGATTCATTACGACGGTAATATTTCTGATGCTGGCACTCCTCGGACGTGAGCTGGATATGGGCCAATGTCCAGCGTTTGGCTTCCAACCACCCTTTGGTGTCGAGCAACGAATGAGCAACGAATGAGCAACGAATCGCTCCAAGCACCGGTACAAAGCACAATACGATCGCCGTTCGCCGTTCGCTGCGAGATATAGAGAGATAATTAGAGAGACAGGAAGATGGATTAGCCGCGGGATTGAGATGCATTCTCGCACCGTACCATTGTGCTGTATCTTTGCATGTTTTGGTGGCCGCCCTCTACCAACCACGGTCCACAGTCCACTATCCGCAGTCCACCGTTTCAGCGCCTCATCTGAGCAATAATGATGATGATAATAAGGATTATGATTCCATGCCTGGCATCTCCCGAGGTCTCTCGCCAACTTCCCACGCCGCTGCGAGGACGATGGACGTTGATCCCTGCGTTGGGCTGTCCGACAAGGGCGATATCAATCTGAACGGGCTTCTAAGGCTCCATTGGTCTAGCCATCCCGGGGCTTTCTAGGCATCCTAAGTCCGCCTTTTCGGGGCCACTTTCCTCAACTTCTCTCGCCAACCACCACCACCCTGCCACGGCCTGCGTGATCCCTTCCTCTCACATGTCAGCCTGGCCCCTTAGCCCTTCGTGCGGCAGGTCAAGACCGTCAAGCCAGGCCGGGCGACTAGGATGACGCGTCGAGACAAAATGAAAGAACGTCGAGCGGCTGAAGATACGGGCAACGCCGCAAGGCAACAGGGAAGCGAGGCAGCGCCGGGGTCGAGGGTTCACCAGAGTCTGACCGAGTGAGCAGTTCAGTCCTGTTTATTTGCCTGCAATTGGTTTCAGGTGCCTATCGGTCGACAGTGACAACGCACATGGTTAGGAGTGAGAGTTGCTCGCCGTCAACCATGCTGTTCGCCCGCGATCTACTCGAGCCTCGAGACCGTCCTCCCTCACGTCTAGACCTGTGAACCGTCTCCTCTCTTTCTAGTCCATTGACACCCTCATATTGCGTGCCCTATTTCCACCCAAAAGAATGACCAATCTTGAACATGTCTGCCTCATCGGCGCCGGCGGCGTGGGAACCATAGCGGCATACGTCCTGGAAAACTCGCGGCGCGCCCGAGTCACGGCTGTCTTGCGCTCCAACTATGACCTTGTCAGGGATCAAGGATTCGATATCGACTCGGTCGACCATGGCAAGGTTCGAGGCTGGAAGCCGCACAATGGTGAGCAAAGCGAAGCGAATATGCGTTCACCCTCGAGAAATGTCTTTTTCCATCCCCCTCGCAGTGTTGTGCTGCACACCGACTGCCCCTGTCCTCGTGGGCCAAACTCGATCCACCCCATCCATCCATGTCCTTAGTCGGTATTCCTTTCCGAGAACCTGGAACTGACCTCGCCTCTCATCGAAAAGTCATTCCATCCATATCCTCCGCCGCCACGACTGCCCTGCAGGGGCAAGGCTATGACTTCATCGTCATCACGACCAAGGCGCTCCCGGACCTCATCGCCTCGCTGATCCCGGACCTGAAACCGCTCGTAACTCCGGGCAAGACCGGCCTCGTCCTGATTCAGAACGGCCTGGACATCGAATCGCCCCTGGCCGCCGCGTTCCCCGACACCCCGATCCTGTCGGGCGTCAGCATGATCGGGTCGCGCCTCACTTCGCCGTGCACCGTCTTCCATGAAGACCCGGACCTGCTGAAACTGGGCCCATACTTCCATCACGTCAAGGAAGACAACGACGCCGCGGTCAACGGCAATGACCCCAACATCAGCCACCCCCCGCTATTGCCCCGTCAAACCCAACTCGACGCCGCCCGCCGCTTTGTCGACCTGTACAACGCCGGCCTGGCCGCCGCCCACCTCAAAACCGGCGCCGAATGCTTCTTGGTCGACGACGTTGTCGCCGCCCGCTGGCGCAAGCTGCTATGGAATGCCTCCTTCAACACCCTCTGCACGCTGCTCCGCATCTCAGTCGGCGAGCTGCTGTCCAGTCCGGGCCGCACCACGCTGCTGGAGCCCGCCATGCGCGAGATCGCCGCCATCGCCACGGCCGCCGGCTTCCGAGACACGGTGCCCGAGCACGTCGTGCAGTCCACGCTCCAAGACACGTCTCCCACCAGCCCCTTCCGCCCGAGCATGTTGGTCGATCTAGAGAAGGGCCGCCCGTTCGAGTTGGATGTCATCCTTGGGGCCCCCTTGAGAGTAGCTAGGCAGCACCGAGTACCCACCCCCGTCTTGGGTCAAGTTTACGAGCTATTGAGCGTCGTTCAGTGGACTCTCCAACAAAATGCGGCCCATCGTCCAGACCGCACGGCGCCCATA